TCTTCAAGAGACCTTCCCCTCCACCTCTCTTCGCTTCCTTTGTCCCACTCCTCCTTGATCTTCTCTGGGCTCTTTCTCCACCGGAGAACCCTTCTGTGGATCTTGTAGCGCTTCCGGCCACCCTCGCTTTTCTTACCTGTCTTCCTGCGTGCTCCTCCAACCTCCTCGGATAGCATCTCCGTCTCCTCACCTGCCTCAACTTCCTCGGTCTCGCTCTCCTTCTTCTCCTCTTCCTTACTCTCAGGGACTCCTGCACTCCTTTTCTTTTTCTTCTTCCCTTTCTTTTTACTCTTCGCCTTCTCCTCGTCTTTTAGCAGCTCCCTCAGGTTCTTTTCTATCTCTCTTTCTCTTCTTCTCTGTATTTCCCTGACTACACCTGCAACTTTGTCAACATATCTCCTGTTTATCTCCTTTCCATTCTTCCCCAGCAGCATCTGCTTAACCAATTCCTTCATAACCTCTTCTCCATACTCTTTGTGTGCATCTAATAATAGACTGATATCAACAACGGCAAATTCTAGATAACTCATATCACTGACCTTTTCTTCACCAAATTTTGCTTTCAAAATCTTTCTCACACTCCCCTCAGCCATTAATCCTAGTAACTCTTCTTCCTTAAGATCAATACAGATTCTTTTGCATATATTGCAGACTATCTTTTCAACACTGACTACCTGCTTCCACACCTCTCTATTACAAAGAGACACCCCGTGTTCTCTATGGTCGTTTAAAGCCTTTATCCACATTTCCTCTTCTTCTTTGCCTATGTCAGCAGCGATGTTTTTTATCATATCATCAACCTCTTCTATAATATTCCTTCCATACCTTGTTACATGCCCACCCTCCCTCTCATTACATTGGAATAGCCTTTCATAAACCAATTCCAACAATTCACTAAAAGTCTTGTTTCCATTCATCCACACCTTTGATGTACCTATAGATATGTCCTCCAAGTATGCTTTCATACCTACATCAAACAACCTTTCAAGTCGGTCACTACCTTTTACCCTACCAAATAGAAAATACCACATCATAAAGGAAATCTCACTAACGAAACCCATAACTGTATCTCTAGTGTTTCTCTTCAAATCATTATATTTTGTTGTTGGTGATATTACTATGTTATTTCCTTTGAATACAAACGGAAACAATATTACTCGACTCTCGCAGCCCGTCATTCCTTCAAAAGAAATGGCGCCTTCTAATTCCGAGGAGCAGTGCATCTCATCAATCACAGTAATTAATATCCATATTATATGCTTCCATCGCATAGGGTAAGTCCTCCTCCTTACTTAATCTACCATCATCCCCTTTTTTGTGGTGAGACAAACTTCTCTAAATATCTGGAAGCTACATTACAACTACCATCCATATCATGGTGATGTCTATACTTTCTAAGCATTAATCTCCAACTTCATCCAGCATCTTTAACAAGTAAACAAGCATGTGATGCCATGAAGAAAACTATGTACAACCATCCTTCTCGTCTTTGTGAATTTACCACGGGAAATAACATCGTGGTAGATCGTCTTTACAGCATAACCGAGGATGCGGCGCATCAAAATACATAGTACAGCACGGCAACATAATCTCTCCACCGCACAACCCCATGCGCAAGCGAGATCTCCGCATAACACCACACACGCATCACTTCACAAACACTAACATCATGCTGGCTCATCTAATAGAAAGAACAGACCCCATCTCCACAACTCTGACACGCTTCTATGCTAAGAACTTCAATATCCACGCCACGCAAAATGAGACACAGAGAGAAAATCTTTAATAAATAAACATTACAAACTTCAGTCATCCTATGCGAAGAGCCATTAAGTGAAGTGTGCTGGAGATCAATCACCAACAACTCCACTATATTCACATCCCCAATCACCGCACACTACTGCATCTTCAGCTGTTGTTTGCATGAGCTTACAAAGTCTAAGAACATCACATTCCAAGAGTCGATAAATAGATAATTATCCGAAAATGGAAATGCCAGTTCATAGGATAAGCTCCTTACTCAAACTTAAGCACTTTGTTTTCCGCACTTATTCATCAGCATTCAATATATAGTGTTGTATTCCCTCTTGTCCTGTATGGACATCTCATGCGAAATAGAAGAATGCAAAACTAGAGAGCAGCAGAATAGCAAGCGATCAGCCAAAGCATGCTGGGGAACGGTTTTCAGCGATCTCGGAGCACTTATGTCCATTGCACTCCCAATGCTTATGTACTTCACTTTCACTAAGAACGATTTCGACACAAGTCCTCTTCTCAAGGTGGTCATGTTGCTTTTCCCCTGCTCATACTCAGCAGCAGGATACTTTCTTCTCTGTTACAGCAGTAGGACAGCACACCATAAAACCGGCATACTTTACCACCTTCTCAATGTTCTTCTTGTTACATTTGCAGCTATTTCTATCCTTTCAATCATTGTACTTCCTATTGAAAAATGGAGCAAGCGTCTTCTGGGTGTCTACTCTATGCCTTCCTCTTCGTTTGTCGTATCACTTACCTACCTACTGTATACCTCTTGTGATCTTACAACCGCCTCATTCACAGACACTGGCATCACAGCCTTTGTAGAACTACTGTCATTGCTATTCCTCATGTCGTATCCAATATTCCTGACTAGAAATCCTGAATATTACCCTTACCTCTCCATCATCTCTGCTATTCTGATTCTGGCAAGATCGTTCAAGGAAAAATACTTTCCAAACAAAAAGACTTCTGAGTCTGTTGTAAGATGGAGATTACTTATCTTTTTCGTCATTCTTGGCTTTACTACATTTTCCTATATAATGGCTGGTCTTTCATGCTTACACATCATCAAAGAGAAGTGCGAAAACTTTGCCGGCAATCAACAGATTCTAAATAAATAACCGGCCTATCTATTTATTATTTACACCCTGACCTGTCTCATCAACTCACAACCATTCAATGTACATTCTCGGTTACCAACAATAGTCGCTTGCTTCCTTCAGCAGTCCTAATATCTGAGAGACAGAACAACTAGTTGTAGTGCCTATACATTCATTCAAACACATCTAACCCACATACAAACAATTTACGCATCCCACTATGAAAAATACAAAGACTTTAAAACCATCTAGAGTTAACCGAGACAAGAATGAAAGCCAGCAGGACCATGTACATCTGAAAGTAACCATGGATATTTCTTGTCGTTACACCACCTTCCTTCCCTACCCCAATAAGATTACTCAAGGAGAGGTATTTCCTGTACAAAATATTTCCTGTACAAAATGAGTTTTCTATCTACTATTACACGGGAGAATGACTACCCCCGTCCTCACCGCTGTCCATGTATTTATAGTACATCCATCCACAGTTATTCTTAATAGCGCCATCCACTTACTTCATGATAGTGATGAATAGCTCAAAAACTTCAAGTAAATACTCGTCTTTCCTCCTGGTTATTCGAGGGATGTTGTTTTCACACATTCCAAGAAACTGCCCTTTCTATGTACTAACTGATATTTAAAAAGTAAAAAATAAGCTAAAGATGTTTATTCACTTCTTTTGCTCATCTTTATTGGCGAGGTCCTTAATTCCATCCTTCATGCTGTTCGCAACCTCCTTTGTTTTATTCCATGCCTTACTTCCCCCTTCCTTGATATTCTCATAAACCTCATTCTTGTCCTTATTCTCGACGTTGTCCCTGACATTACCTGCTGTTTCCTTTGTCTTGTCCTTGGCTGATTCCGCTGTTTCCTTTGTCTTGTCCTTGGCTGATCCTGCTGTTTCCTTCGTCTTGTCCTTGGCTGATTCCGCTGTTTCCTTTGTCTTGTCCTTGGCTGATCCTGCTGTTTCCTTCGTCTTGTCCTTGGCTGATTCCGCTGTTTCCTTTGTCTTGTCCTTGGCTGATCCTGCTGTTTCCTTTGTCTTGTCCTTGGCTGATCCTGCTGTTTCCTTCGTCTTATCCCTGGCCTCACAGGCCTTATCGTTTGCCTTGCACCCTTCGCACTGGGAATCCGAGTTATGTTCGCATCTCTTTTTTGAAACCTCTGCCATTGGAAAGGCACGTTTCTTTCTTTTTATACTTTTAGGAATGCCTCTGATTCGTTAGAACAATCTCTCAATGCAATGTCTTGGAGGAAATCTAATTTGGTGGTGGAAATAAAGCATTGGTACAAAATGACAGATGATTATACATCCCATATTCAGTCTTGACAGACAGACACCGACCTCTATAAGATCCCTCTGAATAACACAACTATCTATGGAACCCCTTAATGGAAATGTGCCGCTATTGATGGCTTTCCCACATTCTTTATTTACTGGGCAGGGCGCCAATCCGCTCAATCGCTGCAGCTATTCAGCCATTATACAAAAGCGGGATAAAAAAGCTTCATGATTTCAAGTTCTTCCTAAATATGCTTTTGTCTTTTACATTTACCTTATCTAACTAAGGCCTCATGCTAGTTTTCTAAGACGTTGCAATCCCCTCTTTCTATCCAATTCGTGCCTATTAATATCATATCTCTGGATGCTGATTTTATACAAACATATACTTATATCATAAGTCGCTTTCTCACTACTTGCCATGTCTAGTGCCTGTGAATTACCCATTAACATCCTTAAGCTTCTGTATCATCTTTACTATTCCTGCTTCAATTCTTTTATACTCAGCCTCTTCTTCGCTTGAAGCGATGGTCTCACTGCCAGTGTCATCCCTAAATACAATCTCATCAACTCTTTCGCTTATAACCACATCAGAGTCACCATGAAGCTGTAGAAAGTGGCTAGTCAGCACCTTCTCTCCATTGAACAGAAAAATCTTTATCTGGATACTAAACTCACCCCATCCTCTTTCTACAACTTCAAACGGATGTTCAGAACTCACTAGTCTGTTACTGAAGGACTCATGTAGCTTAAACTCAACTTTTTTGACTATTTCCAGGGGTGCCCTGACATAAGCTTTCCACTCGTGTGTAAGCTCCGGAATCACCCTTTCCTCTTCCGGAATCATCCTTGCCTCATTTCCAATGACAACCCTGCAGCTTCGATATCCCTCCATCCAGGGTTCGGGAGACATCTTTTATTGAATGTAATCCAAAAATACCTGAAATGTCCTATGCGGTGAATACTTATTTCTCTTGACCTCCTTGATTCCTCCAACTTTGCACACTAAGTCCTCTGTGTAGTCAATTTTATGCGGCAGATTTAGCAGTGATGTTATCGTGAATCTATTCTTCTTGACGATGGTGTGGCTACAATTATATTTGATTCTGTCGATTATCGACAGGTAATGCTTAAACTCTACAGAATCCCCTAGAATCTGGAAGAGAGCCTCCTGAAGCTCCACATCCACTTCTTTAATGTCGAAGGTCTTCCCCTGGCTGATCAGGATGTCCTCAGTGCTAACTCCCTCTCTGTTCACCATGGTCATGTTTCCGCCAAGCCTGATGAGCAGCTCCAAGCACATGAAATGCCGCAGCATTGCACAATAGTGCATTGCAGTGTTTCCTAGGCTGTCTCTGGAGTTGATGTGGGATCCCAATGCCACGAATGCAACCAGTCCTTCGAAGTTGTTATTAATGGAACTTAGATGAAGGGGGGAAATCCCATTGAACTCCTGGTGCACGGATGTCTGATACCTGCTTAGGAACATGATCCATTCTATGTCGTCCTGGATTAGGTAGCATAGCCTGCTGGCCTTGGACAACTCTGGGTTTCTGCTGAGTATTTTCTTGGCACCCTCCATATCGCCCTCCATGCACAGAAAATCTATCAGGAAAATGGGCTTTTCATCTGTCTCTACTAACTTGAGTCCTCTGAACGAGTTCAGCAGGCTATATTGTTTCATTGAAACGAAGTTAAAGGGCTGCTTGGCCTCTAGAGACTTACCACCAAATAGTGCAATCATCTGTGGAGTAAGCCCATTCCAGCATAGAGAGTAGTTAGGGGAGAATTCTAGAAAGACGGACAGCACGTCGGAATGCATTGCACATGCAAGATGGAAGTATGTGGGAAACGCAGGGCTTCCGAATATCGGCGAGTTGATGCTACTAGGAAAGCCGTTGCTAAGCATTGAATAAACCAGCTTGGGTTTGTTCTTGATCATCCCAAGCAGGAACGTAATGTTTGTTTGGTTGAAATGGTACCGCTTTGCCTCAAAGTTGAGTCTAAATGGACGCCCGTCGATAAGAGCCAACCTGACAAGATGTAGCTTATACCCAACTATGGTGATTCCCCTTGGAGTCTTGAATGACGACTTGGCTGATCTGTCTGGCACTGCATCTCCAACCACCCCAGCATTCTGATACATCTGATGTATGTCATACAGCCTTACTAGTGCCAGTCTTTGCTCATTCCAATTTGCGTCGTTAGCAATAAACTCACTGTACTCCTGTCTTCTTTTTCTTGTGATGGTAAGCTTTTCCAGCCTCATGTCTATTGCAGCGAAAACAAACTAAAATTTATTGCTTGGGACTCCCCTGTCCATTAAACCCTGCTATTCAGCAGAGCCCATGGAATATAAGACGCAGAAGGACCAGGAGCTTCTAACCTTAATAGACAACATTGAGAAGAGCTATGACCCCTCTTCTGCCAACTACAAGTTCAAGTATGTGTTCTACAACAAGGTTGACGGGCCGTTTGTGCGTCCTCTAGACTTTCCAGAAACCCTGTGGAACATTTCTTTGACAAACGACCCAACTATGATGCCTGTGCTACTGAAAGGAGACGACATTGAGCACAGAAAGTCTTTGCAAATGGATGCATGCAAGAGGATTAACGACTCATATGACTTTCTGCGGAAGAAGATAGGTGGACTGCGAATGAGATCCGAAAAGCTTAAGTCGAAAATAGACGGGTGCCTTCAGATCTACAGAAAGATTTTTGGAGGTGTTTACGGACGGTTCAAGAAAGAGGAGGGAAAGTGCACTTTGCTAGACCGGATATACAGGGCATACCTCCCTCTGGATAGGAGAGGGAAGCTCTGTGTTACAGAGAACAAAGGAGAAGTGATGGACCTTTTGATGGACTTGAAGGGAGTGGGTGAGAAGATCCTAAGAGATGCAGATAGCACACTCCAGGAACGCCAGAAGCAAACAGTCATACTGAACGAGTTGGATAGGGTTCAGGACCTCGTACCTAGAGGGATTTAGTTGAAGTAAACGGTTTAATTTTCTGCTTCTTTTCTATGCAACAAGTTCAGGAGAAGAACGATTTATTCGTTGATGATTTCCCCGTATTTCATTTTGGTTGTAAGGCTTCTACAGTCAATTCTTCCATTTTCTACGCAGTCTCTTAGGAGCAAATTAACATCCTCATCTGCCATTCGGTCCCCTTTTTCCGTCAGCCATTCCCTCAGTACCTTTTCGTCAATTGTACCGTCTCCGTTATCGTCAAACTCTTTTAGTGCATTGAAGATGCTCTTTTCCGAATCTGTGCAGCTGAGCCTTTCTCCTATCATCGTCAGAAACAGCATGTATGTCATGCTGTCTCCCCCCTCAGCCATCATTTCATCGATCTCACTCTCCGAAAAAGGTGACCCTATCGATGCAAGAAAGTTTTCCAAATCCCCCCTATCAACAAACGTATCGCTGTTTACATCCATGAAGTTGAAGGCTTCCCGAAGCTCGACTATCTGGTTTTTCGTCAGCATGTGGAATATATTCGAGCTTTGTCTCCTCTGTCTTCTCCTCATTCCAAAGGGCTGGCTGCCTGAAATATTTCTAGAAACCCTCAAATGGCTGTGTTTATATAATAAGATCCTGCCATGACATTATAAAAATATTTATTGGGTGACTGGGTGTATCTATCCACACTTGCAGCAGAACCAGATCGATCTAAACTTACTTTTCCGAGGTTTCAGAGCTGCTTCGAGAGCTATGTCGAAGACCTTTTTTACGTTTATAAGTTCTACCGAGGAGCATTCCATGGATCCATAAAGCCCGTATTCCTTGCTTAGTTGTACAGGCAGCTCTTTGTCTACAATATTTCCATCAATTATATCGCATTTAGTCCCGCACAGGATCATGGGGACGTTGTACCTTGCAAGCTCTTCTACCCATCTCCTCGTGTTATGGAACGAAAGAATGTTGTTAACTGCATAGCACACCAAAAAAACATCCGTTTCTTGGAACGACAAGTTCCTTAACTTATTATACTCCTCGCTCCCGGCTGTATCCCATAGCGTCATATTGTACTTTTTGTCCCCCATGTTAACGACCTTGCTGTAGTTGTTGAAGAGTGTTGGGATGTAGCCCTCAGGATTCCTGCCCGTTATGTAGGTGCTTATCAGCCAGCTCTTCCCCACTGATGGATCCCCCACAAGAACGCACTTGATCGTCTCCATTATGTTGTTTGTTTAAGACCAGAATTTTTGTTTTAAATGGGTGATTTTGACACGACTCAATCATAAAGCCGTGGGAAAGAAACAGATTGGAGGCCTGCATCCTCCTGTTCCTTGCAAACTTCCTCCATGTTAAGTCCTTGGCCATGTCTTGCGTCAGGTGAAGTTAGTGGGATGTGTATAACTTGGGGTTATTTATTTTGCATTCCAGACCCAGTTAGACAAGCATTTTGGATTGCTAAAACCAGGGGCCTTCCCAGCCATCATAGAAGCAAACAGACTCTCCATTTTAGGCTGGAGCTCCATAACAAAACCAAATTAAGCAATTAAATTTATTGGGGTAATTAAAATTTAAATGTACCCGACACCAAACTGGATTATATGAAATAAATGCAGGAGGCTTAACAGACTCATGGAAAACAGAAAGGAGAATTTTAATTATGCCAATGAACGGATCCAGAACGCCTATGCGGAGTATATCAATAGAACCATGCACGGTAGATATCCACCAAACATTCATCCATGTTACTTTGCTGACCCGAACCTTCTGATGAATAAAACACAAATTCATCCAGGAAACTACAGATACTTCAGTAAGGAAGAATGCCAGCCCTTCCACCAAACAGGCATTTATGGATACTCTCCTGAGCAAGTCGATCAAGAAAGAATAAAAAGTATCTGGAAGAAGGAAAGAAATCGCATTGCCGCCAAAAAGAGCAGAGAAAAGAGAATGACTCGTCTAAAGGAGCTTGAGGGAAAGGAGCATGCAATGATATGCGAAATATCAGAGCTAAAGGAAGCCATATATGACTACGATAGCATCCTGGAGATTCTTCTTCGACACGTGCAAGGCCATCTGAATCGAAAAGAAGAGATGGACAAAAGCTTTGTTCTTTTGCTTGATCATCTCAGCCGTCTCAAAAAGCCTGGTACGCTGAGGCCTATTTATCTTCGCGACGTTGGGCATTTGTTATCGAAGAGACTAAGTGTAACCAATGAAGAGATTGACAGAATAGCTGAGGCGATACATAATTCCCTTGGCAAGCTTCTTGAGAAAGATTAAGAGGGCCCTCGTGAACTTCTTACAGCTAGAGACATAAGCATGTGCCTCCTTTTTATTCTCTGTGATCATACGATTAAATCGTACATCTAAACCCATTTGTTAATGCCCTGAATGAGCCAGGAGGAAAATCACGAGAACTCCAACCATGATGCCATCGAGAGGAAAAAAAGCAAGGATTCAGAAAAGAGCAAGGCGGCAGGGCATGATAACGAGCTCTTCTTCGACGATGCTGAGACCACCAGCTACACCGGTCGATATAAGGAGAGAGGAATGTATAGACCTGTGAGGCAGGTAATAATAATAGAAAGGCAGCCTAGCCTCGGGGATGTTTTGCAGAGGATGGCTGTGATATCTATATACGCATTTATCATCCAGACTTTCTTTACGGTGTGGAAGAAGATCAACAAGAGGAGCCACGATGTCTGCGTCTTCCTGATACTTCTGTTTTTCCCTCCTGGATTTTTTCTTTACATGCAGTCCTACTTCCTTCCCTTCTGCTGGCTAATGTTTTGCGGATTCATACTTTTCAACACACTCAAAGTACTGAGAGGGCCATTTGGCAAGGATGCAGTGAGAGATATCTACTCTACGTTTAAAACGCTGTTTATTGTCTCTAACTTAGGGATATTTCTGGGGCAGTTTCTCACCTTCACATTTTTTTATCTGAAAACCGAATACCTGGGATATGCGCTCTCTGTCCTGCTATTCTTCCTGTATTTCGGGCTGATGAGTAGAGAAGTCATCTTCTTCTTAAGCGAGACTGTGGCGATATCCACGGGATTCTATAGTAAGGACGGTGTTCCTGGAAAGGGAAACAATAATTCCTTGTGCATGATATGCACGAAATCATTTGACAGGACAGTCAAGATACATACGCTAGTATGCAGTCACTCCTTCCACGAGGACTGCATCAAGGGATGGTGCCTACTTGGTAAAAAGCCCTTCTGTCCATACTGCAAGAAGAGAATTGAAAGCTCCTCCCTACCTTCTGAACTATGGCACAAGACCGAGACGTGGTTCTATCCATTGATTAACACCCTGAGGAGCTTTATTGTCCTGACGCTTGTTCTAACAACAATAGTCCTGTACAAGATAAAATACCAATAAACTCCTTTTATTTCTCATCGTCGAACCATCCTTTCACCTTTATCTTGTCTCCTTCAATCTGCATGTCTGCATCCTTCAGCTTCCTCCCTCCATAGGTCTGCGAAAAGGACATGGACCGCGATCTATATCCCCGCCCGTTTTCACTCTCATACCTTTCCTCGTCTCCATAGCAGACCGAGTATCCGTTGTCTAGCTTCTTGAACTGAACTTTGCTTTTATCTATGTCGCCCCAAAGCGGGTACTCGACATCAAAATCGTGTTTGACAATCTCCTTCTTTGCCATCTTTGTTGAAGGGATGGCGCCTCCTCTTATATTTTGGAATTACCAATTGTTTCTTCGTTTTGATAGAAACACTCCAATCGTCTTCGAGCCAATACACTATTTCAAGATATTTGCTGAGGTCTTCCGCTGGCCTGCACACATCCATTCGAGGGTGGGTGAGACTGTCTCAATGATCCAAAGCCACACCGCGGTGCATTCTGTTCCCGGACGAACACGTCTGCGAGCCAAACAAATATTCGAAGATGTGAATGCTCGCTAGTTTATGCGCGACGCGAAAATATAAATACAAAGCATTTCATTAACCCCAGCAAGCATGAATAGATTAGAGAAGTTCTTCACCACACTGAACACAGCCCAATCAAAGGTTCTGAAAGGGTATACAACAGATGAGCTGGTTTCTCAAATAAAAGAATATGTTGATTTCACTCCCTATATTCTTAAGCAAACGTACAGACTCCTATGTGGGCAGGCAAGCGAGGATAGGAGGAACGGAGCCCGGATTCTCAGGTCACTGATGTTCCAGTTTAAGCTTGTGACCGACTTCAAGATCGAATACAAAGAGAGCAGCAGCATATATCTAAGCTCCACCGGAGAACAGTTCAATGTCCAGGCGCCATCCATCCAGGAGCAGAAGAGAATGGTTAGGAAGATAGCAAAGCTGGAGCATGTGGAGGCCAACTTCCTGAGTGACATCGACTTCAAGGCTGGAAGTGGTGAGGCAATCAAAAGACACAAAGTTGATGAGAGGCCTATTGAGAATGTGCTTGACTTTTTTGAGCAGATAAGCGATAATCTGCTGAGTTATGAGTGGTATAAGCGGCATGGTGCATTTCTCGCATTTGCAGCAATGTTCTCTGAAATAGACAATGGAGGAGATATTCAGATAAGAGTTGACTCCAAGCTTTTTTCGAAGATATACGAGATTCTTGTTACGGACAAGTTCAACGACTTTGTTGATGACAGGACAGTGGCGCCTGTGAGGGATGCAGCAGCATATCTTCTATCACGCATATATCCTCTGATAGGGCCGAATGATATCATTGAACAGCTGGTTGGATTTCTGGACAGCGGGGATTGGCAAGTGCAGTTTTCTGGGCTGATAGCACTTGGATATTTGAAAGAGTTTGTTGAGGATAAGGACGGGCTTTGTAGGAAGCTTGTGTCTCTTCTGAGTAGTCCTGACGAGGACATAAAGCTGCTCAGTGCGGAGCTTCTTTGCCACTTTCCAATAACTGATTCCCTTGATCTAGTTCTTGAGAAGTGCTGGAAGAACATCGAGTCTGAAGAGCTCATCTCTGTTTCGAAGACGTCCAACCTTTCTCTACTGACCAAGATATATCGAGAAAACCCGGAGCTGTCTATCCCCCCGGAGAGACTGAAGGATATATTTCCTTGCTTTACATCTCCAGTCCCAGAGGTCAGAACCAGCATCTTGAACATGGTGAAAAACCTTTCTGAGGAGTCGATCGACTTTCTTGTTGCTGAAGTTGTCCTGATAGAAGAAAAGGATGAGATACGGGAGATGGCCATAAAGCTCCTTAAGAAGCGCAGGGATCTTCCAAAAAACCTGATTCTCCATTTCATGAACGTTATCGGAGGAAGTTTATACGAACCTTATAGCGAAGACGACTTTGTTTCCTACGAAGACCTGTACTTCACGAAGAGCGGGATAAATGTTGTGGGTAAGGACGAGATTCTGAAGAACAGATGTCTTTTGTTTGAATGCATCATGAAGAGTGGGCTTCCAGATCTACAGTCCACCATTGAGACGACGACGAGTAGGACCTTCATCTCTCTCTACAGGTCCGTTCAGGCCTTGGTGAAAGACACTCCTTACACACCTGCGAATATAGAGGAGTTGGAGTATTACTTTGACAGATGTAAGGATCTCAAGATGGCTCCTTTGAAGGAATTCAAGAAAAAACTTAGCGCTCCAGGAATCCGCTCCATCCACCCGATGGTGGATCCTCTGTACTCAGACTACACTAGAATGGTGGCATCAATAGAGTTCCCAGGTCTTGAACGTGCAACGGCTCTCTTTGAGGTAGAGACTTGCAAGCAGTTTCTACATCTATTTTCCAAGATGATAACAGAGTACTATGATGCAGAGAAAATTTCCATCGACAACTTCCTTTTGAAGGCATATGAGGGACTAGCTTCTGGAAAGGATGGATTTCTCTCGTTTTTCGAGGTGTTTAACACAAGGCTCCTCGCGCATTCCTTCTTCCACAAAATTGGGAGTCTGGAGAACAGGCTCGACTTCTTTTCCAAAACGATTCATATATACACAAAGACTTCTCAGATTCAAAAGATAGGGTTTGTGTTTGATGATGCACTTCGGGAGAAAAACATTACAGTAATCAATGGGTTTATGAGGTCTCTGGAGTTCAACGAAAAGTTTGTAAGAAAGGCTCTTGAAGATCTGGATGTAGAGCTTCTTGACGCTGTTCTGATGAGCGGAGACCACTCTTTCAACCCACTATTCGTCAAGCCACTTCTCAGAAATATCTCGGGCAACATAGACCGGGAAGCATCTTCAAAGGTACTCTCGAAGGTCATCCCGACTCTTGGATTCAGCACAAACACAAAGATATCCAAAGACCTGCTCGAGATGATTGAGCGCGAGAAGAAATCTCTTGAGTCGCTGCTGGACGCAGGAAAGATCCCCGAATACCATATAAAGTGCCCCATTTCAGTTAAGCTTCGGGACTACCAAATGGAAGGGGTGAAGTGGTTGAACTTCCTCTACTCGTTCAGTCTCAACGGAATTCTTGCTGACGACATGGGCCTGGGAAAAACTCTGCAGGTCCTGACATTTCTCTGCTCGGAGATATATAAAACAAACAGGAAGGTTCTAGTGATCTGCCCCTCAAGCCTTACGGGACACTGGAAGTCCGAGGTGAAGAAGTTCTTTCCTTTTGTGGCTGCAGAAATCTACAAGAGGGAGGACAGGGACACATACAGTATCTTGATATCGTCGTACGAGACATTTAGAAACGACTATCTGAACTTCATCGAGAAGGACTGGTTTTATGTTGTGGTTGACGAAGGACATGTGCTCAGAAACAAGCAAACAATCTTGTACTCGAGAATGAACATGATAAGGTGTTCTCGGAAGATGGTTCTAACGGGAACGCCGGTCCACAACAGCGTGGAGGACCTTATTTCCCTGTTCAACTTCCTAATGCCCAACTATATTGGCCCTGAAAAAGAGTATGGATCTCTGAACGTCAAGATGTCTGACTCTGAGATCGAGAAGACCCATAAAAGACTCGATCTCCTCCACAGAAAAGTTCTCCCGTTTATTCTCCGCAGACTAAAAATAGATGTGCTGAAAGACCTTCCCCCGAAAATCATCCGTGACATCACTGTTGAGCTCGGGCCTGTCCAAGAAAAGCTATACCGGGAGATTGATGAGAAAGGAGGAAAGGAAAGCCTCGGAGATGCAGAGCTAGAATACGGGAAGGTAGACCAGAAGAATGTGGGCTTCAAAAGAACAAGGGATCTTTTTCTTGCGGTTTCCCATATAGGTCACTTTAAGGACTCTACCGAGGTGTCCTGTAAAGTCAAGGCCCTTGAAGACATAATTTCGCTGTGCGGCGGAGAGGACCTAGGAAGCAAGATACTGATCTTCTTTCAATTCAAATCCACCATAGATCTTGTCATAAAGGATATAATGAAGAAGTACAAATTCAAATACTCAAGGCTGGATGGGTCGGTTCCCAGCGCTGCCAGGACCAAGATTGCTGAGGAATTCAACACGGGCACAACACAAATGCTGTTTCTCACCACCCAGGTCGGTGGATTGGGCCTCAACCTTACTGGGGCAGACACCGTTGTGATGTACGAGCATGACTGGAATCCCTTCAATGATCTTCAGGCGATGGACAGGGCACACAGAATAGGCCAGAAAAGAACCGTGAATGTCTTCAGGTTTATAGCAAGGAACACCCTGGAGGAAAAGGTTATGAACCTGCAGTCGTTCAAGATGTTTGTTGCAAACAGCCTTGTTTCCCAACAAAATGCAGACATAGAGACAATGGACACCAAGGACCTGCTGGAAAGGTTTCAGGTTCCCGGATAGCCCGGTATTGCTATCCAGGCTCTGCATCTGTAACTGCTAGTCTGATAAATTATCTCCTTTCATTGTGCTAAAGCATCTTGATTTCTATTTGATCAAATAAATACACCAAAAATTACAGAAGAAGTCTCCATAAACAAACATACATGGATAGGTTCCTAGTAAACAAAAAGGAAGCCATGCCTGGGTATGCATCAAGAAGTGTTTACGGCCTTGGAATTAGAGAGGAAGTGCACGAAGTAGGGTTTGGATACCCTCTGGGCGAAAATCCATATTTAAGTACGGTTGAAGGCCGAAATCTCGGGCCAAAAATAATCATCCAGCCGTACAGGCAGCTCAAAACGAAGTCTCTTCCCGACGACTTCTACAGCAGTCTAATTGACTGGTCTGGTGAAAATGTGTTCTTCACTGCCGACGGCGGCCTGTTTGTCCACAACTTCTTCTCCTCAAAAACGTTGCAGATTTGCAGCCTCAATAGCTTCGGGGTGACGTCTGTGAAGTGCAATCCAACCACCGGCAGCATTGCCCTTGGGACGTCTGTTGGCGTTATGCTGAGCCTTGACATCGGCTCTCTAAAGATGGCCAGATACCCGTTCCACAAGTCAAGAATAGGCGTGATCGAGTCTGAGAGCACAAATGTTATAACCGGGAGCAGAGACAGGAAGATAAAGATAACAGACCTGCGTTCGGAGAAGGCCGTGGCAACCATTCTGCACCATCGACAGGAGGTTTGCGGGCTAAGCATCAGCAAGGACCTTAGGTTTTTGGCGTCTGGTGGGAACGACAATAGGCTCTATATTTATGACTACAGAAACTTGTCGCATCCCCTTAAGCAGTGCTCTAACCACAAGGCAGCCGTAAAGGCAATGAGCTGGTCTCCTCTCTCTCCAAATCTACTGATATCTGGAGGAGGAACCGCCGACAAAACAGTCAAGCTATGGGATGTGAACATGATAAACTCAAGTAGATCAAGCTCATGTCTTGTAAGATCCGTGGACTACGGCTCCCAAATATGCAACCTAAAGTGGTTGAAGTCCAACAAGATCCTTAGCACACACGGATACTCAAAAGATGACATCAGGCTGTCACAAATGTCCTCCTTCAAGATAGAGAGATACTTTCTCGGGCACAAAAACAGGGTGATCCACTTCTCTTGCTCGGACGACGAGAAGTACTTTGTTTCAGGCTCCTCCGATTCCAACATAAACTTCTGGGAACTGGATGGAGAGAGGGACGACGAAATAAAGATTAGGTAGTTTGTGATCCACTGTTGATCTTCGTGGGCTATGGAGCCTTGTGTCTTTCTATAGGAATGCTTGTATGCCCATAGACACAGACGGCACAGAACTCGACTCTAGTCCATGAAGGGCAGCTGCGTCTTTGCGCTTCGGCAGGCTTCAGCACACGATTGGTGAAGGAGGCAAACATCATGAAACAAGTCGGGAAAAGAAACCTACAAAAGCCTCGATAGGATGGTGCACATGCAACATAGGGACATTATGGAGCATAATGCCAATTCTCGGTATGGAGACATCACCTTTGATGAAGAGCAATTAAGAGATGTTGGATATCAAGACAAAAACAGCTACAGCACCTATGACTACTCGTTTCCCTTCAACGACCAGCCCTTCCAGCCTCTTTATGTCAATGCTAAACAGCTTAACTGGATAAAGAAAAGAAAGGCAAGGAGAGATATGCTGGACTCTCTCATGATAACAAACAGGAGAAACTATCTCCATGAAAGCAGGCACAAGCATGCCATGAAAAGGCTAAGAGCACCTTCTGGTAGGTTCCTAACAAAAGAGGAAACTGAAGAGTTGAACAGGCAAGGCAACTGCAGCTGAAGACAGTCTCTGAACTAGACATTAAAGAATTAACAAGCTGACTATAAAGCCCTTTGTCTCTCAAATAACCTGGGCTATGCTGGAATAAAGAAATGGATAGACTTAGATCTTGTTTATTCAGCTGCTTGAAGCCGTTGGCAGTCTCACATAGGATCCGCCCTCATGGCACTTTCTTGTTTGATACCCTATGAAGAATATTATAACACCCATTACCGTGTAGAAAAAGAACCTAAACACCGCGCTTGTAAACATGATGTTTGAAAGACTGTTCTTAATCCCCTCTTTCTTCTCCTCGGGCCTACTTTTCTCCTTCCCTTCAGAGGGCGTCTCTGCTTCAACCCTAGATGGCCTTGTAAATAGAATAGGATCGGTCGATGTCTTGTATGGGCCTATCTGTGCAAATGGTAGCGAATCTAAACGATATGGTGACAGTGTTCTAGCTGTGATTATGAATGCGTGTCTCGGGGGTGGCATATAATATGCGCTAACGCTCATGAGTACTGAGAAAATAAGCATAATGTAGCTCCTCCTATGTGTTTTTAAGAACCTTCTAAAACAATGTTTCATTTACAGCCCGGGCAATTGGCCACTTATAAAACATCTGGCACAGCTTATTTAGAGGGGTCAGAGATGAATTCTCTCGATACAGTTACAGAGCTTCGGATTTTCGATAGGGCTTTGAAGTTATCTGCAAACCTCGACATCCCTTGATGTCCATCTTCAACTTACTAGGGCTCAAAAAAGGAGCTTCGAAGGGCGAGGTTAGGGCGAGATATCTAAGAAAAGTGCTTCAGATTCATCCAGACAGAAGTAAAGGCGATGGAGACGGGTACATGAGATTGGTGAATGCATATGAAAGGTATGCAAGAGGAGAGGAGCCGGATTCAATCCCCTATCTCATTTGCAGTAGAGCTCATGTAGATTCCGTGGCATGCAGATGTGGAGGAACGTATAAAGCATCATATGAAATGCATGGAAGAGTAGAATGCGAATTCTGCTCGTGCTTCATAGAAATAGAAGACTTTCCAGAGCTGCCAGATGCAAGTCACAGACTTGCTGACGGGACATAAATAAAAACTTAAGTTGCTTTATTCACTACCTGCCTTTTTAGATGCTGGGACTTTCTTCCCCTCATCATGATACGCTTCTCACGGTTGTGGCACTTCTGGTTTGCCCTTGGATAAGTAGTAGAGCCCTTTTCTCCAGGCGCAGGCCCCCAAAACTTGGCAGATCTCCTGGAAAATTTGTTCGTTGAAACCAGGCATATGTCATCCATGTTTGGACAAAGCTCAAACAATTGGTCAAGAGTCCCTATGGTCCCTCCATACCTCTCAATCTTCTCCTTCACTCCCTTTGACCATTGAAGAGCAACAACCTTGACAGCTGGAATTACCATAACCTCATCGTCATCAAGAACCTTTGCAACTACAACTGCAACCTTATCCTTTGACTCCCCGATCTCGCTGACAATCTTCGAGATCTTGACCGGCTGCCTGTCAGACTTTGACATCTTCAGCCTCTTGGAGATCTTCTTGATTGCAAGCACAGAGCTGTTGCTGGCCACCTTTGTGTAGAAGTCAGAAAGAGCACGCAGATAAATGTTCTTGGACCTGGGCTCCTTCCTGCTTAGAGTAGCAGACGGTGGTAGCCTTGTGTACTTCATAGCCGACGTAAAGTACATTGCTTTATGGGGTAAAAATTTTGCACCAACATATCTCACGGTTAAGGATTCGTGGGCGGCCGTCTGGTGCTTAGTGTTTATTTTTCCTATGCTTCTTCCTTGCAATCGTTTCACCGGCTGGTTCCCTTGCCTCACCCCTTCCAGTGAACCCTAGTCCCGTCCCCACAAGCTTCAGCCCTCTTTCAAATGCCGAGCCGAGACCTGCAGGCTCCCAATAAAACAAAGGGCCTTTAACAACTTCATCTCCGAGAAACACATTAGCAGACGGGCTCAGTGTCTTCTTAACACAGGCAATGCCCCTTATGGTCGCAGCATCCTTGCTCAGGTCTAGATATTCCACATTCACCTCCGAAGTCTCAGGAGCAAAAAAAGGAAAGATGTGGCACTGATCCTCCATCCTTTATCTAGGGAAACAGAAGACTTCTTTTTGAGTGTCTTGCAGTATTCACTTGCAGTCATAAAGGCCTCCCTCTATTATGCAGCTAAGATAGTCTTCAAAGGCGGACACATGCTCCATGAAGTCAGGCTTTCTTATCTCCACCGCTTCCCTAAACTCAATAATGTGTACCTCCTTGGATTTTTTGCCCCTTAAGTAGCATCTGACAGGCAGCCCAAAGAATCCCTCAATCATATCCATTGATACATCCCCACTGCATATGGCATACAGACAACAGGAATTCCGAACCAGGGAGGTTGTTGAGCAAAGCTCCTCTTTCAGCGGGACCTCAACAAGAGAGACCTCCAGGCAGTCAATTAGATTTTCGTTGTCAAGCATTTGCGCCATTGCAATTTCGTGCAATGTGCTGTAGAAGTACAGCTGAGTGTCCGAAGAGTGCTCTATCGACCAGTATATAGGCCTGGTAAATGTAAACACCCTGCTTAGGTCGTGCCTATTAATCATCTTGTTTATACCGCTTACCCTAATATACATACAGAGAAATCAGGAGCTAAGGGTAAGTAATAATGAGTTATGATAATACCAACAGATTCTCAAAGACGCTCCATACACGGAGAACCGTTTGAAAAGCAACTCTGAAAGATGCCAGGCAACCAAAGCGAAGATTTTAATCACTGATGGATTTGACGTGTCTGCTCCTGAGCTTCAGAACAAGGCTGATGTCCTTTGGAAATACAGTGACTCTCTTTGCATGATATGCACAAAGCATGGCATCCTCAAACAAACCCACAAGGTAAACCTCCAAGGCCTCCTGAATTGAAGCAAGGGCTGGCCCCTGGAACCTTATATCCGTGGCATTACTACATTCCTTCACCACCGAACGGCATGCCCTCTGGAACGGGAGTCTTCGGATCAGGAAGTCTGTGCTCTTCTGGTATCTTCTGATCTCTTTCAGAGCAACAGATCCAGGTCTGTACCTTGATTTTTTGGCTCCGGCACTCGAGGCTGGGGACACACCCTTGCGGGCCGACTTTGCAGACAGCTGCTTGCGAGGTGCCTTTCCTCCTGTTGTTTTCCTGGCAGATTGTTTTGTTCTAGCCATTTTGGGGTAAATTTTTGGATCTTTTATAACCAAGTCTGAGAGAGGTTTATTGTTTCGAATTTGATTGATAAAATTGTGGCTAACAAATAACACGGTTGGATCATTTTAAAGGTACTTCGCAAAACAATGTGTGGAATTCTTACTCCTATTTATTTTTTAAATATGCCTTTTCTATTAGATTAAGGCAGAATTGATTCAATTCATTTCTACCATTCGAATCCACAAACAAAATCTACTTTATTCGGTATATTACCACTACTACCTGAAAATCTTTTCACATGAAGAATCGCAAAATGCGTGCCCATACCAAGCCCTGCAGCCTACCACTGCCTTTTACTCAGATCTCCAGATACTTGTAATACATTGAAACCTCCCCTCCAAGCTTCTCCTTTTCTGCCTTCATAAAACCAAACTTCACCCCTTTGACGAAAATGAAGAAAAAGCTCTGTCTTGGAGAGGCCCTGTCTCTTCTGGCGGCTTTCCAACTCTATCTGGCTTCGAGCTATTTGAAGGACCATTCCATGATGGTATTTTGCATCGAAAGCTTTTTGTCTACTCTGATTGTTTTAATGGGATCTGCCCCATTTGCAATTAAGGGCATTACTTTCAAGGAGGTCGTTCAAACCCAATCGGAGTATCTCCCACTCATACTCTTTGCGCTCGGGGAATACTCCTCATGGTACCGAGGCGCCGGGATGACATCCCTGAAGACGGGCATGGCTACAAGGGGTGCATGCTATCCATTGTCTGTGGTACTGATGTTTATGCTCTCGAGAACATCTAAGGAAAACATCCTCAGGAGCATTGGGCTGATCCTGATCGTCCTAATGAACATGTATAAGTCGATCAAATACAGCGACGAGGGGTTCTTTGATGCTCTATTCGGGGCCATCTACTTGGTATTTTATGTGGTTTCCAGCGTCTCCTCCGACTTTATAACTGTCTGTATGACAAATAGAAACGGACTTGCCAAGTTTCTTTTCATAAGCTCTTTCTACATCTGCATATGCTCATTTATTGTGCTAATAGACTTCGACCTGGGATGCAGCGACATTCACATGTTTATAGAAAGGAATATCCAGAAGTCTATTCTTCTTGTGGGTATCTCCTCGCTGTCCAGGGTTCTGAGTGCATTCTATATCCAGAGATTTGGAATAGTTGCATACAACACAACCAAGATATCGAACTATATCTACTTCATCATCCTGAGGAGCATTGGGGGGTTTGAGTGGGCCTGGAGATTTGAGGACACGTTGTTCCATCTGGCCACCTACCTTCTGATCCTTTTCTTCATCAGCTCTGATGAGTCTCGCGAAGGAAGCTTGGGCTTTGTTGTATGATTCCCGCAATCTTCAAGGGGAACCTCGAGCTCTGGCACTTCCTAAGCCAGGGTGCTTGGTGCTGATTTAAGATGTTTTATTTGGTCCCTTATTTATGGACGGCCGGATAAACTGTACAGAGGCCGAGAAAGACATTTTCAGCCTGATACGGAGTCACGCCAAAGGATTTGGAAATGTAGTTCCGAGAGTTGCCGGAGGATGGGTTAGGGATAAGATAATGGGGAACCCCAGCTTTGATATGGACATAGCGCTGGAGAATATAAGCGGATATAAGTTTGCAGTGGGACTGGTGCAGTCTGCAACAGGCCAGAAGCTTACTGATGTTCACGTGATAAAGGATAATCCAGAGAAGTCTAAGCACCTGGAGACTGCAGTTGTAAGGATAAATGGTTTTTGTGTCGATTTTGTCAATCTAAGAAATGAAACATACTCCGAGACCAGGATCCCTAATGTGAAGCCTGGAACGCCGCAAGAAGACGCCTTCAGGAGAGACCTGACCATCAATTCATTGTTCTACAACCTGTTTACTGAGGAGATCGAGGACTATACTGGGAGGGGTCTTGAGGACATAGGGCGCAAGGTCCTGGCAACACCGCTGGACCCAAGGACGACTCTCCTTGATGATCCCCTGAGGCTCGTGAGGATTTTTAGGTTCCACTCGAAGCTTGGGTTTACGATCGACAAGAAGATTGATGAAGCACTAGAGGACAAAAGAGTCAAAGTGGCATTGGCAAAAAAGGTTTCGAACGAAAGAATCCACATAGAGATATTCAAGATCCTCCGCTATCCAAGAGGGCAGTATGGGCTTTTGGAGATAGTTAGAAGGGACTATGTCGAGCCTATATTCAAACCACCAGTAGAAAGCAGGACATCCTACGAAAAGGGGCTAGTGTTCTGCGAGGTTGTAGAGAAGATCACCAATCTGTGGGGGAGGCCATACAGAAGAGAGGTTCTGAATCTGTATACCGTGTTATGCTTCTTCAGCAGACTAACTGTTCCAGGCGGAAGAGACTCCGTTTTCTCTAACACCTACATCGTGAAGACCTCCCTCCCATCCTCCAAGAGCTTTGTAAAGATGATAAATAAGATCGAGGAGAGCCTCGTTTTTTTGGATGGCTGCGATATGAAGAAGCCAAAAAATGAAGATCTGATCCGGATGGTAAGATTCATGGGGGAGACGTGGTATGAATCACTGGTGATTTACTCTGCAATCGAGCACATGAGGGGGGGGCACGAAAAGTATGAGAACGGGCTAAGGGTTATATATAGTATCATACAGCAGGAGATCGGAGAATGCTACTTGTCAAGGCCAATTATAGACACGAGCAGGCTAGCCAAGACATTGGAGATACCGAAGCCAGACATACGCTTTTATATCGAGGAGAGTATCGTATACCAACTCCTTAGTGGAACTGAAAGTCCGGAGGAGATTGTCGACCACTTAAGAGGAATAAAGGCTGCAAGGGAAGCAGACCAAAAAAGGCTTTAATCAATTAAATCACATGCAACAAGCACTTTTGGAATCCCTGGCATTGAGTTTAAAGGACTCTTTTGCAGTTCCAAAGCCGATCTTCTTGTATTTCTCGATAAGTCTCTTTGTTAGATGCTCGAAACTTTCGTTAACACAGATGTTGTCCTTCGCACTGGTCATATAGAATGACGATTTCTCAATGCCGTTTTCGCCCAGAAATTTCTCTATCTCCTCGTCTGTAACCACAATTTTTTCCTTGTCATCAACTTTGTTCCCCAAGATGATTATCTCGACATTCTCGCTTGTGTTTTTCCTGACCTCACTTAGCCAATCCCCAAGATTATCAAACGACTCCTTACTCCCCATATCAAACACTATAATGATCCCATGGGCTCCCCTGTAGTAGTTTGATATTATTGCCCTGAACCTTTCCTGCCCTGCAGTGTCCCATATCTGGAGCTTTACCTTCTCTCCTGCAACCTCCAAAGACTTGATCTTGAAGTCCACACCTATTGTACTTGACTGCGTAAAGCTGTATGTCTCATCCGTATATCTCTTCATTAGGCAGGTTTTCCCAACTCCGCTGTTCCCAATCAGGATCATCTTGAACAGATACTTACACTCGGAGTCCATGGCCCCCTTGTTTTCCTTTCTTTTATCCTAAAAATCGCGAGAGCCTGTGCTAGGATACGAGACATCTGGAATTCATGAAACAGGTGCTTCAGGAGAGGGATAAAAGCAAGAACTTCTTGCCGGAGGAAAATGTTTCTGGCGTCCAGACTGAGACTTTTTATACTTGGAGAGCCTTTGTTGAGACCATCGCAGCCATCTCCATTCCAGTTGTTTATGCAGGAGACTCGGTCTAATGTAAGGTTTGACATATATCTGCTCGTTCTCCTGGTGATAGCATGCCTGGGGCTCGCTCTAGCCTTCTTCAGGAACTCAAGAGATGGAGGGAATGCTCTTCTGTATGCCATTGGATTCCTCCTTATATTCTGCTCATACAATCTTCAGAAGGTCATTGAGGCTAACAGAATGCTGAATAAGTCGGTGCCGCACACAGATGCTGCAGAAAGCTCGTGGTCTTGGAGAAGATGGATACCCCCCTGGGGGATTAAGCTTGGCAGCTCCCTCCGCATTGCCCATGGCTCCAGCCTCCTTTCGAATGCAGGCCTCCTGGGGCTTCCGGAAAAGACCGGTATGGCGTCTCGTATGTCTCCATACGCAGTCCCCCATGGGATAGAACAAGAGAAGCTCGAAGGCGTGAATCCCAGCCCCGAAGAGGCCTCCAGAAAAAGCGGTTCTCTTGTAACCTCAAGAAGGGAGAGCCCAGGGACTCGTACAGAAGAAAATCCCTCCATAAGAAAGAGAGACAACCTGGAAGCAGATGACAGCAGCAGCGATCACCAAAAATCCCCTGTACTCAAGATTGCCAGGCCATCGATAGCTAATAGAAGAATGGACAGTGCCGAGAAGAAAGAGGCCCTCCTTGGGAACCTTATGAAGATATTTCAGCTCAAGGTCGAGACCGATGAAAGCCTGCAGAGGCATGTTTTGAACCTTAAGAACATCGAGATGCAGGTCAACAAGATTTTGGAGGAATTTACTAAGGTATTCAAGATATTCATGAAGGAGGCGGAAAAGATAGAAAGTGAGATGGTTGGGTTCAATGCATCTACAAGATATCTGAACATATCTCTGAACGAGCTGAAAGTAGAAATCAAAAAGTACTTTTCTAATCTTCCAAAGTCCAGGGCTAGCCGCGAGATTCCGAACTATCTCTCAACATTAGCCAGAAACTATCACAACAACGAGGACATTGGGAGTGGAGATATGGGGCCTATGATCAGGTATGAAAGCTGCATGATGTTCCTCCTTGCAGTCCAGATGGTGCTCTGCCTTCTTCTATTCCTCGCAGCTTTGGCAAAGCTTGATGCAGTCACCTCCATTCTGAGACCTGTTGTGTCCGTAGGCCTTGTTGTAGTGACATTGCTAAGTGCTGTGTTTCTTCTCAGTGGCCAGATGCTTGACAGAAGCTGCAAGTCTGGATCAGTCAGAGGATGCAGCTTCACACCGGCACTTATAGATGGGGTGAAGCGACTTGAGGTGGTGTCCAAGGCCGACGACCTAGAAGACCAGCTGGATGCCATTTTAAAGGAGACTGGATATGTTACAGAGGCCCTGAGCCTGTATGTAAAGGCCATGATGGATACAAGAGTCAATGCAAAGATGTCTGTCTTCTCCAACTTGTTCAACAAGATATTGTTTGTGTACGACGACTTTGGGCATCTAACGAAAAAGAAGGTCGACAAGAACACATTCTATGGCTATATAAAGATAATGAGCAGGCTTTTGGAAAACATTGCAAGCCTCCTGGAGTTTTCTGAACAAAAGGACATGGTCGACATCTATGTCAACGAAAGGGCCTTTTTGTTCTGGCTGAATGCAGACAAGGGCTCTGTGGTTGAATCCATACGAGAGATTACAGAGGCAGGACCAATAGACAGGTCTGGGATGCCCCCAAAATGGTGTGTAAATGCACTGCAAGGAATATGCGATGCGAAGGACAGTGTGGATGCCCTGTTTTTGCTAACTCTTATTGGAGGGCCCATATTTTTGTTTCTTCTCTACCTGTAACGTGGCAGCTAACCCTGTGGCGGATCTGCAGACTTAGGTTTTGTAAACAGAGGGAGGTAGACCCTACTAGATGAAGTATATCGTGAGCAACATCAAAGCTGACCAGGTGGAGAAAGGAAAAATAAACAAGATATACATCCCAAGAGCGCCTGAGCTAGATCCATCGGAATTTGTGCTGGTGGACAACAAATATGCCTTCAAGTTTGAGTTTACAAGTGGATGCAATCTGCAGCTGAGCAAGATCCAGAGAGAGTTTTTGAACAAGAGTGTTGGAAAGGATGAAATAAACGTTAAGCATCTGAATGTTGTTGAGTGCGACCCGATCTCGCTGCTCAAGTTAGATGTAGAGCTTATCAACCTGGAGAAGGTTGACTTTGACGCAAAGGAACTCATTGAGCAGTTCAAGAACATTTATGTGTCTTTTCCCTTCAATGTCGACCAGAGATTTTATCTGTATCTTGGAAACCTGGGATTCAAGGTGGTTGTCCGAGAGATGTTTACTGCCCTGGACAGAAGATATGGGATTCTTCTGAGGAACACAGAGGTTTTCATCAGCTCTGTCTCTGACAGGCTAACATTGTCAAACAACACTAAAGAGAACATTCTGCTGGACCCAAACTTCAACTTTGAGTCTCTCGGGATTGGAGGACTGAAGCAGGAGTTTGGGAAGATGTTCAGAAGGGCATTTGTGCAGAGAGCATTTGACTCTGACGTGATCAAGAACTTCGGGATACCTCACGTAAAGGGAATAATTCTCTATGGGCCTCCTGGGACTGGGAAGACGCTGATAGCAAGAAAACTGGGGTCTCTGCTCAATGCCAGGCCGCCAAAGATAGTAAATGGACCTGAAATCCTCAACAAGTATGTTGGGCAGAGCGAGGAGAACATCAGGAACCTGTTTAAGGATGCAGAGGAAGAGTGGAAAGTGAAGAAGGGGGACAGCAACCTCCACATCATTATATTTGACGAGATTGATGCCATATGCAGAAGAAGAGGAAATAGCAGTGGGACAGGGGTTGGAGACCAGGTAGTAAACCAGCTCCTCAGCAAGATGGACGGTGTGGAATCGATAGAAAACATTTTGGTGATTGGAATGACCAATAGGCTGGATTTGATTGACGAGGCTCTTCTCAGGCCGGGGAGGTTTGAGATCCATCTGGAAATCTCTCTCCCCGACGAAGAGTCCAGGATCGAGATATACAGGATCCACACAAAAACGATGGAAAGCCACGACTACTTGGACGCGAATGTTGACCTGAACAAGATAGCCAGGCTGTCCAAGAACTACACGGGAGCAGAAATAACGGCTGTTGTAAAGAGTGCCGTGTCCTTTGCTCTGGAAAGAAAGGTCCACGGGGAGAAGCTTGATGGAGAAAGAATGAATGTTGTAGGAGACAAGAACATCAAGGTCTACATGAACGACTTCATCCAGGCATTGGACGAGGTCAAGCCCTCCTTTGGGATAAACGAGCTGGAGTTCAGCAGGTTTGAGAAGACCTTCTACGAGACTCCCATGTTTACCCAGGGAGTTGAGCACGGAAAGAACCTCCTTACGAAGCTGAGAAAAACAAATCTCTACAGCACATCGTCTCTGTTATTCCATGGCTGTCCAGGAGTTGGCAAGACAACGCTGGCCGTGAAGGCTGCAAGGTCCTCGATGTTCCCGTTTATAAAGATCATCTCGCCAAGAGACATCATTGGACTTAGCGAGTATGAGAAGGTCAACTACATCAAAGGGAAGTTTATGGATGCATACAAGTCCGAAGAGGCTATAATAATACTGGATGACATTGAAGGGCTTATCGACTTTGTGAACATAGGGCCCAGATTTAGCAATGCCGTGCTGCAGGCACTGAAGATATTTATCAAGGAGGAGAGCAGAAAGAAGATGTTTGTGTTCGGCACCACAAGCTCTGTTGAGGTCATGAGAGAATGCGGCATCTACGAATGTTTCCAGTCTGCATATGAGGTAGAGAAGATCGGGTTTCCGGACTACGAGATTCTGTGCAGGCAGAACCCAAGTTTTTCGGAGATATGCTACGAGGAACCTATGTCCATCAAGCAGCTTCTCTCGCTCCTAGACGAGCCCGATATCTCTCCCCAGTGAGGACTTGCCATTAAACGGTTGTTTGACCTACAGAGTCTCTAATTCTATTCGGCACCATTTCATCCCCAGTGTCTTGATGGAAGATCTGAAAGTATTCATTGAGTCAAACATCTTCTCTGCAGCTTGCCCTAAGGAGAGGGATTCAGAAGAAAAGGCGATGTTTAAGGGCGGAATTGTGTCGTTGGATCTCTTGCAGAGCATGAGACCGAAGACCGAGATAGAGAGCAGCCGCCTGAGTTACGTGACAAACCTATGTCTTGCCGTCCCCAGGCCGTTTCCGATTTCAGACGAGCTAAGCGGGCTGGAAAAGGCATGCATGAAGCTGTCGTTTGGAGAATATGAGGATATTGATCTCTCCATGTATGGCTTCCGACACGAGCTAGTTGGAGCTATTCCCACGAGAGGGGGGTGCGGGAATTCCATACTGGTTGTGAGATGCAGCGGCACGAAAAACGGAAGAGAGCACGTCTACTCCACCCGGAGGTATGAGTTTGGCAACGAAATTGTCGAAAGTCTAAGTGTGGAGGAGCAGGCCATACTCCTGGTCGAAGCGATAAGGATTTTTAATACGGAAGTTTGCCATGATCTTAGGAGACTAAAGATTCAGGCATACATAGACAGAGTGCTGTTTCCAGAAAACGAAGGAAACGAAATAGTTAAGATGACTGCCCATTACTACCTCATGATGCTGAATCTAGAGCCATGCGAATTGGATTTTCCTTGTGAAAAGATAACAGAGTCGGCATTTGAGCTTCCCTTTGTGTTCCGCAGTGAATGGGAGAAGGTGCTAGGTGACGCCTACTACAATTACTCTGCCCATGAAAAGGCCTTGGAGTACTTCAGGAAGCATGGATGCAATACCAAGGCCATCAATTGTCTGATAAAACTCAATAGGGGGAATGAAGCAGCCGGAATGGCGCTCAAGGAAATAGAGAGCATCGGAGACCCTACAAGCCACCAGTCGAGGGTGAGGCTTTGCAACATGAACACGATTGTTGGTACTATAACTGGCGAAGAGATATATTTTGACAGGGCATTTGATGCATACCGCTCATATGAGCCGTTAAGGGCCAAGGGAGTTTATTTCCTCAAGGCTGGCAACGCCAAGAAGGCAGCAGCCTCTTTTGAGGAGGCGCTTAGGCTGGCTCCACTAAACACAGAGATACAGTTTCTGTATGCATCTGCCCTTACCTCTTTGTCAAGATTTTCGGAGGCTGCTGCTGTTTATGAGAGGCTGGCTGCAGACGACCAGAAGAATGCGGTGTTTCTGCGAAACCTAGCTATGTGCAGGATTCAACTCAAGGACATTGCAAACGGACTCTCGAGTCTTAAGAAGGCATCTATGTACGACAATGGTGCAATGCAGGCCTACTTTCTGATGTCCATTAAGTACAACATGCCAAGGGAGATAAGATACTCTCTGGAAAGAGTAAGCCTCTTTGAAGACCTTGAAGACGGAGTTGTGTATCTCGTCGAAAATAGGATCCTTCGGAAAGATGAGGTGAAGTCTGCATTGATGAAGAACAGCAGGATTGCACATGTAGTAGAGTCGTTGATGAAAAGGGTGGACTCAATCCGAGTTCAATAGATAGTCTTCGGGCCAGGCCCCACAGTCTTCTTTCACTGCCAAAGCTTTTCTTAGAATGCCTATACTTAATAGGATAGCCACTCTGCACCATCACTCTCAGAATGTTTCCGGGTCCGGAGTTCGATTATTATCAGGTAAAAAAACCTTAGAGGAAAACAAATAAACCAGGCTTTATAAAACAGGTTACAATTGAAACACAATCCATGCGGATCATCTTCGGATATAGAGATCGTTTGATGTCGGATGAACACTGGAGGTGTTCTCTTCAAAAGTATTTACACTAAAGGCGCTCCGATGTGAGGCTATCTTACAGTCTCCTCTCTCTCTAGTCCTTCTGTTTTGGAACCAGTTTCTAATTTTTTCTTCAGATACTAACGATTGGCTCGCAATGTATGCTCTCTCCTGGGTATTTGGATGAGGATTTACCTCAAAGTAAGTGTCGAGGAAGTCTCTTTGCGCTTTCGACAGTCTGGACTTTTTAGCTGGCATGTGCTTTATCTTCATTCCAAAGTTGTTTGAATGTTCTTTTAACGTTTTATGTTGAATTAATGCACCTTTTCAATATATGTCAAACACTGTTGATATATTTAGTAAAGTAATACTATATTAATGACCAGGATAAATAAGATAAGTATTATGCCTCGGCAATTAAGGGCAATTCCACCCCAATATATCATCCTTGCTCAACTAGGGAACATAAAGGCATTGCTCCTCCAGCGCCGGTAACAGTGCACGGCCTTCGAAATCGGAGCCTGCGTTCTTAGCAGAAGCAGGCGCTTCCTTCTTTTGCAGTCTCTTAGCCCATAAGAAGCAATTTTTTATACCATTGTGCCGCATAAGGAAATTTAGATCTATAAAAATATTTTTGTGGGTGTAATTACAATATATTTTGATGATTATACCATCTAATCTAGTACTATTGCTTGAATGGAAAATAAATTTTGCCGAAGAACCGTATCCCGAATTTGAAATCTCACGCTCTGGCCAACTACTCGAGCTCGGACTTGAAGATGGTTTTCAGCTCCTCCAATATGTCTCTGGTTATCAGACTCCTCTGGTGCCTTTTGTATGCAAGTCTCCCTGCCCTCCTAACCATTATGCATCCCAGGACTACTGATCCAAACACATCTTGCCCTGCCACTGGTGCCTTGCACTTGGAAACCAGCGATGCTATAGTTCCTGCCAGGATGTCGCCCTGTCCCCCTATCCTTTTCGGGCATCCCTCAATGTCAACTCTTGTCTCACTGTCCTTCCACAAGACCACGTCACAGGGGCCCTTTTGAACATAGAAGACCCTTTTTTCGATCTTCTTGATGTGTTTTTGCTCGTTATGATTTGGAGTGATGATAACAGTACCGAAGTCTCTGACTCCCAGTCTCTCGGCCAGCCTTATTCCATCTCCGTCTACGACCAGCGGAACACCCTTTCCACTCAAGTACGATAGTATTTTTGCTATTTCCTTGCATGTTGCTTCGGAAGGCCTTCCAAGACCAGACCCGACAACACATGCAGTGACCTTCTGTAAGAGCCACTCCTGGTACTCTATGGTGCAAACTATTGATTCGGGCAGTAATGTCTTCAGGGATACGATGGCCTCTGGTTCCGAGAATATATACACCAGCTCGGACCCTGTGAAAAGGGCAGCCAGAGAAGCAAAGTACGGAGCCCCGGTGTAGTACCTGCAGCCCCCTATTATGAGCACCGTACCAGAGTCTCCCTTTTTATTACTAGTGAATGTGTGGAGCCTGGACTTCACCGGAGAAACTATCTCTGCCAACTCCTTGTCCATGGGCTGAAGTCAACACCCTGGCCTAAATCTTTTGTAATAGAATTCAAGCGATAGCAGCTTCGAAACTTGTCCATATCTCTTGTCAAAATCTGGAACAAGCAGCCCCAGGCAAATGAAGCTTGAGAAGAACAAGGTCGATCAGAGGAATGGGTCTGGAAGCATAAAAATGGTTCCAGAACACCAGGACGACATCTACGTCCTTAGTTCTGTCATAGATGCTGGGGACATGGTGACATCTGCCACAACTCGTAAAATCCAGATTGATGGAAAGACTCAGCAGAGAATGATGCTTACACTGAAGATAAAAATAGAAACAATAAACGTGGATCTGGAAAGCTGCACAATCTATCTCAAGGGCAGAACTGTGGTGATCAACGAGTATGTCAAGCTAGGGTCGTACCATACAATAGACATAACCCTGGGACAGTCCTTTGAGCTGGAAAAAGAAGAGTGGCCAGCGATGTCCATAAAGTTGCTCAAAGAGGCTACGAGGCCCCAGCCAGAGACGGCCTTTATAGTGTTCTATGAAAGGGAATGTGTTGTGTCTATCGTAACGCGTAGCAAGATCAGCATAGTATTGAAGCAGGAGACGAAGAACAGAAAATTTGCCAACATCATCAAGGCACTGGAGAAATATGTTGGAAAAGTCAATCTGTTTGTGGTTGCAAGCATGTTTGAGATAAGAAACGACTTCAACAAGGCTGTTCAGGCATCGAAAGAGCTGAAGGAGGCATCCGGTAGCTTCTGTGTGGTCAAGGTTCCTCCAGAATGCAGAGGGTGTTCAAACTCAAAGGTCATCAACACAATACTCACCGACAAGGATCTCTCCAAGACTTTTCAGGGGATCCAATACATCGATGACCTGAGGGAGATAGACGACTTTTTTGTCAGGTTTGCAAAGGGGTCCGAACTGGTATGCATTGGGATGGAGGACATCAGAGAGGCAATGAACTATGGTGCTCTTAAGAGACTCATGGTCACCGATGAGAAGATGAAGCCTGTCGATGTCGAAGAAAGGAGAAAGATGGAGATGTTTTGCAAAGAGGTTCAGGCAATGAATTGCAAGATATCCGTCATTCCTATTGCACACTTTTCTGGAGAAAGGCTAAAGGACATGGGGGGTGTTTGCGCAGTACTGAAGTTCAATTACAGATGACCGGAGCAAACTTTGGTTCCTAGGTGTTTCCGAAATGCAATCAAACGATATTTGGGCATCAAAATATTTTACCCCGGATGAACAATAAGAGAGTGGTTTACTTCTATGACCCCGAAATAGGATGCTTCAGCTACGCAATGGGACATCCAATGAAGCCTCTGAGAGTGAAAATGACCCATACTCTTCTTGTTGGGTATGAGCTTTACAAATACATGGATGTTCTCAGGCCCTTTCAGGCATCGTACGAGAACCTGACGAACTTCCACGCGGTAGACTACATAAACTTCCTTTCAAGCGTCTCCAGCGAAAACATGGAGGAGATGATTAAGGACCTCCACAAGTTCAACATCAGAGACGACTGCCCTGTGTTTCCGGGGCTCTACGACTATTGCAGACTCACGAGCGGAGGGAGTATTTATGCAGCCCAGAAAATAAACTCCGGGAAGTATGATGTTGCAATCAACTGGGCTGGAGGGCTGCACCATGCGAAGAGAGGAGAAGCCTCTGGATTTTGCTATGTAAACGACATAGTTCTAGGGATTCTCGAGCTCCTGAAGTACAACAAAAGAATTCTGTACATAGATATAGACATTCATCACGGAGACGGGGTTGAGGAGGCATTCTATACCACCGACAGGGTCATGACAGTCTCCTTCCACAAGTATGGAGACTATTTCCCAGGGACAGGGATGGTCACCGACACCGGCCTGGCAAAGGGAAAGGGCTATTCGGTCAACGTTCCACTGAAGGACGGGATTGACGACGAAAGCTACTTCAGTATATTCAAGCCCATTGTCAGCAAGGTCATTGAGACGTACCAGCCAAATGCAATTGTACTGCAGTCTGGGGCAGACTCCCTTTCTGGAGACAAGCTAGGGTGCTTCAATCTGTCGCACCTGGGGCATTCAAGGTGTATTAAATTTGTGCAGAGCTTCAACATCCCACTCATCCTTCTGGGAGGAGGTGGGTACACCATTGGAAATGTCTCGAAGGCATGGGCATACGGGACAAGCGTGGTTCTGGATGTGGATATCCCCAGGGAAATCCCCTACAACGAGTATTTTGATTACTATGCACCGACATACAGGATAGATGTTCCTACATCAAACATGGCAAACCAGAACACAAGAGAAGGCCTAGAAGACATTATAGCGAAGGTCTATGAGAATCTGAGGAGCCTTTCTCATGCACCATCGGTACAAATGGTCTCCATTCCTCCGTCCTTCATCAGCGACGAAAGCGACGAGGACGAGGTTTCCAAGAAGAAGGCTGAAGCAGAAGACTCAGACGATTACAAAGCATTCTCTGATTCAAAGGACGAGGACTAGTGTTGAATAAATTGTTGTTTTTATTGGCGTGGATCTTCATCATCCGGAAGAGACTCTGTGCACATTTTCAGTGCATTCTCTAGTGTACTGTTAATTCCCATAAACCCGGAGGAGTGGACAAAGGTACAGCCCTCTATTCCAGACGCCTCCACCAGCTCTTCGTTCACAAGTCCACGCCACTCCTTTCTGAGGGGATTTTTTGTTTCGAATGTTCCCTTATGTTTTGGAATAGCAATTACTCTGTATGCACCTCTATGGGGAAACACCATGAACTTGAAGTCCTTCCCATTCTGGGCTTCAATCTCCAGGACCAAGTCCGTGCTATAGTGCTTGTCTAGCACAAGAATCGGCCCACTTGTTTCCTTTATCTTATTTTCCATGTGTTCGTAATTGTCAGTCCACAGCTTGATCCTCTTCATGTAGTTGTCAAGATCCTTATCCACAATCCTTAGTGCCTCATAGAACCCCTCGGTTTCTGCATCTCTCCCAGACCCATCTACATTGAACAGATTGACTAGGTCTGCAATGCTCCGAGGCTTTATCTCCCCATATATATCCTGCCCATTGTCTATGGCATCCGCATACAAGAAAAACTCAGAGTAGATCTTGTCCACCACAAGATCGTATGTTCTACTGGAGCTCTCTATCCCGTACAGCGACAAGAGTTTCCTGTGAAAGTATTTGAAGATGAGTCCGCTGCTGCTGAGCTTGACGCTGTACTTCGGCGAAAACGTTTCGAAGAACGTCCTCTGGTGGTGATCAAACCTTCCCAGTCCAGGATCGAACACTCCACCAACATCGTAGACAATATCACCCGAGTCGATGAGGGTCTTGTCCCTTGTCCTCACTATCTCGGCATCTGGATATATCCGGAGAAGTATGCAAGATGCAAGGACTTCGTCATAGTGAAATCTTTCATTGTGTGTTATCAACTTCATCGATCCCTAGGGATCTGCCTCATTAAATATTTCCAGGATACCAGAAGTTTCCCAACTGTCTTTATTCATTTATTTCTGCCGCGCCTACGGAAGGACGAAGAACACCTTATCTCGAGGTATCTCTTCACTTTTCCAATTGTATAAGTAGTAACGGATCTCTCCACTGCCACAGACAAATCCAAGCCTTGCCAGAAATGAGGAGTTCTCCATCATGTCAAGGCAGTTAAACACGTCGCAGCCCTCAACTTGCGAAAAGTGCATAAGATCTCCAACCATTTCCGCAACATCCTTTCCCCCTCTGTAATACAGATACCCCCCTTGGATTTGTCGTCCACTTTTCTTCTCAATGGTCCCGACCACAAAGAACGCCCCAAATCCGTCGATAGCCCCATTACTTTCATGTACGTAGGTATACACCACATTCTTCACAGGCCTAAAGGTAGACACTATGTCCTCAAATCTCATTTCCTCATAAAACACATATCTCCTGCTCTCTTCTAGATATAGCCTTGCAATGTCCTCCATGTCCTTCTCCTCGGCCAGCCTTGTTCCCTCTCTTGCTCGGGTCTCTTTAACTTTCACTATCCTGTCACTAAATCCACACATAAATAGCCTTTCTGCATTCAAGGGCCGGTGATAATACCTACCTTGCGAGACGTTGGAAAACAGTTCCGTTCCACTCGTAAACACTCCCCGGAAGATCCCGTCCACATTTGCACGCCTTGTAATCTCTCTTATAAGTACAGGCGCCATCCTTTTCCCACGCATTTCCCGGGAAATGCATAGGAAATTCACCCCAAGCACCGAGCTTCTCTTTCCTCTGATGGACACCAGATGCTCCTTCCCAAATATAAACCCCACCATTCTCCCGCATAGCCGGAGCACAATGCAGTACCTTTTCTTCCCATCTCTGCCGTCAAACATCCATTGCAGGAACTCCACAGAATATCTAAGCATATGCCCAGAGTAGATGTCCTCAACATAATTCTTTTCAAGGAAATTGGCAAGCTCCTCAACGCACCCAAGATCCTCAAACCTAAATCCATCGGGAAGCTTCGGCTGCTCTATGGATATGGTGTGTTTGGAGGGCATGGCCTCCTCGCCATTCCTATCAACAGGCTGTGTGCTCCAGAACTTGTGGATCTTACCCATTTCTAGGGCTCTATCCTTGCCATATTAACAGCTACCCCAAACATTACGAAACAAATGGGAGTTCCACCAAACATTCGTGATCAACCTCCTCGCTTCCCACCTTTACACAGACCCTAATATCGTCAGACCCATACTTCCCTCTTTCCTTGAATACGGACCGGATCTCAAAGAGAGAAAACGAGAGCTCTTCAACGCTAAATGCTGCATCCTCACTGCATATGGCTATCACAGGAGATGACACCTCAACGTCCAGAGCATGGTCCTTGTAGTAGTTGCTAACGCACAAATACATTATTGCAGGCTCGTTCAACCAGATCGGCGAGAAGTGTGTTATGTAAACAAATGGATTCATAGACCTAGGTGTACTCCCATCTGACCGATCCTCTGGCCCCGAAAGAAGGGCCCCAAGCACCCCTTCCAATATAAATGTACATATCCTCCTAGGTGGTACCTCAATTTCTATTTTCATTGCCATCTCGTGAGCCTGGAAACCATCCACAAGAGCTCCTCGCATCCCTTCTGAGCTTCGAGAAGCCATCTTGAAGCCCAGCCTCGGCAACAACACTTTGTCTACTGGGGATGCATCCTCACCCATTCTACTGGAGTCCTCATCCCTTGGGTTTAGCAGCGTCTTCAGGGGGACTTTCGCCTTCAGAAAGACACGTGAGGAACAAACAGACTTCCCCAAAATAGTCGTCTCACTCCTCGTGCTGGGCATTAGGTCGCTGAAGAGCAAATCGGACACAGCAGGAGGGGACTTCTCCACAGCTTGTAGAAGTTGCTGAGGATCCTTAGATAAAGTGGGGTCTTCCTTCCTAACCATTGCTAACTCATCAAGACCATTGCCGTTGGTCCCAACAATGTTTCTTCTAAAATATCCAATGGCATTCTTTTCGTAAGAGTCTGCTGGCTCAACGGAATCCACCCCGGAAACCTCGAGGCTCTTGTTCAATGCCAAACAGGATCTTACTTTCGAGTCTCTTGGGAGATGGCTCTCGATATTCAAAAATAGTAGAGGAAGACAGTACTTGTAGTTGAAGATGTCTATGGAAAACGATGGAATGACAACAAACCTTACATCCCTGTATGCAGTACATCCACAGGCGCTCAGGATGACTCTGCGGTCGTAAGTACCCACACTTGGAAACACCATTTCGAGGCTGAATATGTTCCTCTCAGTTGTAAACTCCCTGTCATCAAAATAAACCCTAATACTCGAACTGTGGTTTCTAATAGCCTTGCAGGAAAGAGAATACAGCTCCCCACAAAGAACCTCGCAGACATCATCCGTCTCTACATGCATGAAAGGCACATCTTCCCGGACATCTAACGGAATACCAATCTCTATTCTCCGCTCGACCCCTCCAATATTAAAAATCCCGTGGTCTATGACGAATCTCCCTGGGCCTTCGAACGTAATTCCCTTCTCTGTGCGAAAAACCCGTGGGGTGCTGTCTCCGATGCGTAGGACACTTACAAGGCCTTTGCTGTGGTATTCTGCAAAGACAGACTCTATAACATTCACTGAACCCTGAAAATCACACTTGGATCCTCCGTATTTCCTGTACACAACTACCCCGTCTCTGTCGCTCCGGGCATGCTTGTCTTCAGGATCTGGGCCGTCGCTTCTTTCCAGAGACTCAAGAGTTTCCTTGATGTATCTGTTAGAGCAAACCAGTGCGTTCCTTGTGAGGCTGGACAAATTCTTTTCACTGAAAATAGGGTTTGTGAGGGTAAGAAAGCGCTCGCAGCATCTCGCAGACCTGTCCAGAAACCCCATCCTGTGGAATTCTAAGGCTGAATCAAACCACAATCCAATCCTCTTTCTGCAGTACCCCTTTCCATCAAGAGCCAGAGCCAGGGCTTCCTGGGCAAAAGCCCTGAATGGAGATCCTAGCAGAAGCAGGGATAGCATTTCTAGCGCTAGGACACTTCTTAGATCCACAACAATGCTCATCAGTCTGATCAGACATATGTGTGCAGGCTGAAGCGGCCTCAGATAACTTAGAATGCCTCGCGGAACAGGCCTCTTCGACAAAAGCAGGCAGTAGACAGACATTTCAATGCAGTACCACGAAAACTCATCATCTCCTCGGTATCCTGAGTATATCTTGTATGCCTCCTTGTATCTTTGCAAGAGAAACAATCCATCCGCAGATCTCTTGTCATTCTCTGGATCGCTCTTAAAGACATCTGCCAGTGACTTGAAACTCCATCCGCTCGATTGCTTTTCGACTCTTCTTCTACCCTCAAGATCCACAATTCTTCTGAATACCTCCTCGATCTCTTCCCCCATGACCTCGTCAATAGATACATAATGCCTGGACATTTCATCAACGCTGATCTTTTCATGACATACAAATACGTCAACCATATCCAGAAAGGCGAACCTTTCCCCAAAAAGTCCTTTTCCCAAGGCGTTCCTCAAGATATCCATTGTTGAAGACACGTCATTCACCGTTTCATGCATCAAGACATCCATGTCTTTGCTCTCTTTAAGCCTGAATGCGGTCTTCTCCTCTATCCTTTTAACCGCCTTTGCCTGCATCTCTACGTCAAATTCTCCCTCGAAAACAAGCCTCAATGGTATCCCCAACGTCCCTAAAACATTTCCATTCATTACAGGGCTTTCAAATACAAAACTACTATGCCTCGTCTAAAGCTTCTTATGTAGCATGGGCAGATAGAAACAACACACGACGCAACATGTTTATTGTCTTAGTTATATGTCAGGTATCTTGGCGTGGAGGAGAACTTTGCATATCCCTTGACGACCTTATCGACAGCCTTCAAAAAATCCTTTTCCGTCGCAATCTTCCTTCTTTCTCTTATGGCAAACATCCCTGCTTCTGTACAAACACTCCTCAGCTCTGCACCCGTTGCATTGTTGCAGAGCCTTGCAATCAGATCAAACCTGATGTCCTTGTCAACACTCATTGTTTTTGCGTGGATCCTTAGAATCGATGTCCTCCCCTCAAGGTCTGGGAGGCCAAACTCGACCTTCCTGTCCAGCCTTCCAGGTCTGAGGAGAGCCGGGTCAAGGGTGTCCGGCCTGTTCGTTGCCATCAGAACCTTTATGTTCCCTCTTGGATCAAAGCCGTCCAACTGGTTTATCAGCTCGAGCATTGTCCTCTGAACCTCGTTGTCATCGTCGTCGTCAAACCGCGTTCCTCCAAACGCATCTACCTCGTCAAAGAAAATAATGCAGGCCTTCTTTCCCTTGGCCATCGCAAAAATCTCCCTGACCATCCTTGCGCCCTCCCCGACATACTTCTGCACAAGCTCAGACCCAATGACCCTTATGAAGCATGCATTCGTTCTGTTGGCTACGGCCCTTGCCAGCAAAGTCTTCCCGGTTCCAGGAGGTCCATATAAAAGAACACCCTTTGGGGGATCAATCCCCAGTGCAACAAACCTCTCAGGATTCAGAAGAGGCGCTTCAACAACCTCCCTTATCTTTTCAATCTCCTCTTTGCATCCTCCGATATCATGATATGTAACATCAGGCCTTTCTTCAACCTGCATCAGGGTGACAGATGCATCTATTTTCCGGGGCAGTGGGAGGATAATCTGGTACTTGTTTCTATCAACTCCTACCCTCATCCCCTCCTGTATGAGGCTGGAGTCCACTCGCTTCCCCTTCCCAACAATAAACTTGGCTATCATCTTGATCCCTATCATGTATCTTGGCTCCTGGTATCCATCAAGCACCTTGCAGACCCTGGCCACCTGCAGGTTCGGCTCGCTTTGTATTCTGTTTCTATCTCCCAGAAGGTCCCAACACATCGGCGGTGCAAGCCCTGTCTCCACCTCCCTTGTCCCGAGCTTTAAGCTTATTTGCTCAAAAAGTCTCCTTATCTCTGCCTCCTTCTCCACTATTCCATCGGCGTAATAGTTCCTTCCGTAGCTCAGGATAAACCCCACATCCTTCTCTTCAATGATGTTCTCCTGCTTCTGGCCATTCATTAAAGGGCATCTACCTTACAAACAATTTCAACAAACAAAAGGCCGTGGACCATTTCCTGGACTTCGGCTACAGTGGACTTCATATAATTAGCGGCCAGTATATAAAAAGAATCGAATTCTTAGGGTGAATGAGCTGTAGTATGGATGTTCAGAAGAGCGAAGAAAATGAAAGCAGATTTCTTATTAGGGATAATAATAAGAGAAAGCTCCAGAAAATAGTATCCATTTTTTATGCAACCATCATGATGTACATGGGAGTTGCATGCATCGATGCTTTTTCAAAATTTATAGACTACGAACTTCTGTGTGTGATATACCTATCGATATCCGGAGTATTTGTAGCACTCCCATGCATCAATGTAGTAGCAGAAGTGGTGGCCGAAGCATGGGCGCTTTCAACAGAAGACTTGGAGAAGAGCAACGTTCTCCGGTGTGTAAAGATGGTTCTTGACCTGGTCGTAATTGGACTCATAACCAAGGAATGGTGGAAGAAATCTCTTTTGTATAAAAGAATAGGACCGCAGATGACCTCGAGGATAATACTTGCTGTACATACTATACTCCTGTCCCAGACAATTCTCAGCGACCTGGAGTCGGCCTCGTTGACGGCGATCCTGAGTGGAGCTCTGATGATGGTAGCAACGAAGATAATAGAAGAAAGGAAAAAATTCAAAGAGTTGAACTCCCTTCTTAGAACCATCATTGGCTTCATTAGCCATGGAGTTCCAAAGTCTTTTCAGAAGGAAGTCAGCGCAGCCCTAGAAAGCATACTTCCGGTGTTTGTTATTGCGTCCTTGGCTGTAATAGTATCAGGAATACTCATGAAACTTGAAAGAAAATGCATGAAGAATATCAAACTCCCAAGGAAGACCTTGCTTTTTATCTATGGAATAATTCTCATCCTGCTGGCCCTATACATTGCCAACGATGGAAAGAAAAAGTCGATTGATATCATTAATGATTTGGAAGATTCATTTAGAAGAGCCGCTACCCAGATCTTAGGGAAGACTTGGGTATGATTCTCCACAGTCACGAACATTAGATCAGCCTATCCCGAGAGTGAGGTGTTTATCTCTCCCTTAATTTTCTATCAACAAATTATCTCAGCAAGTATCTATCTTCTGCAGTAGATAGGGATGATATCTATCAATAAAATGCAGTATCCCCAATTTTCTTCATAATGGAAATCTCGGCAGAATCGAGCACCCCAAACCACAAAGAAAGGCAGAGCAAGACAAGAAGAAAAGAGGCGACCAGGGTCTTCTGGCTACTTGTCCATCTCTCGATTACCTCTGTCCTGCTCGTAATTCTAAGGCTTATTGAAGTAGACTTTATTCTCGAGTCGGCCATCAGAATAATACCCGGGAGAGGTAGGTATATCCTATGGCCTGTCAAAAAACTTTTAGGGCTTGGGTCTGTCCAGAATTGTCTTAGAAATGCATGCAAAGATGTGGAGAAGCTAAATACTATGTTGGAATCCAGAAGTTATATCCCGTTTGCGTCCCTAATACTCACGAATACCAAAAATGTGGAGAAGCTAAATACTATGTTGGAAGCCAGGAGAGTTTTTTGTATAGCGTGTGCGTCCCTGATACTCACGGATATTGCGTTGGGGCTGTTCATTAGAAGTATCATTAACTCCCTTAGGATGAACCCCAAGGCTACAGACTTCAAAAGAATTGCCATGGTGGCCGTTCGGATCTGCATTCTGGCAGTTCTTTTAAAGAACAAGCATGGAAAGGAGATGGCCAACCTCTTGGGGCCGGAGGACGTTGCAGGCCTGATAGTAGCACAGTACTGCTTTTCGTCGGCCTGGAATCTTGTTAAGGACATTGAGGAAAGCACGGGCGAAGAGATACTTACAAGGATTATGGGATACTGGGCAATAAACACAGCCATCTCTAAGGAAAAGCCTTCTGTGGTGGAAATGTTGGTGAACTCCGTGGTTAGGCGCTTTGAGAAGGATATAGATAGTATATCTGGAATAACGTCCATTATCATAAGACCCTCTTCTATCATTGAGTATATTTTGACGGTTATCATCACACCCTTCTTCTCTATAGTTATAGTGTTGTATCTTTCCGGATGGGCACGGATGTTTAAGCATTTGGTCCGTAAAGAGTTCCATATCTCCAATAGAACTGCCTATAAATATGCCATAGCTGTGTCTGTCGTACTGGCACTATTCTTCATCTACCGTGCATATTGTGAGCTCTGGAATGTGACAAATGCGTTGGGAACAAGAGGCAACATAGAAGCTCCACTGAAAAAGGAGCCATTTAACGGGCTGCTGGCCAAGGATGTCAGTGAAATAGATTGGCAGCCGATCAAGGATTTCAATCCACATATCCAAAGTACAAACAATAATTAAATACATACCTATGCATAGATGACATGGACAAAAATGCCCCCGCTCGGGATCGAACCAAGGACCTCATCCGTGTAAAGGATGCGTGATAACCACTACACTACAAGGGCGATAGCCCCCCGGAGGGGCCCACAGAAGTGGTTGCTCTCAACACAGGCCATCTGTCTTTGAGTCGAAAGAAGTCTGTTTCTTGTATAAACCTTTTATTGCCAACGCAGAATCTAGACGGTGTAATAAACCGTCTTGTTTCTTAAGACCTTGTATCTAAGCTCAGGATATCTTCTTGACCGGCTGAAAACAAGAATCCTTCCATCAACATCTGCGGATACCCCACTATCCAATGGCTGGACTCTGACAACGACGTCACATCCGTACCAGTCAGACTTCTTGCAGGTTCCAGATCTATACACCAGAAACTTCCCAGATACATTATTCCCATGTATGTTTGCTGCACTCCACACGTCATCCACAATGTCCGACAGTGCATAGCCCCCGTCATAGAACGACCTTACGACGATCTTCTTGCTGTGGCTCTCTGCAATCTTTCTGTAGTGCATTGCTGTTTCACTAAACGTGAATATAGAAAGTCCCAAGGCATCTGAAAGGTCAATAACAAGAAAATCCACGTTCTGCGGAAGAACCTCATCGATGCATACTCTTTTATTTGTAAGAGTCTCCAGGTCCAAAACCTCCCCCAGGGGCTTTCCTTCCATCTGCATGGACCTGGCCTGGAAAAATTTATCCCGAGGCGGATTCTGCTTGTCGTGCCTTCCTCAGCTGATTCTTAAGGCCATTAATCCCCCCGTTTACCGAAAAGGCATGGATCCCGCTCCTCTTGAGGATCCAAGCCCCCTCCTTGGACGATATTCCCCTTCTGCAGATAACTCCTATCCTCTTTCCTGATGCATCAATGTCTCCGGTCTTGCCCGGTAAGTCTATGAGCGGGATGTTGACAGAGCCCTTTACCCTGAACATCTCGTACTGGATTGGGGATCTGATATCTATAAGAAAGTAGGACTCAAGGTTGTCCAGAATGTCTTCCCATTCGACTGTATCCACGTCCAGGTCTTCCAAGTCCGTGGCAGAGGTGCATGGGGGCATGAAAAAGGAAGAGCTCTCGGGAACGCACTTCTTTGAGCAAACGCTGCAGCCGTGCTTCGGGGTTCTGAGCTTGAAGTCCATAAGGTCCGATGTCATTCCGTTGTAGATCGTCATTTTGGGCTCTACGTCTCCTGTGATCGTCTTGATCGCCTCCAAGGCCTGCAAGGATCCGATGACTCCGCAGATGGGCCCCACGACGCCTGCATCTTCGCACGTCATGGTTTCTGTCTTGATGTTTGGAAACAGACATCTATAGCATGGTCCGTTGGGAGTAAGCTTATATAGCTGCCCCTCCCACCTGAGGACGGATCCGCATATAAGACTCTTCCCAAGAGCCTTGCAGTAGTCGCTTAGGAGATATCTTGTGTGGATATTGTCCGTACAGTCCAGAACAACATCATATGGATTGATGATCCTCTCCACATTCTCCCTGCTGAGAAACTCGTTATATCCTTCCACCTCGACAGAGGAGTTTGCTCTCCTGACAAAAGACAATGCAGCCACGACCTTGTGCTGGGACACGTCTGCTTCTGTGTATATTACTTGTCTCTGCAGGTTGTGGATCTCGACCTTATCGAAGTCGACCAGCCCGATTCTCCTGGCCCCACACGACGATAAATACATGATCGCTGGAGACCCCAGGCCTCCACATCCAACCACCAGTATGCCCGAGTCTCCGAGGCTCTTTTGGCCGCGAACGTGTATTCCTGGAACGATTATCTGTCTAGAGTAGCGCTCCACATCTGTCTCGGGAAGATCTGATTCGAAAACCATGTTTGTTTTTCCAGGGTGCACAATTGTCAAAATACAACTTGAAACTCCCTTGATGGCTGATGATCATGGATCTGAGGGATCAGAACAAGCCTGGTCTGCGCCTTCTCGCACCAGAGGCTACAGGAAGAAATCCCTTGACATAGTTAGGCTAGAGAGGGCTGGGGATGCCGATGGGGAGCTTCTTGCAAAGTACAAGAAGGCCTGCGCTATAGAAGCAATGGAGAAGCCGATAGAGAACATTGTATTTAGGAACAGGCCCGTCAAGATCAGAGACAGAATGGAGTTTGATAATCTGGTTCTTCGTAACGTCAGAAAACGCATAACAGCCCTGTCGCTTCCTGCAAGGGATAGCAAGTATATGTTTGTGGGTGTCAAGGAAGGGTTCCGAGGAGAATCTACGTTCAGGTTCTCGTCAGAAGCGTCGGAGGTCTATTTGCTTGACCAGGAACTGAATCTAAGGCATGTCCTAAGCTTTGGATTTGGATACTGTAGAAGAGTGGAAACAAGGCAAGACGGGAGTGTTGTTCGATGTGTTGCCTTGTTTAGCGACGGGTTTATCCGAAGATTCGACTTTGAGGAGAATGTCAAGAACATGGTGGAAGTTGATGCATGTGGAGTGGTGAGCTTTGAGATCGACTGGGATCATGATCTTATTTTTGCAACCGACGGGACTACTCTCATTTGGATATCCCAAAGCTCTGTTGTGTCTGTATTCAGTGGGGTAAGGGGGATGATAGCCTCCATAGCCATCAAGAGAAAGCCACCAGAGGGGAATAAGAGCGGCACGGGATCTATGGCAAACCACAGCCCTCCCGACAAAGTGCCTCTCGAGTTTTATGCCCTGGGTCTGAACGGAAGGGTGCTTAGGTTTGATTGTAGGTTTCAGGAAAGAAAAGGGATATCGTTTCCTTCTGGATATACCTTCATCAAACACCTAGCCCAAATAGACATGGTTATTATTGTTGATACGCTGAACAACATTACAAAGATCCTTTATGACGAGGGAGATTCCCAGAGAACTAGCACGATGTTCAACCACTCCCTCTCTTGCTGCAGATCCAACGATAAGAGAATCCTGCTTGGGGGATTTGACGGAACTATTAGGCATGCAAAGGTCAACAAGAGGAAATCCAGGACAAAGACCCTTTTCCATCTGGCAAGGAACGGGGATGAAGTTGTGCTTGGACATTCTGAAGAGGAACTCAAAGCACTTGATCCAAAGGGAAGGCCTTTCAACGACAGCTCTGAGAGAGTTGTGGATCTGTATATCGGCAGGGAGCGCTTGTTTGCAGCATATGAGTGCGGGATCATTGTTGGACTAACATTATTATGAGAGAACAGAGATTTAAAGAGCAGGGTTTTTATATCCCTGATGAAGACATACAAGATTGCCGTTGATGGGCCTGCTGCGAGCGGAAAAAGCAGCACATCCGACTTGGTTGCAAGGAAACTGGGGTTTTCCCATCTGATATCTGGAAATCTGTATAGAGCTGTGACATATGGTCTGGTAAGGCGCTTTGGAGAGGTGCGTCCAGGAGACGAGGAACAGAAAAGATTTGTTCTTGAGCTGAGTATAGAGGTAAGGAACAACAGGGTATTCCTAGACGGAGAGGACGTGTCGGAGAGCCTCCGTAAGGAGGTGGTCGACCGCCACGTTGTTTCTGTTGCAAGGGAGAAATATATCCGGGAAAAAGTGTTTACAATTCAGAGGTCGGTGATAGACCTTGAGAAGAGGGGAATAGTTGTGGATGGAAGAGATATAGCCACCAGGATAATGCCAAATGCAGATCTGAAGGTGTTTCTTACAGCAAGCCCGGAGACGAGGGCCAGAAGAAGATACATGGAAGGCGGGTCTGAGTCCTACGAGGAACTGCTCGAGTCCATAAAAAAAAGAGATCACAACGATAGAACAAGGGAGCATGATCCCCTTGTTGCCACCTGCGATTCTATTGTTATCGAAAATGACAGCATGACATTGGAGGAAACAGCCGACGAAATCATAAGGCTCTTCAGAAGAGTAGAGTCTTTTAATTAAACTTCCCTCTTAGTCTCAAACATCTTCAACATGTCTCTGTGCAGGAAGTATAGAACACCTGTGAAGAACAAGGTTTCGAAGACTAGAAGTCTCGTGACCCATCTCCTCGATCCGGCAACCATTCTTGCATGCTCCTCGTGCTTCTTGATATGGACCCTCTGGGCCTGGATCACGGTTTCGAGAACATCCTGCAGCTCGGAAACCAGCTCGACGCTTATTGGCCCAAGACCTCCCTGGGCCCTCTGGTTTGTGTCTGGGCACCTATACCCGAAGTTGATGACCTTCGAGCTGTTATTCTTGACAGATATCACAATCTCCCCTTCCTCGCTGATCTTGTAGTACAGAACCGAATATGGGTCCCTTGTCTTGATCATTTGCCTGCCCTTTGTGTCAAAAATAGCCAGCTCGATCTTGCTGGTCCGCGGTGCCTGATACATGAACTTGTATATCTGGTCTGCAGTGACTTTATCTCTGAAGACAAACTGTTCCTTGGGCTCCAGCTTCGTTCTTCTGCACAGGATTCCAATGGCAAGTAGAAGAACCTTCATGAGGGGGAGATGTTTTTTGTTTATGAAGAGTGAAGAAGCCGTAGAGCCCGCGCTTGCCCATATTCTTGGAAAATCCCTTCTGGAGGTGGTGGCCGAAAGATGTAGAAGGAATGCATAAAAGGGTCAGAAACTATGCTACACCATTCTGTCTTCCATCACCGAGGCTCAAATGCGAATTAAATTCATGACGCACCGAAGGGTGTAGATGCCCTGGAAGCGATGTCTGTACCTACAGCAGAAATATCCGATAAACTACATCGAGATACGCCATGCGTATCGAAAAAGAAGCGTAAATGAAATACATGAAGATATAAACAGAATGATCATCCGGATATCCATAGTAATGCTGACCCTTTCCTTGCTCAAGGTCATGGTGCTGGAGGATGAGCTTGGAATGCCTAAGTCGTCATGGTTCTCGTTCATCTCCACGCTCACAGAAAACTTCCTGGAAAACAAGGAAAACATAGGAATCAATCTAAAGCCTGGATTCATGCTGCTCACCTTTGCATATCTACTGTCTCCTCTGATAAGAACCCTGACGCTTGAAATCCACCCAACCACGTTGTACGCCTACTTCGCTGTAACCCAGATCCTCTTTGTTGTAGACTCTGTGTCTGCGTCGATATACAACACAGGATCCTCAGCAGAGGTGAAAGACGAGTGGACACCTCTTTCGCTTGAGGAGAGCATAAACATACCGAAAAAAATATCAAGCAACCAGATACTCGGATTAACGTCATACTTCCTGGGATTCATTCTTCTGTCGTCAAGGTTCAGCAAGCCATCCTCTGTGTTCAATTTTCTATGTCTGACATTCATGGGATACATCATCCTCCTGAACCATGCAGAACGACTGGGAATCCACAAAAGCACGAATGCAATGGTTCTGGTCTATGTTTCTGTATCCATCATAATCTTTCTTCCAGACATAAAGATATTCTGTATATATAGCTGCATGGTAACATTTGTGTACTCGGTTTCCCACATGTCTGTCTGGCTTCTTGAGAGGGATCTTAACGGAAGGCCGAGCCATCCAAGTAAATATCAGTGATCTTCCACTCTGCACTGCTCCAGCTTCTCCACTAGCACACACCCGTTGCATATACCGTTATCCGAAGATGTTGAATGGGCACATAGGACGCACGGCCTGGGTGCCCTGCCCATGCATTCTTCCTGTCGAAGCATGTCCCCACTTCTTATCACATCCATTATTATCCCAGGATCCTCTTTTTCCAGTTGTTTTATTAGCATCCTGAGGTCTCCTCTTGATGCTCCTGGAGAGTAGGTACACTCGGTCGAGAAATACTCCAGCTTTCTGTGGAAGGCGTAGAGTACTATCTCCTTTTGGTATATGTTCTTGAATGGCTTCAGCCTGGAAAGGGACATCGCTTTCCCGTCTCCACCTTTCTGCTCCTTTGTCTTTGCGAGGGTGCATCTCCTGAGCCTGGAAATGTCTCCTCGGAGAACATTGAGCAGAACAGTCTCTGCCATATCGTCCGCATTGTGTCCTGTTGCTATTGCATCGACCCCCATCTCTCTCGCTGCTTTCTCCAGGGCCTGCCTGCGGAACACTCCACAGTATGTGCAGTTACTCCTTCTTCCGATCTTCTGGACAACCCTATCCATCGTCACCCCAAACACGTCCTCAAACGACACTATCCTGAGCTTTATCCCAAGATCTTTGCTGTTCCTGCAGACAGACTCAATCGACTGGTCTCTGTACCCCACTATCCCCTCGTCAACACTCAGCAGCACAAGCTCCACCCCATACCCATGCTTCCTGTTCAGCAGATCCAGCACGTAAGCTAGTACCGTGCTGTCCTTTCCTCCGCTTACCCCAATCCCAATCCTATCTCCCTTTTGGAACATCCCAGAAGCAACTATTGTCTCGTGGACATCCGCTTCGAATCCATCAAGGAAGCATGTCTTACAGACCTTGTTCTTGCCCCTTGGGCGGACAATTATGGCTTTTGAGATGCCACACACCATGCACGCCATTTCTAGGGACTCAATTCATTCATACTCAAAGACTTTGTCCAACAGAGAAACATCAAAGGCATTTTATTGAAGACTCTTTTCTTCAGGAGACCCGTCTATGTAGTTCAGCACTAGTTCGTTCTTCTCTCCTCCATACACATAAAACCCGTCCTCATGCACTTTCAGTGCAAACACCTTTTCTCCAACGCTTCTGCTGCTCACCACATCAAGTGTTTCGAGACTCACAACCTTTATACTTCCATCAAGAGATCCTGTATATGCATTGCCTCCAAATACATCAATCCCTGTAATTGAATCTTCATGTATCTTCTTCGATCTAACGGCATCCCCCATCTGCCTTAGGTCATACCATCGCAAGACTCCAGTCGAGTCAGACACAAGCATCGCGTTCTCTTTGATCTTTATTCTCTCAACCTCCCCATCAAACTTAATCTCTTTTCCCAGGCAGTGCAAAGAACTCTCCACGGAGTAAATCGGCGTTGAATTGAAAATGCTGAGCTTATTCACAGGCCCTCCAGCCTTTGTGATGCTCTTGGGTTCAGCCTTTTCGACATCCCATTCAATGATGGTCGAATCAAGGCCTCCGCTGAAGAGTACTCCGCTCCAGCATCCCATAGACAAAACAGCCTCCGAGTGCCCCTTCAGAAGGACCTGGGGAAGTATGGGGTTCCGAATAAACGGATCGAACACCATGATGTCCCTCTCAAATGTCCCCAGTGCAACATATGGCGCTCCTCCAATAGTAACATGCTTGGCATCGCAAATAGTGCTGAACACATATGTGTCATGGTGCAAGAACATGTTTGTGCATTCTCTGTTCTGCACATAAAACTGGAGAAAACTCACATCACTCTCGTTTGGAGTGCAGAAAATCACAATGTCATTTTCCACTATCTCCTCGGATTCATCGACATCGTCATCGCAGAATGTTTCCGACTTGTCGACAACCGGAATATTGAGGTATCCCAGAGCCTCATGGATGTCCTTGTCCACCACAAAGCTCTTCAGTTTTTCCATTGAAGTACCGGTCGGAAGAAACCCGATCGAACTTATCATTTTGACGGTTAGAAATCCGCAATAAATAACAGCAAGGAACTAAGCCATTTCATAGCCAGCCCAGCACCTACGACTCTGTCAACTAGAACCGGCAAGATAAGAATATATATGGCGTTGAGGAATTTAATGGATCTCGGCAGCAATGTCAGCCTTCCTGGCTCCGTAGAACGCCTTCTTCTCTGCACTTGTCTGGAACCTCCCGTGTCCTATCTTCGACGACGTGTCGACAAACTTGATCACAAGCTCCTCTCCAGCCCTCTGTCGGAGAAGGCTCTTCCGAAGCGTCACAACCCTCTTCCGGGCCCCCACAACCGCGCCCTTCACCATAATAAAGTCGTTCCGAACCTCTCCATAGTGCGGAAATCCTCCCATCGGCGAAATCGGCTTCTCCGTAAGGTCAAACTCCGTCTTGATGTTGCTGCTCCCATTTCCAATCATGTACACCCTCTTGTTCTTCTCCGTTCTTCTATGGAATCCCATCTGCCCCGCACGTGCAATCGAGTACATCACCCGGCTCGGGTGCCACGCCCCAATGCATGCAACCTTCCGGATCCCCTTGCGCGACTTCCTGGGCTGCTTGCGCACACCAAACCTCTTCACTGTCCCTTGGAACCCCTTTCCCTTCGTCACCCCGATCGTGTCGATGTTCTCGTTCACCCCAAACACCTCTCCAATCGCAATCTCCTTCTCAAGCCTCCCAAGAGCCCACTCAACCTTCTCAGAAATGCTTCCTCCGTTCACCTGGATCTCTGCAATGTGTGCCTTCTTCAGCCCAAGGCCCTTGATCAGCGTCGGCTGCGTCTGCACAAGAACCCGGACACAGTGTGCCCTCTCCTTGATCATCTCAACACGGGACTCACACACAGAGCCCTTGCAGAACTGGCCTGCACTCTCCTTCGACGCGTACCTGTTTCCGAACATCCTGCGGAGAACCCCATCGCTCACATACGCCGCCGTCACAATCGGCAGCCTGCGGAGCCCGGTGACAGTCTTCTCATACCCGACTATCCCATACACAACCATCGGCGGAGCCTCAAGCACAGTCACTGCATCCATGATCTCCCGGGAAAGCTGCTTGTTCTTCGCAACCTGCGTCTTTGTCCTGACCACATGTGTCATCCCGGCCTTGTATGCCATGAACCCAGTCAGGTGCACGGGCTGCGACCTGTCGTCTGCAGGAAACGCCCCCGCAGCAGGCCTGATTGTCTTCGACCTCTTTCGCGGGCAGAACTGCAAGGATCCATGTCTCGGCGCATTAAACTTCCTGCAGCTCATTTGATAAGGGCACAAATTTTTCCCGTTAAGCAGATCTCCTCAGAGAATGTCCGGGAAGAGGATGCTGATGCAGTCATGGTGGCGGAGAGCTAAAACCACATGACGTGAAGACCCTTTGACTTTACTCACTTAGAATGTTTGAGGCGATAAACTCGGTGGACAATAGAGTCATCAGAAGGTCTGAGGAGCAGGAGAAAAGCACGCTCATGGCAGAATACAACAAGGCCCTAAGGACACTGGATGTAGGCCCATTTCTGAAGTACAGGGTAAAGCATGATGTGAACCTTGGACTGCACAGAAAGGCAACAGGCTACCTTATATCAAACTACACCATAAAAAAGACCCTTGAGGAGGTTGAGTCGAATGTGGAAAGGTACAGACTGCTAGACCATAGGGAGTCGCTGTTCAATATGGCAAGAAGAAATATTACAGAGGCGAGAAACTTTGTAAGAGCTAGAAAGCTTCTCAACATTGCAAGGGAAAGGGGGTTCTTCTACAACGAGCTATATGAGCTGGAAGAGCTTCTGGACCATGAGTGGTGCCCGGAGACATGATGTGCCAGCATCCGAATAATCTGGATATAGAGCCTGATACTCTTCTAAATTTTTAAAAGGAATGTACTAACCCCCGGCAATGTTTCCTAAGACTCTTACCGATAGCAAATATAAGGCATTTGTGGATGGAGAGATCAAGGAGATTTCTCTGCAGGATTACATAGGGAAGTATGTTGTGCTTGCCTTTTATCCTCTGGACTTTACCTTTGTGTGTCCCACGGAGATCAACAGATTCAGTGATCTCAAGGGAGCGTTTCTTCGGAGAAACGCAGTGGTTCTGCTTATTTCCTGCGACTCTGTCTACACACACAAGGCTTGGGCCTCCATTCCAAGGGAGCAGAACGGCGTTCTGGGAACTGCATGGCCCATGGTGTGGGATGCAAAAAGAGAGCTCTGCAACCAGTTTGGGCTATATGACGAGGAAAACGGGCATCCCATGCGGAGCACGGTCATTCTTGCGAAGGACCTAAGTGTCAGGCATATAAGCTCTAACTACCATGCAATTGGAAGGTCTGTGGACGAGATTATCCGCCTTATTGATGCTATTACCTTCAACGATGAGAATGGGGATATATGTCCTGCTGAATGGAGGAGTGAGAACAAGGATAATTAAAGCCTATTTCGTGCTTTTTTGTATGTGACGAGGTGACCATTGCGAGTATTTTATTTGTTGGATTCGGAGTGGTAGGGAGATGAAACGCAGGTATCATATCTTTAGAACAAGGATTTACTTCTACCACATGGAAGAGAAGAGCCGATGTTTTTTGTAGGTGTTGCGGTTTTGGCGGCATTGCAGAGTGTCTGGGGAAACGGAGGGCTGGAGACTAATGAAGTAGCAGGGATGGACAGGCTTGGTGTGGAGAGCCAGAAGGAAAATCCTCCTGGGATCCTCCTTCGAAAAGATGATGGGATGTGTGAGGCAAGGAAGCCGATGGACATGTCCCCTGGAGAGGTTCAGACGGAAACTAAGACTGTCGTTAAGGAGATTGTTGTAGAGATTGAAGAGCCCAGAGAAGGCATCCAGGAGGTCCTTCCTGTAGTCCAATACGAAGGGCAGGCCAAGGTATCTGCAGGCAATGACCTGCTTAAGCCGTCCTGTGGGGTCAGCAGTGGATTTACATCTTCTGCGGAAAGGTGCTATGTTCTGACAAAGGACGCTCACGACGGAGATACATCGAAGATGATTTCTCTTGTGGAGAGCCTGAGCGGAAGAGTCAAGAGGCAGTACACCAAGAACATCACAGGCGTGTCGTTCTGCTCGAGCCACAGCGATGTACTAAGAAAAGTCGATGATGCAGGGATGCATGTGGAGGAGGACAAGATCTATACTGTATCTATGCTCCAAAACAACATTCCAAACTACATGTATCTGATGAGGCACTATGAAAACACAATCTTCAACAACTACTTCTACGACAACTGGATCTTCCGGGTGCTGCAGATCAAGAGAGTAATGACAAAGTTTCTTGGATCCTATGAATACTACCACACCGGAAAGGGCGTGAACATCTTTCTTCTGGACACTGCGATCAGTTCGATGGATGGTGCCTGCAATCTCAGCGGACGCCTCGAGGCATGTAATGCACACGGGAACGTGATGGCTGAGCTTCTGGTTGGGAAGACTAACGGGTTTGCCAAGGACAGTCGATTGAGCGTTCTTGATGTGGTCGACTGCGATGGAAAGGTTGCACTTTCGGAGATGATCCATGGGCTGGAAGGCCTCAGAGAGAGTGGAGGCCCCAGCATCCTTGTTTTTGGTGTTTCTGGACCGTATTCTGCCTCTCTAAACTCTGCCGTTGACCGCATATCCAGCCGTGGAACGGTTGTTGTATCTCCTGCTGGGAACTCCCACGACCAGTCCTGCAACTACTCTCCCGGAAGCTCGAAGTCGGTCATAAATGTCGGGTCTGTGGATAAGCATGCTGGAATATCCAGGTTTTCAAACCATGGAGACTGCATAAGGATGTTCGCGCCGGGAGAGGATGTTCTTCAGGACAGCAGCCTCACAGGAACAAGTTTGTCAGCAGCGATAGTCGCAAGCTCCATTGCTCTTTTTTTAGAGACGTCTCCAAGAGCCGCGTTTCCTCAGATCTGGGGATACCTTAACCAGAATTCATTCTGGAACAGTAGAGGATCGTACAGTGTGCTGAAGATACCACGCCTAGGATGCAAAGGCCGCATTCGAGGGTCTATTTTCCGCCTTGGAGGACTGTATGAGGACATTGTTCCTCTTGTGTTTGTTGTTCTCATTACCTCTGCTCTGTTATATTTACTGCTCATTGGGATACGGCGCTTTAGAAGGAGAAGGGAGCAGGAGCTCCACGACGAGGATGTGCTTTTTGACCCTCCGGTGGACAGATTCTGAGCCAGAGATCTCGCGTCTGCACTTGTGTTCTGGTCGTTGGAAAGCGGTGTCATCAATGACAGGCATGTCAAGATAAATGCCCTTGTTTCAGTAGTCATGTAAAGATATATATAGACAAGAAAACAATGCTCTATGAAAGAAGACAAGACCTGCAAGAATAGAGAATGCACCGTGGAGTCGTGCAAATGTCCTCCTTGCTCGTCAGAGGAAATGGACAAGTGCAAGTGCTCCGACCCTGACAGAAGCAAGGGCTCAAAGTGTTCCAAGGAGGGGTCCCATGGTTGCGTATGCCGGTATAAATAACTTTAACCAATAAAGTCAGGCTTCACACAGTTTCTCTTTTTTCTAGAAGGCCCACCTCTTAATTAGTCCACTTGTGTGAGATAGATTGCAACGGAGTTGGTCTACAAGGTATTTACTAAAGCTTTAATATTATTAGTGACATGGGCTCAATCAGCAAGGCCAACCTTTGCAGACTGCGGATTTGCAGAAATGTGCTAGGAAAACTACATCTTCTCGGAGTTGGGTGCGCCTCCTCTATATTGTTGTTTTCTAGCAGAATGGTAGTAGTCGTCGTCCCTGAATCCAGGAGGCTGGTGCCATTGCGCCTGTACCATCCCATACGGATACTGCATCTGGTAGTACTCCCCGCCTCCATATCTCTGTACATAGGGATATCCATACTCTTCATGGCCTCTGTATCCAAAGCCCTCATACATTATCGGTGATGCCATGCCTTGTGGCATGCCGTGCTTATATATGCTGTTGTCTCTTGGATAGACATTGAACTCTTCTAACGGCCCCTGTATAGGAATGTACGGGTAATAGCTGTTGTACTTACACTCCTTAGGAGAACTTGATCCATGCGCGGCATCAGGGCCCTTGGTGTTGTCCGTGTTCTCCTGCTGCATCATCTTCTTCTGCGTAAGCTTTTTAATCTTTGCCCTTCTGTTTTGGAACCACACTTGGACACTTCTGGGCGTCATCCCCAACTGCTCTCCAAGCTTCTTTCTCATGTTTGCATCCGGCCGGATGTTGGTCTCGAATGTCTCCTCAAGAACCTTAAGCTGCGCCTTTGTTGTTCTTTTTCGGTGCTTCACGAAGTAGGGATCGAAGTACTGGTTTCCTTCTACCTCCCTGTTAGAGTTGTTGCTATACGAATTAAAGAAGTTGCCTCCAAAGTTGTCCATACCCCCAACAATTTCTGAATTATTTAAGACGAAAAGATAAATTGTGTTTCTTTAAAAAGTTAATTAGTGCTGAGCACTGCCAGGTTTGCTGCACCAAGGGCCCTGTCCTCGTCAGCGGTGCGATATCCCGAGGTGCGTGTGGCAGAAAGAAGGATGGGCGTCCTGGAAACATTTGCTCTATCCCGCCCAGTCATGTAGTTCGTAGCCCCTTGGGAGTTCCTGGCGAGTGATATATCACCATGATGTCATATAATAAATATTTCCTTAAACCCTAGACATCTACGCAGAATGGATACGGGGACAAACTTGAAGGTTACTGTTTCTCCCGAGGAAATCGTGTTCGAGAGTATCAATGGCAATGGGACATTCGCCATGAAAGGGCAGCATATTGACTCCAGAAAATCGGCCTACCATTCATATGGTGTTTATGGAATGATCACGATCTCCAAGTCTTCCTATCTTATCCTGGTTGTGGATGCTGTTATCAGGGGAATGATGTATGAGCACGCGGTCTATGAGATCAGGGATGTGGAAATCATTCAGCTGACAAGAGAGAAGGCGAAGAATTTTACGAACGAAATGAAAAACGTGAAGAAGTTCCTTGAGAAGACCGGGATTTACTTTAGCACATACCCTCTCTACAAGACCATGAGCATAAAGAAGGACGAGGATAAGGACTTTCTCTTCAACTCGCTGCCGCTTGAGAAGTTTCTGGGGCATGCTGGGGACAAGGGATCCTTGTTTTCTGTATGGTGTATTCAGGGGTTCTTTGGATCTGTGGACATCGGGACGGTGTGCCTGAGGCTGATCTCAAGAAGGTCCTGGCGAAGAGCTGGGGCAAGGTATTTCTCCAGAGGGTCGGATGCATCGGGATATGTCTCGAACTATGTAGAGACGGAGCAGATTATATATGACGGGGAGAAGACGGTGTCGCATCTTCAGGTGCGGGGCTCTATTCCCCTCATATGGGAGCATGTTCTCGGGAGAGAATACAATCCAAAAATAGTTGTTAGCGACAGGAAGATACTCCATATAGCAGACAAGGTGCTAAGAGACAAGTATGGAGATGTTTTCTATCTAAACCTCATAAGAAACTCTGGATATGAGGGAATGCTGCACTGTGCATACGAGAAGGAGTTGCTTGGAAACAACAAGGAGGGCGTGCACTTCAACTTTTTCAAGGAAGGAGGCATTCTTGAGGGTGATACCCGGAAAAAGTTCCTGGGCCTTGTGGAGCAAGCACTCCTCTCGTTTGGATATCATGGGCCTGGGAGCTTGCAGAGCGGAGTCATCCGCACAAACTGCATTGACTGTCTGGACAGAACAAACATTTCGCAGTTCATCATGGGGGAGATTATACTTGAAAAGCAGCTTTCCCACTTTGATATCGAGGACAAGAAGCATTTCTGTGAACAGGCGAAGTGCTTGTGGTATGACAACGGAAACTCACTCTCGATGCAATACTCTGGGTCGTTTGCCCTGAAGAGCCACTTTCTCAGCAGAAAAAGGCAAGGAGTTGTCGATAGGCTGAGAGATGGAATAATAGGATTCCAGAGATACTTTATAAACAGGCTCTGTCATGGAAGTCTACAAACCACGTATGAAATTCTGACTACTGACCTTGACGGAAAGACCATAATCTCATACAGAGACCGAGTTGGCACCATCAGGAAGACCTTCCTGCTGCTATTAATAACCGTCTGCACGGCGTCCTGGGTATCGACAGGCATTTTCATCATATCGCTTCTTTGCAGCACACTTGCCATCACCCTCGTGACGATTGCTGTTGTGCTTATATTTCTCGACTCCCTTATCCAGAAGCCTAGGCCCCGAGCTCCTCAATAAACCATGCCCAGCATCCAATTATTCCCCTTTGGGACGATTGCATTGCCTGAACCTTGATTTTTGTTGCTGCAGAGAGGATGGTAAATACAAAAAACAGATGCCCCGGGATGGACAAGCAACAGAAGGAAGTGACGCTATGGATTGAGACTGTTCTTGGAGAGAAGTTTGAGCCCGGGACATTCCACAGTTTGTTCAAGGATGGGGTAAGGTTTTGTAGATTCCTCAACAAGGTTTCGCCTCTCGATGTTAAGTATAAGGAATCAAAGCAGATATTTGTACAAAGGGAGAACATCTGCTCGTTCATCAATGGCCTTAAGAAGCTTAGGATGAACGAGTACGAGTTGTTCCAGACGAACGATTTGTTTGAGGCAAAGGATCTGAGGCAAGTTGTCATTTGCTTGTATGCACTGAGTAGGCAATTGCAGAAGGAAAGGATGTTTTCCGGCCCGTTTATTGGCCCGCATCTTGCCACGAAGTCCAAGATTGAGTTTAGCCAGGAGGTTCTTGACAGGAGCAAGTATGCCATCCACCTCCAGATGGGATACTCAGACCCGGAGTTGTCTGAGAGATCTGGGGGAAAGGGTGCCTCCAATGTCATGAAAGATCTAAGGACAAACAGTCTTTAATATTAAACCTCAGCGTCTGTTTCCATTTATTGCAGTCCTCCTTCCAGATTGACTGCCTCTGCCCAGAAGAACATCTCTTCGAAAATGCCTAGCCTCTTTGCAGACTTGCAGTGCAGGCCTATTCCTCCACTTCTTGCTTGCACCTTACATACCAGCAGATAAGACGAGCCCAGAGCTATTTTCTGGTCCCCAATTTCCACCAACACCTCTCCACAAAAGTCTAATATCCTGGCAAAGACTCTTCCTCTGTCGATGCATGTTCCGGCAATCTCCACATGAGACACCTCTCTTCTACCGTAGAATATCGCTCCGGACACACGTCTAAGCTTCTTCAGCGAGTCTGACAGGATCCTGAGAGGTGGCCCTACCCTGCTCGTCATAGGATTGCAGATGGTATACGGCACATAAAATATTTACTGGCAAGCTCCCAGGAGCTATCTATCCAGATGTCTCAGACACAACTGACACGCTAGACGCCCCTATCTCAAACTCCCAGGCCCTCGAGTCCTTGAGGGGAGAGCGAGCAAGCCGAAGCATTCTTCTATCTCCATCCTTGGAGCAGACATACCGTGTATTCACCATGTACATCCATTGGAGCCCAAGGATGGGATTGGGTATGCAGAAGGACCCAACAGTCCAACTGCCGTAGTGGCATGTGACGACCAGAACATCCGTCGAATGCTTCTGATTCATCCTCTTCAGCTTGTTGGTGATGCTGAACAAGATGCGCCGGTCCATCCCCATCCCTTCAGTGGCAAGAAGATGGTCCAGGCTGTCAATAACAACCAGCTCTATGCTTCTTTCCACAATGATCCTCTCAATCGAATTCATGACGAAGGAAGCCAAATACTCAATGCTTTGGACATACTTGACGACAATGCGGTCCATCACCTCCGGCGGCGATTCCTTGTATCTTCCTATGCAGAATGTAGTTGTTGTTATGTATATTGTTGGGCGTGTCTTCGACTCTTCAATGGCAATTGCCGTCCTTCCAGACCCAGGGCACCCGGTCAGCTCCGTCACCCCGTAATACTTGAGCAGCCCCATTCAAGGAATGCAGAGATCCTGTTTTCAAAGCAATGGGTTTTGATGTTTTTGTTGGGAGACCCATCGTCCTGATGGAAGCTGGAAGTGACAAGGATACTCCCTACTCGATAGTCTCCATAGGCCTCGCCATCGAGATGGCTCTTGCAGTCTACGGCGCATGCGAAGGCATGGTTTCCTCGGGGGCTGCCTCGATTCTGTGCAGCCAGAATAGATCCATACTTGGGCCCACATACTTCATCATGATAATGGTGTCAACAATATTCTTCAGCAGCTTCCTTGTTGCCTTGATCATTGCAACAAACATCGGCGACAATCTGGACATGGGAAAGAGCATTTCGTACTTCTCTGCATGCCTGATGGTGGGAATGACTGCTGCAATATCAGGAAAGGTCTGTTCGGCCCTTGGGAAAAGAGGATTCAGGATCCTGTCTGAAAAGCCTTCGTTTCTGCCGGTCCTGATTATTCTGTTTGGTATGATAGAGTTTGTTATAATTGTTGTTCTCTCATGTGCCCTACTGATGGTCTACCAGACACGTGGATGATCATGAATGAGATGCTCCTGAGGAACCGTGCCGTCCGAGCGACCAGAGAAGATGTGCCAGATGACTCTTGTCAAGTCTTCTGGGGATGTCCCTTACATCCTCAGTATATCCAATTCATCGGACCTGCTCTGCCGCTCCTTCCTGATTCTCAGTATGTAGCTCCTAAGAAGCCCCACTTCTCCGCCAAATTTGTCCTGGCCTGCCCACTTCATGAGGTAGTAGAAGGACTTCTGTATGTGCTCTTCCTCGGATATCCCAAGCTCCTCGCATATTAGGTAATAAACCCGCAGGTCGTCCAGATCAAATCTCCTTCTCTCTTTTGTGTTTGCATCTGGAGGCAAGAACATCTCGACTTTGTTTATCATTCCTCTTCCACTCTTAAGCACCAACCAAACAAATGGGCTTCAAGCCCTGTAAAGGAGACACTATTCATCCATAAGCTTGGCCAGCTCCATCTCCTCCTCCACACTGAGACTTGGCTCCATCTCAAAGATGCAGTAGCAATAGTCTAGCCCAATGGAAATAATCCTGCTACCCACCCTGATCACCCCGAGCACATCCGCCTCATGGGAGTATATGGACCTAATCCCGGACCCACCGTTTCCCTTTAGTCCGTCGATGTCTGCCATCACATGTCCTCCGTCAGAAAATAGATGCTGGCTGTCCATCGACCTAATCCAGCCGTTCCCCTTGTAGATCTCTTCAGCACCATCCAACCGGGAGTAGTCTTGTTTCAGAACTCTTCCGTCTGCAGACCCGGTGTACTCTCCGCAGATACAAAAAATGGAGGTGTCGTGCATACTCCTTCCGATAGTCTCAAATCCATTATGGATGCGCGACAGAAATGGTACACCCATTCCACAGTAGACGGATCCTTCGAAAGTGCTCATGCACAGGACCTTGTATTTAACCTCATAGGAGCATTCTATCCTCAGGTCAGCGCTTAGGCCGTACACCACCAGTCCTACAGAAACATACACCAGCCCCCCATGAACTTGCATGCACTTCACCATGTGATTCCCCAGGTTGATCTTCTTCCCGTTAATAATCCCTACATCCCCATCCCAGTTGCCATAGTACAGATGTTTTCCAGCACCCAGTGCAGACACAGGTCCAGAAGACCGGAATATAACAGTCGGGATGGTGTATGGAGGCTTCATTTCATACACATTTCCGTGAGCATCCCCGATGTAGACAGAATCCTGCAGAGACATAATCACCAGAGGCTTGTTTGGCAGCCGGACCTTTCTGGATAGCATAAAGAAGGATTCCCTTGGTCACAAAAAGTCGTTTAATCCGCCTAAAGATATCCATATGAAAAGTACTGGTAGGAGTCGTATAGCCCTGTTCCCATGCTATTAAAGCTCTTATTTATCAGGTACAGCACATGCTCCTCAACCCTTTCCTCGGTGAGGTCCAGCCGGAACCTGTCCTTGAAGTTCTGGAGCTCTCTCTTGTTGAAGCACTCTGCGCCCGAGGCTCCGGGCATCGTCTCTATGATTCTGAAGAGCCTGCTGCTATGCTTTCTTAGTTCCATGTATCCCCGCAGAAACAGGTCCTTGAACTCGTCCACAAGATCCCCAAGAAGCTCGAGATACTCTTTCGAGAACTTGAACGGCGCAGCCTCAACACAATAGAACCCAGGGTGCCCTCCCATTACAAACCCAAAGTCAACATGGACGATATGCCCCTGGCCATCGATCATTATGTTCCCGTTGTGCCTGTCCTTGACTTGCAGAATGTACGTGGCCAGTGAATATCCTACAAGAGAATACAGGAAGTTCCGCAAGCAGCTCTTGTACTTCGCACTATTCAGCTCGAAAGAGTCCGCAAAGTAATTCCTCAAGGAGTAGTTTTTGTTTTCGGACATCATCTTCTTCTTGATCTTATGTATTGACATCGCATCAACCACCGTTTCAACTATCCCGCTGGTGTCGCTAATCAGGTAGATCTGGTAGGCCCGGATCCATATGGGGCTTCCCTCCTCCCTCCAGATTCTCTTCATCTCGCATAGTACTTGGTAGGCCATCAGCTCTTGCATTAAGGAGTTTCCTGTTTTGACGATTACAGACTCCGCCATCCATCCTGCCATTTCTTTGAACAGGGATGTCCTTCTGAGCTCTGCCTTCTTCAGCATCCATCCGTCGTGCGACCTGTATCCAGCGAGTGCCCCAGATTTTTCCTTCTCCACAGGCTCTGTAATCGAATTGCTGCCCTGTACCAGCTGCCCTGCAGAATACGATCGGCAGCCCATAGGAAGCACTCCCCCATCTCCAGAACACTTTGGAGTCTTCTTCCCGATATCGATATCGTCAAAGTGCTGGCTCCTCTTGTCTCCATCATGCGCCGGAGCTTCCGAATGTGTAGAATGCTGACCAGAAGTTTCCTCGTATCTTTTGGTCATAAGGATCCTTTCTATGGAGGTCATCATGTTCTCCTTAACGACACGTATCTCGCTGAGCGAAGAAAGCCCATCAATTGCATCCAGTTGCTGCTTTAGAAACAGTGCATCCTTTATTTCCTCTCCAGCTCGACTTTTTCTTGGTATCTCAAATGCAGTCTCAAACACAACAAGAAACGGCGAGTTCTCTGCCGAATCCAACAGAAACGACTCCTCGATCCTGGCTGCCAGCACAAACCTCCCAGAATGGAATGGAAGGGACACCTTGGCTGGGAGGTTGTGGTTCAACAACTTGATTTCCATCTCCAGCCCTCTCTGCCTTAGATGTCTTGGAAGCTTCTTGAGTCTCCCGGGAATCTCAACCAGCGACTCGAGAAACGAGATGTTTGCGCCCATCCCCGAGCCATCAAATGCGTTTCCGAACCTTAGATCCCTCTTTACATTGATGTTGCACACATTTCTGGTCTCCAAAAAGATCTCCTCGTAGTCACAAATCCTCCTGAAGAGCTTTGGGCTGACCATCCATGACACAGCCTTCACGAAAAACAGAGGAATTCCCCTAAGAGGAGGGTATCCCTTCTTCGACTCAAGGGTGGAGAGGGTCCTGCCCATTCTCTTCCTGTACTTATACTGTAGCTCTAGGATTCTTGTGTTCTTGCACATTCTCTTTTCTTCTCTCTCGAACATGTCGCAGATCAGGAAGTAGCAAGATATGGACCTTATGTCACTGCTGCTCTCTAGGGCGCTTTTCAGGTGGAAGTACAGTGCACAGCGGAACTCCCTGTCTCTGTCTGCCCAGTATCCAAAAAGACTGTACAGAGGTCTGGCAGATATTCTGTCTCTGTTGTAGAGAAACACATGAACCAGCTGGGGGAGATAGTGGGTTGGAGGAGTGGAGTATCTAATTCTCGTGCATATGTACTGCCGGACTCCTATCTCAGGATGTCTGTGGATGCACTCCAGCGCCAGGAGAATATCTGGGTGCGGAGAAGAGAACATCTCTCTTAGTGAGGCGTAGTTGGTGCCGTGGTCCATTCCCTGGGCTCAGGATAAACAGAGCGATGAACCATGTGTGTACTAAGGGTCTGGATGTAATTGATGGGCTATGGCCAAACAGCTGGATTAGCTCAGTGGAAGAGCACTAGACTGAAGATCTAGGTGTCCCCGGTTCGAACCCGGGATCTAGCATTCCATTTTGCCTTAAGTCCTATCCTCTTCCGCGTCCCCAGATGGATGAGATGGCAGGGATTGTTGAGGCGTGCTTTGGAGAAACAATTCGCGAGGCAACACGTCTCTTGGACAGAAACGGAGAGCATTTTCTTTTGTGTGGACTGGACCCGGAGGTGCTTCTGATTGTGCTTGGGCTGGTGAGGACCTATGCAGAAAGAATGAACAGGACAGTGGTGCAAGTCCTTCCAACCACTCCCAAAGATGAGAATCCTGGCGGAAAAGTTTTCTTTATCGATATAGATGGCGAAATGCCGATGTCCCGCCAGCTCCATGTATACCACTATCTTGAAAAGACCAGGAGGCATCCCTGCTGTCTTGTGCTTGTATCGAGCTCGTGCACTTCTCTAGACAGGCTGGAGCGACGTGTTAAGTCAAGGTTCAACCATCGGGTGTTTTTCTTGGGCTTTCTTCCCCTTGGATCATACAAGATTCTGTACAGGAAACTCACGGGGGCAGATGACGAGGAAGACGTGCAGAGACAGTACACCGTCAACCCAAGCATTTCGGAACTGTCAAAAAGAGCAATCATGAAAAAGTATAGGATTCTGGAGTACTCGGCAGAAACCCTCTATGCCCTGCTCAACCCCGTTCACATAGCACTTGTGCTGATGGCATTCAGAAAAAGAATAAAGTACATCAACTGCGTGTCCGAGTTCCGAGCCTTTACATCAAGTGTCAACGAGCTCAAGGGAACAACCAGCATGGAGATTCTGCTCTACTTCCTCGACATCCTTGACTTCGGCCTTATCGACAAAGAGGGTGCTCTTCTTGTCGATGCATGCAGCTTCAAGAGGCATGTTTCCAGCGTCAGGCCCTTGTATCTGAAGAGCCTGATGCACAAAAGCACGTAGACACAAAGAGGTGAGAAGATCATTTACTTCTTGTTATAAAGCAGTCCAGCCGCCCCTGGGTCCCCTTTTTCCTGGAGTTTATAAGCTTGTCAATCCCCTTGTTGACTCTTTCCAGGTCAAATCCTTTCTCCTCAACAAGAAAGTTCACAATTCCGTTTCTGTCGATCGAGTCCCAAGAAATATTAAAGTCTCTTATCTCCCCGATTTCTGCAAGACTTCCAAATATCTTCTGGGCATCCGAGTACCTCCAGTCGCCAGGAACTTCCAGATCCTCGTTTTTCAGAATGTTCCCAATGCTCCTGTGCTTCTTTATGAGCCCTAGCGCTTTCTTGGGCCCAATGCCCTTCAGGGTGCTGCAGTAGTCGCATCCCAGGAGAATGCACAAGTCAATGAACTCACTGTGGTCCAGAGAGAGGTCCTCCAGTATCTGTGGAAGATTGTGCTCCATAACAGGAAGTCGCTTGCTCTGGGTTCCATTAAAGTTCCTTAGCACCACGGGAGACCCGAATGTTAGGGCATCCATATCCTCCGTTGCAACCCCATAGACGGCCTTTTTCTTGCATAGGAGAGCACAGTATGCCTCTGCCTCGCTGGGGGCTGTCTCAAACGGGATCCCCATCAGCCCAAGAAGCCTCTTGCACTCATCAACATGGACTCCAGTCACCTTTGTCTTTCTCTTGTCGTACATCTCCATGAGCTCCTTGTCCCCTACCTCCGAAGCCTCTCTGTACTCCCTGTCTGCCGCTGCCCTTCTCTCCTTTCTTTTTTCGAGCTCCTTCATCTTGATCTCCGGAGGCACTCCGTCAAATACATACACGGGTGTTATTCCCAACTCAACCATCCGGATGGTCCTGTAGAAAAATCCTACGAGATGGGATGTCGGAGAGTCCTCGTTTCCCAGCGTGGCCCCACCAGACCTAACGGCTATCAGAAACTGGTACATGGACATCGAGGCATCAATCGCAACCTTCTTCGACGAGTAGTACACTAGCGGCCTCTCCCTGATCCCTCTCTTACTGTTTTCCCTCAGGAGCTTCGATAGCTGCTTGATTCCCATTTCGAGGGCTTATGCTGCCAGTTCCTCAAACATTTGTGAGTATACCAGGACCCTTTATTAAATAATCCCCTACCACTCAAGCTCCCCCTGGGCAGAGTTAAATACAAAATCTATATTCCCTATGCTAATAAATCCCTGCTTGAACGTGCACTTCCACTTGCCCTTCGACATGTTGACCTTCACATACAGGCAGACCATGCAATTCCCAGTACTGCCCTTCGTTCCTATTATCTCGGAGTCTCCGCTTGAGACGTCCGAGCTTCCATAGTCTTCAAACATCCCAGGATCCTTCGCTGTAGTCGGCTTCCCGCCAAACGCATGTGCAGGGCCTTCAGAAAGCCTTTCGTATCCGTGATATCCTTGCTCGCCGTCTCTGCGCCTCATCCTCTCGCCATCCCACTCGCTCTGTGTGTACTCAATAAGCCTTTCTCTCCACTCGTTTCTGAGCTCGTGGATGGCCGACTTCCCAATGCTGACCTCGTCCTCTACCTGCTCAAGTCTGGATATAACCTCGTTGATTATATCCTCGTAGATCTTTAACATTCCAAGATGTTTACAAGGGTTGCTTTTTTATTGTTTTATCCAGGTTCGTCAGACTTCTTCTTCCAGTATCCGTCCATGTTTCTTCCATCCACCCTCTTGGAGGACTCAAAACAAAAAGATTCTTGATACCGCCTCGCTGAGAGTATTTTTCAAACTTTGGAATTCACCCCAATGGAGAAAAGGAGGACAAGGGTAATCCTGAAGGAAGCACTGAAGATAGCGTTCCTGGGACTGTGCATATACGGGACGCTGGATTATGCCTTTCAGAAGGAAACCATCGAGATGATCAGGTCCAATTCCGGTGGGAAATTCCTGTATCTTACGTTTATATCCCTACACCTAACAATCATCTCAACCATCCTTGGATATCTGATCGAGGTCGGCCTGGGAAAGAGGCTGGAGCATATCTACAAGGATCTACTGGCTCTGTCCTTTTCTCTAGAGGGCATTGTAACCATATTGTTTTGGACGCTGTACTGGACCAAGCCAACACTCCTAAAGAACAAGACATTGTACGAAAGTGGTATCCAAGAGAGCTTTCTAACGGAGATCTCCCAGCATTTGATTCCGCTCCTTCTTCTACTGATATGTCAGGCAGATGTGAAGCTACAAAGAAAGAAGAGGTGCATCTGCTTTATATTTGGGTTTGGCACCCTATACTTCCTGGAAATCTGGTACTTCTCGACCAAAAACGATAAGAAGTGGGCATATCCTATGTTCAACAAGATGGCCATGGTGTACCGGATACTCTTCATTTTCGCAGCATGTCTGATTGGAGTTGCATCCTACATGTGCCTTCTTGAGATAAACAGCCTGGCGCATCAGAAGCATGACCGGGCGAGTGAGAGTGATTGATCGGTTTCAGCCGGCTTATAGTCTCTTTTTGCCATTGGTGTATAGCTCATCCCTCATTGCCCGCACAGAGCCCAATTGTTTCAGGCCGCTTTCTTATTTTAGTTCCGGTGCTATCTCCCTCTATGGAAAGATTTGAATACTTTCCAGCACTAAGGGAAATCTTCAAGGGGACCCTCCTAATCCTTTGCATCTATGCAACGACAGACTATGCCTATCCAAAGGAGTGGGCAGATCTTGCCAATAAACTCGCTGGTGGCAATCACATCTACTTCACTCGGTTAAGTCTCTACATGACGATAATGACACTGGTCCTGAGCTACTGCGTAAAGTACTTTGGGGTCTCGAGCATCCGAGAGGTGTACAGAGACTCTCTTTCGATTGCCCTTCCGATGGAGGGATTGGTGACAACGGTATTCTGGATACTCAACACCATAGACCCAACACTTCTGAAGGACAGAGAGCTTTATATGGCAGGAGTCAGAACACCGCTGGTGAGCGAGTTGTCTCTCCACTTACTTCCCTTGGTTCTTCTTCTTATAGACCAGGTGGGCGTCAACATTTATGAAAGGAAGAGACACTATTGGGTCTTTGGCTTCTTTGGGGTCATCTACTTTGGCATCATCCACCACTTCCAGAGGATCAACAACTCCTGGGTTTATCCGTTCCTGGGATATGTGTTATTGCCAATGAGAATCATCCTGGCCGCCGTAGCCACTCTGCTGGTGATGGTCTACTATAGGTTCTTTGTAGGGCTGTCCAGATTCATCAATGCGAGAACATATCCGGAAGGCCGAAGAACAAAGCTATTGTAACACGGTATGTGGGATGAAATAGATTTATTAAAGTCCCTACTCGAGAAGATAGCTTCTGAGCTTGTTGTAGGCCACCTGATCAAATGTTTTGCATTCGTTCAGCACCTCGTTAATCCTTTCCGGATTTACCTTGGCTTCCTTTATGTACTTCGCCTTGATGTGCTTCCTCTCCTTGTTTGGAAACAGCGAGCTTATCAGCGAAAACTCGATTCCGCATATCTCCAGTGCCTTGTAGAACAGCTCTATTTCCTTTTTGCTCCATCTCAGTGCTCCCTTCTTCTTGCTGAACGTCGAGGATGTCACAATCCGATCGTCCTCCATCACCTCCATTTCCATGACCTTGTGCGTGTCGACATACATGTTTGCATCGTTGACAACAATGTGCCCGTTCTTGATCATCAGGATCTCTTCTTGGTTCTGGTCGGCAATGTCTCTGGATGCTGAGGCCTTCTTTTTTCTGCTTCTTCTGTCCTGGCGGAAGTTCGAGTTGTCGAGGAAGTGCTTGAGCTTCTGGTCCATTCGATGGGTGTTGCTTCCCTCAAAGAATTTAACATGGCGCCTCCTCATGGTCCCGGCGGATTCCAATCCTCCTGACAATCTCCAGGTATTCCCCATCAGACCCGAGACTCCTATCAACCTCCTCTCTTAGCACCATCGCCAGAACCTCCTTCCCCGAGTTCCTATACCCCAACACTCCACATCCTACCAGCATCTCAACCAGATCAGAATATTCAAAAAATCCCACCTCTTTCATCCCCGATCTTCTGCAGAAAGAAGCAAGCTCGTCGTAAAGCTCCCTAACCTTCATCCTGTCCTCCCTGCTTTCGCTGACCAGAGTCACGATGATCTTTTGGTAGAAGGACAGGCCCTGCAGATAGTGCACATACACAGGAGTGTACATCTTCCTCATAACGCCATCCACATCCAGTATCCCTGCATTTTCTTCTCCTTTACTTTCCTTAACCCTGTCAATCACATCCTTCACCTTCCTAACATCTCCACTAATCGCCCCGATTCTTTTCGAAACAAGCTCAACACATCCTCTGTCCATCCCGCAGTCTCCGACCACGGTACACAACTGTGCAGATGTGTATGGCATAAAATTAATCCTCCTTCCTCCTATTCTGCTGCAAACCTTGGGCTCAAACAGCTTCTCAGGAAGATTCATGGTGTTTGACACCACAAACAGTAGCAGCTTACTGCCCTCCAGATACGGCATGTCAAATATGTTGTACAAGACCTCCTGGCTCCTCCCCACAAGAATGTCCACCTCGTCAATCACAACCACATGCAACGAAGCGCATTCTATAAAGTGCTGCCGCAGATGGGACAGGCCCATGCATCTCCGATCCGAGCAGCAGGGTAGATTTGTAAGAATCCACCCGTACACCTCCCTTCTCGACCTCAGCCTCGTTGCATTCAGAAATAGATGCGGAATCTTCCTCTCCTCCATCAGCCTCAGGATCGTGTGGGTCTTCCCAGAACCAGGAACCCCACTTACATAGACAATCCCGCCGGCTCCAGTGCTGAAGAACATGTCCAGGTAGCGCTCCAGCTTCAAGTACTCCTCTTCCCTGCCAGCCACAACCATACCAGGATAAAAACGCGCAAAATTTATTCTCTTTCCACGTGCATTCTCCAAGACTTTGCCAGGTCACTCCTTATAGACATTGCATATATCTTCCCAGCTGTATGGAGAAACCATCCCCTTCTTCTTTTTCTTGCATCTATTCAGGAATCCTGTCAAATTTAGCCCCCTGCCTCTCTTGTACCTGCAAATGGCCTTGTAGAGCTTTTCAAACAACTCATATCCATCTCCATGGACACCGGCTCTCCTTACCTGTCTAAACAGCTTCATAAACTCTGCCAGTCTCCTCTGGTAAATAAGTCCATTCAGGTATCCATGGATCGCCTCGATTTTCACTCTCTTCCCTGTCTTCACCAGCCTCATCATCTCCATAAACTCACTAAATCCTCTCTCTCCTATGTCCTGAGAAAACCACACGCGGAGCAGCGATCCGCAAAACTGGGTTTCGTCGACTCCATCCATCGATGCAATGATCGCAGGTCTTTCTTTGGGAGGAGACTCCAGAATAGCTTCCCACATCCTGTCGTAATAGTCTTCCCTCTCCAAAAAAGAACCGACAAAAGGCTTCAGTCCGATGTCCACGCGGCTCATAATCTCCGCAACCGCGCCCCGCCCAAGGGCAGATCCAAGAAGTCCAAGATAGACCCATGCCTTGTCTGCAGAAACCGCCACAATCGTCTTCTCCATCTCCTCAGCAACATCCTCCTTGAGATAGAGGAGCTTGTGCACCATCATCTGCATTCTGTACTCTGCACTCTTACCGTCGACAAAGAACCTTTTGAACCTTCCAAACCTCCTTGCAAAGGACAGCTTGAGCAGGTAGCTGTCGAAGACAATTTTTCTTTTGCAAAACATTTCCCACACAACTTTCTCTGCTCCCGGACTCTCCTTCTGCATGATCTTCCTTAGCGTCTTCCTGACATCCCTGGACCTGTACAGTCTTCCTGCATACATGTGGTCTGCTAGCTCCAGGCTCTCAGGATCCAGGTATTCCGACATATCCACCCCATCGGTAGATGCCAGCTTGCGAAGCTCGTCTGCAAGGGTCTTGGCACCCGGATACTTCCTCAGATACCGGTCCATTGGCTCTGTTGGGCTAATTTTTCTCTGCTCTAAATCCACAGGCATCTTCTCTTGAATAAAAATAAAAATCGCGGGGGGCTTGAGAAATGGCATCCAAGCAGTACGAGGAGGCATTGCAAAAGGCAAATCTTAGCGACATGGCCGAGAGGTATGACGATATGGCAAAGGAGATGAGGCTTGCAGTGACACTTGCACACGAGGACAAGCACATCCTCAACGTGATGGCAAGAAACCTTTTTTCCGTTGCATACAAGAACCTGGTGAGCTCGAGAAGATCCAGTTGGAGAATGCTGTGCTCCGAGAGGCAAAAACTCGAGGGAAAGGACCCCAGTGTGGTCCATGTGATCAACGAAAAGATAAAGGTTGTTGAGGAGGAGCTTTTGAGGTTCTGCGACGAGGTCCTGGACATCATCACGACATACATACTGAGCCTGGAGGAGGCTCAGAAGAATATCGAGTACAACATTTTCTTCTTGAAGATGAAGGGAGACTACTACAGATACAAGGCAGAGGTTGTCACGGGTCCTGAGCACTCTGAGGTATCGAAGCATGCTGCCGAGTCGTACAAGGAAGCCACCGAGAAGGCAAAGACCCTCCCCCCCACAAACCCTATAAAGCTGGGGCTTGCGCTGAACTACTCCGTATTCCACTACGAGATCCTCAACGACTCGGAAAAGGCCTGCTCAATAGCCAAGGGGGCTTTTGACGAGGCTATCAAGGAGTTGGACACTCTTTCTGAAGAGCACTACAGAGACTCAACCCTGATAATGCAGCTTCTTAGGGACAACCTCACTCTCTGGACTTCTCGAGAAGAGGGGAATGTAATGGGTGATGAGGGGAAGGGAGATCCTGATGAAAATTAAATGTTACGCCTTTATTGGCTATTTCTCCTGGCCATACCTCCTTAAGACATTCCCGGCCATCAGTGCTCCTTTTTGAATATAATTATAGGCGGATTGAAGACATTATGGGAGCTAACAAGATCAACGATATACAACAGCAGGTAGAGGAGTCCGACTTTTATGTGGAGAAGAGGCCGAACATGAACATCCACATAGACCATCCAAGTCCTCCGCCTCCCATGTGGATCCTCTTCTACTTTCTTGGATCTGTTGTCTTCGGGATATTGGCATATCTGTGCCACTACTCCCTAATTTTGCCAAAGCTGAAGTCCTGCGGACAGAATCAACTGTCTGTAGTCACCGAAAGACTTCTGCTGTGCTTTCTTTTTGGCGCCATGATCTGGTTCACAATCCAGCTCATACTGACATACCTTTCAATCACTTTGAAGAAGGTTGACGGGAAGCAGGGATTTCTCCAGACCACACTGATAAAGAACGGCTGGTTCATAAGTCTTGTCCTTGGATTGCTGGTTCTCTCCTTCATTATGGGAAGCTACAACCGCAGCATAGATGCAATGAACACAGCAGAGGGCATCGCTGGGGAAGAGAAAGGCCAGGCACCACAAGAGGCCCTTGCAGCCCTTAGCGAGCCGAATACGTTGGCAGCATTCGTCACAGACAAGCTGACGAGGCTTATTCTTGCAAGCTTTGTATTCCTCGGAATAATCCTGACAAAGACAATTCTTATGGATAGGCTGAACTACAGGATGCTCTTCGAGAATTATGAGTCCAGGATCCAAAGCAACTACGAGGACATGTGGATCTTGGAACAACTAAACAGGATAACCGGGAAGAGAATGGACATAGACACGGAGAGCTGGGCGAATACTGTCTTCAAGACGATTTCTCCAGAAAAGGATTCTGTTGATCTGCAGGTCCTCGAATACTTCTTCGGAACTGAGCGTGCACAGAGGATATTTGAGCGCTTCAACATATATGACGATGGCAGGCTCACAAGAAGTAGCTTTGTTCTTGTCTACCAAGAGATTCTGAACGAGGAGAAGAGGATTGCCATGGGAATGGCACAGAAGGTCACCATTGTGAAGAAGTTGGACATTGTGCTTTCCTTTGTGCTGATTCCCTTTGGGGTTTCCGCAGCCATGCCGATAATAGAGAGCACGGGCAACTTCATCAACTTCATGCCCATTCAGTTTGGTACGCTGTTCTCGCTCCACGTGATCTTTGCTCCGATTGTGTCAGAAATGCTTAGATCCCTGGTCTTTATATTCCTTGTCAAGCCGTTTGACGTCGGAGACAAGATCCTTGTGGACGGATACTTGCATAAGGTGTATGACATGGGCCTTCTCTATACCTCGTTTGTTGTGGACAAGAAGGTCAGTGTGATTCCAAACGTCAAGGTCATGGACAAGACGATAGTTAACCTTAGGAACGCAAGGACATCCCTGAAGTTGTTTGAGTTCACCTTCTCGAGCACCTCAGAGTTCAAGGACAAGATAGAAAGGCTGAACGCTGCAATAGAAAAGGAGGTGAACTCTGATCCCAATGTTTATACAGGTAGGTTTGGGGTGTACGGATACAACCTAAAGAAGAACTCGACGATAGGAGTGAAGATCGAGGTCGTCTTCTGGATCCAGAACCAGGACATGAAGGCCCTGTGGTCCAGAGAAGACGCATTCATAATCGCTCTGCACGACATCTTCAGGGATCTTGGCCTGGTGCTAGAGTAGATCCTGCCGGAATAAAATAGTTAGCCTCATCTGAATGCTAAGAACAAACTCTTTTAATAGCCTTAAAGCTTATAAGAAAATGGAATTCCGATGTCGACTCTATTACTCTTTTCATAGCACCCATCCTTGTCTGCACAGCTCTCATCGGATATGATGTGGAGATGGACTTTTCCTTTCCGAACCAGATCTTCCAAGGCATCCTTCAATTTCGCGCTGTCGAGTTCCTTGGAGACTGCACAGCTCCCGTCTCTGTTATATCCATTCTGGCATTTTCCTTCATGCTCATGGACGCTTCCTTTTCCGTTGTCTTCACCTTCCCTCACCCCATACAGGCCATCCAGCCTTACAACAGAGCTTATGTCTTCGTTGCCGACACCTCTATTCGACACTGCTCGTCTCTCCGGGGTGGTTTCCCCCCTTTGGCCAGGAGAGTCTTTTCCGCTTCTCAATGGCTGGCTTGAATCCTTTCGATCAGATGGCACAGTCGTTGTTGAAACCTGGTATTTTGATAGGTAGACCGTCGTGATTAGTTTGTGGGTGGTTCTGGTGACCGTAACTGTGGATATTGGCCCTTTACTGCTTGTTTCTGAAGATGCCTGTACATTACTGGATGCAGATGCCTGGGTGCTGTGCAGAGCATCTGTCTTTGAAGAAGTGTACGATGCCGATGACATGGCTGAGGTACTACTGCTAGACCGATCCTGAGACAGTGTTCCCTTGATTACTTCGATCAAGGATTGGAGTGCAGGAATTATGGTGGAATTCCCCGGATTCTTGAATACAAATGTGAGTATTGGCGCCGTCGATGTCTGAGCCTTGATGCTATCTGCGGCAGTCGAGAAGACTTCTTGAATGCTCGCAGAGTATGTGCTGGTCTGGGCGTTGGCCCTTGGTGGCTCCTTTCCTTGGCTTTGCGGTGGAATCAGGTAATCTCCGAAGCTCAGTAGCTCTCTCTCCTCCCTTCTTCTGTCACGGCCGCGGGGGAATGGCTTAGGCTTTCGGGTGGAGCTCCATCCAGGATACTTCCTCCTGTCTAGCCCGCCCCCGGGTGTCCTCCTTATCTCCTTACTGGGGTAGTCCCCTCCACCCGCCCGGTCCGTGATAGAACCATCATTTTCCTCCTGCCCATCTTCGACCTCTCTGGAAGGCTCTGGGGCTCCCTCTAGCTCTCCTTCGTATCCTGGAGGAGGAACTACCATTATATAGTCCCCTTTCCCAAAGCCACTTTTCTCACCACACATCTTTCTTCTGCCGCCGGATCTGTCCATATCACTACCTTCCGTACCACACCCTCCGGATCCGAGGAGTTTCATTCCATCCCTCATCTTGGCAATCCTTGTGTTGCTGACATCCTTCCCAAAGACCTGGACCCAGTATCTGTTGCCATCCTTCCCGACACATGTAGCAACCCCAGAATACACATAGTCTCCAAGAATGTTGTTCCTATGCTCTGTAGACTTCATCCAGAGCTTAACAACCTCCTTGTAGTCATCGTTCTCCTGTTTCGCTATGTTTTCCCCTATGTTCAGTCCGACAAAGTCAAATCTTTTCAGCCTTCCGGCAAGAGTGAATCCCTCTCCACTAGCCCCATCATGTGTAAGCTTGGACTTCCTGCACATGTATAGCACCTGCATGTCTGCAGCCTTCTGTAACGAGGGCAGGTTGTACAGCTCCTCCATGTTGTGCTCGCTTCTGAACTTGTTCGTGTACTTCAGCATATCGCTCTCGAGAGAGCAGAAAACACATCCTAGAAACAACCAAGCAGAAATCATCCGGCCTCAGTGTGAGCCAAGAGTCGTTTCTGTTTATAGGGATTCCAAAACAGCTTAAAACAGGCCTGAAACAGGGCATATCACGCAGAAAGACATCTCATCAAAATGTAGCCATCTACGAACCTTGGGGCCATCAAAGCCCAAGGGAGCAAAGGTGGCTCTTTAGGACACCGTGGATAGCCACGGAGTCCAGGGGCTGCGCTGCACACAAAAAATATCCTCTGCACAGAAAGGGCAAAATAGCAGCCTCTACGTCTTGGATATCATCCACAATGGCATCTGGGCATCCTTGGAGCCAATAGAAGCTTAACAATTTATTTCATACTCTGTTCCTTAGCCCAGAAGAAATCCACTCATACACATTCCTGAAAACCTTTCTCTCGCTGTTCAGAGGCGTCACAGTCAAGTAGTATTCGTTGAGAAGAACATTGAAGTACATGGACACCTTGAAGAGGCATTCAAGATCCTCATGGTACGCAGAGCAGAAGTAACTCTTCTCGGTAATCTCGTAGATAATGTTGTTTGCATTGAATATGTCCAGAAGCACCTTCTTAAGTGCATTGTGGCTCCCAATGTGCTTCACCCTTATTCCCTTGAAAAACCCCTTCAGGTATGTTTGTCTGACTTGAGGAAGCCCGCAGTCCTTTCCCTTCACGCTGCAGAGGGAATCCTGGCTTGTGGATGTCAAAAACACCTCCTTTTTAACGTGTCTTGGCCCGCAGCCCTTCTCCTTCGAAAACATGAACCTTACAAAATCATGGACCGCCTCGGGCAGCTCCTGGGGCGGCTCTTCCTCGCCATCATCCGTGTAGGCCTCGTTTTCATCGTCGCCCCCTAGGTTCTCAGAAACAAGGTAATAGAGAGACACAACAGGCCTCCTCGACCAGTAGATCTGCTCTAGGGTTCCTATCTCTTCCCTGCATATCTTGTGGAACCTTCTGATCTCCCTCTCCATGTTCGGAAACTGGAACCGGATTGCCCTTGATATCGGCCTTATGTATTTCTCATTAAGCTTCATTATTGGATATCTCTTTGCTGCATAGCTGTTGATCCGGCTCTTCTGTCCCTTGTTGACCCATTCACTTCCAATCACCTGGCTAAGGCCCATTCTCGAGGAAGGCTGTGCAACAATCATCCCTCGAATCAACTCCATCGCCTCCCTCGAAATCGTCTTGCAGAACTTGAAGTCGGCATCCATTATCTTTGCCTGAAGTCCCTGCACATCCTCGTCGTCAAATGGAACACATCCACACAGGATCGCATACAGAACAACACCCAAGCTCCATACATCTATTTCCGGCCCGCAGTATCTCTGGCCCTGCAGAAGCTCTGGCGCTGCAAAGTAGAGGCTTCCGCAGAATGTGTTCAGCAGGGTCTTGTTGTCATAGAAGTTCGACAGCCCGAAGTCAATCAGCTTGACGTTGTCGTTCTCGTCAATCAGTATATTCTCTATTTTCAAGTCCCTGTGGACAACCGAGTTTCTGTGGATGTAATCAATTGCAGAAAGCAACTGCCTGAAGTATCGCTGCCCCTCCTTCTCTTTTAACGGCCCGCTGCTGATGATGATGTCGTACAACTGCCTTCCCTTCACATACTCAAATATCAGGAAGTAGTGTGTGGGGCTATACAGAAAGTTCTTCAACCGAGCAATGTGCGGATGGTTCAGTACAGATGATATAATCACCTCCCTGAATACCCTCTGGTCGCATCTCATCTCCATATCTCCCGTCTCCCCGCCGTTTACTCTCCTGGGAATTATCTTTATTGCCACCTTCTCCCCGCTGCGCACATCGCGTCCAAGCACAACCTTACTGCTGCTCCCTGTGCCTAACTGCTTCACAAATCTATAGCTTCCTATCCACTTGCCTTCTATGTACTCGAAGTCTCCTATCATCCCTCTCATCTCTCTTTCTCGAAAAGGGTTGCTTATCGCAGACTCATCCATAAAGCCGCTGGTCTCGTCCTCGCCACCCTCCATCTCGGAGTCTGTGCAACTCTGCATCTCCTCTTCGCTTCTCATCACTCCTTTCCCGCCAGCACCCGATATTTATCCCTCCAGTCCTTTCTCGAACCACTGCACATCCAATCTCTTGTTGCAGTTGGCACCGAGCCATACAGACGAAATCATTTCCAAACCCAATAGGTGCCTTCCCAACCAATACTCCACCAGAAAGCCGTGGAGGATCCCTATTATGGAATTAGCCAAGAGGATCATTTACAACTTTCCTTGTATTTAATTTAAATACTGGACAACAAATATGCCACACAAGGAATCTCTATTTCTCCCATGTCCCTATCCTTTGTCGTCGGGGGCGCTGTGCCCGGATGCCACCCTGCCTCCATCAAGAGGGTCTTCAGGGGGTTTCTCCACTCTGCTGTCACACACTCCTCCATTGAACGAATCTTTCGAGGCTGTCTGGACATCTCCGCCATCCAGGCCTTCGCTGTTGCACTGTGAGCCTTGCATCTGGGCTTCTATGGAATCGCTTTGTGTCCTGCCATTCTGTCCATCTATAGAAATTCCTTTCGCATTCGCACCTGCTTCGCCATTCTTTTCTGAGTCCAAAGAGCAGACTTTGCCCAGCGCAGCTTCGATAAGGAAAGTGTATCCAACACTCGTATCGTCACTTCCACTTGAGCATAAATCTCCAGGCGAGTCGTCCTCAAGGCGACCCGTCGAATACTTAGTTTCCTCCCTCTTAGCCATGTGCGCTTCTCTATTAATGATCACATGTCTGTACTTGTGGCTGACAATATCTCTGGCACTCTTACACCGCAGATACTCCATCGATATTTTCTTAAAGATGTGCTGGCTGGTCGGATGGCTTCCTAACGATGTCTGCATGGTGACGAGGTTATTTCTACTTGACCGCTGGGCACTCAGCTTGGAGAAGTTTCCAAGATACTTCTTGTATGTCTCGACCATCTGAATCTTTGGCGATGTGTCTTCTGCTTTCCTAGGGAAGGCATGTGCTTTAGTATTGAAGAGCGGCGGAGGATCATCGTCTCCCACCGACGGAAGCATCACGTGCTCATAGCTCACCCCACTACCTGGAAATATTTTAGCTGTCCTCATCATAGTGCAGAGTACTCCGTCAGACCCAGACTGGTCTGAATCCCATGAGATATCGTTGATACGGATTACTCTCTTTCTTGCGGAAAGGGTCACCTCATGCCCTACCAGCCCAAGAATCTTCCTCTTCTCCTGCTCAGCACCCATCATTTCTCTCCATACCCTCTGGACGCCTGCCATGGAGACCCTGCACCTCTCTGGATCCCGTAGCAGGCCTTTTCTCCTTCTCTTCCTTTCAATCTTGCGAAGGATGTTAATAATGTTATTTTCCCTGTATCCGATCTCCCAGTCTCTGCCAAACACAACTTTCCTAGACTGTCTTAAAACATCTATCACCATCAAGACCCCAGCCTCTGCAGCATATTCGGCCACCATCTTCACCTTCTCGGCCTCATCTGCAGCTTTCTCGAGGCCTCTCTTATCGGGAATGCAGGCGTACCTGATTTCCTCCTTACGGCTAAAGGGAAGATGCTTTTCAAAGTCACAAAGGAATGCCGGTGCATTCTTCAGGGCACTCGGCCTCTCAAACTCCTTCTTAATCAACTCCATCTCCAGGGCCAGGCGTGCTGCCAACCTCCTTCTTCTCTTCCTGGCCTGGATCCCCGGAGAGATGTCTTCGCTCTCTGTCTCTTCCATTCTCCTCTTTCCTTCTATCCTGTTTGTTTTTATTTAAAAATTTTGCAATGGATTATTGAACGGGACAAGCCGTCAGAATACCTGACAAGTGGAAGGAGGGAGGCGGTGGCTTCTGTAATGTGATGTTTTCCATGTAGAAATAGGCTGGGAATTTTAGGGCCCCAGGCTGATGAAACAGCTAGACCTTCTGAGGAGATTTGTATCTGGCCAGAAGAACCTGGAAAAAGAGTTTGTGGAGGCGCTTCTTAGGAATGATGTGGCAAGGAGCATCGAGCTCGGGAAGATGCTCTTTTCCAGAAGCCCCATGTTCCTTGTGACCTCCCTCCTTGTCAGCTTTCTAGACAGCCCGACAGACGAGAGTAAGAAGAATCTTTTCCTGAAGTCTCTGGAGAATGCTACTATCAAGAGCAATCTGATCTGGATGCTGTACAAGAGAGGGCTGCTGGTCGAGGATCTGCATCACTATGTCCAAAGAATTGCTTTTAAGGACCATATGTATTACCTCGTTCTCAAGGAAGCATGCATACACGGACACCATGGGCTTCTTGAAAGAGGAGCGATTCCAGAGTGTGTGGAGTTTCTTCTGGACAATCTGGACGACTGGGACCTGTACAGGTATGCGCTAGACAACGGGATAGACCTTCGGAGGCGAGAAAGCCTGAACCATGAGTATTATCTTCTTCACAAGCTGAAGGAGAGGGGCAGGGCCATCGAGCTGCTGAAGTCAAGGTTATGCTTCAAGGAGATAGAATACATTGCTGAGATGGTGGGTCTGGAAAGCCATCCTCAAGAGGCAACCGACTGTGTGGTCCAGCTGATGAGAAATGGATTTGGAGAGGACCTCTTAAGAAGGGCATATGGGGTGTATGCGAAGGACCCGTCTGTGTTCAATATAAAGATGTTGATTGCAGTCCTAGTGTCGGCAAGAAGGGCACCGCTCCTCGGGGTGGCTCTGTATCTAGCCTTCAAGCACAGGAGGGACCATCAAGGGAACTATGAGGTGCTCCTGATCTTTGCATTCCTGTGCAGATACTTCTGCTTCTATCCACACGTCCTAGAGTGCCTGGACTCCATGGGTGTCAAGAATGCGCAGGTGCCAAATCTATCGTTTATCTGGTCTGACATACTCATTACCAAGGGAATAAAGGACGACACTCGGAGGAAGGGAGCTATCAACAACATCCGGGGGTGCATGGACGACCTAGACAACAGCATCAGGCATTTCATAAGTGGTGGGAACTTTGCACATGTTGTCGATGCTCTGGAGCTTCGGAGGTCTCTCAAGGAATCGGTGATACTCATGGAGCTGGAGAAGAGCAGAATAATTGGAAGCAACCCCAACAACAGTTTCCGCTATCTTCTGGGGACGTGGGGAAGCTATCTGTTTGAGAAGATGACTGTCGAGAAAGTGCCCAAGGGGAAGGGGATGTTTCTGACTGATTTCTATGTTTCAGGCTCCTGCAGCTTGGACGAGGTGTTGGAAAATGGGCTATGCACGATTGAGTCGGAGGGTTTCAAGGCCTTCTTTGAAGAGATGGTCCGGTATCAAGAGAGCATAAATAAATGAGGGTGGATGAAGCAGTTTTTGGGCAATAGCCCGGATGCCATTGGGGTATTAGAACTCTGAGCAAATTTTTGCCCTGAAAATGGAGGGAGTGATGAGCGAGGCGCCTCAGTCGTCTATTAGGAAGAAGGAGTATGAGGCAAGGATGTCTAGGATAAGGAGTAGGCAAGAGAAGGAGTTCAGGGAGAGGAAGAGTGCCAATGCAAGATATGCAGAGGAGACGACGGAGAAGCTGTTGAACAAGTACTACGAACAGGAAAGAGAAATTCTTGAAAAGAAGTCAAGCATGAAGAATGGATTCTATGTTCCAAAGGAGGCGGAGTTTTTTGCGGTGATCTTGATCAGGTCAAAGTGCAACTGCCCTCCTAAGGTTAGGAAAGTCCTGGAGCTTTTCAGGCTGAAGAGGATCAACACCTGTGTACTTGTAAGGAACAACAAGTCGACCAGAAAGATGCTCCAGATAATCAAGGACCATGTCGCATTCGGAACGATTGGGATGGAACTGCTCCGGAAGCTTGTGTACACAAAGGGGAGTGGAAGAAACGGGCATGTCCGGGTCAAGCTTACAAACGAGTTCATTGAGGACATGTTTGATGGGAAGATCAGGTGCATTGAGGAGCTCGTGCACCATATCTACAACGGAACTGAGATGTTCAAGAAGGTCAACAGCTTTCTATATCCGTTCCACCTAAGCCCGCCCCGTGGAGGATTCAAGGGACAGAAGTCCAAGAGTTTCAACGATGGAGGCAGTGTTGGAAACCATCAGGACCTACTGAGCAATCTCCTTGAAAGGATGATTTAATAAACCATTGGACCTATTTAGCCTATGTGGAGGGATTTGTATCTGCCTGGTTGTGCATGGCCCGGAGGAATGGCATGTCCCCGTGCCTCCAAATGTGGGTAGGGGCCCTCTCCGGGAAATAACATTTGGGAAAATAATTAACCGTCCAGGGAGCCACATCATGAAGATGAATGATTCGAGCAAGCTGAAGAAGTTGTATCAAATAGAGGAGAAGAAGTTTGCAGAGAGGGTGAGGAGATACGAGGATATAGGGCACATGATGGATACACATCAATTTTACTTGGAGGATGTTGTGCTAAAGAAAGAGGAAATGCTTTACAAGTACATCTCGCCCTCCCAAGGCATAGCCGAGCTTTCCGAGGAGGACAGTCTAGGCTTTGATTACGAGTTCATACACAAGAGTGTTGGAAACAAGGAGTGGAGGGGAGGGATTTCGACCGGCGAGATGATAAAGGTCAGAAAGTTGCCCTGCACCAACCTAGCTCACGGAGGTGAAAGGAATGCCCGCACATCCTCGAGAATGCAAAAGACAAAGGGAGGAAGGGTGTATGCATGTGAAATAGAAGGATGCAATAAAAAGTACACGTCTTCCTTTGGACTTAAGTATCACATGAAGGAAGGTCACTCCGAGGAGAAGATGAACATATTCAAGCCCTATGTCTGCCCATTTTCCGGGTGCGACAAGAAGTACAAGAACAACAACGGGCTTAAGTACCACATAAAGCACTACCACGACGGCCAGACGGCCTGAATACCGTTTCTCTCACCCTGGGAATTATTAAAGAGTATACCTGGCCCTTCCACTTCCTGTAACCAAGCCGCTCTGCAACCCGAAGAAGAAAAGGCTTTATTCAAAGACGACCACTATTCTAGGGAACTCGCCCTCGTCGTCATCTGTTATCACGTCCAGCACAACGAACATCTCGTCTGGCCTTCTGTTGACCAATTCTCCAACGGTCTTCTCCAGGTTGTCTGCATACTTCGAGTCGAAGTCCCAGTAGATCAGAGAGTTTCCTGCCGTCACCATCGATATCTTCCTTTTGAACTGGATCTCAAAGGCTTTGAGGATTGTTCCCAGTTTGGAGTCCTTGTATTCCAGCCTGTTCCACAGTGTGAATGTGTACTTCTTGTTCTCGATCTTGTAAGAGTGCTTTACAGGCTCCACAGGGTCTGTGCTAGCAAAGAAAGGAAGAGCCAGGTTGAGGAACGAGTTTTTGTGCTTTGTGTAATCCACTCCCAGGGCATACTTTATCATCTCCAGAACTGCCAGCCCAGAAACAACGGCTGTTGTCGTTGCTATGGCTGGGATTATTCTTCCTGCAATTCCCTTCACAGTGAGCCTGTCTGCCTGCTTTATCTTGTAGTTTATTGCCCTCAGGTTGGCTGCTGCATACAAGAAGTCCACATGAAAGTTTGTGTCGTCGTCCTTCTCAAAGATGCAGGGCACTATTGCAGAAGGATCTATGCATGGCCTTGGCGATTCCTCCACGCAGGTGTTGTCTGCTGCGCTTGAAAGCTCCTCCACCAGGATCTCATTCTTCACAAACTCAACAACCATCTCCTTCGATATCTGCTGTTTGATTCCAAAGTTGAGGCTGAATATGTTTGCAGCGCTCTGGACAAACAGGATATGGAGGTCGTTGTTAACGTCGAAGCTGACCGTCATAGGAGGTCTCTTTGGAGGCATCCAGAACGGCTGGCCCTCCTTTGTCTTTGAGTCTGGAGGAAATGCCGTTATGAGGTTCTTGATCGACGTGTGGAACAGCTTGACAAAAAGCAAGATTCCGTTTCGAATGCACTCCTTGCCATTAGTAGGTATTTTGTCGACAACATCTTCCATAGCTTCGTTGCTGGGCTCTTCTTCTCTTTCTTCCTCAGAGGTGCCCTCCTTCTCTCTACTCAGATACTCTTTTATAAGGAGTATCTCGTCATGGAACTTGAATTCAAACTCACTTCTTGCCCACTCGATCGTATGCTCTATAGCATATGGGAAGTTTTTGATTGTGCACAGGGGAATGGACTTTTCCGGGGGATCCTGGCTCGACCCGTAGCTTTCGGTGTGGAACGGTACAACAACCTGTACATTCCCCTTTGTCCCTGATGTTCCTGCGTCGACCATGAACTTCCTATTCACAACACACCTTCCATCAACATACACTCTTGCATCCACGTTGTCCAATGCAGTTGCCACAACATCAACAGACTGGAAAAACCTGTCGCTGAACACTGTCTCTGTTTCCTTCCCAGCCTTCAGGTTGTAGTAGATGAGATTCGGCTGCGCGGAGCCGATGCACGATATCCCATTCGTCATCTCCGAGACTCCTCTTTCAGGCTCCTCCGAATCAGCTCTTCTAGGAACCTTCAGGAAGTCCTCGTTTAGTAGCATGGCCTCCCGGACCGCAATCTCTGCCTTCATGCTCGACACATCCCCAGACCTGAACAAGAACTGCCTGTTCAGATTAGACTGCTCAATAGCATCCATGTCGGTGACGCTTATCCTTCCATTGCTCCCAATCCCGCACATGACCATGTTCTTCAGGTGCTCGCACCCAATCGCCCCGGCTCCGACCATGAAAACATGCAGCCCAAAGAGCCTTTCAACACATCTCTTGCCGAGGCATCTTACCATCGGTCCGTACCGCCCATAGTCCCTCCCATCGTCCTCAGGGTCATTGGGGATCACATCCACAGCATCAAAGTAGAAGAACTGGTGCAGGGGCGTGAACTTGCTTCCCACTCCCTTCAAAACCTCTTGGGCCACAAATCCACCAATCACAGAGCACATCGGCATAAGCATTCCCCCACACTGCTTTCCAAAGGACCGTATCAGAGCCTCAAACTCAAAGTGGCTTTTGTACTTTTTGACAAAAAACGACAGAAACCCCTCTCCACTCAACTCCTGCCCGCTCTGCTCCATGTATTCTCCAAGCGCAACAAAGCACTTGTGAATAACAAGACTCCTCTCCTCGACCTCATGGTTGAATCCAAGAATCCCAGGTTCATCAATCGTTCTTCCAAGAGGCTTGAAGGATATCATGATGGGCTTTTTCTGCTGCTCAAAGTCTCCTCCATAAACGGGCTTGAACTTTTCTGCCTTGAACTCCATCTCCTCCTCAAACATCCTGACTCCATCGATACTCTGCAGCATCACCTGGGTCGGAGACACAGCTTTGACCCGGAAGTACTTCCCCTCGTACTCGTCGCACTGGGTTATCTTGATTATGTCGTAGTCTTCGAGATTGTGCCTCTGTCCATCAACAACAGTCATCACGCCATCCTCGCTTATGTCGTTGATCATCCCACTCGCAGGTATCTCGCCAGTCCTGTCCACACAGACAAATTCCGCTCCAAAGTCACAGAACACCTGTGAAAACAGGCCCCTGACCTGGCATCCGATGAACATACACCCGTCCTTCCTTGCCATCTCGTTCAGCCTTATCTGCTCTCCATAGCTTTCGTTGCATGCAACAACAATATCATATCCTTCAAAGCTATTTACATCGCTGACAACATCAACATCAACATACTCATTCATCGACCGGAACCTACCCACCACACTGGCATCTCTGGGCTTCCCTATGTCTTCCTTTCGAAGATAGAATCCGCTGCACAAATCCTCCTCAGATACCGCCCTGTCGTCAAAAAGTGCTACCTTGCTTATCCCCGCAAGGCACACATTCTTCACAACCTCTTGCCCAAGGCCGTCCAGCCCCATCACAAGAACCTTGCTTCCCATCATTTTTTTCATCGCTTCCTTTCCAACCACATACAGCTGCCTCGAGTACAAAGACTCATCTATATCAACATCTGCATTGTTTTTCATTTTGGGGTCCAGAAACCTTGCCTTTTTACAAGTCGCAAATCCGTTCCTCTAAGTCCCAGGGCTCCTTGCTGCCAAGCTCCTGTCTCCGCCGCCGCTCAGCTCCATCCTCTCGGCACTCACCATCTGCACATCCAATCCATCGAAAAACACCACCACCAAGGCCTTGTTGACGGAGGCACATGTTCTCTGCACACCAACAATGTCCAGGAGGGTGTGCCTCCTGTCTATCAGAATCCCATACCTCGAATGCACCTTCGACGGGCAGTCCGTGTACAGCAGGAGATCAACTCCATACTTCAGTCCATCCCCCACCACAAACCCCCTCTCCTGAAACATCCTTCTCAGAACCTCTCTCTTCTCCTGATGGGTCCCCATATCAAAGGCCTCCCCTCCCAGCCATAAAAACACCGTCCCCTGCCACGAAACAACAACATCCCTTTATTTCACTCTACTTCACAGAATCTCCAGATCCCCCATAGAGTCAGAGGGAGTCCTCACCATCCAGTCAAACACTCCATCGCTTCGAAGTCCTCTCTGCCGAAGTGCATCGCTGAGCAGTGTCCTTAGATATGCGTAGTTCGGCATGTCCTCGTATCCAAGGTTCCGGACATAAAAGCAGAACGAGTGTATTTCCTTTGGAAGCCCCATGCACAGCTCGTACAGAGATATGCTCTCCTTGCTTTCCCGGATCCTGTCGTACTTCTCCTGCTTTGTCTTTGCCTTCAGCCCCTGCCAAGGAAGCCTCCCCTTGAGAAAATACACCATACAGAACCCAACGCTTTCGAGGTCGTCTCTCCTGCTCTGCTCATATCCCTGATGTGTCCTCAGAGAGGCATATCTTGCTGTGCCCGTCAAGGACTTGTCCGTCCTCATCTCCCTGTGCTTGAATGTCATTGGATTCCGAAACTCCTTCGCTAGTCCGTAGTCTATCAGATACAACCTGTCCCCCTGGACATCAAATACAAAGTTGTCTGGCTTGATATCCCTGTGAACATAGTTTCTATGGTGCAGGTACTCTACATTGTCAACCATCCTCTCCCCTAGCATCAGCACAGTCTTCAGGGAAAAGCGCCTGCTGCACGTAACAAATAGCTGCTCTAAAGACTTTCCCATAAGCTCCATCACCAGCCCATTGACATATACATTTTCATACAGGATCTTCCCATACTCGTAGATCCTCGGTGTGCGGGTGCCCCCAAGCGCCTTATACACCCCATACTCGTGCTTCAGCTGCCCATAGTGTGCCTTCTTCTCCAGCTTCACTGCAACCGTCTGGTTTGTCACCGTATTCTGCCCAATAAATATGTCTCCAAAGGCCCCTGACGCAATCTTCTGCACCAGCTTTATATTTCTGATCTCTGTTGTCATTGTCCTATTGGAGTGGTTCCAGGGATAACAAAAAGATTTATTTCTCAGCTCAGGCAGGGTCCGGGGCATCTACACGCGTGGCACTCCATCCTGCGAGCAAAAGTCGTGGAGTCTTTGGAGGATGCCTTGCAACTCCCCTAGAAAATAGGCTCCTGTAATACCCTGAATGTTAAGGGAGCTCCAGAAGCAGAGAATAAAGGCATTCTTAGTTGCACCAAACAACCCCTGGAAGATCCTGGTCCTTGATAGCCGTACCCAGCAGATCATTGGGCCTTTGATGAAGGTCAGCGAGCTCAGAGAGTGTGGAATAACAGCACACTTCTTGGTAACCCAGGAAAGGCACCCCATTTCCAACACTCCGGCGGTGTACTTCGTCGAGAGTGCAGACGGAGTCCTGGACGACGTCCTCGCCGAGCTGTATTCGGAGTACTACCTCAACTTTGCCACATCTGTAACCAGGGGGGAGATTGAGAGCCTGGGCCTTGGGCTGTCTGAAAGGGGCCTTGGGCTCCGGATAAGATCTGTCTATGACCAGTTTGTGGACTTCATTGCCTTACAAGACGACATGTTTACTCTTGGGATGAAAGGCAGCTTTATTGAGATGGAGAATCCGGACACGTGGAGGAGAATGGTGATGTCAGTGATGAGTGTGTTTGTGACACTTGGAGAAGTCCCGTTCATAGTGGCTACGGATGACGATGTGACTACCCAGATGGCAAGGATGCTCGAGACAAAGATAAGAAACACAGGAGTTATCAAGAGGGGCAGCAAAAGGCCGGTGCTGGTTCTTGTGAGCAGGAGCCATGATGTGATTACTCCTGTGCAACATGTGTGGAGTTACAGTGCGCTAATGAACGATCTTTTTGCGCTTGAGTCCAACAAGATAACACTGAAGAGTGGAAAGGTCTTTGATCTGGATCCCCAGGATGAGCTCTGGAGGAGAAACGCCAACGAGTATTTCCCGGTTGTGGTTGAGAGGGTTGAGAAGGAGCTTCTTGAGTACAAGAAGGAGATGGCGCTCAGGAGCATCGACGAGAAGACAGACAAGAAGGTTATCCAGGAGGCTCTTGATAAGGCCCCCGAGCTAGCCAAGAGAAATGAGTCTGTGAATGCCCACATATCGATATGCTCGGAGATGGTTGAGATGATAAAGGAAAGAGCCATCGACGACTTCTACAAGGTTGAGAAGGGAGGCCATACGAACCAGGAGCTAATAGAGTTGTCTGAGAAGGGAAGCGACGAGGATGTCCTAAGGCTGGCCATTCTCCTTCTCAACACCAAGGACTTCGATCTGATTGATCCGCTGCTCCGGAAGAGGAAGATAAAGTCGAAGGCCATTGAGTTTTTCAGAAGGCATGGGGGTACCCGGTCGGAGAAGTTGGGGACTCTTTACTCGCAGGTGGTCACCAGCCTCATGGGAAATGTAAAGAAGCTGCTTCCTGTGAAGGAGCAGACGCCCATATCGTCCCTTGTGGAGACTATCTATGGAGATATCAAGTCCCAGATATACTCAGGACTCAGGGTGTTCGACTCCATGGGATCCAAAAGCATATATGCCAGCGAGATCTCGAGGCTCGTTGTTTTTGGAGTAGGAGGAGGAACTTACACGGAGCTGAAGACTCTGAAGCTCCTTGAGGAAAGAATAGGTGTTCCAATCATATATGGGTCAACGGAGATCCTGAATGCACGGGAGTTTCTTAGGCAGGTTGAGGGCAGGATGAGTCTAGATTAAAAGCTCTTTTTTATTGTACCCACTTCCATTTCAAGCTTTCTATCTACATCTGCTGCCGATGTGCTGCTGTCTATAACTGAAATATATTGCGAGATTAGAGTCTTCCTTCCCCTGAACCTGTTTTTGCTGAAGGCCTTCTCAACGAGGTACCGGAGCCACAAAACATTGCTTGCAGGAACGAATCGGGACCAGCATCCAGAGCACAGCTTGCGCATGTCTCTGTAGACCCTAAACTGGATGTCAACAGCCTCGTCTCCTTCAAACAGCCATTGCTTGCTATTCAAGTCATTGAATATCACTGCGCCCCCGCTCCTCAGCCTACTGAGCGAAAAGTCGATCAGATTTATCTGTCCCTCTCTAATCAGGATGTTTCCCCAGTGAAGATCTCTGTGCTCAAACTCGTACTTCTTTTCGAGATTTGCCAGCACCCTTACGGCGCTCCTAATGAATGCATCTACTTCTGCAATCTTCTGGAATTTGATGCTTTCCAGGCTCTCTCCCCCGTCCTCCATTACTATCACCCCGTATTCTTGCTCGTCTCGATACTTGCAGGGCCTTTCGTTCTCCTCCTCTCCATAGTCATCCCAGGCCTTGAGATATTCCTCCGGGTATCTGCCTGCCACCAGAAATACATCCTTAAGCCCGCACACACCGTCTTCTCCTGAAATGGTCCTGAATATGATGGACTCCCTCAAAAATGACGAGAGAGATGTTTCATCGGGTGTGTCTCCTAGCGGGACTATCTTGTAGACCAACGGTCCATGTGCAAATACTTCGCTAAACGTTGCCTCTCCAATCTTCTTAACATTCTTCGGCATCCTGTCAAACGGAACTTTCCTCAGAGCCCCGACCTCAGGCATTCCGCCATATGAAGACTGCAAACTCTCCGTTCCTTGACTCTGTCCACCTACAAGGCCGTCTGTCTCTTTCTTCTTTCTAAATGTTATGTTCTGTATCCGGCATGTCCTCCTGGTCTCTGAGTCCAGAAAGCTCTCGAATCCTAGACTTTCGTCATATGTTTCACTGGAGCTCAGGATGTCATGGTTCACCACAGAGTTTCCCTCTCCTTTGTTCTCAAGAGTAAGGGACTCACGCCTGTGCCCAGCTCTAAGTTCTATGCTGTGGACACTAGTAAAGCTGCTCCAGTTCTCTGAATCGTCGGAAGAACTGGAGGCAAGATCACATGGATGGTCTCTCCTCTGGCTGGTATTTCCTGGGGATGCGTCGATGGAAAAGTCGCTGGAAGACAGGCGACCGGAGTCAGCAATCTTTCTTCGGATATCGTCGAAAGCTCTTCTTGCGTCCTCACAGATGGTGCCGTGGATCGAGCTCCTCTTCCTTCCAAACTTCTTCATAAACATCCACAGGGCTGTTTATTTTCCAGGTAACCTCTAAATCATCCCGGCGGTAGCCCCCTAATGAAGGAGTCAGAGGTGATTGGGAAAGTCGAGGAGGTGTTCGGAATGGAAGACCCAGCAGTCCTTCCTGGGCGTGTTCGGAGTGTGATTGACGAGATTCTGGAAGGTGGGGTGTTTCCAGTTTCCCATCCGTTCTATAGAGATTTTATGAGTCTTAGCTTCGATGTTCTCTATCCGGACATACAACAGCCCACCGAGCTTCTGAAGAGATCTGGGTTTTCCAGGGACCAGCTTGAGGGGGCAGAGCTCAGGAAGTTGGTTGATATGGTGCGCCAGGTGAGCCCGGAAGATGCCGAGGGCTTGTTGAGGCCATTCGAAGACCCGAAGCCAAAGAGAAGAAAGAAGGTTTCGTGGGGAGCCAATCTCATCCAGGTCAAGGAGATAGAAAAAACAGTGATGGCTCCCGAGGCAGATTATCTGGGATCGGATCCAACAAGCACTTCAGGAAAGTCGCCGGATAGCCTTGAATGGATTGTTCCCCAGAAGCTCACCTGTGGATACGACGACGCTAGGTCTCCTGGGCTCCTGGAGCAGGAAAGGAGGGAGGCAGGGTCGATAAGGATGTACAACACAGAAGAGCACAGAAAGTTTTCTCCGGCGCGGTGTGTGGACCCCGGAGAGGACAACGAAACGGTGGTAGTTCCCGTCATGAGCTTTGTGAAGAACAAGGTGCCCCTCTTCGACTTCAAGAAGATAGTTGAGAACAGATTTAGAAACATGGCTGCGATCAATGAGATTCTAGAAGACCCCCGGGTTGTAGATGCACTTCTTGCCAAGGAGGAGCAGAGCTTGGTTGCAAAGCAGCTTTAATAGAACAGATGCTATTTGTAGTAGTAGTGGAGGAATAGGAGGATGAAAGACAGACAAAGCAACAGAATAAACAAGAATCTACGAAGAAACTGTCCCGAATTCTTTATCTTTCCTAGCGCTTCGTTGCTGCCTGAAACACACTTTCCAGCCCTTGATGTGAGGTCTATTATGCCGTCTATCCTCTCATCCTGAAGAGTCAGGTGTTGGAAGATTGTGTCCTGAAGGGCCTCGACCTCGAGAAGTCGTCTCCTCGTTAGCCGATATCCCTCAATGTTGTAGCCCTCCACCAGCCTCTTGTTTTCCTCCTCCATCATCTGAACCTTCTCGACGTTCCTGAATGTCTGTGGCCTTTCCGGCTCAAGATCGATGTTCATTCCCATCTTTGAGTCCTTGAGGCTCCTGAGCCTTCTCTCAACCCTTTGCAGCTTCGTCTCGATGATCTTCTTCACGCCTTCAAAGTGGAGCACGATGTCTGCAGGCCCCTCGACGGAAACCACATCGAGTGTCTGGCGAGCTTCGAGGGAAAGGGTGCTGAACTCTTCCTCTACCCTGAGTATCTCTCTGTACGACAGGGGCCTTTCCAGCCTCTTCTCGGTCTTTCCTATCTTCCTGTTGATGGTGTCGTAGAAGCTTTCGTGGTCTGAGGAGTGCGGAACCTGTGTTTTCTTGTCTATGTACTGCAGATACTCTGTTGTTCTGTTCATGTGTGAAGCCTGAGAGATAAGGGCTTTGGCGGAGCCCTAATATGATTCTTGGAGACTATGTCCTTGCGGTCCTCGAAACAACAGGAAACGCCTTTGTCGTTGGATGCTCGACGGCATTTGCCAGCGGCATGCTTAGGAGGAGAGACGAGCGTCCCTACTCCAGGCAGCCGCTGAGGAGTGGAGGGGAGTTAGCAAAGCATGCCATGCTTTACTCGACGCTGTACTACGGGCTGGGTGCTGCAAGGGCCTCTGGATGGGTCAGGCTGCTGGGATCGTCGTTCATTGCGTCTTTCATATGTGGCGTACGGAATGGAAGAGGCTTTGGGATCAGGAGTGGAGTCGGTGGAATGGCAAGCTCCGTTGCGCAGGAAATCGTTAACAAAATAAGGGGAGATTAGGGCCGAGATTCATTTAGGAGGCTGGAAGACCTGGAGAGTTGAATATACGGGAATCTTTTAGCCCCGAGATGGACTCCGAAGACATGGGGCTAGTTGACGATGTAGACCGTGCTTTGCAGAGAATCAGGGAGGAGGGATCGGTCGATTGCTTGAAGAGGTTTCTGCATGAGCACAGATACGATCTGGGATATGTGGAAAAGTTTTATGGGGCGTTTGTTGCCAAGGGAGATGGCTGGGGAGGTGATGTCTACGAGATGTTTGGGAACTACTTTCTCCAGAGCAGATCATATGGTAGCGTGGTTGGGGTGCTTGCACCATGGCTTGAGTCTGTGAAAGGAAGATACAGTGCTGAGGAGTGCATGAGGCTTTTTGGATACTTCAACAGGATGTATGATGGGATGTCCGAGTCCACAAGGGAGGGAGTGTGCGGGAGGCTCCTCGAGATTCTCCTGGACCTTGGGTGGGTACTGGGAGGAAACGGGGCGCTGTTTGAGTCGTATGTCGTGTGCGAAAAGGTGTGCGAGATGATAGCACTGGCGGGGAAGTTCTCGTCGAAGTCCATGGCAATACTGTACATGGAGCTTCTCTGCACCTTCTTTATTGAATCTAGTATGCTTTTTTCGTATGCCAATGCCATCAATGTTCTTGTATCTCTGGATCCCGGGTCTATCTATGGACAGTGCAGCATTGAGGATTTCCAAACGATATGCTCGTATGCGCGCATCAAGAATGAGGGAGACAGGCACAGGAAGCTGTTCTGCAAGAGCAAACTCTCTGATCTAAGCGAGGTTCTTGCCAATGTCACGAAGAGGTGCTCTGGAATGGACGTGTCTCCAGACACTCTTGTTCGAAGAAGATTTGACTTTGAGATGTGGGGTAGATATGCAGAAAGCGTCGGGAAGCGCATTTCTGTTGGAGAGAACATGGATCTGATTGCGTTTATGAAGAGGAACGACCTTGGGTTTGCTGTTGAGGGCGGAGTTGTTTGTGTGGACGGGTTTGATTACAAGACTGTTGAGAAGAAGGTGTTTGAGATTATTGATGAATACAGGGAAAAGGCAGAGGCTACCTTCAAGCCTGTTGTGGAGAGGAGAAGGATTCCTGGGGCAAGAAGCATTGCGAAGAAGGAGCAGCCTGTGCGCCCAAGAAAAGCTTCTAGGTTCCACGATAGGTTTACCATGCCCTACAAGAAGATGAAGGCGTATTCGAGATATTACATGAAGAATGCAGGAGGAATAGAGGATATCTGGTATGAAAGGAGGAATGAGGAGATGAGGAGGGTATTCGAGGAGGAGGAGGATCTGCTGAGAAGAAGAAGAGAGGAGCTCCGAGCATATGTCCCTCTTGTTGAGGAGATGGGGAAGAGCCTATCCAGGAAGATTGAGGAGTCGGCCAAGAAGATTGAAGCCCCCGCTGTTAAAGCCGCCAGATCCACACATTGGAGAAGCGAGGTTGATGACGGCAGAGCATACAGGCCTCCAAGTGTCCATCTGCCCAGAGCCCAGAGAGCCTATGTCCCCCCACCAGGTGCATTCAGACATTCGCCATCAGAAGACTCTGGAAAGCAAGATGACTCGAATCCATTTAGAAGGAACAGGACTCCGCGTAACAGCTCTTGGTACGCCGCCAGTAAAGATGGAGAGTCAGAAAAGAAAAGCGATTAGGAGATTAAAAAGCTGGGATCACCCATCCATGAATAATCAGCCTCCGTAGCCCTGCATGGCTGTGACGGTTCCTTTGAAGCTGCTACACGAGTCGCAGGGATTTATTGTCACTGTTGAAACAAGCAGCGGAGACATGTACAGAGGACGCGTCAGAGAGGTTGATGATTACATGAACCTGGTTCTGGATGATGTGGTTGTCACATCGAACAATTCGAGCCTATCGAGGAAAGAGGTTCTCATCAGGGGATCAAGCATTAGATTCTTTGTTCTGCCGCCCGCGCTGAAGTTTGCCCCATTCTTTGGGAAAGCAAGGGCTTGACTGTGGAAGAGGTGTTTATTAAATACTTTTCCCTTTGCCTATAGGGAGCTTGAACGGAGAAGGGGGTCTTGAGGACTCCTTCTCTGCTATCATGGCGACCAGTGTTCCTATGACCAAGATGACGACGACCATCACGAACACAGTGAATATCTTCCTTTTGTTGATGATTGGTATTCTTTTCTTCTGAGGGCCGAACTGGAAATTCACAGACAGGGCATCCAGTGCATTTTCCTGGTAAAATATCTTGCTCCGGAAGCAGTTGTTTTCAAGGAAGTTTGCCTGGTTCCCGACATACTCTGCCCTCAAGGGTGTGTCTGAGTCGTATCTCAGCTTGAAAAAGCTGATTTCGTGGATCTGCTCTTGGTTGATTGGGTCCTTGAAGTTCTTGATTCTTATCTTCCTGCCCTCTGTGGAAATGACCATCTCGAATATGTATTTACAGAGCTGCCGGGCATCGTAGCAGTAGTATATGTTCTTCCCATCCTCGGAGCTGCTCTTGCACTGAACCCTCGCAAGATAGTAGTCCTGGGTCCTTGAGTGCGCCTCTTTTATCATGTCTGCAAACTGCTTCTGTGTGAACGGCTCAACCTTAACAGCCTCGAGAACACAACGGGATCCATTTGCCTTCTCCAGCAGATATGCCATCACTGTGTTTCGTCTGGCCAGGACAATAAATCCGGGCGTCCAAAACTTGTTTCAACTTGCTAGACCTATCAGCATGGACTCGATAACAGGCCAACAAGACTAAACCAGAGAACCAGGCCAGAAAGCATACGATTAAATCCTTTAATTAACTAGAAACTCCTCAGCATCCTCGATCGTTGCATCCTGGTACTGCTGGTACTCGGAAAGCAGGTCGTTCATGTTCGACTCGGCCTCGGAGAACTCCATCTCGTCCATCCCTTCTCCAGTGTACCAGTGCAGGAAGGCCTTTCTCCTGAACATCACCGTAAACTGGTCAGAAATCCTTTTGAAGAGCTCCTGGATCGATGTCGTATTTCCGACAAACGTTGCAGACATCTCAAGACCCGTCGGTGCAATGTCACAGACCGCAGTCTTCACGTTGCTTGGGATCCACTCCACAAACAGAGAGCTGTTCTTCGACTGCACCATAGACATCTGCTCATCTACATCCTTCATCGAAATCTTTCCGCGGAACATCGCTGCAACAGTAAGGTATCTTCCCTTCCGAGGATCGCATGCAGTCATCATGTTCTTCGAGTCAAACATCTGCTGTGTAAGCTCAGAGACAGAGTAGGTCTTAAACTTCTGTGTGCCTATTGCAATCAAGGGCGCAAATCCGGCTACAAAGAAGTGGAGCCGAGGAAACGGAATCATGTTGACTGCAAGCTTCCTGAGGTCTGCATTCAGCTGCCCAGGGAACCTCAGGCACGTCGTGACACCACTCATCACAAGGGAGACAAGGTGGTTCAGGTCTCCATATCCGGGGTTGTTCAGCTTCAGAGTTCGAAAGCAGATATCGTACAGCGCCTCGTTGTCAATGCAGAACGTCTCATCCGCATTCTCAACCAGCTGGTGGATCGAAAGCGTTGCATTGTAGGGCTCCACAACCGTGTCGCTCACCTTTGGCGATGGCACAACAGAAAATGTACATATCATCCTGTCTGGAAAGTCTTCCCTTATCTTCGACAGCAGAAGGGTCCCCATCCCTGCTCCCGTTCCTCCTCCAAGCGAATGTGTAATCTGAAACCCCTGTAGACAGTCGCTCGATTCCGCCTCCTTCCGGACCACGTCCATGACAGAGTCAATGAGCTCCGCCCCCTCGGTGTAGTGCCCCTTTGCCCAGTTGTTTCCTGCACCGCTCTGTCCAAACACGAAGTTGTCCGGCCTGAACAGCTCTCCAAACGGCCCCTGCCGAACAGCATCCATGGTCCCAGGCTCAAGGTCAATCAGGACCGCACGAGGAACATACTTCTTCGAAGATGCCTCGTTGTAATAGACATTGATCCTCTCGAGCTGGTTGTCCGACGTCCCAACATACCTACCTGTCTGATCAATCCCGTGCTCCCCGCTGATCGTCTCCCAAAACTTGCATCCCACCTGGTTTCCACACTGTCCCGTCTGCAAGTGTATGATTTCTCTCATTTGAAGGGCAAATTTTTCCTTCGAATAAAACCTGGGCCTGACGCTCACCAGACAACACAATGCCATTCCTGCTTCCCTCTGGACGTTTGTGGCTCCTCTTCCCAGCCGCCTCCGTCCAGGCAAGAAGGTGCCTCTTGAGAAACTAAACAGAGCTTTACCAACCCATGGGAGAGCTCCTGGTCATAATCTCCGAGAAGAACGACATTGTTTACCAGAGAATGTATGACAAGACAAGCGACGGGGAGTACTGCAGACTCATCATCCTTATCTACGCATCAATCGACGTGCTGGTCTGGAAGATGGCATCTGTAAACACAAGTTACTTCGACTGCTTGGAGAGTCACGGAGACCTGAGAATCAGTGCATACATAATGCCCTCTGGATACAAGTCTCTGTTCATCCACTCCAGAAAGAATGCCCGCTCCTTTCTGGAGGGAGTCCATCGTGTGTTTGCAACGTCCCTCATATCATCTTCGCTGGAGGATGAGATTTTGGATGACCAGGGTCTGAATGATGGAGTGGATGAGGCCCACAAAGTCTGTCTCTAGCTCCCTGCGGAGACAGAAAACCCCAATTCCCGAGGCCCACGAAATGAAGTTCAGATTCAACGGGGCCAGCAATGTGGAGCTGAACAACAGGGAGATAGAGCTGACCAGGGAGGAGGTCGAGGGCTCGTCGATAGCCACTGTGGGCGATGCCCTGAGATATCTATTTGGTAAATATGCAGAGACCAGAGATAGTTTCTTCGACCATCACGGAGAGCTTGTGCACGGAACCATCTGCATTATAAACAAGATGGACTGGGAGATACTGGAAAAGGAAAGGAGCCCGGTGAAGCACGGAGACCACATCGTCCTCATCTCGACAATCCACGGAGGCTAGCCCGTCATTAAATTTTTTGGTCCACCCGACCCTTGGCATCATGATCTTCCGTTGCTGCTTTGAGGGCTGTGGAAAGTCGTTCCCCAGGAGGGCAAAGCTCAGCGACCATCTGAATACACATACAAGGAGCAGGCCGTACAAATGCGATATGTGTGAGAAGTCCTACATGAAGAATGGGCACCTCTCTGTGCACAAGAAGAAACACTTTCCTCCAGAGCTTGCATGCGAAAGATGTGGGTATATGTGCCACACAAGAGATAGATTGCACAAGCACCAAAAGGCGTGCCTAGAATACAAGTGCGGCATTTGCGGGAAGAGATACAGAAAAAGGTCCTGGTTCGATGTCCATGTGGAAAGTCATCATGTCAAGGTCTTTAATGCACCCAGGAGCAAGCATGTGTGCGAATACTGCAAATTCGAGTTCAACAAGAAGAGCAATCTCTCGACGCATGTGAGATCCGTCCATCTTCTGATGAAGCCGTTTAAATGCCCATGCGGCAAGGAGTATGCCCATAATGCATCTCTGGACAGGCATAGGAAGAAGTGTGCCTCCTGGAGCTATCCAGGGCTGGACGTCGCCAAGCCGCCTGCCGCCTCAAATTCGCTTTTGTAGAATTCACTAATAAAGCTCCATTCGTCCCTGTCGTTCCTAATCCCATCCAAGATCCCTCTGTAGTACGATCTGTCCTTCATGTACAGGGGATAGATCCTCACCATCAGCCTGTCCAGTCCCCTGTTCTTTTTCCACTTCTCAACAATCTCTGTGTTGACTCCGCTCTTCCTCAATATTTGAAGCAGTCCCTTCAACACAGCATAGTTCTCCTCGTTGCCTATGCACACACACAGTTTGAGGAACCCACGGGTGCTGAGGATGTGCGGGGTGCTGTATATCTTTTCCACCAGAAACATCTTCGGAGCAAACCTAGCATTCTCAAGAGCTAGAATACTCTCAAGAGCCATCTCCTCCGTGTATTCAACATTCCTCAGGACCCTGATTGCATTTTCAAGCACGCTGTCGCATTGGGACTGTCCTAGTAGCCTTACGAGCTCCATAGCCACATCTCCAGACAGCTTGTATCCCCTATCTAGTATCCTCGGTAGAAGCTCCAGATAGCTTTCCGGGTCAATGAAGAACATGTCGTAAATCCTGTCAACGTCGTCCTTCTCCAGGACATCGATGTTTATAGCCTTAAGGCACATCTTTCCAAGGCTGTCTAGCCTTCCTCTCCTGTATAATATCTCCATGAGTCTTTTGTTGGTGGAGGATGTAATGTCCTTCTTTACGACTGTTTTCAGTGCTGCCTCAACAACCCTGTCGCTTCTAGAGTCAAGGAAGCTCTCCACGTCCACCTCCGCTCTAAGGGCATACAAGCCCTCAAGGCCAAGGTATTGCATACTCTCGTCGTCCGAAGACAAAAGCGATGCCACAAGCTTGTTGATTCTTTCCACTTGACCTCCGCAGTTCCAGACCTCAGCAGCATCGATCCTTGTTTCCCGCCCTCTCTTTCTCCTGATCACTGGCTGGTCCACCCTGGCCTTGATCACAGTGCATTTGTCCTCTGCATTTTCCATCATGCTTTTCCTGACTGCACGGATCCTGTCACACACCGCCTTGCAGATAACGCCAAAGGTGCAGTCTTTGAAGTCCCGAAGCAAGGTGCCTATCTCCTCCACCCTAGCTTTCATAAACACAAAGTACAGGACAGAGTCAGAGCCCTCTTCGGAAATGTATCTCTTCAGAGTCTTGACGGTTGTTGGAGACATTCCTACCTCTATTCTGCAGTACGAGAGGAAGAACACAAAAAACTCAACAAAACTAGCAAGATCCTTTCCAAATCTGTTTACCCCCTGCAGAATGGACAGAATCTTGTCAACCATTTCTTCATCCCTCGCCAGTACCGACGTAACCTTGCCTGCCCTGTCAAGCCCACTTCCCTTGCAAATCCTTCTGTTTACTTCGTTGCATATAAACCCTACTCTCTCCCTGAAGAGGGTGTAGTCAATCCTATCGATTGGATAACAGTCATCATAAACATTTTCCTCCTGCGCCTCATCTTCCATCCTGGCCTTCTTTTCCGTACCCCACCGCTCACCTGCATTTCCATTGGCGCCATCCAGTCTTCTCTTCCACCCGTCTAACTTGCTGCACTTTTTTTGCTTCTCTCCGTCGCCTTCGCCCCGATCGCAGGGGAGAGACCTATTGTCTTGTCTGCTGAAATCGCTTGTTTCGGAAGCATGTCTTCTGGTCTTGTAGATTGTCTCCTCCGGAGTCTCCCTGTTTCCCGTCCTCTCACCAACAGGGGATGGCACATCAATACTGCGCCTTGGGAAAGCAGCAATCTTGTCTTCCCGCCCAGCCAAGGCTGCCGGATGGTCATGAAGATATTTGATCTTGTATTCAGTCGTCATCTCCTCAAACCACAGATCGATGTCAACTTCCATGTTGAAGTATCTGTTTCTTTTTATGAGATATCGGGTAAAGAGTTCCTTGTACCCGCTGGACACAATCCTCTTTGCAATCAGGTCTCTCTTTCGGCTGGTCGGAATCACTATTTCGTTAAACTGGTGCACCAGTCCCAAAAACTCATTGGAGTATCGCCTAAGCGCCTCCACAAAGTAATAGGCCGGGAGCTCCACAAGTTGCCCAAAGGTAGGCTTTTCCGGACTATCAAGAAAGCATGTGAAGCCTAACTTCCTTCTGACTTCCCCGATAAAGTCCCTTTCGTCCAGACATATCTCCTTCAGATATTCCTCAACCTCCTTCTTCCCAGCTCTCTTTCCTCCGGCAAACCTAAACTCACCCTCCCCAACAACAGAACCTGCAAGGCTCTCTGCACACGGGCCAATCTCCCGGATCTCCCCAGTATCCCTGTCAACATCAACTACAATCCTTCTCTCTCCCTCCTCCCTGGCAATCAAAAACTCCCTCTCAGGAGACGCCTTCAGAAGCCCCAGAAAATCCCCAAGCCTTGTCTTGGGCCTATGGTAAACAATAAGGAGCAGCACATCGGCAATCCTCGAATGCTCCATGAAGTCTTTGGCTCTCCTCTCGATAACCTGCGCCATGACCTTGAACAGCTTCCTGCATTCGCATCCTAGCACTCCAATCTCAACAACCTCCTCCGTCTTAATCGAGTCAAGATATCTCACAATGCTTTCTTCAGAAAGCTTCGCAAGAACGCGGTCGCTCAAAAACACATGTGCATCAACATGGCCAACAGCATCTATCAGGGCACCCAAGGCCCCGTCTCCAACCAAATCGTTGCTGATCAGGTATTCGAGGATCTTCTTTTTCAGTGGACTCCTGGAAATGGCTTCAGTAACCCTTCTGTTCGAGCAATCAACAACCAGAAGAACTTCCAAACACCTTCCAACCACCCTTTCAAAGGACGCCTCGAAAGAATCAAGCAGCAGATTGTTCACCCATGTGTATCCAAAAAACACAGACGGCAGAAAGCTAACGACTTCATCCAGAAACGACCCGTCAAGCTCATGCTTCCGTGCATACTCCCCAACAACTAGCGCCAGACACTCGTCATCACATGTTTCTTTCACAAATTCAAAATCGAGAAAGTGCGACAGCCTCCTTATGCACTGGAAGATGGCGTCTCTCTCGTGCCCCTCCTCCTCCATGTATCTCCCTTTCAGTACCAGAACCGCCTTCTTCTTGCAGAGCTCCTCCTCATACTCGTATATCTTGGTAAAGTACTTCAGACTGCTCGGACTGCACCCGCGAATGCACTCTAGGACCTCTTCTTCGCCAAGGGCATTCCTAGAATACTTGGAAAACATCTGCTCGAGCTTTTCATCCTTGGCCAGAGACACTACAGACCCGAAATACTCTGAGTATGCCTTGTATTCCTTCTCAAACCTCACCGTGCATAGCTCGCTCAAGCGCTTCAAGCCAATGGGCATTGTGGGGGATCCCAATTTTCCTCGGAAATCAAGAGCCCCACCCTGCCATCGGCACGGTCCCCGCACACCTCCCCAGCCTGCTTGCAACCCGCTGCCAGGGAACACAAAATCTGCATTTCTATTCATTGCCTCTCCCCTTTTCTGCCAAGCCATCTGATTGATTACAAAAGAAATATAAACAACCCCGCTAGAGCAGGGAATGACGATGGTTACTCTTCGCTCGAGAAATGGCGAGTACACATACACAAAGGAGTTCGAGTCGGATAACACGATACTTCATGTCAAGCAGTACTTAAAAAGCCAGATTGAGGGCTACTGCCCAGGGCCTGTAGAAAAGGGCATAAGGATCATTCTTAATGGAAAGGCCGTGAGCGATGCCGTTCAGCTCCATACGCTAGGTAGAGAGAGTCTCCAGCTGGTATACGACGTCTCTGGCCAGAAGATGGGGCAAGAGGGCCGTGACCAGGATAGATGCCTCAGAGAAGAAGTGGAGACCAATGAGATATCAGTCAGAATTGCTGTGTCTGTCAAGGAAACGGGGGCGAAGATAATGGTCGACCCAGAGGATCTTGTGATGTTCAATGGACAGGTCTATCTTGTCAGCGAAAGAAGGAAGATACTGACTCTGAAGAGCATCACAGACCTTCTGGAAAGCGTCAGGATTTCCAAGGAAGACCTTGTCAAGTTCATGATCTTCTTTCTGCTCTTGTACACGGGAAACGGAGGCATTGTCTTTGTGCTGGGATGTGTGTTTGTCCTGGAGGCTCTCAGCAGCAGGCTGTCTCTCACACATCGGAACTACTTCAAGGACATGGACCATCTCTGTAGGTCGCTTTACATGTTTTTTGCCAGCCTGCTCCTCATAGACCACGGAAGATTCTAGCTCCAAGGGCAGTTAGGGTGGCTGTAAGCTACTTGTACAATTATAAATCTATTTGTTTTTAGACTCTCCCTGCATCCGGGAACAAATCCCCAGAAGTTTCCGAGCCCATGGTAACTCTGGAAAGGTACTTCGGAGGGGAGCCTAGAGGATATTTTTATAGAGAGAAGACGTTTGTGGGGACTGACGAAGAGTACTTGGAGGCAAAGAGGAGCTCGTCGACTGTCTTTGTGTCCAACATCTCCACGAGTGTGCGGGAGGAGCGGATATGGGAGCTGTTTTTGCTGTGCGGACCCGTAAGAAGGGTTGTGATGGGGCTGAACAGAAACACACTGAGGTTCTGTGGGTTCTGCTTTGTCGAGTTCTATTCAACAGACTCTGCAAATGTGGCCGTCCGGTATCTGAACGGATTTCGGTTAGAACAGAGCCCACTTGCGATTGACAAGGACTACGGGTTTGTAGACGGGAGACAGTATGGAAGAGGCGTGTTTGGAGGCCGTGTCAAGACAGACAGGATGTATCTTGAGGACAGACACCAGAGAGACAACAACAAAAGGAGAAAGCACGGCAGACACCTGCGATAGTTTTTAATGAAGCATTTTGTATCTGTCCTCTGTGTATCTACTGTGCAGAAGGCATTATCCTCATTTCTCCAGCACCGCACCTTATAAGCCCATCTCCAAAGTGCGAGTATGCGGCAGATGCCTCCCGGGAAGAAAGGAAATCTACAAAAGCAAGGTTCTTCACCCGGATGAATCTTATGCCTTCTAGGCCTCCAAATCCCCTGAAAAGACCCTCGAGCTCCTCTCTTGTTACAGATGGCGGTATGTCCGTGACCAGCAAGGTCCTGGTGGAAGTACTCCTCCTCCTCCCGATGCACATATCTTCGTGTGCAGGACATGCTGAGATCACATTTCCAAGGAAAAATCTCCCCTCTAGGTTGTCCAGAATCTCGCTGGTTATTTCCCCGTCCAGATGGACAAATGCCTGCCCAAGGAGTCCAGGCCGGTTGCTCATCTTTATCTTTGATATCCCGGAGAATCTCGAGACCAGCAACCCAAGTCTTCTCTTTACTTCTCTTATAGGAAGCCTTCTGTTCAAGTTTCTTATGTACAGAGTCCTCCTGGAACGATTCTCTCCCATCGGGATCCGGGGTGGTTTTTGGTTCTAATGAAAGGGAGACAAAATAATAAAGATGTTCTTTATTCTTCACTATCAGAGTTAAACTTGACTTTCTTATTGTTTCTGTTCTGGCCCTCTGCCCCATACCTCTTCCCGCTCCAGTTGGAATCGCTTCTCTTGAACCCTCTGCCGTTAGAGTCCCTTCTATCCTCCCTGTTGTTCTTGTATGCCGGCCGGTGGTACATGGTACTATCCTCAAAAACCAGCTTCTTCTTGAGGACCCTCTCGTAGTCCTCCTTGTTGCCGAAGTCGACAAACCCATATCCCTTCAGCCTGTTGTTATCTCTGTCGTATGGAAGCGACATTCCAACTACCTCTCCCATCCCCTCAAAGTACTTCTTTAGATCCCTCTTGTCGCACTCATACGGGATGTTCGAGACGTATATCGTGTGTCTCTCCTTATTTGCCCGCGGGTGTGCCATGTTCACAACAACCTCTCTCCCAAGAAACACAGTCCCGTCAAGCTTCAGTGCTTTCTTCACGTCCTCCTCCTTACAGAACTCGACATATCCAAAGCCCTTGTTGCGCTTGTGGTCGTTTGTCATCGGAATCCCGACACGGGCAACCTTCCCTATCTTCTCCATCTCGCTCTTCAGATCATACTCCGTTAGATCATAGCTTATACCCTTGATAAACACGGTAAGAGACGGATTCTCCCTTCTGCTCTCCTCGCCGCTCCCACTCGACGTCTCCTCCTCAATCTCAGTGGAGGACCCTTCCAGATTGCTTGTCTCCTCCATCCCACTGCTTGAAGAGCCTGTCGGCGCCTCGGAGTCAGACTCGGTCTCAGACACAGAGTTGCTTTTGCTTACTTTCTCCATCGTTTTTTTCATAAAAATTTTGGGGTCGTTAAAATCCAAATATATGTCGAAAGGGGCCCAAGTCTCCGATGAAGAAGACATTCCGTTCAGACGTCCATGCCGTCAGGACCATCAGCGACCCTGCTGCCGTCTATGGGATCCTCAGGGGCACAAGAAGGGCTCTGGTGACGTATAACCAGCTGATGAAGCACTACGAGGAAGAAGGGAGGGATATAGGGGCTGTACTCATAGCGCCGGGAGACGACATTTTGTTCTTGCACCTTCCACTGTTCTGCAGGCATTTTGGAATAGATCTATATGCCCTTCCAGCAGGCGCTGAAAAGGACCTTTGCTCAATATTCAACATGAAGTATGTTAACATTGTGGGTCTGTACAAAGATGATGAGTCGTGCAGAAGGCTCAAGCAGCTGGGCATATAGACCCTTTGCCCTAGCCAGCAGTGGGATGGAGGCAGAAGAGGACAAATTTTTTTCCCCTTGCAAAGGAGATGAAGAATGTTCTTATCCACAAGGGAGCAACATACAAGACGCGCAGCAACAGGAGAAGGAAGGTCAGAACCCCGTCCGGGAAGCTGGTCAACCGCAGAGTCAAGAAGCACTCCAAGAAGCACAGGTGCCATGAGTGCAACGCCATTTTGGGAAGCATAGCCCGTATGAGGCCTGCAGAGTTCTCGCGCCAGAAGGTTTCTGCAAGGCGTGTCAACAGGCCCTACGGGGCAACCACCTGCGGCAGGTGTGTCAGGGAGAAGATCATCAGCGCCTTTCTTGGCAACGAGGAAAGGATAGTCATGGAGAAGACCGGGGCGGCTGCCGGTGGCTAATAAACGATTTCCTTGTTTTATCTGCAGTTGTTTCTGTGCACAAGTTTTTTGCAGTCCAAGCCCAATCCCTTTAATGTGGAGCGGAGTTGTAACCGAAAGGAAGATATCCAGGAGACTGAGGCTAATCAAGAGGGTGCGAGAGGAGTATGTCCGGGACGATGTGTCCTGTGGGTTTGAATGCTGCGGAGGCCCGTGCAGGGCGAGTGGAAAGGCCTCTGTCTTTGCGATTCCCGATGCAAACGTTGTGTCCAGATATAGAGCTCTGCTCAAGAGCGACTATGTTGCCGCAATAATATGCCAGTCTGTTCTCTCAGAGCTCTCAAAGAACGACGAGAGGGGTCTAAGAGACGTTGCGAGAGAAAGGGGATATCCCGTGTTCTGTGACAGCTTTTGCAGATCGACACACGGAAAAGGTCTGGAGGGTGTCCTGGAGTTCTACAGGGCCCATTTGCCCCAGCACAACTTCACCATTCTAGATATCGGAAACATCGGGGAGTATGGCAGATATGTCTCAGATGACATCAGGGATCTCCTGGAAAATGTCGACGAAAAGGAAGCAACTGAGTATGAGGAGTATGTGGAGAACCTGGACATCTTGTACGGAAGGAAAGGGTTGTACAGGGGAACGCTTGAGGTCAGCATGTACAACTGCTACAGCGGATTTGTGGTGGACGGAGATGTCAAGGTGCTTGTTGTTGGGAAAAAGAACATGAACAGGGCACTCAGTGGAGACGAGGTTTATGTCGAGGTTGTGGACGAGTACGACGAAGACGGGATACTGCTTGACAATGAAGAGGGCACCCAAGAGACAAGGAAAGGCGCGGCAGGCGAGGGTGTGTTTGGGAAGGTTGTTGGGATCCACAGGAGGAAGTGCAGGGCTGTTATAGGGTCCATTTCTCCGAGGACAGTCCATGGAGATGGAGCCCAGAATGTCTTAGTGATTCCCATTGACAGGAGAATACCAGCAATTAGGATTAGGACAAGCCAGGCCGAGGAGCTAATGAATAAGAGGCTCTGCGTCGAGATCGATGGATGGGAAAGAACAAGCAACTACCCCTCCGGGCATTACTATAGAAGGCTGGGGACTCTTGGGGACAGGAATGCAGAGATGGAGGCTGTGCTGGTTGCAAATGGCATAACATACTACAACAAGAATTGGGCTGAAATTCTCAGGGTCCCCTGGATGAACGAAGATATCTTTGGTATGGAGAAAGCATACAATGAAGTCAGAGAAGGCACTAGGGAAGACTTCCGCGAACTGAGCATTGTGAGCATCGATCCGCCGGACTGCGAAGACATCGACGATGCTCTCCACTGCAGGCTTCTTCCAAATGGGAATTGGGAGGTGGGAGTTCACATTGCAGATGTCACATACTATGTTACCAAAGGCTCTGAGATAGACAAGATAGCAGCCGACAGAGGGACAACTATCTACCTACCTGAGTGGCGAATTGACATGCTGCCCCCTGCGCTGAGTACGGATCTGTGCAGCCTAGTTGCTGGAAAGGATAGGGCAGCCTTTTCTGTGGTCTGGGAGATGAGTAGTGATGTAAGGGTTGTAAGAACACATTTCTGCAGATCACTAATAAGATCAAAGAGATCGTTTAGCTATAATGAGGCTTACGATGCCGTCCAGGGGCTTGTGGATGCCGGCGACGAGGTGTCCCGGTCCCTGCGGATGCTCCTTGAGATAAGTAGGGTCCTAAGAAGCAGAAGGTTTGCGAAGGGTTCGCTGGATCTAAGCACAAGACAGCTTGTGTTTCGAGAGGGCGGGTTCGAGATGAAGGAATACTTTCCAACCAACTTTCTTGTTGAGGAGTTTATGGTCCTGGCAAATATTTCTGTTGCTTCATTCATATACCACCACCATCCGGACTCTTCGTTGCTCAGGAAGCATCCTCCTCCGTCTGTCCTGGACATTGGCCTTGATATCGACACCTCCTCGCCCAGGGCTCTTAGTGAATCTCTGGAGAAAATGGAGGGTGTCAGAAAGGATCTGGCAAAGAGAATGCTGATCAGATCCATGAACCAGGCTGTGTATGTTGTGTCTGGGGAAACCCCCAGCCTCCACCACTACGGACTTGCAACGCCGATATACACGCACTTCACTTCCCCAATCAGAAGATATGCAGATATCATAGTTCACAGGATTCTAAACCACATTCTGCAAACGGCACCGACCAAGGAGGCTCAGATAAACAAGCTAGGGATTGTGACGTTCAGGGCTCGAAAGAGAACTGATGGAGAATCTATGGACGAGGTTTTTGTTGATGAGGATATGTGCAGAAACATGAATTCGAGGCATCGGGCTGCCAGGAAGGCTGCTTGGGAGTGCGACAAGCTGACTGTATACATGGCGCTCAGGAACGAGGAGCCTGTTGTTAGGGGGTTTGTCACAAACATCAAGCCGAACGGGATAGTTGTATATGTTCCAGAGTACAGCCTTGAGGAGGTTGTCGTCTCTGAGGGATGCTTCGAGATGTTTCAGGAGGTCTGGGTCAAGATTCGAAGGGATGACGAGAAGTTCTTCTTGAGAAGGAGATTCACATTCGAGATTGTTGGCCTCTCTTCTCCTTGTTAATAAATCGGAGTTATTGAATACTTTAATTAAGCAGCCCTTACCAATACCCCAGGCTCAAAGCGGAGAATCCAAGGGCTTCATTGAGTGGTCTCCAAGACTACAGAGTCATCCATGGAATGTCTTTGACAATATGTTTGAATTTATATGGTGGGATTTTATAAGGTGGTTTACTAGACATCTTTTGTATATGTATCTTGCGTCACAGTGCACGCATATGAATCCATTCCTGTCCTCCTCAAAGATTATCCGGCCCTTCCTTTCGTGCATGATGCTCTCAGCACTCATGCTGTATGCCTTGAACTTTATCTTCTGATGGATCTTTTTCCTTGGGGCAAGGGGCACATAGTCTTCCCTAACCGCCCTGTAGTATCTATCGGAATTCACCGAATTTACAAACCACAGAAACAGAGACGCATCCTCCGTTAGACTCCTGTCCACACCGTCCTCTTCTTTGTCTGAGCAGAGCATAATAACATCCCCTTTCTTGTTTTTCTTATTTCACCTGGTTTACTATATTCGGACAATTGCACTTAAATTGCTTGGAGATATTAAAGCTTTCTATTTTCATGCAAATTAGGAGTAATCTCTGCAATTGGTTTGCAGCACAGGCAAAGGATGATTGGTTACAGAGGAGATAAATGTAATCTCTGGAGGAAGGATATGCAGGCTGTTATTGAGGAGCTGCTGCTGTCTGGAGATGGGATATCGCAGAAGCACGGAGAGGTGTATGAGCTCCTTGGGCTGGACGTGATATACGACAGGGGGACGCTGAAGATTTACAGCACTAGGAGGGCCAAGATAGTGTCCATAAGCTCTGGAATCCATGTGCATGTTTCGTACAAGGTACTGAGCCACCTGATAACCCGGGGGCTTGTCAACGAGGACGGACACGGAACGTCTCTGGAGATAGTGGACATGATGGGGAACAAGATTGTGGCCACGTTTGTGGGGCACGAGAAGATGAACAGGATTGCGATTGTAACGAGCGGGGGAGATGCTCCAGGGATGAACTCTGCAATCAAGAGCATAATCAGGACCGGAATAAAGTGGGGAGCATCGGTGTATGGAGTATACAATGGATATGATGGGCTTATCAACAACAGCATACGCAGACTCAGCTGGGACACCGAGACCTACTGCAGCAGCCAAGGGGGGACTGTTCTCCTGTCTGCAAGGTCCCTGAAGTTCCGGGAGAAGGATGGGAGGAAGCTGGCCGTGCTGAACATGGTCCGAAAGAGGATCAACTGTATGGTAATCCTGGGGGGTGACGGGTCTATGGAGGGTGCTGCAATCCTTAGAGATGAATTTAAGGGTCATCTGAGGGAGCTTATACGGGAAGGAAAGATTTCGGCAAGGGACCTCCAGAAGATGAGGATCAGTAGGATAGGGCTAGAAAAGGGATCCGAGGAAAAGGAGCAGCCAATCACAGACGGAAGTGGCGTCAGCTACTCTGACTTCTATGGGAAGCCGGAGTGCTACAAGGAAAATCCAGTGGTGCATGACCTTAACTCGTCCGACGACGTTTCTGAGGATCTCCAAGCAGACGTCTGTCTGGGTGAGAACACAGGTCCAGATGATGTCGAGAAGTATGTCTATGGCCTGAAGATTGTGGGGATTCCATCGACCATAGACAACGACATCTGGGGGGCTCCCGTTTCTTTAGGAGAGGACACTGCAATCCACAGGGTTGTCGAGGCAATAGACCACTTGATGTCCACCATGAAGTCGCATTCGCGCACGTTTGTCATTGAGGTCATGGGCCGGAGATGCGGATGGATAGCTCTTATGTCTTCCCTGGCAAGTGCAGCAGACTATGCCTTGCTTCCTGAGGCGCCTGCCGAGTGGAGAGTGGAGATGATTGAAACGCTTAGAATTGCAAAGAAGTGTGGGAAGTCTGGGATATTTGTCATCGTTGCAGAAGGGGCTGTTGAAAAGGATGGAACACCCATATCCGCGTCCCAGGTTGTGGAGGAGATTGACAGGGCGGGGATGGAAGTCAGGCTTCTTAAGCTGGGCCATATCCAGAGGGGAGGGCCGACCTCTGCGCAGGATAGGATATACGGCACCCTTCTTGGAATCAGGGCTGTCGAGATATTGCTAGGCCCCATGAGAGATCCTGTGATGATCAGCATCTTCAGAGACGAGGTCTCGGAGGTTGAGCTGAAGAAGGTGATAGAGAAGAACAGGGCCATCAAGAGCCTTCAGGAGAGGAGGATGTTTGACGAGATACTGAGAAACAGAAGTAACTTCTTCAGGTTAGCTTACTCGTATTTTAGAAAATCGCTGGTAGGAGTGGAAAGTGCAGGAGGCTGTGTCTGCAATTCCAAGAAGGGGCATGAGGTCGAGCATAGGCGTGGCCAGGATCCTTGTCCAGACACCTTCAGTGGGAAGGTCCGCATAGGAATAATGCAGTTTGGGCAGCGATCCAGTGGTATGAATGCGGCACTGAATGCAGCAGTCCAATACTCTCTAATGGTAGGGGCTGAGCCCTTCTACATCCCAAATGGATTTGAGGGGCTTGTGAACAGTCAGCTTATAAGGCCCCGGTTGTATGAGTTTTCCAGCGACGTAAATAACGGAGGATCTGCAATAGGAGTTGGTAGCAACGAGGAGGTGGATGCTGGGCTAATTCAGAAGAAGTTAGACGAGTCCAAGCTAGACTCCCTGATTGTGATAGGAGGAAGCAAGGCCCTGCACATTATCAAGGAGCTTCGGGGGGTCAGCATTGTTCTGATACCTGCGTCGTCTTACAACAATATACCAGGGATCGACATAAGCATCGGCGCCGACACAGCCCTCAATGCGGTTCTGAAAGTTTCTGATGTGTCGAAGCTAAACTCTTTTGCATACAAGAACAATGTCTTTGTTGTGGAGATCGGAGGAGGAAACTGCGGGTACCTGTCGTTGATGGGCGGAATAGCAGCAGGGGCATTTGAGGTTTTTATTCCGGAGAGGAAGTACCTGATAGGACATCTATCAGAGGCTGCACAGAGGCTCCGTATGAAGTTCCGGGAGAAGACAAGAAGAGGGATTGTGATCTTCAGAAACGAAAGAACCTTTCGCTCGATTTCCACAAAGAGCTTCTGTGAGATCCTGAAGACCGACAGTGGAGACCTGTTTGAAACAGACTATTCCATTCTTGGGCATATACAGCAGGGACAGAACCCGTCGCCGATAGACAGAATAAACGCAGCCATTCTGGGAATCGAGGCTATCGACCTGTGCCGGCAGAAGTGTGGGATTGGGGTCCTTGGATTTTCGGAGGACAGGATCAAGTTTACAAAGATTGAAGAGGTTCTGAAGGAGTTTGACCATGAGCTCGACAGAGAAAAGAATCCGTACTGGCTCAAGTACTCCGGCATTTGTAGATCGGTTGAATAAATGGTTTGCAGATATTTCTTGTGTTTCCTAGTCCTCCTGGATGGAAAGTAAGAACATTTTTTTCTCGAGCTTCGGACAAATCGAGGAGGAGGTGGTGGTCGGGATCGATGAGGCGGGCAGAGGTCCTGTGGTTGGGTACATGGTGTATGGTGCATTGGTTGTTCCAAGAGGTGTGCTGGAGGATGTGGGATTCAAGGACTCGAAGGTCCTAACGCCTGCACAAAGATACAATTTCTTCCAGATGATAAAGAAGAAGGGCTTTGGATATGCTTACCATTGCAGCCATCCGGACTACATCACAGAAATGATGCAAGTAAGGTCTGTAAGCCTAAACGAGGTGTCGATTGGATCTGTTCTAAGAATCCTTGACGAAGTACAAAGCAAGTGCAGAAGAGTAGATACCATCTATGTGGATGCACTGGGTGATTGTAGGAAGTACAAGGAAAGGCTTGAAAAGGACTATCCATACAGATTCGTGGTAGAAGAACGGGCAGACTCGAAGTTTCAGGTTGTCTCTGGAGCCAGCATAGTTGCCAAGGTCCAGAGAGACATGCTGATTTCAGAGTTTGGGGAAGACCTCGGGTCTGGATATCCAAGTGACCCAGAAACAATTAGATGGCTCAGAAAAAACATCAATGTGGTCTTTGGATTTCCGCCCGGGGTCAGGTACTCATGGGCTACAGTCAAGAAAATGCTTGGGGAGAGAAAGTCGAGACCACTCAAGGGAGCCTTAAGCGGGTTCTATCTCGATAGCACCTAAGAACAAGAACCAGAGTGTGGGAAGGTTTATTATTTACCCAAATGCCCTCCACGGAAGATCTTTACTTGAACAGGAATATATACCCATCTTCTAACACCTCAACATTGCTATTGAGGACAGTTGTGTCGTCTATCTTGAAGCACTTCCCGTTGTCGTACACCCACCACGTATAGTGCCCAGCCTTGATATTGTCTCCAGAATGATTGATACACCCAACAACTCTGTACTTTGAGTCCGTCCTCATGTCCATCATGGCATGGTTCTCAAGAAGGCTGCGGGCCTTACTCTCGTCGTTCCAAAAGATGCCCAGGGCCTTCGCTGCATCTTCTTCCGGGTATCCGCTGTCCACAAGCTTCCTTACAAGAGACCTGTCTGCCTCGTCTTTGCTCATGAAGCTCCCCAGCTTGATGCTCCTCATCTCGATCTTGTCCTTGATCTTCTCCACCTTGTAATTGTTGTATGAGTATCTTCCAACCTGAATTATTAGATACTTCGGCAGCGTCGTGATAAACCGGCTTACCTTTTTCTTTCCTCCACACTCACAGCTCCACTCATCCGGGAGGAAAAACATCTCTACAGACTTTCTTATGTTTCCCTTCAGGAAGGTGCATATCATCAACATGGACTCATAGCTGGTAGAGTCATCCATGCACCCCGAGCACGAAACCCTTCTCCCAACCTCAAACTCAAAGAGAGACGTTATCGGCGGAATCAGGTACGAACGCTCACCCTCGCGGATTTTTTCAAGCAGAAATAGCAGGAACTCGTGGGCATCCTGCTGTGCAAACTTGCCGAACATGGGCATGTCTCTCCATATAAGCATGATAAGGTCCAGAATCGATATCCTGTTGACTCCTTCGTTGTCCTTAGTCTCCTTCATTTTGCTGAGCACTCTCATCAGCTGGCAGAAAAAGCATTCCAAGGGATTCTTCATGTAACATATCTCGAAATGCTGCTCAAGATCAAACTCCTCTTTGGAAACAGCATACCCTACCATATGAATGACAGACGAAATGTAGCAGGTATTCCCCGAATTGATGATCCCGACATACGGGCTGGGGACAGACTCCCCCTTGCTCTCAGGGGCCCTTTTTTTCTCCAGAAACTCAGGCTCAGCGATGCCCCTGCAGCTCATCACCTTTCTTACACTCCTTTCCTCTGTCTTTCCGTCGGCACCTCCAAAGTCTATCGTAACACTATTTTCTGCAGAGTTGTACCGAGACCTTATATTCGAGTCGCAGAGGTAGCAAAATATCTCACAGTCTTCCTTAAGAAGGCTGGGCACCAGAACAAAAACATTGTGCTGCGTTTCCTCGTAGTGGGACTTTGCATGTCCATTTCCTTCCGCGCCATACTGCATCCTCCCACAGCCGACATACCCGCAACTGAAACAGACCCAGAGCCTCGTCTTTACATCACACAGGTTGCACTTAAGGCCTCCAATGTTCCCCATCTCTATCGAGCTCGGCCCTTCAGGACATCCATGAACGCACCTTACCTCCTCGTCTCTGGAAAGAACCCTTTCATCTTCATCTCCAGGCTTAATCAGTATCTCCATCCTTCTCCTTAACTCCTCAACCTCCTCCTCCCCAAGCATTGCATTCTTAATTTCTATCCCTAGGTCGCTGCCGACCTCCTTGATATCAAATACAATACGGCATCCACTCTTCCCAAGATGAATACCTCTGTGCTTCTCACAGAACGAGAAGCCACAGTCGCACACAGATATCCCGTCCCCAATGCTTCTGTAGCAGTAGCAGCACTTTTCTCTGAATCTAGAGAGATTCGGTAATCCCATCTAAGGGCTGGATACAGCGGAAACAAATAGATGTCCATCAAGTCATGTTGACACATCTCGTCGCCACAGACCTGTCAAGCAAAATCCATAAATAAAAGCAGCTTTATTCAAACTCTTCTTCCCCTATGTCCTCCACGCTTTCTGACGCGATCCCTTGCAACAGGTGTAACATCCTCAATCCTGCCAACCCTAAGCCCGGCACGGATCAAGGTTCTGATGGCCGTCTGTGCACCTGGCCCAAGGGCCATGGGCTTGACCCCCCCTGCCCCCCGAAGCTTGAAGTGGAGCACTTTAACCCCACGCCCAAGTATCTTTGTTGCAACATCCTGGGCCGCAAGCATTGCTGCATACGGAGACCCCTCATCCCGCTGTGCCTTGACCCGCATTCCTCCAGTGATCTTTGCAATCGTCTCAGACCCAGTCATGTCCGTGATATGTACGAACGTGTCGTTCTTGGTTGCCTTGATGTGAGCAACAGCCGCCAGTTCCATCGACTCTATCTGCTCGGTCATTCTCGAAGGGCAAATTTTTTTGCCATATCAAAACCTCGGCTTCTTACAGAGCATGGCTACACAAAGTAGTATTCAAACGTCTCAGACTCCCCGTGCTGCGAAGGATCCTGGGCAGGCTCAAAGGCATTCCTATCAAACATGCTTCTCCCGCCGCATCCGTAGCATTCAATCGTCAAAACCTCGTCGCTACATCTCATTCTGCTATTCACAACAGGAATATACAGGTGGAGGCATCTTCTGCAGAACATCGCGCCAGCCCAGCTATCCACATCCGCAACTCTGTTCATCCGAAACAGAATATACCTCTCTCCTCCGATCCGGATGTATTCAGGCAAAAGCCTTATCAAGTATCTCAGCTCCTCGGAGTCTCCCATCCAAGGGATTTGCCTCGAAAATATGTACAGGCGTAGGGCAACTTCCATGTCTTCTCAGGCAAAAACAAAATATTTTATTCCCCAGATTCCATGCTGCTGTATCCAGAGCTGGACGAAAAGTCCTCGCTCATTTCATTTATCTCCTCCTCGGTTACCTTCATTGGCGCCCCGGTGATAAACGGGTGTTCGAGAAGCGAAGAGGCATTGGGCCTTGCAAATCTATCAAAATTCATGCACTTCCGAACAAAGTCTCTCAGTGCAGGTGATGCATGGGGCTTGAAGGAAATGGGCAGTCTTCCTCGGATAAACATCCTCCACTCCTCTAGGTTTTTCCGCCCGTCATCAAAGTAGAAAGGTGTTTGCTTCCGCGACAGAAACCACACTATGGCACCCAGGCACCATATGTCTCCCTTCACGCCATGCATGTTCAGCTGCGACGTCTCCGGCGGCTTGTATGGATACGTTCCAAAGCTTTTCGAAGGAATCTGAATCTCTGCATTGTCCCCCGTAAGATCAAACTTTCTAGCAAACCCAAAATCAATAATCTTATATACAATCCCCTCCTTTCCTTCCTTTCCCATGACATTCGAGATCTTCAGATCGAGATGTGCTATCCCTATTCCGTGAAGATACTTGAGCCCATGCAGTATCCCTCTGGTAATCTCTCTTATCTTATTCTCGTTCCCCTTCACAACATCCTGGGATACCTTGTGGTCCATATGCTCCATAAATATCCAGATAATCGTTTCTTCCTCCCCCTTCAGGTTCACATACTTTTCCCTGAACGACTTCAAAAACTTCACAACATGCTCATGGTGAAGAGACATCAGTATCTCGTCCTCAGCCAGCCCAGGAGACTCCGGCGCAATGCATCTCTTGATAACAACATACGGCTTCTTGTATGTGTACAGAAAAACAGCATTCGACCGCGTCATCTTCAACGGGACGAGAGGCAGATGCGTCTTGATCGCTGCAAACTCCTTGTTCTGGTCGTACCTCGACTTGTGCTGCAGACACTTATCAACCCTCTTGTTTATGAAATCCAAGCACATCTTCTCCATTCTCCGGTCCTCCTTGCCTCTCCAAACAAAAAAATATTTTTTATAGAGGAAAATAAAAGAAAGAAACATCAAAGCCATGAAAAAGATGCTTTGAGCCTTTCTGGACAGCCTTCTTTGGTACCCTTGCACAATCGACAAGGCCCCAGAGCCCAATTCCTTCCATTCGTTTTTCTTCATATTCTTCATCTTGCACTTCAAGGAGATAGGAATTAGTTTTGTTTATTTATCAAATCTCATTATATAATATTGTGCACTTCCTGCCATTGCACCCAAGAGACTCTGCAAGCACCCTTGTAAACCTCTTAAACTCCTGGGGATCTCCCTTTGCTCTCCGGATGGTCATGCAGCAGCCTTCATCCAGTCTTATGACTCCAACCTCCCCGGAAAGCACAGATCTTCTGGAATCCACAGTGGAAAACATCACATGCTCCTTTGCAATTCTATGGGAGACCACCATCCCATCAAGAGCCTCGCACACTCTTCTTAAAGCGAGCCTCAGGCTTTCTTCACCGATATATACCCTGCAGATGTCTCCAGATCCAGCTCTCCTAGGCTGTGAGGAGACGGGACGTGTTCTCGGTGTCTTGTGCACCTCACCAGGCTGGGTAAAGTGGAGTGCCGATCCAGTCTGCCGCGGAACCAAGCTGAACAGGCGGCAGGAGTCTCTACAAAGCCCAGACTCATCAAGGAGCTCGTTGGGCTGCATGACCCAAGGATCCTTCATAACCGTTGAGACCGACGGCCGTCTATCTTCTTTAGCCGTCATCCTCATCACAAGCCCCATCGCTTGGTCCCCTATACTGCTAAGCGGCACTTGACAACCACCCCGTGAGGACACAAATGCAGAGAACCTTTCGTCAGACTCAACAGCCCTATCCCACGGAAGCGCTCCAGTCAGAAATACAACAAGGCTTACTCCGCAAGACCACACATCTGCAAGTTCTCCATCATAAGCCCCCTCAAAGACCTCTGGAGCCATGTACTCAAGGCTTCCTGCGGGCGATCGCAGCCTCCTCCTCCTGCCCTTATGGAAAAACACAGTTGAAAACCCAAAGTCCGACAGGAGAAGATTCCCAGCACTATCAATAAGCATATTCTCAGGCTTTATGTCCCGGTGGCATATGCACTTTCCATGCAAATACTCCACAGCAGAAACCAGCTGCCTGAAATAGAAATGGGCTAGAAGCGGGTCCAGCCCTCCACCTGCCCGTATCATGCTCCCCACCTCTCCGCACCCAAGCTTCATCACTATACAGTATCCATGGCAATCCTCATACGAGTCGACAAACCCAACTATGTTTGGATGCCTCAGCGACCGGTGTATCTTAACCTCCCTTAGAAAGACTCGCAAGGGCACGTCCTTCTTTCTTATCACCTTGACTACGCACTTTGCATTTCCGGGAGCGGCTGCCCTCTTGACCTTCGATGTAGACCCGCTTGCAAGCGTCTCCTGGAGCTCATATTTCGGCATGTATGGCTGCCAAAGCTGGAAATTACTAATGGCAGGGTAAAGCGGCGGAAAAGGTTGGGTAATATATTGTTTCCACCAATAGTAAATTAGAAAATTCATATGCCTCATCCATCCAATCGCTGGCAGCGACATGTCAAACACATCAAGGCACCGCTTAATTTAAACCTAGAATCTAAATGAAACATGATAGGATCTAATCTTCTTGATCCATCACAACGATGAGTATGACATTAGTATCCCCAGGTGATTGGAGCTCCAGAGGGGCACGAGATCCAAACAGAAGATTTCTAAAACAAAAACATCCAAAAATTTTCACCATCAAGGTGCTTGAGCGAAGAGAGATGGAGGTTCAGGCTGTCCTTGGAATGATTTTGCTATTCCACCCGGAAAGGTGCTCAAAGAAGCCGGGAGAAAAGGTTAGGAAAAGCGAATTCCAGAAGGAGGTTCTCAAGAAGGTATACCAAGCCACTCCATATCCAACGTGGGAAAATAAGATCGATATAGGGATCCTGATATCCTTATCTCCGAGAGCAGTCGATATATGGTTTCAGAACAAAAGGCACATTAACAAAGGGAAGAATCAGGGCGTTGACGAGGCTGTCGAGTCGAGAACGATCGACCTGCAGACAATTATGTCCATCGTCGAGAGCACATTAAGATACTGAGGTACCCATCCGATTCTGGAATTTCTAAGGCCCTGAATAAATTCTAACCCAATAATATTATTGGCTAAATTCCGATAATTTAATTCGATAAGAAATGCTTCTTAATTTTCCGATAAGTCTATTGCTCAGTGGTGGAAGCCCAAACCTAAACCCTAAGGTTTTTGGATGGGCGGGAAACAAAACGTCCCGGGTGTATCTTTGAGGCAGGAGTGCTACCAACGCCAGGTTCACTAGGAGCCTACCGCATCAAATGCGCCACTCCATCTCCTCGAGAAAGCTCATGCTTCAATTTACGTTCTCGGTTGGAACCAGTCGATCCCAAGCTCCTGCCATATCACCGGTACGCACAAAGCACATTCCAGCCCCTTAGAATCCGAGTCCCTCCCTGTTTTTCTCCAAAACTTTCATTATGACCTTGAAAAGTCTGACAGGGTCTATGCTTTCGGACTTTCCTCCTCTAGTTCTTTTGCCCAGGCGCCCGCCTCTCTCCTTCCTGCTCCGTTCGTTTTGGAACCATATCTGCACAGCCTTCAGGGGAAGCTTGATCATAAGCGCTAAATCCGCCTTTGTAAGAGTCGACGGATGCGGCGCAATCTTGAACACCTCCTTCAGGACCATCATTTGGAAAGTTGTCTTTCTTGTTCTTGTGTCAGGCTCATCGCTATCTCCCCTTCCCTCTCTGGCCAGCTTGAGGATACCCAGTGCTGCATTCATCTCCCTTACGTCAAAGTCATTTTTTCGCATCCCAGCCTTCTTGTTTTTTCTTTTATATCTCGGAGATCAATTACAAATATTAAATATGTCCTTACCCATCATGGACATTCATCCAACTCCAAAAACCTTAACATTTATGATTTATTTCAGAAAAGAATAACCATTACAAATCCTGTGTATCCAAGCAGTAGAGGATATCCAACGACCAGATGCTTGTTGCTGAGGGACAGATACCTGCAGAACACCACGGATGCTGCATAGCTGGACCAGCAGGCAAAGGCAAGCCCATAGAAAACCCTGAGCTCAACGCTGATCCTTCCCATCAGGATGTTCAGGAACGAGAAGAAGACTACAGGGAGGAACGAGTATCCAAGAACGCTGCAACATTCAAGAAATCCTATGTGCTTTGTGCCTAGAACATTTAGTAGGAAGTATATCGATAGGGTTGTCAGGAGGGAAATAAAGTATATGTATCCAAAGTGGATCTTGTAGTTCAGGATCAGGCCAAGGGTGTACAGACCAACAAACACAATCGGCCCAGAGAGGTCTGCATTCTTGACAAAGGAGAAGTCAACAGCCTTCCTCTGGAAAACACCAAACGCCAGATGGCTTTCCTTCTTTATTGTGCCGAAGTCTATCCCCAGCTCTTCCAGCAGTGGCCCGTCGCCAGGCAGTCTGCCAAGAAGTGCCGACCTCAGATCAAACTTATCGACATATGGCTCTCCATACTCCTCAAACTCCATTCAAGGGCTTGGCCGCCATCCATTTTTATTGGTTCAGGCAGGGGTCTTTGTAGAGGCCTCTAAAGGAAATACATCATTCTTTAATAGCAAGATTATGTCCTTTCAATTAGAAGAAAGCATTCGTCGTTGAATTTGCTCATCGGCCAGTCAAGCTCCAGGTCGGTGTAGCTCTTTCCATCGAACATCACCATCTTTCCAAATAACTTGTATTTCTTTCTGAACTCTGTAACGGTTTCCACATCAGCCTGCAGGAAGAACGGAAACCCCACTATCTTGTACATCCCGGTGTAATATGCCGTTTTGATGGCCCTCCTTACAAACGGCTGGATAACACACATCCCGTTGGTAGTAAACTCCTCGGACATCGCAAACGCCTTGAGATACAGTGTGTCCCGGACCGTGTCGACTATTCTCAGGGTCTTCAACGAGTGCCCTCTCACAGGATTGAGGCATACAAAGCGGGACACAAGAACACTCTTGATCAGCTCCAAGGACGTGCACCCAACCTTAGTCACAAGGATGTGCAGGTGAGGGACGGCATTGTAGTCCATCTCCTTGTTGCAGAATGCTAGATAGACTACTTGATATCCAGCGCTGATGAAGCATGACACAGAATTCCTGGGCTGCAGGTATTCATGAAGATCAGGCTCCGGATCCGACTGGACAGAGTCCTCTGGTGCCGTCCTGAACTCGGAGCTGTCAGAAACAGCCTCCTTCCGCAGAAATATTTCTTTCGACCCGACAAACCGCCGGATCCTGTCCTCAAGCTCAGTGCTTTTCAGACCTCTTTTCACAAATATGGTAAAGTTGTGGGGCCCACAGGAAACATTCACGCATAGCCTCCGGTAGAAGTCCCCTATGAAGTCAAGGAACTCCAAGACGTTCTCTCTTCTGACTGCAACCAAGACATCTCCCTGGGGAAGGTCAGAAATCTTGGTGGATGGGTCCAGCGCAGACGAGAAGTCAAACTCTCTGAACACTGCAATGTCATCAAGCCCTGTCTTCTCACCAATAACGTCTATGTTGTCCCCGATGGTTCCATCCATGTGCACACATGCACAGAGTCGTAGAGATGTGGGCAGCGTGTCTTCACACCAGGGAATGCTGTTGAAGACCTTAAGGAATATAAGCCTGTGCCCCTCGAAATTAACCCCTGGATGGCATGTGTAGACGAAGTAGTCTGCACTGACATTAATAACTCCATCCTTCACGAGGGCGACTTTTCTTTGATAGTCGAGTTGAACATGCTCAATGATCCTGGATGCCTCCTCCTCCACAGTCCTTGTATTTGTCCCTACCAACTCACGCGTGTCTTCCTTAACCCTCTTACAGGGTCTGTCAGATGTCTCACCCTTTTCATGGCTCTTTATCCTGGTACACTCAAATAAATACAAAGACTTCCGGGTGCTGAGGTGCTTTTCAATGTTGTTCCTTAGCAGCTTGATGGTATCTCCCTCCTTCATGACAAACTCGGCATAGCTGCTCAGAGGATAGTCGTATGAGTCGATGTTGTAAAACCCAATTCCCCTGTAGTTCCTGATGTTGTCTATTCTTATGCACCTGACCAGAGTCTTGTCCTGCTTTCTGCTCAGCACCTCCTCCGTTCTCGGGGGGATTACAACCTTCGCATTCAACAGATCGTTGGCCATACTTTTCCTGAGGTAGATCAGGTAATATCCAGAATGGTCTCGTATCCTGTCCTTATAAGGATGTCTTCCTCCAAAGTTGTGCTCCAGTGCCTCCATCTCCCCAGCCTCGGTCACAACAGTGTCGTTGAACTTGAGCCATCTTCCATTGATTTTCAGGTATGCATAGAAATGGCCTTCATCGTGGTCTCCCCTATGCACTATGACAGAGTACAGATCATACGTCGCGTCAGATTCCTCCTTTCTCTTAGAGTCCCTGTCCAGAAACGGTAGCATATCAATCGAATCGGGGAACTCAAAGTAGTCGTTTATCTTGTACCCATTTCCTGTCTCAAAGTCAACATTGAACCTCTTCAAAAGAATAAACATAACCGGGGGAAGAGAACTGAACATCACACCCTTCTTCGCATCAACAAGCCCGTGCTTCTCGCAGTTGTACCTGTTGTTCCCATCGAGAATCTCACTCTTTACATATCTTTTCAGAGACTCCTGCAGATTCGACGATAGCTTGTTGTTGAAGAAGTCCCGGATCTCCACTTGGATGTCCTGGAACTTTTCCTTTATCCTCCTCACACATCCGCACTTTCCGTTTATATATGTCACCAGCTCTCCCTGTATCATGTCCTCGATAACGTCCTTCCTCTTGCTGTCCTTCTCAAGAGAGTCGAAAAAAACCTTCGAAAACTCGTGGATATCCTGGTGGACATGGACATCGTCCACCCATATGTTATTCACAACAAAGTCTGTTGTGTCCACAGGATGCTCTCCCGTCTGCATCTCCTTAAACAGCTTCTGGAGAAGCAGGACTCTTCCTCTGGGCTCTAGCCCAAACACGTCATTCCTGAACTTGGCTATGCTGAACAGGGCCTGCATCAAGGAGTTGATGTAGCACGTTGCCCCAAGATTCCGAAGCCCGACATATCCGGTCTCCTCCTTCGAGTTGTAGCACCCGGTCCTTACACGGACATCAACCCTGATCACATACCTCTCCTTCTCCTCAATATACATCCCGATGTCTGTGCTGAACATCGAAAACTGGTACTGATATTCATATTTCTTCCCATCAATGTCAAAACAAAATGCTGTTAGGATGTCATGATAGGATCCCCCTTGGTATTCCAGCGCCAAGTACACCCTGTTGCACCTGTTCGACAGAATCAGCTTCCAGGTATGCCCCTGCACAGAAAACGGCTTGGACTCCACCTTTGCCCCGCTAGACGGCCTCTTGACTTTCCAACCCTCATCCATCGAGGGTCTGCTTCGAAAACATTTAAAGTCCTGTCAAATCTTGAAAGACCTTCCCCAATATGGCCATTGGGTCCTCACAGGAGCCTTCATTGTAAATTATGATTTAATGATATATTCATGTCATCTGCTAAATGACTTGCTTCTTGACTTCCTTGGAAATACTCTATCGAGAAGCACCTGCTGGGATATTAGGTTCGATGTGTTTTTGTAGTAGTAGTGGCCTGCAAAGCAATCGAGGTTCTTGTAGTAGCAGCAATAGTAATGCCCATCAATGGATGCCCCAGGTATACTTTTGAGCCTGGGGTCGGGGAGCAGGAACAGCTCCTTGATCTTGATGTACATGAAGTTGCTTTTCTTGATGTCGTAAGACCCGGGCTTGTAGACATACTCCCCCCTCCACTCGGGGAAGAGCTTCCAATGTATTATGTCTGGATTCGTCATCGAGTACTCCTCGGTTGTGAACGGATAGATGTTCCCGATTATTTCTCCCTCGAAGTATGTTGTAAGAAGCTCGTATCTATCCGTAAGGTTATGTATCTCGAATGTCCCGCAGATAAGCTCTTGCTGAATGTCTACAACATCGATGTTCATCTCTATCTTGAACGATCCTCCGTTGGTAAGCTGCTCTCCTCTATACCTAGCACCGTTTTCAAGAGCCAGAGCTTCTCTCAAGTACATGGATGGTTTTAGTGTGTTTCCTTTAATACCAAACTCCTTTTCCATGCTTTCAAGGCACCAGACATCGTAAGGCTTGGCACAGAGGCAGCGGATCTCAAGCAGTGCACTCGAAAATGCCTCGATCAAAGATTACCCGTTGAATTTCTAAGAGGCGCAGGAATTCCATGCATTAGCATGCAGCTGCCTGTCTTGCTGAGCACCCATTGGTCAGAGGGTTATTGCATGGAGTCCAATCACCTGGGCTGCTTATTGCATACTACCCTGCCCTATTGGATCGAATTCCTAAACAACGACAGAACTTGTATAGGAAAGGCGGGCCTGGAGCAGGAATGAGCTTTTACAAGGGCAGAGAGAAGATGACTCTTCACGGGCTTATATCGAAGCAGATCAACCCCACAGACTCCACCCCGCTTGATGTACGCGAGGTGAAGAAATACTGTTACTATGGGTTTTCGAATGCATCGCTCAGGCCGAAGTACTGGAAAGTGTTTCTGGGATACTACAGTAAAAACAAGTTTAGGACGGAGATGTTTCTTCGAAACATGAGAAGCTCCTATAGCTTCTACATAGGAAAGATAGGAGACGAGTTTGAGGGAAAAGATGGATGCTACAAGGTGATCGAGAACGACGTCTGCAGGACATTTATCAAGCCAAGAACAGAGTGCAAAGACTCTGGAGAGAAAAGAAGATACTGCGAGTTTCTCGACAGCATACATAGAGACACACAGGAAACCCACAGGGCCGTGATCGAGAGGATACTGAAGTGTTATGCAATGACAAACTCGTCTGTGAAGTATGTCCAGGGAATGAATCTTGTTCTGACGGCAATATATTATGTTCTGTATCTGAGCGAAGACGAGGAGGACAGGAGATACTGCGAAGAAGACTCCTTTTTCTGCTTTAACTCACTGATGGTAGAGATAGGCGACAACTTCATGGAAGATCTTGACCAGTGCAGCGGGGGGATAGTGCACAGGATGTCCAGGGTGATGGAGATAGTTGAAGAGGCTGACAGAGAGCTGTACAGGGCGATGAAGAGAAAGGGCTTGGTGGAGGGAGGATTCCATATGAAGTGGATACTTCTGATGTTTGTGTCGTGCTTTGACATTGAGGATGTTGTATGGCTATGGGACCGGCTTCTTAGCGATTCATGCAGGTTTGAGATGGTGCTCTATTGTTGTGCATCTGCGATAATCATGGCGAGGAGTGTGATCATCCGGGAGGACTTTGATGTGTGCATGGAGCTTCTTCAGAAGCCGTCAACCGTAAGCGCAGAGACGATGTTCAACGTGGCAGACCATCTAAGGAGGAGGCGGCACAGAAGCTCCAGGAACGGGTGAGTCTGTGGTCTTGTTGTGGGCGATGATCCCTCTGAAACACTAGGGAGATAAATACGAAAAAAACAAAGGATGTTAACCTTGATGTCGAGATCTAGGAAGCTTATTGAGGCGCTAGAAGAGATTTTTGAAAGCGAGAAATCCTATATCCGGGATCTGATTCTATGGGAGAGGGACTTCCGGATATGGGTTCTTAACTGTCCGTTGTTTAGTAGCCCAAAAGTCAAGTATGAGATATGCGACAGGGTGTTCATCAACATGGACAGAATTCAAAGGTTGCACCAGAGGATTTACGAGGACATGAGGAAGATGAACTTTGGGGCGGGTTTCGAGACGATGGGAAAGGATGCCCTGAACAACGCCAATGAGCACGCAACTGAAAAGGCAGAGGGCTCGAGCGCAAATCTGCGGCAGCTGGAGTGTGTATCGATATATGAAAGGTATGTTGACGAGTTTACTGTGTACTACGAGTATGTGCGGAGGCTTCCCAAGGCCGAGTTTGAGCTTGAGAAGCTTATGTATCGGTATCCGGACTTTGCAAGCGGCGTGAAGGACTTTCTGGAGCAAAAGAATGCCGAGTTTCTTGGGATCAAGCATTTTCTGTACAGGCCGTCTCAGAAGCTTGCGCGATACCCCCTGCTTCTGAAGGCTGTTGTCAAGAACGAAGAGGGCGGTCTCAAGGATGCATATGAAAGGCTGGTTGAGAGCTTTAAGGCGATAGCAAAGAATGCAGACAGGGAGTTTAACAAATATGGCACCCAGTTTGCGATTTACAGGCTTGGGATGAGTTTTAAGTACAAGGGGACGGTCAGGAACCAGCAGTGCTTAGCTCTGTTCCAGAAGAAAAGGAAGCTGCTAAAGGAGGGAGAGGCTCTGGTGAGGAGCAGTACCAGGGAAGGGTCTGCGGTATACAAGGTGTTTGTCTTTGACCACCTAATCCTGATATGCGACTATCCACAAAACAAGTTTGCGGACTTGTACATCAACGACGAGCCGATATTCATGCCAAGGCTGATTGCGCTTAAGGAGGATCCCGGGTTTTTTGATAAGGACGAAGACTTCGAGGAGTTTTCTTCGCTGTTTCTATTTGAGGCAGGAAGCGCCAAGGCCTGGGGCCTATACTTTCATGACCAGGGAGAGAGGGATGTGTACTTCAAGATAATCCAAAAGGCAGTCCACAGAGTCAGGGCAAAGCTCCGGGACGACATATCTCTTAGGACACTCCCATTTGAGACCGGCGAAACCGTGAGATATGCATGCCAGGCAAACAATACAGATTGGCGTGGAGAGAGCTTTTCGTCCTCAAACTCCGGAGAAGAAAGTTCTTACATGTCAACCGATGGAGACTCTCTGGATAGCGCCGAGATGCTGAAGCCTGCGGGATGCGACAGCCTCGATGAGGCCGTGAATGCATTCTTCGAAAACAGAAACAACAGCTCCAAAGATGGAGAAGATCCCTACGAAGAAGACCATGATGGCTCGGAAGATTCGCTAGAGCCTGGATCCAACAAGACATGGTCTTTGTGGAAGACCTTATTTCCAACGGCCGACTTCTTTGTGAGCAGTATTAAGCTTCCTCTGCCCTTGGATAGAAGCAACGACCCCGAGTATACCTCTGCGCAGAAGAGCATGTATATTATAGCAGTTGGTGACGGGGTCTATCGGTTTTTCAATCAAAAGATCGACAGGATCCTGGAGAGAAAGGTCAGCAAGATAATCTACGACTCTACATATGAATTGATGATGTACCAGTCGGGTTCGACTCTGTATGCATCCCACTTCAATGTAGAGTCCACAAGTATAGAGGAGAATGTCCTGAAGAGCGATATCGAAAACTTCTTCTATGGAGTAACAAAGCAAGGTCCATGCATTGCATCGACGGATTCTGGGGACGGGAAGTCTGTTTCCATATTCCTTTTTTTGGCGGTGATATCCAACGAAGCAGTTACGATTGAGCTTTCCCGAAAGTTGTACGTTGGGCTCCAGGTGTACAACGTCTTCTTCTGCTCGGAAAAGATTGTGATCGCATGCAGGGACTTTGAGATTGTCGACATGGAATCTCTCAGGACAGAAGAGCTTCTGCAGGTCTACGACCCGTGCATTCCCGTACTTTTCTACGGGCTCAAGAATACCACTGCAAGATCCATACTCCCTGTCTCACCACGCGAGTTTCTTCTGTGCTTTGACTCTGTAGGGTTCATAGTCGACGACACCGGAAAGCTAAAGCGAACAGACATTATCTTTTTGTGGAACTGCAGGCCTGTGGAGTTCAAGCTGTCCAAGAATTATGTTATTTGTCTTGGACATCGGATCATAAACATATTTGACCTGAGGACTGGGCTGCTGATTTTCACCAAACTGCAGCATGGATTACGATTTGTGACCGGAAGCCTTGAGCCATTGCTGCATGATGGAAAGAACTTTTACAAAATAACATTTGAAGCAGATGTTGATGAGGCAAACGAACGGTCCAATAAGAGCCATAGAGACGAGGAGATATCGGCGAAATAACTGCCTATTGATGAAGTAATAAAGGGTTTATTAAAATGGCCTCCATCTTCTAGATGGCCAGAGGGAAATGGGCTGGCCATGCAGGCACAAACTTCAAAGCTCCGTCATCTTTCCATATACCCCTTGGCCATTTCAATCACCTCGGCTGGAAATCCGACCTTTTCTGCAACCATTATGCCAAAGCTTGTATCGCATATTCCGTCAACCACCTCGTACATGAGAAGAGTCCCGTCGCTCTTGGCCTTCTTGTTCAGCACATCATCTCCACAAAGCTCTGGAAAGTGGGTGGCGCATAGGCACAGGCTTTTCTTCAGAATGAGGTGCTCCTTGACGGCCTGTGCAATGCTTAGGCCGTCGACTGCGCTAGTTCCTCTTCCAAGCTCGTCTATTATGATCAACGATTCCGGGGAGCTTAGGCGGCATATCCTTGCTATGTCGGCCATCTCCATCATGAACGTGGACGATCCTGTGAATGAGCAATCTCCGGCTCCAACCCTTGTATATATTCCATCGAGTATCGGAATACTAGCATACTCTGCAGGGACATAACATCCCATGTGTGCAAGGAGGGCAATCACGCCACATGTCTTGAGGAAGGTGCTTTTTCCTCCCATGTTCGGGCCTGTCACCACACACATTCTCCTGTCCTCCATCTTTATCGAGTTCGGAATGTAGTCCTGGTCCTCAAGCACCGGATGGAACCCGTTCTCTATTTCAAGCATTGTTCCACCGACAATCGGCCTCGAGTATCCCTTGAGAGTAGCCTTGATCGAAAATGCACTAAACACATCAACCAGTGCGGTCAGATGGTTCAGGGACTCGAGATATGGTGTGTAGTTCTTCAGTGCTGTCTTGACTCCGTCCATGATCTCCTTCTCTTCGTCATCGATTTCTTTCTTGAGAGATTCTCTTCTTTCGTTCAGGAGGGAAAGGACTCTTGTTGTAAACGAAACCCCTCCCTTCACAAAGCTCAGCTCGACAAAGCCCTCTTTCTTGAAGAGATCTTGGCTTCTCTGATACTCGGCCTTTGCGGTCTTGAAGGCCCCTGAGTTTCTATCCACCTTAGCTCTAGGGTAAATCCCACACACCCTCTCATATTCCTTCTGCATCTTTCCATCGACTTCGGCCAGCGCCCTGTTAAGCTTCTGTAGCCTTTCCGATACATCGGGCCTGACTCTGTACACGTTTTCTTCCGCAGCCTCGAGATCAATTACTCGTGTGATTTCATTTCTGAACGGCACAAATGCCAGGAAGATCTTCTTGAGAGTCTCGCCAACATCCTTGCTAAGAGCCAAGGAGGATGAGAAAGAGGACATAAGCTCGGGAATGGTATCGACAGTCTGGGCTAGCCGAAGAATCTCTCTCAAGGACACCCTGCCACTGCTTACTCTTTTGGACAGCCTCAACAGGTCTGGAAATCTCTTTAAAATGCCAAGGTTAAGAGTCCTCAACGAGTCGACAATGTCCAACCTCCTCTCTATCTCATCCTTGTTACGGAGTGGCTGCAGAAGCATTCTGTGCAGAAGCCTCCATCCCTGATTTGTGTAGCAGCAGAAGGTTTTGGCGACACAGTGCTCGTTCTCGTTGTATACATTTAGTGAGGAGAGAACACTCCTATCCACCCTACACACAAACGGCCTGACATACTCCTTGTGCTCGTAGCTCTCCTCAGATACTCTGAGGTATCTGCACAAAAGCTTTATTGCACTTTCCTCGCCCCTCCTCAGGCAGCCGGAGATGCCCAGCCTGTTCAGGAAGTCTCCCAGCCTCTTGTTGTCGTATACCACCTCAATCACATTCATCTCGCTCAGAATCCAGTACAGATTGCTGAGTATCTCGTCGTCCTCAAAGGTAGAGGTATAGATCGTCGACTCAGATGTGGTTAGGAAGCTGACCTCAACTGCATCTCCTAACTTCACTGCTGCAACGGATGGAACGTTTCTAGCATCCAGCAACAGATCCGTGAAATCCTTCCAGTTTCCTGGGAACCCTTCCCTTACAAGAGTCCGGCCTTCATACTCTTGAACTCCAACCCTGCTCTCTGTCAGCAGTGCTCTAACAACGTCTTCGATTTCCCCCTTGGAGAGCCGCATCTCCTTCCCCTCCTTTCTCTCGGCCACGTCTTTCATGCTGCAGCGAGGAACCATCTCTATGTCCTCGTTGAATACACTGTATGCTTCTCCCCTTCCAAAGAACTTGAACTTGTCCTTGTCAAGTGTTTCATAAAACAGCTTGAACTCATAGTCCATCGATGGAATCGCAAGGACAACCGCAGAAAATAAGATAAATATAGGCATTCTAAATTTATTTATGTTCAGCCCTAGGAGCTAGCAGCACCTGTTCTTTTTCTTTGCACTCTTGAACAGCAGCTTTGTTTCGTAGCAAAGGTGCTCGGACTTGGCAACCAGGTCCTCCAGCTTGTCGTTCCGCTCAAGAACGGCCATCAATGTCTTCGACAGGGCACCCTTGGTCTCCTCAACCTCGTTCTGTATTTGCAGGAGGGTGTGCTTGGACGCAGGGTCCTTGTATTCCTCAATAAGCTTCTCGATGTCTCCGTGTCTTGCCTCTTGCAGAAGCTTCAGCGCCACAATCCCAGGATAGTCGTCGTCTGCACACGCTATGTATGCAAGGTCATTGTGCACCAAGCTGAACAGCCTGTAGGTTTTCTTGTCGTTGAACTCATGGGTGTATTCCTGGAATTCGTATGTCTCTAGCTTTTCTGCAAGCTCCTTGGAGATAAACATAAGCGTTTCCCTCACTTTCCCCCTGGTGAAGAACGAAAACTGCCCGAGGCTGAACGCCTTGGCCTTTACCTTCCTTGTGTGTACGTTGATGACCACCAAAGAAATAATAGCCATGCCGGGGTTACCGGGGCTGGCCTCTTAAGCAGTACCGATCAAAAGACACAACATTTTCATAGAGACAAACCATTTAATTATTTAGGCTGCTGGTGCTCCACCCATTCCGACGTCCTTCATGATGTCGCTCGTAAAGCTCTGGAAGTCATTGGATCTTCTCTCAAGCTCCTCAACCTCGAAGTCCTCCGGCCTCTGGGCATTTGAAAGCCATTCTTCGTTCTCCTTGATAACCCGGAGAGACTCGCTTTTCTTCTCCTCAGAGATATTGTTCGCCTTCTCAACAAAGGCCTTGAAGGAGGAAATCGCCTGGTCAAACGCCATTCTCTTTCCCATCTTCTCCTTGGTCTCGTTGTCTCTCTGCTCATTGTCCCTTGCCTCCTTGGTCATCCTTTCAATTTCTTCCTGGCTGAGCCTGTTCTGCGAGTTCGTCACCTTTATCTGATTCTCCTTGCCCGTCTGCTTGTCCTGTGCAGTGACAATAAGGATTCCGTTGTGGTCCACATCAAACGTAACCTCAATCTTGGGAACACCGCGGGGCGCTGCAATGATTCCGTCTAGATTGAAGCTCCCAATCTTTTTGTTGTCCTTACACATCGCCCTGTTCCCTTCGTACACATTGATGGTCACAGCCGTCTGGTTGTCCTCGTAGGTTGTGAAGGTCTCTGTCTTCTTAATGGGGATGTTGTCACCACAATGGATCAGGGCTGTCGCAACTCCTCCTGCAGTCTCAATCGAAAGGTTCAGAGGAACACAGTCTATGAGAAGGAGGCTTGACCCTGCATCCACAGCATCAGAGTATATAGACGCTGCCTGGTATGCTGCTCCATATGCAACAGCCTCATCGGCATTCACAGGCTCAATGACCTTGTGTGCTCCAAAGTATTCTGCAAGCAGAGCCTTGATCTTTGGAATTCTTGACGACCCTCCGACAAGAAGAACCTTGCTGATGTTATTCTTGACCTCGTTCAGAGTCTTCTCAAGAGAAGGATTCAGAAGGAGCTTGCTTCCATCCGCAGAGTACTCAACCTCGGGAACACCTGCAGAGCGCAGAAGGCACCCCTTGGTCCTCTCCATGCATCTCCTGAAAAGATGGTCGCAAAGAAGCTCAAACCTGGCACGGGTGATCTGAACATTCAGGTCGTCAGTCATGTGGAAGCACGGCACATATATGGCGCTGCTTGTTGCAGAGCTGAGGACTGCCTTGACCCTGGTGCACTCCGCTCTGAGCCTGAGGAGAGCACTCTCCTTCAGATCAGACTGCTTAATGGAGGAGTTCTTCTTGAGGAACTCGGAGATGCAGTAGTTGATCAACAGGTTGTCAAAGTCCTGACCCCCAAGGAACGTGTCTCCGTCAATAGCCTTGACAATCCCAAGAGACCCAGCCGCCCCGTTGAACTCAAAGTCGAGTAGAGATACATCGAATGTACCTCCTCCAAGATCAAACACAAGGACATCCTCCTTTGCAGAGAAGTTGGCATTCTTCTGTGTCTGGATATGCCCATATGCCATGGCTGCTGCCGTAGGCTCTGCAAGAAGCCTGACTTTGTTTGGGTCAAAGCCTGCAATCGTTGCCGCTGCCTTCGTCACATCCTTCTGAGGCTCCTCGAAGTATGCAGGAACCGTTACAACTGCAGAATCAACAGTCCCTCCAAGCCTTGCCTCAGCTGCATTCTTGAGATACAACAGGACCTTCCCGCTAATCTCAACAGGCGCATAGTAGTTTGTTTTTCCGTTCCTTGTAATCTTAATCGCTATGTTGTCGTACGAGTTCGATCCCTCAGAAACCTTGTTTGGCTCCTCCCTCTTCTCACGATGGTTGTACCTCACAACCTTGAACGGCCACCCTTTGATTGCATTCTGGATCTTCGGGTCGTCAAACTCCCTTCCAATCATCCTCTTTGCATCAAATATAACAGACATCGGGTCAGACCCAACCATGTTTCGGGCCGCCGTTCCAACAACGGTGCAGTTGTTCTCGTCAAAGCTCACCACAGACGGCGTTGTCCTCTCACCATCCTGGTTCGTAATAACCTCAACCTTTCCGCTTATGTATCCAGCAACACAGGAGAACGTCGTTCCCAGATCAATCCCAATCGCTCTAGAAGTGTTAGATTTAGCTTTCTCTTCAGACATTGAGCCCTAGGGATTCCCCACTTTTATTATTTTTTCTTTCCACATTTCTCTGTTTTTTCTAGAAAAAGATTAATGTTCCAGCTTTTACTTAGGCTTGCACAAGAATAATCTCCAGACACCTACGGACATGGTCGATAACCCGATAGTCCTTCGATCGGAGAGACTCCACAAGAACATCTTTGACGTCATTCACCAACTTCTTATTCCCACTCCTCCATATCTTCTCGAGTATGGTGTACACCTCCCTCTGCTTTACTCTTGAGTACAGGCCGTTGTAGATCATCTCCATTTCGTTATATTCCCCCAGCACCTTCCTGATCCTGTCTGCCACGTCGCTGTAGATCAGCTCAATATCGTGGAACAGTATTTCGTAGCACTTGAAGCAGATACTCTCCTTTCCAAGCCCAGATCCAAGCTCGCTCATCTCAAATATCACTCTGTACCCCTCCCTAATGTCAGATCTGCTCACCTCGTCAAAAGGCTGCATTTCATGGCTCTGCGGCTTGCCAATACCTGCAAACCTGCTCAGAACGTCGTGGTAGAACGCCAAAAACTCCAGGACAACCCTCTCTCTTCTCTTCAAGGCCTTTGCCGTGCTTTCTCCCATCTCATCGTCTAGGCCGCTGCGCCCCTCCTCATTCAAGCACTTTGAAACGCCCACCTTTGGCGCCTCATCAAAAATAACTCTGCTTCCATTTACAAACGACAGGAATGCTGCCCGTGTCCTTATGCTTTCCGATCCCTTCATAAATGCCCGCACAACATCCTCCCAGAAGGCTCTTTCCTTGCAGTGCTCAGCCAGGTCCATAACCGTTGCAGAATATCTGGCCTCCTCCGAGCTCCTCGACAGAACCTTTCCTATCCTTTCGATGAGCATCCTGGTCAGATGGACGTCCTTGAAGCTGATCCAATCGTTGTAGGCTTCAAGCTGTACGTCAAACACACTGCCTCCAGGCCCCCACGACTCGACCATGCTCAGCACCTTCTCCTGCAGAGCCTTGTTGTCGCTGTGGACAAACTTACGAAGCAATGGAATCAGCACACGAAGCTCAGCACTTTTAAATGCAAATCCCTTAATCAAGTCCATCATGTCAAGACACACGCCGCTCGAGTATCCTTCGCTGTCGGGAATCCTGGCAAACACTGACTTGTACGTATCCAAAATTAGCTCTCTCAGTCTCAATAGGCGCAGTGGAGACTTCCTCTCTCCAATCCCCGTCCTGAATCCCACATCCTCAGAGCTATGGTCGCTTCCTTCCTGAAATACCCCCCTGCCTCCGTCTCCCACCCCAGAAATCTTGCTTGCCATCATCCCCAAACTCTCAACACACATGCTCTGGACCTCACAAGAGTCTGAGCCGCATATCCCATCGGCAATCAGCTCGAGGAACTTGCCACACAGCTCTTCATGGCACTCCATCTTCTCAATAATCCTACGGCACTCATTCAGTATCAGCACAAGGGTACAGTGCGCCTCCTGGTCCTCGACCTTGACAAACTGCCTGCCTTTCTCTAAAATCGGAATCAGCCCGTTTCTTGCACCGAAGTCCACCTCTTTAAGGCTCATTCCATCACACTCAGCCTCAAGAAACATCACAAGATACTTGATCGCTGTTTCGCGCACAATGTATCTCTCGTCACTCGCCATCTCCCCCAAGACCTTCGTATACTTGACCCATGCAGAGCTCATCTCCTCGCCTCCATCCCTGTCCTTATCCCCACCAAGAGTCCGGCTGAAGGCCCTTCTGCTCATTAAACACTCGCCGATATCCTGGAAGATAAATACCGCCTTCAGGCTTATCTCGCTGTTCGGTGACAGACACATCGAATAGAGGCTCCCTATAAGCACCTCAAAATGTTTGTCGTCCAGCAGATGCCCAGACCCCTCCACGATCCACCTGATGATGGAGTACAGGGGAGAATACAGGCAGGGAATGCACGAGCACTCAACACACTCCATAACAATGTCCCAACAGCCCTCGGGCGTCACAAGCCTCAGGACCTCAGACAGTGCCTCTAGAATCTCCAGTCCGCTTCTTTCAAGGTTCTTTGCAAGCATCTTCCGGAGAAGCGTGAAAATAACACTCTCAACATCAGGCGTTAGAACTTCTAGGTGTCCGGCATAGTCCACAACGACAGAACAGAACACCTTGGTTGGATACTCCTCGCCGCCGTGGCTTTCCCTCAGCATCCCACCAAGAATCATCTCGAGTATCCTTATGTTCAGAGGCTCTACTACAATAGGCTTGGTGATGTTAAACACAGATAACAAAAAATCCACCTTGTCTTTTGAACTCCATGAACCAGAGGGCTCCAGCATTTCCACAGCCTTTATCAGAAAGAAAATCTCCTCGGCATCAAAGATGCTGACAGACTCAATGATATCTCCAAGGTGATCCTTACAGCAACTAAGGACAACATGCCAGGAGTCTTGGATATGCTTCCTGCTTTCGATCGAACTTCTGCACACGGCCCTTGCAAACCCCAGGTCAGACCCAAGAGCCATGAATCTCTCCAGCAACTCTCTATTCCCGGAAGCTGCATAAAATCTGAGAACAATGTCTAGCAGACGCTCTGTACTGGGATGTGCGCTGCTGATCCCAGACAGCTTTGCATACAAAGTCCCGGAAAATTTATCGAAAAAAACCTTTGTCGAAGGATGAAATCTGCCACTGGTCTTCTCCTGAGCATCCAGCTGATTACTCAATAGATTTCCAATGGCATTGATAGCGTCCGAGCTTCCAGACTCATTGTCAAGCGGTGTATCTTCAAGAACTCTGAAGAACATCCTTCTGATGGCTACAGCATAGCTACTGAATAGTAGGACATCCAGGCCTCCTAGGAAATCTAGAAACATCTCCATCTCCAGATCGTCAAATAGTCCGTAGGACTTCTCCATCTCGTCAAACACTGCATGGACCTGCTTCTCAAACAGGCAATTATGCCTTGCAACCACCCTTGAAAGCACTCGATAGACATTTCCCTTAGAAGAGCACCTCCTCTTCATCGTCTCCGTTAGCATACCCATCACCTCCAGGCGGTACATCTCCTTAAACTCCTCATACTCGAAAAGCTCACTCTTCTGAGTTACCAGCGCCACGGCATCAACTACAAAGTATCCCATCTCCCGCGAACCATATGCATTCTGCAAAAGGTACCTGAGAAACGAAATCCCATCGTCAATTGGGTTTGAAAACTCAGGGCTTCTCCTCAGAACCAGTCTCTCCGACTTGGATCTGCAGTCTTCAAGAACATCCAGCTTACTGCAAGGACTCGCAGCATTAAGTTCGTCCTCCTCGCTCTGGGCTTCATTCTTGAAAATAGCACAGGCTCTGTTGAAGATAACATCTACTAAATGCATCGCTATAGGCTTTGCAGTTGTCTGGACCTGCTTGCTTCTGTCCTCGATCATCCCAATTATGCTCTTGAACAGAGATAGCGCAAGGTCCCCTCGGAAATTTTCATATCTCATAATGTAGTAGCTCATCTGGAGTATCTTCATCTTCGATGCTTCGCACCAGCTGCCCTCTGAAATAACACCGATGATCTCCTCAATATCACTCGAGGTAAGTAGGTCGTTGACAAGGAACGTGTAGATAAAATCTATTACAAAGGCAGGAACCTGTCTCTTGGCCCGCAGCCCCTGCACAAAGACATCAACAACATCCCGCCGTTCCCTAATGAAATCCTTGATGTTTTCTTCCTCAAGACTGCCCATCTCCCTCAGCGACCCTCTGCACCTGCCTAAAACCTCGTCATCCTCCACTGTTTTCATGAGCTTTTCAATGCCTGCCTCTATCTCCGATTTGTGTAGGTACATTTATTTACACAGGGTTTCAGCGACTTTATTTATTCGAGCCTGTGAAACACTGCGACTCAATGCAAGATGATGCCGCCTGTCTACCGCTCAGCTTCACATCACAAGTCTTACATATAAACAGCTCGACTTAAACAGCAAAATATAGCACCCCGATGTTCATTCTCGTGGGACTGCCAGTGGAGGAGGATGGTCTCCGCCCGACGGAAGACCAGATCTGGGATGAATATGGGCTGCGGTCCAGCAGAATACTCCTCCCGTCATTCACAGGCGTGTCTTTGGAGGGGATAGTAAACCAGGTGGAAAGGCTGGGCTCGCTGGAGAAGTCCTGCGAGGGCCTCCTCAAGACATTCATGGGGTACTGTAGAGAAAACAGGGTAGGAAAGGGCATTGTGTATGGGAGCACGGAAGAAATAGGAGACTTTCTTGAATGGGACAGGCAGAGCTTTGTGACCAATTCCATTGAAAAGGCAATTTTGCTCCTTGATGGAGAGTACAGGAGGATCAGCAAGGCGTATGAGGAGAAGGCTGAGGAGTTCGATGGGGCAAAGAGGGAGTGTGAAAAACTCCAGAGGCTTACAAGAGGGAGCCTATGCGACATCGACCTTGGCATAATAGTTGAAAGGCCGGAGGAATACGAATTCCTTAGGGTGCTGTATGTAGTTGTTCAGAAGGCCAGGGTTCCAGAGTTTAACAGAGCTGTGGACGAGTCACCGCACATATCGCTGGACGCTGTTGAGAAGGTAAATAGCGACGAAGAGTATGAGCTTTTCAAGGTCTATGTTCTGCACCATGGCGAGGAGGATGTGAGGAACATGATCCATGCCGAAGGGTTTATGGTCAAGGACCTTGACAAGAACATGGTTTCCTCTGAAGAGATGATTGCAAGAAGGAGAAGGGCTGAGGAGAAGTTTTCGGCAATGGAAAAGATTCTGATGACATTTATGCATGTTCATCTAACGGAGGTTTTTCGGATACTGATCCACATAAAGCTCCTGAGGCTGTTTGTGGAGTCAGTCTATAGATACGGTCTTCCTACGGAATACATGTTCTTTGTGACAAGGGGCGAGAAGTCGAAGGTTCTGGCCCAATGGATAGCCATAGCCAAGAACTGGCCCTCAGACAGGATTGTATATGAAGAAGAGGGCGACAACAACGACGAGGGCGAGATCTTTTTTGCCTTTTCAGAGATCAGCACATATGGCGAGGAAGAATAAGCCGTGGGTGGTGGCCTGAGGCCCATGCTCTCTAGATGAGTCGGAGAAGCACATTAAGATAAATAGGTTTATTTTCCTGCAGGGCCTACCAGCCTCATTCCTTCCAAACCTTCTTGCATCTTATGCACTTGTAGAATATAGTCATAGGCTCATCTGCACTGCGTGTTTGGAGCTCTACAAACGAGACTTCTTCGGAACCACACTCGCACCTCTTCCCACACTTGGTCACAAACTTCAAGCTTTCATCCTCATCCACAAATCCCTCGCTTTTCTTTGGCGTCATTCCGACAGTCCTGGATATCTCCTCGGATATTGCATACAGATACCCGCACATCTTGCACGACAACTCATTTCCAATGGCTTGCTTCTTGACAACCAGCATGCTCGAGCACAGAGGACAGAATAACATCCTGCTGGGACTAAAATAGTATGATGTAAAAACCAACGGGCTCTATGGCCCTGCTTCCAGAAAGTAAAAGTGGAGTGTGTATGTTCCCGTCTCCTCATCAACGTCTTCATAGATGGAAAGCTCATCAATCTCTTTGTTCTCAAACTTGAATCCAATGTTTTCATATGGCCTGCATACAAATACAAGGTACCTAAAGGACTCATCATACTCCTCAACATTTTGCTCTAGACTGTTTACAAACCGGTACTGCGGCATTTCCTCGGCAAGCTCATAATTAACCACAATCCCATGTCCCCTCCTACCTCCCTCCACTAGGCTCCGCACGCTATAGGAGGGAATGGAGCGTTGGTTTTCTTCCTTGGCCGAAGATGCTTCCTTGTGTTTTTTGCCTTCTCTGTGTTTCACATAACTCATTTCCGTCAGATGCTTAGTCTTGCAGAGAAGGCAGACATACTTCCCGGTGCTGTCTCTGGACAAGCTTGGGTCATCCATCAGCCCGTAGGCCTCAAGAAGAAGCTGCCTGCTTCTTTCCTTCTTGTGCTTTTTTATTTCGGATGCGGTATGTGCATTCCCTGTCTTTGATCCTCCACGTCCTCCCATTCCAGGGATGGGCACTCCTCTATTTCTGACTCAAAGCACCTGTCCCTGCAGTGCCTCTGCCGTCTCCTTCTCGGCTTCCGACACTAATCTCCTCATCGACTTGCCCAGAATCCAATCAAACCCTGCCTCAAGCCCGTCTCCACTGACGCCGCAGCATTTGACAAGTCTAACATCGCTCTTCTTGAGAAGCTCGCAGAGATCACTTCCCAATGACTCAGCGTTGAATGTGGGATTGAGATCCGACTTGTTTGCCAATATCAGCATCGGCGTATCGACCAGAGCAGACCTTATATGCCCTATATGCTCGGCAAATGACCTTCTGTCGCTGGAGTCAAATACAAACACAACTCCATCCACATCTTCATAGTAGCTTGACCAGTACTCCACGAACACTGATTGCCCCCCTATGTCAAGGACTATGAGACTGTGGGCTTTGTAGACAACGTCATGGATCTGGTATCCAAATGTTGGGTGCACGCGCTCTGTCGGCTTTCCCAGGAGCTTGTGCAAGATGGTTGTTTTCCCTGCATTGTCCAGTCCAAGCACAAGTATTCTGAGCTGGCTCCTCTCCTTTTTTATGCTCCTAACTATTCTGCTGAAGTACATCGGGAGCTCGACAAACAAATATTTTTGTCAAGGCCCTGTGGGATGATAGCAGTGGACTCGGAGTGGATTAGATCGAACATCAAGATGTTTGCGAAGCGAAGGGTCGTGGTTATTACCGGAGCCGGGATATCTGTCTCGAGCGGAATACCTGACTTCAGGTCGAAGTCGGGGCTTTTTAACGACATTAAAAAGGATCTTGGAGTCAGTGGCAATGACCTGTTCACATACAGCCTGTCCATGTCGAAGGAGCTGAGGAAGGGGTATCTAAGGTACATAAGCAAGCTCAAAAACATGGTGGACAAGGCCCAGCCATCAGCTACACACGAGTTTCTTTCCCTCTATTCCGACATTTCTAGGAGGTTCCGGATTTATACCCAGAACATCGACGGACTTGAGGAGAAGGCCGGGCTAGCGGCCACGAAGGACAGATCGACCAGGTTAGTTTATCTTCACGGAAACATGAAGAGTCTGGGGTGCCTGTACTGCGGGTACAAGATAGAGTTTGGTGATGCAGAGAGAGATGCGTATGGAAGAGGAGAGGAAATAGTGTGCGCCGGGTGTGTAAGGCGCAACGAGAAAAGGGGAAGGGACGTGAGAAAAAGGCCTGTTGGAGTGTTTCACACGACAATAATACACTACAACCAGTCGCATCCTGACTCGTCTTTCATTTCAAAGATGGCAGAGCACGATAACACCTGCGACCTGTTTATTGTTATGGGAACCAGCCTCAAGGTTTTTGGGGTGAGAAGACTGGTTAAGTACTTTTGCAGGCTTAACAGCACAAGGGGAAGGAGGATACTGGTGAACCTCGACAGGCCCTCGAAGGAGTTCGGCGAGCTCTTTGATTTTTTCTGGAATGGAGACTGCGATGAGTTCTGTAGGGTTCTTAAAGACGGGCTGGGGCTGAGGTCGGTGGCAGACAGTGTCCGGAGACTCTCGATAACAAAGAAAGAGGACTCTGATAAGGCACAAGTGCATACAAAGGAGAAACCTGTCAGCCGAAACAGCGCAAAGACTAAGAGAAAAGTCATAGAAAAGGAAGTTCAAGAACGTATAGACTTGTTAATGGAACTATCGAAAAAGGGAGATAACAGCAAGGCCGCAAAGGAGGGCAACTAAGAGCTTGGGAAGTTGGCGTTCTGTCTGAGGTTACAGAAGAGAGAAAGATGATGCGCCTTGAAATAGACAGATCAAGCTATGGAGTTGTCTTTTATTGGGTTTGCTTCTACCTCAGATCTGGGGCCTTTACAGGCAGCAGTCGCAATATATCGGGCAGTCCTCGGTATCCCCTCCACCATCCCCAAGATGAAGCTCTTCAGTTGTATACACAGGGAGGCCTTCATGATATCTTCTCCCATCCTTCCCAACAGAAAAATACTTTTCTTCGTTAGACTCATCATCATCTTTTTTAGCTTTGGGCTCATTTATTCTTGCAGAGCCTATCCCAGAGAATATTGATTCAATGTCGTCTTCGTCCGCACTCCCCTGCCTCTTTAAGCCGCTCCTCAAGGCTTTTCTGTCTCCTGTGCTGCTCTCTCCTACCCTTCTCATCGTGGATAGGGAGCAGGACACGGATATTAAATAAAGAACACCGTTTAATTCTTATAGGTCGATTTGGACCTTGATGTTCATCGCAAGCAGCTCGCAGCACAGATACTTGAAGACATACGGCATCTCGACTGCCTTGAGATCGCTGCTTCCGCAGATGCAATCTCCGTTGTTCGTAAAAAGTATGCTCCTGCATGTCCCGCAGTACTCAAACACAGTGGAGTCGCTAGACTTAAGAAGCCTGTCCTGCAGAAGATACGAAGCTCCGTGTGAAATCAAGGCATCACGCTCCATCTCTCCAAAGCGGATTCCCCCACGCTTCTTTCTTCCTCCAACAGGCTGTCGGGTCGTAGATACAACGGCCCCCTTTGTGCGCACCTGGAACTTGTCTCCAACCATGTGCTTCAGCCTCTGATAATATACCACTCCCACAAAAATATCAGCGCGGAACTCGTTCCCTGCTACGCCACTGTACATCGGCTCGTTTCCATAGTAGTTGAACCCGTGCCTCCGAAGCTCCGAGCACAAGTATTCTTTTCTTCTGACCTTCTCGTCATCTCCCTCCTCTTGTTCCAGAAGAAAGCTCTTTTTAAACACAGTTCCATCCTGCTCATTCCCACTCAGACACCCAACCTTCCCTGCAATCGACTCAATCAACATCCCAATCGTCATTCGGCTTGGGAATGCATGTGGGTTGATGATGATGTCGGGAACACATCCAGACTCCGTAAACGGCATGTCGATACCCGGCCAATGCATCGAGCAGACACCTTTCTGCCCATGCCTTGAGCTGAACTTGTCCCCAATCATAGGGCTTCGCACTATTCTTATGGTAAATGTAGCACATCTTTCGCCCATGTCATTCTCAAACACCCTAACAATATCCACTATCCCAGGCTCCGTCCCTAGATACCTTTTCTCGTATTCCCGGCCATCCTGGTCAACATATCTGTATAGCGTGTCGTCCTTCTGTATCCTTTGCCCAACAGATGGAAGATATGTAAAGAAATACCCTTTATCCAAAGGTACCTTCTCTGTCTTGTAAACATACCCCGTAAACAACCCCCGGTCAATACTATTCTTATTGATGACCAACGCATCTTCCATGTCGTATGCAGTGTACGAGAGAACAGCCACCATGCAGTTGATTCCCACAGGATAATCCTTGACCATCTCATATCCCTCTGTTCTAACTATCGGAGACTGGAGATAGTTTACTGTGTACATGGTGGGATCCGTTCTTGTCCTTATATTATGTGCTGGATGTCCTATTGCTTGCTTTGCCATCTGGCACTGATACATGTTTCTGGGACTCTGGTTGTGGTCAGAATACGGTATCAGCCCTGCTATTATTCCCAGAATTCCAGACTTGTCTATTTCGTAGTAGTCTCCATCCCCCGCTCCCTCTTCAGTGTCTATGTTCAAAAAGACTTGCTCCATTATCCCAATCCACTCTTCAGACCCCAGCCTTCTGTTCATAACCTTTCTGGCAAATCTTCCTACTGAGCTAAAAATGCACACAGAGGGGAACATTTTTGGCTCCGAGGTATAAACTACTTCAATCATTAGTCCGTTCCTGTTCCTGTATTCTCTCACCATACGAGTAAGATCCGATGGAGACGAGGTCGACCCAACCACCCTCCCGTTCACAAGGACAGGGATGCCCATCTCCACACCTCTGATGGATGGAACAACTCCAAATTCGAAAAGAATATCCGTGTTGAAATCGTCATCCCTGCTGACCACTTCCGCTTCCTTGGCCATGTGGAGAAGAACCCCGCACGGAGCCCCGTCAGGCGTATGGACAGGGCAAAGAAATCCCCATGACTCCGGCCTGAGTTTGCGGATAGATGTCACCATCGAGGGAATATGAGTCCCCCGGTTGACCCCGCGGAAGTGGCTGAGGTACTTGTAGAAGTTGATTCTTTCTGCAGTGATAGAAAACCCCAGGGTCTGCAGGATGTCCGAGCAAGACGTCAGAGTTATGCTTCCACTCGACAAGAAGAGCTCCATCCTCTGTCCAATGTTAATAGAGGTTCTCTTGAATATCTCCCTGATCTTGGATATGTCCAGCTCATCCTCACAAAACCCAGACTCAGTCACCGAATCCCCCTCCAGCTTCCTTTTTTCTCCCTCCAGCTTGTAATATGTCTTTCTACACATCATTGAAAAGAAGCGCATGAACTCCTCTATTCTATCCCGGAGGAAGGAAGATATGATCTGTGTTTCCGTGCCCAGCTCGTGATTGCTGGGGGAGTCTGGATCGTCCTCTGTTATCTCGTTGTCTACAAAGGAGAACAGCTTTCTGGCTGCGAGTATCAGAAAGTTGAACTTGTCGAGATTGGACGAGAGGTGGGAGACAACATATTTGCTCAAAATTTCCTCGGCCACCTCAGCCTTCGACTCAAAATTCAGAATGGCAGAAAAACGTGATCCGATATAGTCCAGACATTCCGTCCTTGAAAAAACATTGTGCTCCGCAAAGCACTTGAGAAGATGGACAGCCCTTTGCCCGCCTCCCAGTGCTCCAAACAACTCCTCATCGGTCGTATTGACCAAGGCCTTTAGCACAAGAACCAGTGGAAACAGAAACTCATACTTTTTGTGGAATATCTTGATGACCACGTTTCCATCAGTACAATAATGTAAGAAATTCATGTGTCCGATCTCATCCCTCCCCACACATCTCATCGATACCATATAGTCGCTGAAAAAGCTTGTTTTTTTCCGCATCTTGAACGCAAATATGTGATTTCTCTTCTGCATGATGTTGAATCTGATGAACCTGTCGATTCCATTGATTATAAAGTATCCTCCGATCTCGTCTTCGTCCTCTCCAACCTCGTTCTTGTTCTTAATGCCGTTCAGATGGCAGAGCGTCGACCGGACCATGATAGGAAAATGCCCCGCAGACTTGTCTTCGGTCACCACGTGCTTGTTATCATGGAACAGGGACACCCGGACTACCATCTTTCCTTTGTATGTTAGTCCCCTCTCCCGGCACTCCCTAGGGAGCAGCCTCCTGTCCACAGAAATGTGGTCCTTGTCGCTCAGAAAGGGCGGAGCAACATGAATCTCTTCCACAATAATCTTTGTCTTGCCCTTCACCAGAGGCGGGACACCTGCTACAAGATTGTCAAGTATGTTTCCGTTGAATATCGCGTTGTAGGCCTCTATGTGGGCCTTTGCAGCATCCTTCAGTTCCATTCGGCAGGGATAAATTTTTCGTGAATGATGATACATTTCTATCTGTCGTTTGCTGCATGGATGTGGCAATGAATGATGCAGAGCATCGAATCCATGTGTCTGGTCAATAAAAAGTTAAACTTCTTCTACCCTATGACGGACTCGGTTCTTGTTGAGTTCGAGGACCAAGAGGGCTGTAAAGTCTCGGACAGGCTCCAGATCCCGGTCAAGATACTTAGATCGCAGCTGCAGTTGCTTGCAAACACCCACCTCTCGCTTTATGTCAACGGACAGCCTGTTCTTGAAACGCTTGAGGAAACACTGAAGCAGCAGAACATCTCGTCTGCAGAGGAGGTTGTAAAGATCAGAATGAGTGAGGAGGAGCCAGCAACACAGGCGGCTTTCCACTGCTCCTCGTCGTTTAGTGGACACGAAGGGCCTGTTCTGTGTGTGAGGTATGGTGGAGTGATTGTCACCGGAGGAGGAGACTCCACAGTGCGGTTCTGGGATCCTATGACAAGGACGCAAAGCAAAGTGGTCAAGAGACACGACCACTGGGTTCAGTCTCTTGACATTTCTCCTGACGGAAAGTGGATTGCCAGTGGAGCGCTTGACGGGAGTGTTAATCTGTACTCCAGCGATGGTGAATACATCAGGAGCTTTCCAGGGCACAGAAAAGGCATTGTGGCGTTAGCATTCCACAGGGGAAATCTAGTGACGGGGTCCAGAGACAACTCTGTTGTAGTGTGGAGCCTGAACGGGGAGGTTCTTCTTTCGTATGCCCACACAATGCCTGTCACATGCATCTGCTCTGGAGAGGACTACATGGCCTCTGGAAGCAAGGACGGAAGAATCAAGGTCTACAAGAACCTCAGGTTTGCTGAGGAACTCCGGGGACACTCCTCCGGAATCAACGCAATCGACTGCAACGGAAACTATATGGTATCTGGATGTGACGGAGGGGATGTGATTGTCTGGAAAGGATTTGCATTGCACAAGCGAATGAAGCACAGCGCAGAAGTCATTTCCGTCTCCATCTCCCCTAACAAGCTTTATGTCGCATCTGGATCATTCGATAAGTCTGTGAAGCTGTGGAGCATGGACTCCGGACAGCAGCTTTCGAGCTTCCGCCATATGGACCTCGTGTATAAGATCAAGATGATGAACGACCTGGTAGTTTCATGCTCAAAAGACAAGACCATCAAGATGTTCCGGGTAAGCAAGAAGAAGGTTGTAAGCGATCTGGTTTGCGACGATGAGGTGTATTGTTTTGACATGAGGAGTGATGGAGGTCTTGTGTGTGGAACAAGAAGCAATAGAGTATACTTCTTCAACTGAACATTGGGAATCTTGACAGAGACATCCGGGCTTAGATGATGAATAAAAAATTTTAATCCTTGAGATGCCGATGATCAGGCTTGAAGAAGAAAGATTTGAGAGGAGGTCGAGAGACATAAGAAAGCATCTCGGAGGGCCTCTAGTTGTTATGCTGGGGAAGAGCCAGGATGTTCTTGAATTTCGAATCAACTCTGCTCTGTTCATCTATCTACTTGGATACGAGTTCCCGGAGACGATTCTGATAGTTGATGATGTATGCACGGCAATAACAAGCCAGAAGAAGTCTGCAATTCTTAGGCAAATAGGGAGCCTGAACATTGTTGTGCGCAACAAAGACAACTCGAACATGGACGAGATTTATAAGATTTTCAAGGGTTCGTACTATGTTGTGGGGTCTGAGGAGATTGTGGGAGACTTCTGCAGGGATGTTCTTAGGAGAATTAACGCATCTGATGTCACCGACAAGTTGTCTGAGATGTTCCTGACGAAGGACGCCGAAGAGATTGAGAACTGCAGGGCATCTGGTGCAGCAGTATCTGTGCTGATGAGGAAGGGGATGGAGATGTTGTGGGACGGAGCATTTGAAAAGGGAAAGCTTGAGGATCTGATGGGCTCTGATGTGGAGGGGATTGACATGACCCCGGGGGAATTTTCATTTCCTATGGAATATACAAGAGACAGGCTCAGGATTGGGATACGATACAATGGATACTGCAGCGAGATGTCCCGGACGATTGTGACGAATATGGAGGAGGCATACATGGCACAGGAGTACATCCTTGGGCTTGTCAGGCCAGGGACGGACTCTGGGATTATATATTCCGAGGCAGAGAAGTACCTTTCATCGAACGGACTGGAGTTTGGGGCGGACTTTATATACACGGTTGGGTTGATGAGCAAGGAAAGAAGCTTCCAAAAGCCATTTACTGTGGAGAAGGGATGTATTTTTGTAATTAACTTGAACAACGAAACGGTGTCTCTATCGAACACGTTTTTGCTTGGAGAGACACCTGAATACCTGACATTGCAGGACACGGCACCGGACTTTCTGGACAAGAGATCGAGGTTCCGCGATAAGACAAAGGAGCACGAGCTAAATATGAGAAGAAAGGAGCATCAAAAGGAACTTCTCGACAAGATTATCGAGGAGAGGCTTGAGTTCTACAGGAATCTTTCTGATGCAGGCAAGGATGAGGAAAAGAGTGAAGCTAGAATAGTCCCGTATAGCAAGGAAAGCCTTGTGCCGAGGCAAGGGAGGCTGATTGTGGACTTCGCAAGAGAGTCGATTGTTGTGCCTATCGGAAGCTATGCAGTTCCATTCCATGTTTCGAGTATCAAGAGCGCTGCTGTCACAGATGACAAGATCCTTAGAATCAACTTCAAGACCGAGTCCAAGGGAAAGGAAGAAACAGAAGAGGCGGAATGCGAGCAGAGAGGGGAAAGCTTCCTGAGTACCATTAAGTCGATAAGCATTCGTGGAAACAACTCTAGAGATCTTCTTGAGGAGATAAACAGCCTGAAGAAGGGGCACTTGACAAAAGAAACCATAGAGGATGTAGAAAGTCTTGAAGAGTTGAAGATTTCCTCAAGGCCGCTTAGCCTTACCGACGTTTACATGAAGACGGACATAAGGACTGGGTCGAGGAAAAGGAAGGTTGGGAATCTGGAGCTCCATGAAAATGGATTTAGATTTAAAGGGGAGGATGTTGTGATTTTATTCTCAAACATTCGGCATATATTCTTTTCCGAGGGCAATGTGGAAACAAATGCGATTCTTCACTTCCATCTGCTCAGTCCGATTCTTACCGGAGGAAAAGTTGTGAATGTACAGTTTTACCGAGAGGCTGGGAATACCATGGTTTATGACACCATGAAAAGAGGAGACGAGCACATGGAGTACATTATTGAAAAGGAAGAAGAAGATAGACAGCAGGCTATTAACCAGCAGTTCCGCTCGTTTGTAAGCAGCATCGAGTCGGAAACCCGGTTTAAGGTTCAGATTCCGAAGGCCGGATTCTATGGCGTTCCGTTCCGAGAAAGCGTCATGATCAAGCAGACTCACGAGTGCCTTGTCAGCCTTGATGAGGCACCATATTTTGTGCTGACGCTGGAAGATGTGGAGGTTGTCAACTTTGAAAGGGTTGTTCTGACTGTCAAGACTGTGGACGTGCTCTTTATCCTGAGGAACAGATATCCTCTGGATGTAGTTATGAAGAACAAGTCGCGCCTTCTTGTGAGCATACTAAGTGTAGATGTGCAAAGCATCAACAAGCTCAAGGAATACCTCGACTCGAACAACGTTCTGTTTATGGAAACTTCGGCGAGCATTCGATGGAACAATGTCATCGGAAGTATAATGAAGGATCCAATTTCATTTTACGAAGACGGAGCATGGTCAGGGCTTATGGTTGGGGACAGCGAGGAGAGTTCTGAGGAAGAGCCTGAGACATCTGAGGATCTGAGCTCTTCTGACACGGAGACCCTTTCTACCGATGACGATGATGTAAGCGATATATCGAGCGAAGACCTGGAAGAAGATGAAAGCCACAATGATAGCTCAGATGATGAGGACTCCGAAGACTACGAGGACGAGGACTCTGAGGAATACGATTCGGAACCTGGAAAAAGAAGGAAGAATTAAAGTCAATATCCTTTATTTTAGTTTATATTTTCTTTTTGACGCCTATTTGCGCTTCTGCCTCTTGACAAAGCTTCTGATTAGGCTTTCATCTATGTCCTTCACAGCGGGTATTTCCCTATATGTCCTTGTATCAAACTTCCTCTTTTGAAATGCGCCATACTTTGTAAGGAAGTTCTGAAACTCCTCATTTCTACCGAAAAGGGACTCTATCGCGGCCATCACTAGTGACCTGGAGTCCAGCTTTCTTACCTCGGGCCATTGAATCAGCGTGTTGAACAGTCGAATGGCCCTGTCTATAAGACCCGGGGGGAGATTCACCGTCTGAAGGAACCCAATGAAGTCGCCATACACATCTTCAAATGACATGTCAAACCCTAACGACCTCAGTATCTGTGTCTCGGCAAGTATACAGCCCTCCTTGAGCCTGATCGACAGTCTATTGGTCAACGGAGCTGCCTCCGACTCGTATCTTGTGTGCAGATAATTAAACACACATATTACTCTCTTCAGAGTGCAGACCTCCTCCTCTAACTTGGAGGCTAGCAGGATGGAAGCAGTGCACAAGCCTACGAGGTCTATCTCCTCGCAGAAGTTGTAGAGTAATACTAGTGCCTTGTATCTTGTCTGGTAAGAGAGGTTCAGAAGTATGCAGGACTCCGTAATGAACTTAATGCCCAGAAACAGCTTGACTTCTTTGTCGGAAAGCATTACCTTGTCTTGCTGAGCCATCCCAAGTATCAAGGATGAAGAAAATCGGAATTAGCCTTTGGTGAAACAGCAAGATATTTCTCACCCATCCTTCCTTTCTATGAAATAGGTCGGGAGAATCCTCCTAATATAGGCATCACATCCGTCCCCATACTTTCTTTCCATGCCGTCCAGAAACCTCTTGGTAATCTCTGCGGCCTCTTTTAAGAACTCTCCGTCCTTCTCCTTCATTGCCCTGTATACAACCCTTGATAGGTCTCTAATCCAAGCGAGATCTTTCTTCTCAAATGCCTTCTTCTCCACCATGGGCACAACCTCAACTTCCACCTCGCACTTCAGGGGCTTCCTCTCGAACCTGAACTCTCTCCTTGGCCTTTCAAGCTTTTCCTCCTCAAACGGGTATATGGGGAAAAACTCCACCCGCCTCCCCTCCTTTGTACTCGGATGGATCTCCACATCTCCCATGGGCTTCAGGGCCAGGACAGAATGGCTGTTGATTCTAGAGGCAAAGTCCTGCTTGACATCATATCCTCTTATGGCAGAACAGATCATCCTGTCCAGGCTGTTTTTTTCGTTCTTGATGTTACAGAAGTACGACTGTTTTAGAAGGTTGTAGAACTGATTTATAGAGCAGTTCATTTGTCCAAATATATTCAGAAGCATCGGATCCAGCGCAGAGACAAAGGTTTTTTCATCAATCTCCAACTCCCTCGACGGCTGCTGCCGGACTATGGGCACCATCTGCTTCATTTTGTCTCTGTTAATTGACCAAAACTTGGAGGGTGAGATATGCTGCTTCAGATTGTTGAACATCGCCCTCATAGCTGGATCGGACTCCAGTATCTTCTTTGTTATGTCCTGGTCTGTTTTCATGAACGACAAGATTATTGACTTGATGATATCCCTGGAGTGGTGTGTGTCAAACCCAAGTATGACGGTTTCCTCGGACAGCTTTAGCCTCAGAAAGAAGCCCTCGTTGTTCTTTACGTGCAAGGAACGGATTTCGGCCAAGAGGATGTCCCTGATTACGGCATCTTTGCTAATCCTTACTTTTGTATCGTCCACCGCCACAAACACCTCTTGATCTTCAAACGAAGCTTTTATGCCTTCAGGCATATGGGGTGTCTCAGCCTTGTAATTTTGCAGTTTACTCAAGCCCATGAAATTAGAATCTCAAAAGTCTGAGCTTCTTTGGAGGAATTTGAGGCTTACCACCAAGGGTGCGGATGGGGCATGGAGGACCATTTTGAGGGGGGTTAGTGGGGTAATCGAGCCCTCGACGATGACTGCGCTTATGGGAACCAGTGGCGCAGGAAAAACGACTCTTATGAATGCGCTTGCAGGGAGAATTTCACCGAACATGCACCTCAAGGGCGAAATTCTTCTGAACTCCCATCCAAGATCGAAAGATACATGGCCTGAAATTGTCGGATACGTGGAGCAGGAGTTCCATGCGTACGAGTATCAGACGGTTTTCGAGACGCTTTCATTTGCATCGAAAATAAAGATGAGGGGAGAGGAAATGGAACAAAAGGTAGTAAACAGGATAGAGGAAATAGTATCACTGCTGGGGCTAAAGAATGCAAAGAACACGTATATAGCAAACTTGTCTGGGGGAGAAAGAAAGCGAGTCTCAATAGGGGTCGAGCTATTGGGAAACCCCTCGATACTGTTTTGCGACGAACCCACCAGCGGACTGGATTCGTTCAATGCCCTGAACATCCTCAGCCTACTCAGAGATCTATCGAACATGGGGAAGACCGTTTTGGTTACTATTCACCAGCCATCCTACGAGATGATCAACTTCTTTGACAAGTTCATATTGATGTCGATGGGAAAGGTTATCTACGACGGAGATGTTAAGGGCTGTATTGGGTTCTTTGCACGGTGTGGGCATCGACTGCCGGAGTTTACAAACCCGGTAGATTTCTTCCTGAAGACAATAAGCCTCGACACAAGAACGAAAAGTTCAGAGGAAAAGAGTTTGGATGTCATTAATCACATAAGTGCCAAGTGGCGCAGGGAAAGGAAGGAAGTTGTTCCAAAGCTTTCCAGTGAAGTCAGGATGCGGGACAAGACGATCAAGACAACCCTCAGCTTCTTCCTTCTCTGGAGTAGGAATCTGAAGAACTACCTTAGGAACTCCGAGTATTTCAAGATCAAGGCCTTTCAGAAGATGTTCTTTATCACTGTGTTCGGACTTGCCTATCTACGGATGGGGTATTCTGTGGAAAGCATATACACTAGACTGGGAGGAATAACGTTTATCCTGACAAACATGCTGTTTGGGGTATGCAACCCCATATTCAACGTGTTTTCGTCTGAAAAGATGGTGATACTCCGGGAAAGAAGGTCTGGGATGTATTCAGGGTTTATGGCATTTATAGCCAAGTACTTCTCCGAGATCTTCATCAACTTCATGCTTGAGATCCCGTATCTGGTGATAATATACTGGACAATTGGGCTGAACCCGGATGTAAGAGTCTTTCTTGTGTTCATGGCCATCATTATTTCCCTGATTCTGCTGTCCATAGCGTACTCCCTGGCCATCAGTACGATGACATCTACACAGAACAATTCCCAGGTGCTGGGATCGATGGGGCTGCTTGTTTTTCTAATTTACAGTGGATCCTTTAATAATCCAAACACCATATCCAAGTGGCTTAAGTGGATAGTATGGATCTCGCCGATGTACTATGCAACAAAGGCATCGTTCCAGAACCAGCTGAATGGCGTTGTGTTTAAAAGCCCTAATGTCCAGACCACCGGCGAGGAACAGATCAAGAGTAGAGGACTTGATGGGATGGGAGTGTGGCCGTGTGTATTCGTTTTGCTGGGAATGACCTTGCTTTGGATGCTATCTGGTGCCACGGTGCTCCACTGGACCACAAAGAACAACATGAAGGTAGAAATAAATGATGAAGAGGTATAGGGATGCTTCATTTGATTTCTGGAACCTACTCTGGAAGTCTGAATCTGTGAAATTAAGGCTGGCCTGCAAAGCCCCTATTCTAAATGGACCACGCCTCTAAGCCTGGAAGTAAGGCCGTAAAGGAATACGAGAGGCTTCCGATAATAAAGAAGGTTCCGATAGTTATTTATTACTGCATAGAAAAGTCTATTTCTCGGATTCCTGAGAAAGCTAGAAAGATGATTTCCAAGGGAAGCTCGCTACTATCTGTTGGGCATATTGTATTCTGCACTGCAGTTCCATTTGTCTATATCTATCGGAGAGACAAGAGCATTGTGGGGGATTCCATCCTTAGTGCCGAGTAAGAGCTTATAGGATTTTTTTTGTAAGCCCTGAAATGTATAGGTCCTTTCTGTCGAAGATAGACCCGCCCATTGATTATGTGGGGCAGAAGTTGGCATCCGACCTTATGTACCTTATATTTGGTGTTGGATATACGGCGGCATTTGTTGCCGGAGTTTTGTTCAATGACCTTGTGTACACGATGTACATCAGCATTGCAACGCTGGTAATCTCTGTGATTATTGTGATTCCATCCTGGAGATTCTATCGCAGGAATCCGCTGAAGTTCAGGGCGCCTGTTAAAGACAAGGAAGACTAGAAGGTATTCGCATTAAACTGTTTTACTCTAAGGTAATTTGTTTAGGTCCTGGGCATCTGAAACATTGTTAGTTTTACCAATGGAGAGCCCCGGGATTACTATAGAGACACGATGAGAACTGCTCTTTCTTTTCTCTTCATCAGAAAGGCTTCGTGCTACTTTCTGTTCGAGCTCATTGATGACTTTGCGAGGTACTATGAAGACATGTTTTTCCCTGACTCAACAGGGGCATGGGCCATACTTGCAGGATCTTTCTTCGTGACCTTCTACGGCACTCGCTTTCCAAGAATATGCTTAGCGCCATACATAGCGGCAATGATATACTACAAGTTCTGCGGGGTAAAGCAAGGTCTTGACTCCATCTCTCCAAAGACAATAGAAGAATACAATATTTCTCCGGAGATACTGCAGAGCCTGAAAAGCATGTTTGACAGTGATGTGGACGACACAACTTCAGTATGGATCGTTTCTTTCCTGCTGGCGTCCATCTTTGTATGGGCTCTAGAGATGGCCAGCAACCTCCTGTTTATGGTTGGCCTGTATATTATTTACAGAATGTTCTTCCATATAGGCTTTGAGACCTACAAGGAGTCGAGCCCTATAGTATTCTATATCCTGCTTCTGGTATCGTTTGGGATTTTATACTATGTGACTCGGAGGCTAGCAAAGTACCTGCTTCTAGTCCTGTTCAGCGTCACTGGGTCGCTTGTGCTGCTGGCATCAATCGAGCTTGTCACAGAAAGCTACACACTAGGATTCTACGACTTAATACTAGATCTGGAAGATGCACAATACCTGGAACTTTCGCATGTGTCTACGCCAATGGGTATATGGATATTAACCGCTTTGATGGGAGTGCTGTGGCAGTGGAAGTTTATAGAGGATAAAACCTAATCATGCTTTATTATTGGATACACATTCTTCTCTCTGCTCCAAAAGGATCTTTGACTCCAGCTTCACAAGCCTTATCGACGTCCCCTTCAGATAGCATTCGTTGATGAAGATGGAGCTCCCGTCTTCTTTCTGGATGGTGACGCTCTTAAGGTGAAGATTCATGGCCATGTCGCATTTGTGAAGAAGGCCCCTTAGCTGGTCGTTGTTCTTTAGTTCTAGCTCCACTATCCTGTTTCTCGATATTCGTAGGAGAGTCAGGGGATACATGGAAGGGATGGAGATGGATTGTTTCTATCGGCTGGATTGTACAGGCGCTTCTGAGCGGCTTGTGCGATTTGATCTATTCGATGTCAGCTAACATCTTCCATAGTGTAGTGGTATATCATATCCGCCTGTCACGCGGGTGACCCGGGTTCGAATCCCGGTGGGAGAGAAATTCCTTTTAACCTCGTGATGCTTCTGAGTATCCCATCCATCATCTTAGGTGAATCTTAATCCAAAGGTGCAACGTTTATTTCTCTGGAAGCATGAAGTCCAATGAGCGCCTACAGAAACATACTTTACTTGGATGACTTTCTGGCACTGGACTGCAACATGCCAGATGTGTTCTTGGATCCTCAGGAATTCTACGGGTTGGATGGCACTGCTGGGTTTATAGAGCTTGCTGACGGTATGTCATTCCAGACAATTACCGCCATCGACAGGAGCAGCGACCTTCTTATGCATCCAGTGGCCGAGAGGCCAGTGGGGACGGGAGACATGTACAAGCCCAGGAAAATTAGGGGTGCTGGAAAGCTGAGGGAGGGATACTGCGAGATGTGCAACCTATGGTTCAAGCTCAAGACAAGTAGCTACTGGTACCACATGAACTATAAACATGGAATAAACTCCAAAGGAATAAGGTACCCGGAGCCTCAAATAAGATACACAGAACATAGGGCAGAGGGATTCTGCATAGCCTGCAACGACTGGATAGTGCTGGGGCACAAGGCAAAGGGAAGGTCCACAAAGTTTGGATGGTTCAAGCACTGCCAGAAAAGGCACAGTTCAAGCAAAGCAGTTTAATGCCAAGTCTGCATTGACAGTCCTAGTTGTGTGCATCACAAGACAGGCACTCGTCATTGGATATCTCATTCCTAATGTATCTATCAGAGAAGTTCTTGGCTGCTGTGGTGAGGGCTCCTTTGCTTAGCACCTCAGAGCTCGTATAAACTTTTAATACCGACTCAGTGCCACTTACTCTTAGTATCACCTTGTAGTCATCAAATTCCACTGTGCTTCTTTTTCCTTCTGTTTTTGCGGCTGGAAACTTCCTAAGGACTTTCTCCAGGATCCTGTCGGGCTCAGTACATCTTATGTGGATGTTCACAGAGCTGAAGCATCCATATCTCTCCATCCTCTTCAGAGTTCGACTCGGAAGCTCCCTCTGGACCATGGATGCCATAAGAACCACGCATTTGATTCCATCCTTCTCCTTGCCGTTACCAAACAGAAATCCAAGAGAGTCTTCATAGGCAAACACATTCTTTCCTTCCACAGAGTCTACAGCCCGGCTGACATTCTTGAATCCCGTTTCCGTCCTGAGATACTCGATTCCATGGATAGAGCAGACTTTTTCCATAAGACCGTTGCACAGATAGGTGTTTATAAAGGCGAGGTCCGATGGCGCAAAGTTCTCAACAAAGAAATCCATAAACATAGCCGCAATTTCATTTCCGTTGTAGTCAACCCACTCTCCTCCAACCTTTTCAGAGAGGCCGAATCGGTCGCCGTCTGGATCGCAAGAAAACACAATATCTCCAAGGCCCGATGACTTGGACCGTGCAAGAGTTTCGGGAACCTCTGGGTTTGGAAATGGAAGCCTGGGGAAATTGGGATTTGGGATGCATTCCTCGTCAATAAAATGCATAGAGCCGTCAAGATTGTAAAACTCAAGGGCCTTTTTTACAAACTCCCCAGAAACACCGCAAAGCCCTGTGAAAACTACGGGGACTGGGGACCCCGCACTCTTAATGGCTTGCACTATGCTGTCACTCCAGCCCTTAAACATCCATCTGTTATAGCAGTCAACAAGCTCGTCCCTCCTGGAGAAATCAATGCCGGCAGAGTTGGCCATATTTGTCTTCCTAGAAGCGGGCGGGATCTTTCCTCCCAGGATATCGTTTTCCTCTCTTATTCGTTTAAATATTTCTCCGTACCACTCTTCTCCACTGAGCCGCGTCAGGTTGAGCATCTCCATGGACTCCTCTATCTCCCTGTCCAGCGGAGAGCCTATTTGACTCCCATTAGAGGTGTACACCTTGAAGCCATTATATTCCTTAGGGTTGTGGGATGCAGTGACCATTATCCCGGCATCAGCTCCAAGCCTGGATACAAGAAAAGCAAGAAATGGCGTTGCAACTTCAGAATACAGGACAGCCTCCTTCCCGTTGAGCTTGAATATTCCCCTGAGTATCATGGCATAATTCAGCGAATTGTATCTGCCATCACATCCTATTACAATACTGGAAAATCTTCTGCAGAGCTCGGTACCAATGAGGTTGCATGTGACCTCGTTAATTCCATTGAATCCACTCCTCATCAGCCCTCTCATCCCTCCGGTTCCGAACTTCACGAGCCTCAAGAGATCCTTCTCTCCGTATATTTCCAGATCATTCTGGAACTTGTCTGGATCACAGGTCGCCTCCATATACTTCTTTTTCATTGCGCCCATCTCTTCATTTTCACCACCGCAATCTCTGTCCATAGGAGGCCTGTGGGCCTTGGTCTTCTCTACTTCTCTTTTCGGGCTTCCCATTCAGCGCATCCTCAGACCTCCTGTCATTTATATCCATCGGTACAAACAAATCAGATTTCCCTGCATCTCAACAAAAAACCCGAAAGTATCCCGGTCCTCCAAGCCTTAATTTGCTGTGTTTAGAAAGTATATCATTTGAAGAGATCAGACTCAACCATTACTAGAAATCTGTCCATATAGGCATCAGGATTCAAGCAGGAGCTATTTAGCTTACAGCAGAGGATATGGAGCATTCTCTCCATTCTCTTTGTAAAGGTCCACTGCGTGAGAATGTCCACTATCCCAAAGTGCACCGCTTTGTCTCCAGACATCCGGCTATGATGGTTATCCTGCAAAAGTGGGACAGAAGCTTCTTCCCTCTCGGACTTGAAGCACACAAGAAAGCTATAGTCCATAATTCTATGTCTTCTTAGAAACTGCACGTCGCTTTCTATCTGGGATATGACTGCCTCTTTCTGTTTCCCAAGGTCTATTTTTTTGCTGTTTCTGATCCAGTCCATTTCTTTCAGGCTGGACATGGAGTACCCTTTTCTTTTCACAGACATGCCCTTGAGATCATAGATCTCCTGCACGCCCGGGCCCTCCAGCATGCTTTCCATGACTATGAAGTACTCTTCGTTACTTCTGCTGCACAGACTGTAGCACCCAAGTATCTTGCATAGGAACGACATGGGATTCTCGAGGACGTACACTTTGTATTCATTTATCATTCCTCGAATGCAACGAAACTCATTCTTCCTTATGGTCTTCACAATAAACTTGAAATCCCTTGTAAAGAACAGAAATGATCCACTTTTTCCGTGGATCTGCTCGTTGAGTATGTACTGTTTCCCCAATCTGTGAAGACCTCCAATCCCGCTCAAGGCTCGTATTTCTCTGAACTCCTTGTGGTTGTATGCCCTTACCGCAGTCTCGGACCCTTCTCCTAACTCCTCAACATCGCTTGTGTCAGGCTTTGTAATCATCATCTCTTCAATCCGAGACAGAGATTCCAGCATCAAGTCTATTTTTCGGTCATCCATTTTCAGGCTTTTCTACGGAGTCCCTCTTCATCATCTGAAAATATTTTTTGTGTATATTCAAGCAAAAAAGTCCTTGTATTGGTGGTGGAGTCCATAATTTCTGGACGGCAAAACGATGCCGACTGGATTCGAACCAGCGAGAGAGAACCTCAACGGATTTCAAATCCGTCGCCTTGGACCACTCGGCCACGGCACCTCACAGGCAGGCGTGTCATACCAATTCCCCACGGAGCTTACCCGTCAGAGAAACTAAGCCAGAAGAAAAGATCATCTTTGTAACTCAAGGCTTAATAAATAAAATTTATTCGTAAGAGGCAACCTCCTCCCTTGAAATCGATCCCACAACAGGCTTGGGCTTGACAAAGGGCATGATTTCCTTTGTATAGGGCTTGGCACCGCTCTCCCTTGCCTCCTTCACGCTTTCGTATATAGTGATCTTGCCCAAATAGGTTTTGATGCGCTCCACATTCTTATCAAATGCTTCCTGGTTAGTGTCCCGCCTCCTCAGGTCAACAGCTATCCCAAGGCGCCTGGCATGCCTGTAATCAAGCCCAGCCTTTTCGCACTCAGCTGCAGTAAAGCCCCTGCCGAGTCTTTCGTTCCTGTTGTACTTGATAGTAGGGCATCGGACTATGGGTCTAAGCTTCTTCAGGGGCATCGGAAATAGAGCCTTGGCCTTTCGGAGCTTCTTCTCAGCCATCACCCTCGCCTTCGTCTCTGGATCGTGGTGGATCCTTATCTTTAGAGAGGTTTTGCGGAAATGATTATTTGGCAGTGCATGGTTGCCTTTCATTGGGGTTAAAAATTTTCAAATGCTTTAGCCCTTTCATGAGTAGATCTGTAAAGTCTGTCACGACGCAGGGTAAGAAGAAGCGGGCCGTTGCCACATGTGTGTGCACGCAGACCGGGGAATTCTCCATAAGAATCAACAAGGTTCCTTTCAAGCTCATTACAAACACCCTGATGATTGCAAAGCTGAAGGAAATCATATGCATTGTTGAGCAGGCTAACATCAAAGATCTTTCGTTCGACATAACATGCAAGATTGGGGGGGATGTTTCTCGTGTGTATGCAGTAAGAATGGCATTTGCTAAGGCAATACTTGCGTTTTACGGAACTTACTTCGATGAGTGGAAAAAGCAGGAAATACAAAAAAGGCTGCTGGACTTCGACAGGTTTAGTCTTGTTGCTGACTCAAGGAAGCGGGAGCCAAAGAAATTCGGAGGACCTGGTGCTCGTGCAAGGTATCAAAAGTCTTATCGTTGAAATAAATCGTCTCTTCTACTTGTGCGGGGTTTAGGTGGAATAGTCTTATTGTAGAGTCTTTATTACATCAAAAGTTCTGGAAGCATGGTTAGGTGTACTTATTTTTCGATGCAATGACCAGAATGGCGGGGACTATCTCCTTGTATGTATCTATTTCATCCTTCAGCTTTTCTGCAGCAAAGTCGCAAACAAGAACTATGGCAAGATCCTCTCTACTTGTTAGTGAGTAGAAGGCTCTTCTTAGATCGTCTTCAGACGTTGCCGAAGCCACTTGGATGAGATTTGGATTGTCGTGAGTGTTTTCCACGCCTGCTATCAGGAACCCAGTGAGAGTTTCTTCGTCTCCTATTATGCCTATGCGGGTTCTGTTATCCATAAAGCCCTTGTCTCAGGAGGTAGAATTAAGGGCATACAAGAAGATCGATTCTACCGGCTGATGCGGTATCCTCTTTTCTTTCTGTGCCTCAAAATGCGGTGGCACACACATTGTTTTTATTCCCTTGGAGTCGGCGCCCGGGAATGATCGAGATAGAAACAATAGACGGACATATATTTAGGCTGGAGGAAAATGAGGCATACAAGAGCATTCTGATAAGAAACGTGTGTACATCAACGGCATGCAGGTATCCCATTGCTCTTAGAGTACGATCTTCGATCTTCATGATAATACAAAAATATATGAAGGTAGACACCTCTCAGTTGTCTGAAGACTATAACCCATTGGAAATAAGATTCAAGCCATCGGACTTCAGTTTTTTCATGGAATATGACAACAAGACATTGCTGGACATATGCAATGGAGCCAACTACCTTGAGTACCCGTACTTACTTGAGCTGTGCTGCAAAATTATCTCTGAAAAGATGAAGAGCAAGAGTACAAGGGAGCTTGCAGAGTTTATCGGAATGGAGTGCAATATGACTGAGGAAGAGATGAGGAGAGTCGAAAAGGAGTTCGAATGGGTATCTTCTGAAGAATAGCCGTCTATGGCAGGCCCGGACGTATATTCTATTAAAGGAAGTGGGAAGGGCTATTGTTTATTATCTCCTACCTTGCAACACATCTGAAGTGCTTAGACTGCAGGCTCAGCGGCTGTAATATGCATGTCCTGACAGATAAGATGATGGCTAATCCATGGGGCGCATCCATTTGGCAGGGGTCGGTATCATGTTCTATTGCCGGCTGGGGCCGCACAACAAAAATTTCCAGCTTAAAGGGTATTAAGGTGGACCCCATTTCATGTTTGAGGCGAAAGTAAAGAAGCAGATCAAGTCGATACAGTTCGGGTTGTTTTCACCAGATGAGGTGAGAAATGGAAGTGTTGCTTTGATCGTGCACCCGGAGGTCATGGAAGGTGGGGTTCCAAAGACCGGGGGTCTGATTGATCTGAGGATGGGAACGACCGACAGAATGTATCTCTGCCAAAGCTGCGGAGGAGATAACTTCTCGTGTCCAGGGCACTTTGGGCATATCGAACTTACAAAGCCTATGTTCCATGTTGGATACATCTCCAAGATTAAGAAGGTTCTGGAATGTGTTTGTTTCTATTGTTCCAAAATTAAGATTCCAAGGAAGGGGATAAAGTCGACGCTGAGCAATGTATGGGGCATGAGTAAGGGCCGGTCTGTGTGCGAGGGAGAGGTTCTCGACAACGGAAGAAGCGGATGCGGAAACAAGCAGCCTGTGATAAAGAGGGAGGGCCTGACTCTTGTTGCCTTTATGAAAGGAGAAGAAAGCAACGAGGGAAAGGTCATGCTGAATGGGGAAAGGGTCTATAGTATATTTAAGAAGATAAGCGACGAGGACAGTGTGTACATGGGGTTTGACCTTAAGTACAGCAGGCCTGAATGGATGATACTCACTGTGTTGCTTGTTCCGCCACCTGCAGTACGGCCTTCGATTGTCATGGAGGGCTCACTGCGTGGAGAAGACGATCTCACGCACAAGCTGGCAGACATTATAAAGTCGAATGGATATCTGAAGAAGTATGAGCAGGAAGGGGCGCCAGGGCACATTGTTCGAGATTACGAGCAGTTGCTGCAGTTCCATGTTGCGACATTTATAGACAACGACATCGGCGGGTTGCCTCAGGCGCTGCAGAAGAGTGGAAGGCCGCTGAAGTCGCTGTCTGCCAGGCTGAAGGGTAAGGAAGGAAGGATCCGAGGGAACCTTATGGGGAAGAGGGTGGACTTCAGTGCAAGAACAGTGATAACGCCAGACCCAAACATATCCCTGGAGGAGGTAGGGGTTCCTCTTGAGATTGCAAAGATCCATACATTTCCCGAAAAGGTTACATCGTTCAACATAGATAGACTGGAAAAGCTTGTGAGGGCAGGGCCTAACGAGCATCCGGGGGCCAACTATGTGCTCAGGTCTGATGGGCAGAAGATAGACCTGAACTTTAACAGGAGCGATATACGGCTGGAGGAGGGGTATGTTGTGGAGAGACACATGCAGTCTGGAGATGTTGTTCTTTTCAATAGACAGCCCTCCCTTCACAAAATGTCGATGATGGCGCACTATGCCAGGGTGATGGGCAACAAAACATTCCGACTGAATCTCAGTGTTACTTCTCCTTACAATGCAGACTTCGATGGAGACGAGATGAATCTTCACATGCCTCAAAGCTACACATCCAAGGCAGAGCTGGAGGAGCTGGCGCTTGTATCCAGACAGATTATTTCGCCTCAGTCTAACAAGCCTGTTATGGGTATTGTGCAGGATACACTTACGGGCCTGAGGCTGTTTACCTTGCGAGACACGTTTCTAAATGAGAGGGAGGTTATGTCGCTGTTGTATGCAGTGAATTTGGAGTTCTGCGACATTCCTCTGGGAGATGCAGTGCAGACAGGGCTCCGGAAGGGAAAGGACTACGATATCATGAAAATATTGAGAAAACCCGCCATAGCAAAGCCTATGAGGCTGTGGACAGGAAAGCAGGTACTAAGCTTTGTTCTTCCGAATCTGAACTACATCGGGCTTTCTTCGGAGCACGACGATGATGATAAAGAGAATATCGGCGACACCAGGGTTATCATCCAGGATGGATACATTCATTCCGGGGTGATTGACAAAAAGGCGGCTGGAGCAACCCAAGGAGGGCTAGTACACATAATTTTCAACGACTTTGGGCCCAAAAGAGCTGCACAGTTTTTTGATGGGGTGCAGAGAATGATCAACGCCTTTATGACTGGAATCCATACCTTTTCGATGGGAATAGGCGACACGATTGCAGATCCCAAGACGGTGAAGGTGGTTGAGTCTGCGATCAGAAAAGCAAAGGAAGAGGTGTCTGCTCTCATTGAGAATGCGCGGCAGAACCGCCTTGAAAGACTTCCCGGAATGACGATGAAGGAAAGTTTTGAGAGCCATCTAAACCTGGTGTTGAATAGGGCAAGAGACGTGAGCGGGACAAGTGCACAGAGAAGCCTCAGTGAAAACAATAACATGAAGACAATGGTTCTTGCAGGATCGAAGGGATCGTTTATTAACATTTCACAGGTGACTGCCTGTGTGGGGCAGCAGAATGTTGAGGGAAAGCGCATTCCCTTTGGATTCTCGCACCGAACACTTCCACACTTTGTAAAAGACGATTACACTGGCAAGAGCAGAGGATTTGTTGAGAACAGCTATTTGACGGGGTTAGACCCGGAAGAGTTTTTCTTCCATGCAATGGGAGGAAGAGAGGGGCTTATAGACACAGCGATTAAAACGGCAGAGACTGGGTATATCCAGAGAAGGCTGGTGAAAGCCCTTGAAGATGCCATTGTGAGGCAAGATGAGAGTGTCCGAAGCGGAAATGGCCTGGTATACCAGATCAAGTACGGGGAGGATGGGTTTGATGCCACCTTCCTAGAATCTCAAAAGGTCGATGTAAAGAACTTCACAAAGAGATATTACATCGATATGTTTGGTACCGAGGAACTGGAAATTAAGCATGGACAAGTTTCAGAGGAGGTTTATGGAATGCTCTCATCGGACGTCGATCTCCAAAAGCTCCTGGACCAGGAATACGAATGGCTGGTTGGGGAGATATTTGAAGGCCCTCCAATACTCTCAGTGGGAGAAGTTGATATAGAGCGCGACTACAAGGTCAGGGATATTTACCAGAGCGCAGTGATGAGTCCTTGTAACTTCACCCGTATCTTAGCCACTGCAAAAAGGACATTTCATCTTTCCACAGGCGATGTTTCTCCTTATTACATACTTGAAGCTCATAAGCATCTTACAACATCCAACAGGATCCTAAATGTACTCATAAGGACTAATCTGAGTGTAAAAAGGGTTCTTCTTGAGCATAGGCTGAATACAGAGGCATTTAATTGGGTTGTGGAAGTGATAGATGCAAAGATTCTGAAGGCCAAAATAACGCCGAATGAAATGGTGGGGACGCTGGCAGCACAGTCTGTTGGAGAGCCTGCAACGCAGATGACACTGAACACATTCCATCTTGCAGGGGTTGCCTCCACGGTGACCATGGGGGTTCCCAGGCTCAAAGAGATTTTTAATGTAACAAAGAACTTGAAGACGCCGTCTATGAAAATATACCTTGATAGGGAGCATGGCAAGAGTATCGAGGCAGCAAAGACAATCCAGAATGAGATTGAATGCCTCACTGTGAAGGATCTATGCCTTTTTTCCGAGATCTACTACGACCCTGAGATAACAGGGACTGAGATTTCTGATGACAAGGATTTCGTGGAAGCATATTTCGAGTTTCCAGATGAGGATGTTGACTTCTCGTGTCTGTCTCCATTTCTAATGAGGCTTGTTGTGGATAGAGCTAAGCTTGTTGGAAGGGGAATAAATCTGGAGTATGTTGCAATGTTTATCCGGAAAGAGCTAGGAGGTGGTGCACATGTTATCTGCAGTGATGAGAATGCAGTCAACATGGTGGTAAGAGTTCGGACAACAAAGTCTGAGGACGAGTCCTTGAACTTCTACACGACTGCACTCAACTCGTTGCTAAGGCTTCAACTTGGAGGATACAAGAATGTTAAGAAAGTTTACATAAGCGAAGACAAGGATAGAAAAGAGTGGTATCTGCAGACCGATGGGATCTGCCTCTCTCAGATTCTAGGGAACCCGGCAGTGAACAGCAGACTTACAATTTCCAACGACCTGGTTGAGATTGCGGAGACCTTGGGAATCGAGGCTGCGCGAGAGTCTATTCTTAGGGAGCTGACGATTGTGATAGACGGAAACGGGTCGTATGTCAATTACAGGCACATGAGCTTGCTAGCCGATGTGATGACCATGAGAGGGTATTTGTGCGGAATAACTAGGCATGGTGTTAACAAGGTTGGTGCCGGAGCACTGAAGAGAAGCTCCTTTGAGGAGACTGTGGAGATTCTCTTGGATGCAGCACTGGTGTCTGAAAAGAATATATGCAGAGGAATAACAGAGAATATTATGATGGGACAGCTGGCGCCGATGGGAACTGGAAACATTGAGATTATGCTAGACATGAAGAAATTGGACAAGGCCATCCCTTTGTCAAATCCCGTATTTAAGCCGAATGAGCCTGCTACGCCAGTGATCAGCACTCCTTCATCCGATTCCTTTTCCATCAGCAGCGGGAACTGGAGTCCCACACATCTTGAAATGGCATATTCCAGGGATCTGGGCGAAAGATTGTCACCTACAAGCCCCTCCTACTCACCGACGAGTCCCTCCTACTCTCCTACAAGCCCTTCATACTCACCTACGAGTCCCTCCTACTCTCCTACAAGCCCTTCATACTCACCGACGAGTCCCTCCTACTCTCCTACAAGCCCTTCATACTCACCGACGAGTCCATCATACTCTCCTACAAGCCCTTCATACTCTCCTACAAGCCCTTCATACTCACCGACGAGTCCATCATACTCTCCTACAAGCCCTTCATACTCACCGACGAGTCCCTCCTACTCTCCTACAAGCCCTTCATACTCACCGACGAGTCCATCATACTCAGTGTCGATGTCTAGCTTCTCAAACAAAAATAAGAGCAAGAATCAAGATGGTGATAAAAAGAGGAGAAATGACGGTTCCTTCTAATTATATTAATAAAACACTCTTATAGCACCTTTATGAAGCAGGATCCAATCATCTCTATTCACCTCTCTCAATCATGCTTGATATATTGCAAAATGTCTGTCAAGCCAATAGCATCCAACCGTCGTCATTTAATTGCTATACTAATGATATATAAGAAACCATTGAGAATATTCGATACCCCTTTGCTCAATAACAAGACTGGTTGTGACAAATTGAAATGAATCTGCTTACTATAAAACAAAACGAACCAAAAGATCCACATGCAAGAAAGTAGAAGTAAGGAATCGACGCTTTCTGGCGATGAAGATAAAGATGTTCATAGATTCTTGGATGAGTTTGACGACAAATGCACCTGCAAGCTTCTGAAGGAAATGAAGGAAACACTGGAAGGGCTGAAGAAAAGTCATCCAAATCCGACGAACTTGGACGAGTTCTACCGTCTGTTTGAAAGATATCTTAGAACAAGGCACGAAAAGATAGTATGGGAAAAAATCAGGTCGCCGAAAGACAGGATTGTTCAGTACAACGAGATACCGGAGCCGACGGAAAAGTCCAAGGAGCTGCTGAGGAAACTGGCAATACTAAAACTCAACGGAGGACTTGGAACGACAATGGGCTGTGTCGGGCCAAAGAGCGCCATAACAATTAAGGATGGCAAGAACTTCATAGATCTAGTTGTGAAGCAGATCAGGTATCTGAATTCCAAGTACAAAATAGACGTTCCACTAATACTGATGAACTCGTTTAACACAGAAGGCATGACAGACAAAATTATATTTAGATACGATGGAATCAAGAAGTTCTCCCAAAGCAAGTTCCCAAGGATCTCATCGGAAACATTACTCCCTGTATCACCTTCACACGGAGATAAAGGGATGTATCCGCCAGGCCATGGAGACCTGTTCTACTCGATGAAGAACAGCGGAATGCTCGAGGAGCTTCTGGAAGGAGGATATGAATATCTCTTCGTATCCAATATTGATAACCTGGCCTCCACAGTTGACTTGAAGCTCCTGGAGTATTTTGCAACCAACGAATTGGGGTTTCTGATGGAGGTTACCGACAAAACGCGTGCAGACGTCAAGGGAGGGACTCTGATAGAATACAAAGGAGCTCTTCGGCTTCTCGAAATAGCCCAGGTTCCATCAAACAAGAAATCGGAGTTCACAAGCTTCAAGAAGTTCACGATATTCAACACAAATAACCTTTGGATCAACCTTAAGGAGATGAAGAAAAAGCTAGAAGAAGGCTTCTTTGATCTGGATATCATTGAGAACAAAAAGGCCCTGGATGACGAGACGGTCATCCAGCTGGAAACTGCCATAGGATCCGCAATCAAATACTTTCCTAACTCTTGTGGAGTTGTCGTTCCGAGGTCTAGATTCCTTCCGGTGAAAACATGTTCCGACCTGTTTCTTGTTGAAAGCAACCTCTTTGTCGAAAAGAACGGGACGCTGCAGCTCCATCCGTCCAGGGTTCCAGAGACATGTCCTACAGTCAAGCTTATTGGAGAGAACTTCTCGAAGATAGAAAAATACGAGAAGTGCTTTAAGGGGATTCCAGACATTCTTGAGCTGGAGGTTCTGACGGTTAGTGGCAATGTTCTGTTTGGAAAGAATGTTGTTCTCAAGGGAACAGTTATTATACTGGCAGACGAAAAAAGTAAGATCTGTGTTCCTGATGGGTCTGTGCTAGAGGATAACATTATATACGGCAATCTTCCTATTATAGACCATTAAAATCCTTACCATCTCTATATCACACCTCTTGCAGGATTGTAGCTAGTGCTAGAGCAGGCATCATGGGAGTGGTTTCCACAGCTGGGTTAAAAAAGAACATAGCATCAGGTGCAGTAGACTGCATTTAATCAATCAAATAGTCTAACAATCTTCTGGGTTACATACTCATTATCGCAATAGACACCAACAGTGCATCTGCAGGCCATGCTGTAAACCATATTTACACGTATGCTGATAGGAGTTCCGTGGTACTCTCCGTTCAGCGTCATGACCATTGTGTTGGTTTCCGTCTCTTGGGTGACTATCTTCATATTCAGGAGATCAAGAATCTTCTTTCCTGCAGCATAGATGTCCCCCTGAAGATTGAAGGTGATCTCTCTCTTGTTTCTTGGGGTTTGCTTTATTCTAACAGGCCTTACAAAGTCCAGAGTAGTTATCTGGAAGGGCTCGAGGGAAATGGAATCAGTCTCCGTATCGGATATGTCTCCTTCCACGCAAACCGTGTAATCAAATGCACCATTAACAACGTATCCCTCTTCTATGTCCCACTCTCTTTCTATTGAAAGGGTGCCTAAAGAGTCTATTTGATCAACCTTGATGCTCATGCTTTTCTTTACACCGCCGGTTCCAACAAGCCCCAGTATGCCATCGGATATCTGAATCCCCTCAAGTTTGTTCTCTAGTAAAAATACAAGCACCAGCCTGTCTTCATAGACATTCTTGGTAACTTTTATCTGCACATCTGCACTGGGTTCTGTGAGGATCAACTCTCTACAGCTCTTTATCAGAGGATCCATTTTGCTTTCCTTGTCCTCATCTACCTTTCCTATGCGTTCCAGAACACCGCTCTTGATGTCCCCAAGCTCGTCAAAGCTGAAAGGCTCACATGCTCTTGACAATCTCATGTTCCTTAGCAAGAAGCTGGCCGTTTCCCTTATTGACTCGTCCTGGTCGTTAAGGCATCTTTTCATTGCATTCTCAACAGTCTGTGGGGAAACAACAGAGGAGATATTGTACAGGCATTGGAGTGCCCCAGCCCTCACATGGTTGTTCTCCAGAATAAGCCTGTTTAGTACGTGCACAACATATTTCCCAGGTGTCTTTGACCTAGGAATCTCCCGCCCAAGTATCCCAAGAATGTCGAGTGTTATTTGATGGTATTGCGAGTCCTCAATGTAAGTGCAGAGAACCTCAAGAATCCTTTCTCTCATATCATCGTTCTCCATGGCCCGTGAGATAACATCAATCATGTACTTCTTGAATTCAAGTTCTCCCTTTTGTAGAAGAGAACTGCCAAGAAAGTCGATATACAACAGCTTCTTCGACTCAAAAAGATTGCTCAGAGACTCCAGTGTTTCGATGGCAACCTTCTTGAATCCATCGCTCATGTCATGGACCATGCTTGGAATTAAGTTCACAAGCCGATCGATGGTTTCCTCTGTTCCTGTCTTGAGCAGAGAGGTAATTGCAAACATGGAGATCGTTTTGTTTTCGGATGACACAAGATCCTCAACCTCTTTGTTGGCAACAGAAACCTTTTGAGGGTACTTCTGCGCAAGCTGTGAAATAATCCTCATGGCACTAAACTGCAGAACAACATTTGTGGATTTAAGAAATGTCCGCAGAGACTGAACCGTCTGGTCAACAAACTGCGACCCATACTCTTCACTAAGGGCGCATACTGCCCTTGCTGCTTCCATGAACACCATCTCATCACTGTATTTTGAGTTAAGGAACTTTCTGAGAATCAAGAGAGCATCGCTGTTCTCTTTCAGCGCTTCAACGGTAGCTCGAACCCCAAGAATCCCTGCAGGGCCTCTAAAGTGCTCCACAGAGCTCAGCTGGAGTCTCTTCGACTGTGCCAAAAAACCAACTACATGATAGTCCATTAAAGGGTTTCCGGTGGGCTCTATCCCTTCCAGCCACTTCTTAGTCTGATTAAAGTTGTTGCAGAGCAGCTTGTATGCCACAACAACCGACATGTCTCTTCTGGCCATCGAGGTCGAAATGAAGGCCTGGTTCACATACTTTCCAAAGTCATAAACCATCTCGCCAGGTATTATGGAGAACAGTGTCCTTAAAGCCATCGCTTTGACATCATCGGGAACCTTCCCATTTAGATCATTCATCAGTATGTTGATTCCGACCAGACCTTCGTCGGTGAGCTTAGACATCTTCTCAATAGCAGAGTATATGCAGAGCTTTAGGTAGAGATCCTTCGACTGAAACCCTTTCAGAAGCGCCACGTATACATTTCTGACTGTTGCCTCCGACAGCTTTCTCGTGCTTAGCATGTAGAACAGATTATTGAGGGCCTTGACTGCACTTCTGGTTGACACTGGAGACTTTGTAAGAGACTCATTCATTTCCTCAAGTAATTGGCGCTCGGTTAGCGTTGTGAACACTTTTGTTTTCATTTCCGATGTTTATGGGGATTATTTTTTAAGGTCATCAAATATCTAAGTATTGCAGAGAGCACTGCGGTGTAGTCCTTATCCATTGCGCATGGATAGGGATATTTAATAGCTTCGCCATAATCTTGGGGACACAAATATGAATCTTTCCTCAATCCCATTGTTTGGCTCGATGGGAGTAAAAAAGATAGAGAACGGAAAGTATGGAAGAGTCGTAGAAGCAAGTCCAGATCCATTAAGAATAACATACAAAAGAGGAGCCAAGCAAAGCAGAAAAGAAGCTGCAGTGGACAAGAGCCACAAGAAGGCCTTTGGGAGTAAGACAAAGATTAAGTTGTCGAAATGCGTCTCGATGTGGAAGAATCCAACCAGCCAGATTGTTTCGCTAGAGGCTAGAATTGCCCACGACAGATTCAAGACCATTCATCCAGAGATAAACATCAGGAGCTTTGAAGAGCTAAAGTCATCACTAGATAGTGCAGAGCATCTTTACTTCCAGGATAACAGGAAAGCAGGCATCAAGGAGGAGAAAATGGGGGGAATAAAGGGGCTAGGCAAACATCAGCCGCCCAAATAAAATAGACAGATTCAAGTTAGTTTTATTAGAGGATGGAGTTGGATCCTCAAGCGGTTGCACGAACTTCATAACGAAGTACGCTTCTAGGCCATTTTGTCCATAGACATGTCCTCGATCTTCTTGTTAATGCTGTCTACCATTTTGGACAGGTTCAGAAGCTTTCCCTTGAGAGTCTCCATCTTCCTGTTCATCTCCTCGAACAAATTGTCTGCATGCTCCATTTGGCTTTGGATCTCTTGCTTTGTTGTGGACATTATTGGGGCTGGGCTTCAAAGACCATAAGAATGGATCCTGGCCCCTCTTAAAATTTGCTTTGTTTACTCAAGCTGAGATGCATCCAGTGGACAAGGTATGCTCGGAAGCCGGCTTTCCCATGTGCGAACATCTAAGTGACGAAGTATGCAAAAGCACAAGCAGAGGATTTCTTCTGTTCAAGAACAAGATATCCTCTCCGACAACCGTGATCCTTCTGGTTATGGTCGTCCTGTCTGCCGTTCGGATGATCAGACACGTGAAAGCTCTATGCTCTTCTGTTGGACGCAAGGAGATGCTTATGTTCTTCTATCTATATATGGGGTCGGCGGCGCTGGAAGCAGTGCTTGTTGGATTCAAAGATTTTGTCTCCAAGCGAACTCACCTGTTCCTGACCACTATCCAGATAACGGTGTACACCTCGGCATTCTTTTCGCTCTTCGCAGGGAGCATCACGGTGGATATGTTTACGGGAATACTTGGCTTTAGAGCAGTGACTTTGCTCAAAATCTCTGCTGCGATCTATTCCATGGTGATGGGAACAGTCATATTCACGGGACTGAGCACGTCAAGAAAAGAGCTTGTCTCTGCTCCATTCTTTGCTCTAAATCTGCTGTTCTTCTTTCTATACATGGTATTCCAAGTGAGAAGGCTTAGAAAGACAGACGGGGAAATATGGGCATATGGGACGCTTACAATATCAGCAGCATGCTTCCTGACTGCAAACACAGTGTCCTTCGTAGGCTCCAGACCGATAGGATTACTAACAGATCGATACTTCGATAACCTCTTTTTTTATCATTTCTTCGTTCTCTGCGCATTCATTATGATACACAAATATTGGCTGTCTGTTTACAACTACGAGGTTGAGTCTCTACGCCTTGAAGTGTAGTAATAAAAATCATAAAAACATGTAAATTTGCGAAGACGTGGGGATTCCGCTGACGCTTTCCTAAGACAGTTTATTGAAGAAGATCAAGCTCTATTGGGACCATGGTCTTACTATGGTTGGATTCCAGTGTCGGGAACAAGCTCCTCTCCAAGATAAAAGTCAGTGAAGTCTTCAGACGACTTGAGCAGCTCCTTGATGTTTCCATATCCCTTCATTGTCTTGTTTTTCAGGAACAGGATGTTGTCGAATTTCTTCAGCAGCGAGTGGTTGTGGACTATCATTATTATCGTCCTGTCTGCAAGAACCGACATGACATAGTCAATTAGCTCCGTCTCCGTCTTGTAGTCAACATCAGAGGTGGCCTCGTCCAGGATAAAGATTGGAGCATCCTTGATTATGGCCCTCATCAGGCTCAAGTACTGCTTCTGCCCAACGCTTAGCTCGCATCCCTGCTGGCCTGCCTCTTTGAAGTAGCCCCCCTCAAGGTTGCTGAACACTTCATGGGTTCCATATCTTTTGCAGATCTCCTTGATCTTCTCAAAGGAGATGTCTTTATTCCCGTACTGGAGGTTCCTGAGAACTGTGTCGTCAACAATGCAATTGTCTTGAGGCACGTATGCCATTATCTGTCTTGTGGACCTTCTTGTATACTTACGCATCTCGACACCGTCAATGAGGATTTCCCCGGAATAGTCCAGGAACCTTAGAAGTGTATTGATAAAGGTTGACTTTCCTGCACCATTTGGACCAGCAATGGCTAACTTTTCTCCCTTGTGCAGCGTGAAGCTTATCTCTTTCAAGATAGTCTTTTCTCCTCTCTTGATCCCCACATCTCTTACAACTATGCTCTCGTTAAATCCTTCGATCTCCACCTGCTCCGAAAAATCCTTCTCTTTTTCGTAGATGGAGGTCGAATAGTCGTAGTAATATTCATAAAGCTCCGTAAACTCCTTGGCAAATTCGGTCAATCTTTCCTTCAGGAAAGAATGGAGGCTGTTTAGTTTTATGGCCCTGTCAAACGTCAGGATGTTGGTGTTGAGAGAGAGGTACAAAATTCCAATGTGGGGAACCAGCGAGGAAAGCTTCTGCAGAAATGTGATGATGTTTTCAGAGCAGCTGTAGACAGTTCCCGTTGTAACACGATCCCGCAAAGAAGCGTGGAACATCTCAGATTCTCTCTCCTCAAGGCCAAAGGACTTCACTATTTCGTAGTTGTTCAGAATATCGCAGAGCTTTCTCACCGATTTATCCTTTGCTATATTGTACCTCCCCCGGATGCGATTTCTTCTCGATGTCAGGAAAACAGTGATCGAAATATAGGATACAGGTATTACCAGAAACAGCAAAGATATAGCAGCCCCGAAGCTTCTATATATATCTACCATAGCAACCATGACGAATATGGTCGAGTTCATAAGTGTAGGCACAACGACATCTACGGCTTCTCCAACAGCCTTGCATTTCCTATACATTCTATTCTTCATGTCTCCCGGCGAAATGTCGTGGAAGGCACTGTATTCCAGCGACATGTATTCCATGAAGACATCTCTATAGCAATCTCTGTATATGTCTTGGATTATCCAGGCCATTATGAATATGGGGAAGTATTCGAAAATCCCAGCCAGCACTCCGTAGAGAAAAAACTCATACACCAAGTGAGTGTGGAGGTCAAGATCATTTTCTTTTATGTGCCCTGCTATTCTAGGAACTATTACTGATGGTACATAATCATACAAGATGTTTGCAGTTGTTGCCAGAAATATTATCGGAAACAACATAAAGTATATGTAAGTTCTGCTCAGCACATACTTCCCAAAGATTTCGCTTACTCCGTGGATCAAGTTACTGCGTGGCTTCAGTCTGATCATCGCAATTTATTTTAAAGGGGTCTGGATTTAGGAATAAGTGGTTTTTGGTGCGCTTCTAATCATGGCTTGTCATCCTTGTCTTCGATTTCAGAGGCGCCTGGCACACTGAAGTGCTGGCTAGACAAAGACAGAAGAAACTCTTTTCGAAACGCTGGCGGGGCCCTGGAGGCGATGGCGGGAAGATAGTGTTTTTGTCTTGAAGAACATGATAAACGTGTTAGGAAAAAGCAATGACGTCGATTTATTGATCGACAATAACTTCTTTAAGATTCTTGAAAGAGCCCACCACGACCAAGTCGGTCTTCAACACATTCTCCTCGGCGTTCTTCAGGCTTGTCTCCTTTGTGACTCTAACTCGGACCTTGTTTGGAATCTTCTTGATTCCACGTGAATACAGGAAGTTGTTGAGATCATTGGTCACAACAACGCCAATTTCCTCCCTAAAGTGCTTCTGGATTTCCCTCTTCAGCATCCTAACGACCTTGGATGCCTTCTTTGTCCATGGCAGACGGGAGCATATCCTCCTTAGGTTCACCGTCATCTCCACAGTCTGGTTCTCTTCGATCTTGGACCACATCAGGGTAAATTTTTTATCTGCAAATATTACTCTTGCAGCGGGTATGTAGACAAGCTCTCACAGAAGTCTGTGTCTTGGGGCTACTATGTCTGCGTAGGCGTGTACACCTGCCCTGCGCTTGGTATGTATTATTCGAGAAAAATTTACCCTATATGAACAAGGAGATTTCCACGGCGGACATCCTGTCAGGTGGCGAGAGCTATAGTGGAATATCGGCAGTAGAAAAGAATGCTAAGGCGATGATGAAGGTGTATAACGCAATAAAGACCAGCTTTGGACCTCTCGGCCTAGACAAGATGTGTGTTGACTCGGCAGGAGAAGTCAGCATTACAAACGACGGTGCAACTATTCTTCAGAATATGCTGATAGATGACCCAGCAGCTAAGATTCTTGTGGATTTGGCCACCCAGCAAGATCACGAGGTGGGTGACGGGACTACGTCTGTTGTTTTAATAGCTGTGAGTCTGATTGAAAAGGGAGCCAAGCTTATAGCATCCGGCGTCCATCCCTCGGTTGTTGTTTCTGGTTACAAAATGGCATTCAATGAATGTGTGCAATTTATTAAGAAGAGCATGTCGAAGAGCACTCTGAATCTAGGCTCTAAGGCATTGAGGAATGTTGTGGAAACAAGCATCTCCAGTAAGGTCATCAGCTCGGAGAGTGAGGTGTTCTGTGGGATTGTTATTGATGCGTTGAAATGCATTGAGTCGGTTGATGAGAACAGAAAAAACATGTACCCCATAGAAGATATTAACATCCTGAAACACCCAGGGGGCTCTATGAAAGAATCATTTTTACACCAAGGATATGCCCTAAACTGTTCCCTGGCCTCTAATTTCATGAAGAGGCAGGTCAAGAAACCGAAGATTCTCTGTATCGACTTTGGGCTTCAGAAGTATAAGAATCCTTTGACCGTAAGCATAGTTGTTGACGATCCCAACAAGCTGGAAGACATCAGGAAGAAGGAGTTGGAAATCACCAGGAGACAGATCAAGACAATTATCGATTCCGGGGCTAATGTCGTTTTGACGACAAGAGGCATCGACGACATGTGCACCAAGCTTCTGGTGGAGGCAGACGTAGTTGGAATCCGAAGGTGCAAGAAAGAAGACTTACTTGTGATTGCTAAAGCAACAGGGACGAGCCTAGTAAGTTCAATTGCTGATATAAGCGGGGCAGACAGCATCTCAAGCCTGGGATTTGCTGACAAATTTGAGGTGGTGCAGATTGGAGAAGAGGAATGCGTGCTCATCAACGGGCTTAAGAAAAAGATGGCATCGATAATTCTAAGAGGGGCAAACTGCCAGCTTCTCGACGAAATGCAGAGGTCAGTCCATGATGCCGTCTGTGTTCTGAAGCGTACCCTTGAGTCCAATAGCGTTGTGCCTGGAGGAGGGGCTGTTGAATGTGCACTGTCATTGATGCTGGAGAAGTTTGCATTCACCGTCAACTCCAAGGAGCATGTTGCCATCCATCGCTATGCAGAGTCACTCCTGTCGATTCCGAAAATTCTGTCTACAAACGCAGGGCTGGATTCCAACGAGCTTGTAGCAAACCTGTTGTCTTCTCAAAGCAGGGAAATGGCAAACTCTTCAGGCTCAAAATTTTTGGGGATTGATGTAACAAGCGGGAAGATTCAGGACAACTTTGAGTTTGGAATAATCGAGCCAAGCGTAAACAAAATGAAATCGCTGAAGGCTGCAACAGAGGCTGCAATAAGCATCCTGAGAATCAACGAGGTGATTATCCTACCACCAGACCAATCTAAGAATTAAATAAGATGATGAAACATTTTCATTTACATCCCGTCGGGCATAGAAAGAAGGCGAATTCTGGGCGCCAAAGAAAGAGCTGCTGTAGGAATATTATAATGGGTTTTAATTACAGGGGTATTTGGCTAGACAACATGTCTATGACTCAATGAGTTCCTTCAAGTACTTGTTCTTTGACTTCTCAATGGCGCACATCCATATTCTTGTCTTGTACACTCTATAAAGCTCTTTCACCAGTTCCCTGAAATCTACCCTTTCATCACTAGCAAAGTAAAAGGTGATCTTGTTGAGATCCCACTGGTATTCGCACCCAACAACCTCCATGTCCAGGCCTCCCAGCATGGCTCTTTCTCTGCAAAATTCCAGGGCCCGTGCCTGCATACTTCTCTTTCTTTCCAGTGCCTCAAGATCTAAGAGGGTAGCCAACCTGTATATTCTTTTTGGCTGGACTTCGCTAGAGATATCGTCATACCTCTTAAGTAGCCTCTCAAGCTTTTCCTTTGTAGTCACCCCAACCACAACACCACAATCCTCCCCTCTATCGGCTTCCAGTATCACATACGAATTCTTCTTGACGTTGATATTAATATCCACAGATGCAACGTCAAGCCTCTTGCTCTCAAACTGTACAATGTAGTAATGGGATTCGGGTGTAATTGACATGAACTTGAATGAGCTTTCTATACTGTCGGCAGCCTGTCTGGAGGGAATGTCAGCAATTCTGCGCTCTATCTTGCATGCATTTTCCGATCTCCGCTTGAACGGGTTTGTCCCGACAATTCTCCAATCCTCTTGGTTCTCCTGCCAGGTCTCGGACGTCTCCGACCATAAGCTGTTCAAAAATGGCGAAGCCCAGTTCTTGCAAAAAGACATCTCGGGGTGGGGTAACTTTCAATCTAAAAATAATTTTAAATAAGCTTAAAAGAGAATTCCGCCTGTGCCATCTACTTAGAGACCCCATCTCTCCACCGATTTCTTTAGTACATCCCCATAAAGTCCAATTGTGTTGTCGAGTATGGTCTCCACCACCAGATCATAGTCTTTTCCAGTCGCATTGCTTACTACTTCTGCCATTTGAACAACGCAGCACGGCTCGTTCTTCTTCTTCAGGGCTTTCTGCTGGCTAAAGTCTGTTGTGACATACTCAAACCCCGCATAGCTCCTTCGGATCTTACAATACGGCGAGTCTGTCTCTATAAGAAGAGATTCAAGTGGCAGGCTTCTTACAATCTCTATTCCCTCCAAGGTCTTAACGGAGCATCCATTGATTCCTATAAACAATCCTTTTTTTATTAATTCCCTGGCTTCTTCTATGCTTCCAGTAAAGCTGTGAACAACACCTCTTATCCTGTAATCAGAAACAATCTCCATGAAGTCTCTATGGCAGGACCTCGAATGGAAAAAGTAGCAGCTTCCTCCTAGGTCCAGCTGAGACCTGAATATTCTTTTCTGGGACACCTTATCTGCAAATTCAAGACGATCGTAGTCTAGGCCACATTCTCCTATTGCAACAACAGTCTCATCGTTGACCAAAGGGACGATTTCATCAATGTTGCTATACCTCGAAGACGATGTGGGATGGATTCCAGCAGTCGACACAGTTTTGTATTTCTTTGCTAGGTTTATACATATTTTGCTCGTCTGGTGGTCCAGCCCAGTAAATATGGGCAGGACCTTGCTGTCTTTGCATCTCCTAATGACCTCCTCGACGGAGCTTTCGTCCTTTGCAAGCAGCTTATCGGTGATGTTCACGGCAATATCGATAAGCATGGGGTATGGCCCAGTGCATGACCAGCATAAAGGTAGTTGCAATTTCCAAAACCATTCCGCAAAACACCAAAAATGCTCAGCCCTCAGGTGATGCGAAAAACCTATGAGCTAACAAGCAGGCTGAACAAGAAGATGAAGGCCTATAAGAAAAGAGTTTTAGATCCAGGAACAAAGCTGGATGTAATAAAGGATAATGATGATCTTGAGAACATCGATGACTACTGGAAAACGGCAGAATCAGTCCTCAAGGACGACACCACAGTCGAAATCGAAGAAACATCAATATATAAGAGTGAGACCGAAGAAGAAAAAAGTGAAGATAAGGGAGCAGATGCTCAGAGTGACACTCTATTTGACATCAAGACGATTAGGGAAAGTCTATCCACCAAATCCAAGGACATCGCTTTTCATGGGGAGTCATCAGGGACGAACATCATTCTTGAGAACAAGGGACCCTCCAGTTCGTTTGAGAAGATCGGGAGTGGATTTGAGGACTGCTGTGAAAGTCTGGAGGTTGGCGGGAGTTTTGCTGATAAATTGGATGATGAGCTAAGGCCTGGAGTGCCTGGGAAACAGGATATGGGGACGGAGAGCGATAGCAATCCGCGAAAGGAGGTTCCGGGAGATCATGGAATAAGTCCTGCAAAGGAAATAAGAAACAGATACAGGAAAAGGCTCCAGAGCCTTGGAAAGGAATCGGAAGGAGCTTCAGTAAGAAAAAGCATGATCCAGTCCAAGGAGATCTACGAATATAAGGGAGAAACAATCTACAACTCCAAGGGAAAGGAGGTTGCAGTGACAAGCATATCTGGACTGTATAAGGGAAGGAGTGCGTTTGAGCTCCTCGTGACATCGGATAGTCTCGAAACTGCGGTTCTATTTCTAAACAACTTAGCCTTTATAAAGCCTGAAAGGGCTGTCTGTAACTTTTCAGTATTTATGATCAAAGGAACAGTGTGCATAGAGATGGGACAGGATAAAATAATCCTCAAGAGAGGAAGCATCTGTGTCATTGAGAAGGGGACGGTGTACTCCATCAGTAACTCTTTCGGTACAAGATGCACCATACTACTGACCTACTCTATTACCTAAGACTCCAAAGACAGGAAAAGAGAACATCAGGATGGTTGGGACTGGCTTAATTATGCTTCTGGCATGGTAATGCTTTCAGCCCTTGTGGTAGCCATGGAGCAGCCATGGTTATATAAAACAAAATATTTTACTTAGTACTTCCTTTTCCATCTTCACAGAACACTAGATTGTCTTCGTAATACTCAAGTAGATGTAGCGGGCATCTTATGTGAACTTGCGATACAGGAAAGCGCCCTTTCTTTCCATCTTTAAATAGCAGCCAAACAACAAGTGTGGCTCTATTCTTTTCTACTGATACAACTCTATCAACCAGCCCGTCCCATTCGTTGGTAATGGCTCTATCCTTGCTTGTGAGGTGCTTTCTGTTGGTCTTCCCTGTGCTGGCTCTTTTCTTGCCCATCTGGCTACTAGAGCTCTTCGATCCTTTTCGAGACTCCTCATATTCTTTTATCAGCTCCTTGGAGAAGATGTTTTTTTCATCTTCCCACGTGTTTTCAGAGTCTGGATACCCCTCCCACTTCACGAGATATTGCTTCACTCCCTTTTTCTTCCTGTCTCCAACAATTCTATCCACAGTATAAATGTCAGCACCTTTCATCCTGTGTGTCTGAGAATATGCCTATTTTCGACATGAATCATAAATACCCAAACAAAAGTTTCAGGTGCGGATTCACAAGAGTAGCCCGACCTTTATTGGTTCTTTAGTATCTTTTGAGGCCCTGTGTCAATGTTCCTAGTTCTAATACGGGTTTTGTTTGTTATCCTGCTTCCTAGAAAGAAGGAACCGACGAAAATCATCCCTACTCCTGCAGCAAACACATCCAGCTGATAGCTGGTGTACTGCTCGAACTCTCTAAAGTAAATCCCGGCAGTAAGTATGCTCAGAAGGGTCCAGGTGACATGGAACATCGGAATCACAAGCAAAGCATCGTAGTGTCTCAAGGCTCTGTTGAGCCAGTATATTTGGAAGAATGTACATATTGCAAGAGTCATGATAAAGAGGTACGTTGTGAGAAATATAAATTGGTTATCACCAGCAATTGTCTTATCAATCATTTCTCCAAGGCTTTTAACAGACAAGGTTGTAAAGGATGCTATAAACGAGGAAAGGCAGACATAGGCAAGAACCATCGTATACTTCATAACCACCCCCTCCTCGTCAAACCAGACGCCTTCCTTTCTTAAGAACGTCATGCTCTCATCGGGAAGCTCCCAATTGCTATTGACTTCTACGTACTTGATGAAGGTGAAAAGGACCACAATCACAAGAACAATAAATCCAAACCATATCAATGTTTCTGTGCGCCTATACATCTTCATGAGCTCGCACAGGGTATACATCTTATGAGTAATGGCCGTGTTCATAACTATAAGCGTTGTCCCAGCAAATGCAAAGAATATGGCACAAAAGTCCTTCCAGGTAAAAACCTCCTCGTTGATCATCGGAGCAAATATGCTGTTTGAGACGAGCCCGGTTGCACTCAGTGCAGCTATCAGTGACTGATTTCCAAAGACATACGAACAATACCCAAGAATCTTCCCAAGTCCGTATGTAAAGCATCCTGCATAAAACGTCTGCAGGTTCATACCAAATAGTCTCATGTGGGCCTGTTTATACGATTTCTTCTGAAGGTTTATTCCAACGTTTATCCCGATGTTTCCGCTTACCGATAGAAATACACCAAATATCCAGGAGCTCGACTTGTCAGGAACGCACTCATAGAATCCTTTCTTCCCCATCAAGCATGACTGTCGGATGTCACACCCGTTGAGAGATGCTGGCCTGTCTGGGTTGCACTCTTTCCCTTCTGGAATGCTTCTACAACAATACATGGAGTCGAAGTTGTCGTCTTTTCCGTATTCGCACTCGCTCTCTATTTTACACTTTCCAGTGCAGGCCAGCGGTCCGAAAAATGAATACGACGAACACTCGGTAGGCTTGGTGCAGTGCTTCCCCGGAGGCAAGACCTTTTGGCAGACATTATTGACACAAAACATTGAGTGGACATCAGGCCTCGACCTGGTTAGGCAATCACTGTCCTTGAGACATGCCCTTGTGGCTGCCACTAAGCCAAGCATACAACTAATTACCATTGTTTGTTTATTCAAGGAGATTATATGAAACATAGATTCTGAGGAGAAGTCAAAAGTTTCAGTCCTCCAGCGCCCTGCATCTGTTTGCAATTAGCATAAGAAGTATACGTGGGTCATTAATCGACATGGCAAAGGTGCTTAGAGTGGTAAACAATGGCCCTGACCCTTCGTCGTTGGTATTGTATAGTTTAGAGTCAACCATCTGGCCATCTCTCACAAATATTCCGACCTCGCATGTCGAGATCCTGAGCCTTATGTACATCTCATTATTTTCCTGCTCGACGGTCACAAGACTTACGCCAAAGACATTTTTGATGAATTCAAGTGCCCTACTGTACCAATTATACGAATCCTCCACATGGCTTTCCATTGTTATCAAGGAAAGCCTCTTCTGCTTTCCACAGAGTTTGTCTCTCCGGTTTTTCATGTTCTTTAACTCCTCTTCTGCCTCATTAGTACTCAGCATTGCTATTTCTTTCTTAAGAGCGTTTACCTTCTCGATGTTTTCCTGCACCTCCTTGCATCCCTTTTCAAACTGTGCCATGAGCTCGTCATATGCTTTTAGATTTTCGTCAAGACTTTCGAGTCGAGAGCATTCCGCAGAAAGATCTTTTTCTCTTTCTTCCTCACGACTCAGCATTTCCTCGTACTTCGAGAGCTTGCTTTTAGCATCATAGATCAGTTCCGATAGCTCGGAGATGGATTTGGACGCTTCCTTGCCGATGGACTTAACGTCCTTTAGCTGGAATTTGCTCTGGTTCAGTATGGTAAGCAGGTCTTCCACCTGCCTATCCTCCGGCCTCAGGCTCTGAAGAAGAAGAGTTTTTGTGGTTCTTTCGATATATCCAAACTTGTAGTTGTTGAAGTAATCCTTGGCATGCATATAATCATGGTCAGCTGTCTCGTACCTATTCATCCTGCGAAAGCCTAAAGAGGGCTTTAGCAATACCAAACAAAGAATGGAATTCCTTGAGCTTCAGCCACTATCCAGCTAGTTCTTCTTCTTGAACGAGATGTCGTACGAGTATATAGCGCACGCAAGCGACCCCAAAAGCAAGGAAAATATCTTCTGGCGGTTGACACTCTCTCCTAGTCCTAGTATTCCTGCAAGAGACCCCAGGCTCTTATTCAGGGCGCCAAGCATACTCAGAGCAGTGGAAGAAAGAACATTTAGCGTCCATGCAGTGCTAAAGGAGGTGAAAAAGGCACAAAGAGACGAAATGAAGATCCATACAAACACTTTAAGCCCGTTGGCCCCCGGATCTTTCTCGTCAAAGAGCATGGACAAAGAAATAAGAATGGGCAGTGAAATAAGATTTGAGTAATATACAGCTTCGGTTTTTGCCTTATTGTTCATGTCAACCACGATCTTCAGAGACAATACATAGGCAGTTGTAGAGAGGACATTGACCGATATCCAAACATATCCTACGTTGAGAATAACATCCGAGGAATTCCCGGCATAGGAGCTTATAATCATCAATATAAACGACAGGCATGACAGGCTGCCTATTCTTTTTTTGAACAGGTGCTGTTCAAGCAATGCCACCACTATTATGCTGCTGTTTTTGAAAAGGGTATACAGGGATATCGGAAGATAGTACAGGGACTTCGATCCAGAAAATATCATCACCGTTAGTAAAAGAGATGGAATCATCCACTTTTTAAACTTTGTAAGGCGAAATTCGACCAGTCTTGCAAATTTTAAGGTCAGCAGGCCCACGACTATGGTAAGAGATTGAAGCGCCACTAGGAGATACTGCATCTTAAATCCGAGGTTCGACAATATGTACTTATTAGCAAGCGTCGTGATTATTGAGCTGAAGAGATAGATCAAGCTTGCAGTGAGTTCTTCAACAGCTTTTTTCATACCAATTATTCGGCATGTTATGAACAAAAACCTTATATGAAACAAAAAGGACACGTCTCAGAAGTTTCAACATATCAGATCCTACATCATGTTTGAATGAACTCTTGGTCCTTGGTATAGCAGATCATTGGGCTGTATTTGGAATGGGAGACGTAAGATAGAGTCAATGCGTATGCAATGCTAAGTCAGAATAATTGGGCAGGACTGAGTGTTTATTGTAGTATTCTAATACCTTTTGTTTGTGTTATGCATCGAGAAAAGGCCTTTTTTGATGGCATCTACAATGATTCCGATAGATATACATCCCAGGAATACATGGATGATAGCCACGAGGAGAAGAACGATAGTAAAAATGACCACCTTCGTTCTTGCAACGAATGAAGGCTCCTCTGTAGATGGAAGGGCATCTTCGTCTTCAAGCGACATTATAAGAAGGATAATGGAGGAAGCGATGGACAAATATAGTGAGCACTCAAAATCATTATCCCATTCACGTGATGTTATGAGAAAAGAAGAAAGTAGCAGCAGTACTAGGTCAAGATGGTTGTTGCTATCAGTAAGTGAAACTGCTCCTAGAGCGGAGTTAAGCAAGGACGATGCCAAGTAATCAAATAATACAAGAGATGGAAAAAGAGCCGTGAGGGGGCCTTTGGTGTAGGTCCAGCTGTTGATTGGAATTCCGACAATTGAGAGAAGCGAGGCCACAATGAGTACAACAGAAATGATGTTGACCAGAAAGTAGAGTATCTTCTGTGTTACAGACGATTCTTTGATATCGGATTTCCACAGCATCAAGTTGGCATGCAAACAAGACGAGAAGGAGAATATCACATATGAAAAAGTGGAGGACGTTACAATGAATCTGAGAGCCAAGCTGGATTTGATTTCATTTTCTTCGGATATAGAGTATACAAAAAGCGAAGATATAATGGACATGCATGCCAAAAAGCTATTAGGAATCTTCTTTCGCTTTGCCTCGCTTATTTCTTGGTTGGCTTCAAGTGGCTTGTCAGAGTTAGCGTTCATGACTTACAATAAGAGGAATCATTATATATTTTTAATAGAATAGGAAATAACAAAGGGGTGAAGAATAATTGGGCAGTTGCATATGACGGACATCATGATAATAAAAGTCTATTCGAAGACAAGTATAGAGTTTGGTGAGGGAGATACGGCTAGTAAAAAAGAAGAAGAAATCAAAGAAGATGAGGAAACGAAAAAGAGATGATGCGGGATGCTTATCAAATACATCAAGTTGGATGATAAGCCGATACAGTTAGACTATTTATGTCAACGGTAATAATCAGCTTAAACCTATAATTCGATACCAAAATAAATTTTCCCAGGAGTATAAGCATAAAAAATGTGCAGCATTTCTATCCCTATATGAAAGTGACTATTGATGTTACCGGCAAAAAGAAGGATGAAAGACAAGATAATGAAAAGCAATCAGTTATATATCCAGTTGTGAAAAATGAGAAGGAAGCATCCGTGTCCGAGGGCAAACCAGCAGCTGTGATAGATTCTATATTACTCCTTTCAACCATTCTTGTGGCATGGATTCTTCATCCTATCTCCAAGAAAATTTTTGGCAACTTCCTCCTCCATATTGTTGGATGGGGGAATCTGGGATATCTCGTTTTCTCAACGATCAGTAACCTATTCTCTCGGTCATTGGAATCTGAAGATGATAGTGTCCTTGAGGCTGAGGACATCGAGGACATTGTGGCGATTATAACGCTTCTCCTACACCTTTTTACGTTCGTTTTCCTTGTTGTAAACAGGTTTGTCGTCAACGGAACTATCAACAAGCTGTCGAATGCTATTGTTTGTAACCCTTTAGGAATTTATTTTGCTTCGTCAAACTTTTTGGAAGCACAGAAGGCACTGAAGTTTCAAAAGCCTTATCATATTTCGTACATTATTTTGAAAGCCACTTTTATAATAGGAGCTGCGGTGTCATTCGACTATGATAAGGATATCAATAGAGGAATACTGATGAGATTTTTCCTGTTGTTTTTTCTTGGGATAATACTTTTCATTGTGGAGGACTATGTTATTAGCATGTTTAAGATATCAAAAGAGAAAATTACTAGTTTTAGAGTCTTTATGAATATAATACTCGTTGTAGCATATACTGTGGCCGGGTACTACATGATGAATAGAATATTTTTGCAGGAATCAGTATGTTCTAATTCCTCAAATAAGGTGGTATAATATAAGTCTTTGTAGTGTCGTTAGTACGACGATATGGAGGGAATAGACTCTATATTAATACAAAGCAGTGGATAATTAAACCATAATAATACACGCAACAATACCATTATTGATTAATAGGCGGCAAGTTGATAACTTTCTTCTCTTGAAGGATGCTTTTCATCTTGTCAAGCAAGTATTAGCTGACAAATGCTTGGCGGGCTATGTCTTTGTAAATGTATGGAAGACTAGAATGGGAATCCCTGCTTTTTAATTTTCAGTAGCTCCCGAATTCTTTTTGTCGAGATTGTACAATCAATGGGGATAAGTATATTCAATTAATGGTATAATATTGTTCTGTCTGATTTATGCTGTTAGGTGTCGGTAGCAGGGATTTAATTGGTTCTTAATCAACTCTGGTGATTCCTAGTCAGAATTGGCAAAACAGTTGAAATGTTGGCTAAAGACGGCTATAGGCCCACATACTGTGAGTAAATAGCCAGGTATGCTAGAGATTACTATGAAGACAAAGATCCCTTTCCTCCATAAGGAAGATGAGGAGCTCTGCTTGGATGGGAAGAACGTTTCCTTGAGTGACCTCAGTAGAATGAGTATGAAAGAGGCAAAGGCAAAAATAAAGGGGAAAGGACAGCAGACGTTTCTGTTTCTAAAGAGAACCGTTAACGTTATGCCGATTATATAAGATGACAGTATGATTAAGTCAATAAGGGCGGTGATGGCGGTATCTGTGAACTGGATTTGTCCTGTTGTAGGATTACAGGAAGTAGATAGTAGATAGGTGGGCGATATAATGAGGAAAGGGAGAGTGATTGCATGAAAAAGTAAATCGTCGTCGCCTTGCCATTTTTCAACGGTAAATGCAATGATCGAAAGGGCAGAGATGATACCGAATGTTAGAAAAAGGAAGTCGAGAGAGTAGTAGGGCATCTTGGATAATAGGCCTCTTGGTCTATGGTGTGAGGCCCACATGCCATGAAACAGAAGAAGATGTTGTACTGCAGAGTATAAGAAGGGAAATAGTACTATGATTAATTTGGAAAGAGGGCTGTTGTTATCAACGGTTTCTTTCAGGACAAAGCTGATAACAACAGGAAATAGAATGCATATGAGTGGACTGAAGTTGTTAGTGGCCGCTACCCACCATGACTGATTCTTGGTGTAACATCGCTTGTCAGTTGTATATAGTTCTGGAATATTATTAATATTCATATGGAATAAAGAAAAGTAGATTATTTAAAAGATGTAGTGAGTGTGAAATAAGAAAGGGGTTTAGATGGCGAGGCGGTTTTCAGCAAGAATGGCTTTTAAAACATTTAGATAATCAGTTAGTTATTTGTTAAGATCTTTCGGGCCATTCTTCTTTTCGTTGAGAGGTCGAAATAATAAGCAAGGGAGTTTACAGAAACATATGCACTGAATGAACAGATACGTGTAGTGAGGATGAATATGGTAAGGGTAAAGACAGCTGCTCTCCACAGCGCAGTAGACGAGGAGCTCTGCCGTGACAGGGGATTTCTTCAGGCAGTCTTGTTAGAACATGAATGAAAGTGGTAGGTGCAAAGTAAGAATAACGCCTAACTTCTTCTGAGAAAAGCAATAGTGGGAGATCCATTGTATAGAACGAAGTATGACTAAGTCAGTAAGAATGTTAATGCCAGTGTCTGTGAATAAAGTTGTAGTGGGATCGCAGGAAGCTGACATTAGGCAAGTAGCGCTGTAAAGAAAAAGGGGAAGTGCTGGAGTGAAGGAACGGATTGTCAGAATCTCATTCATCAGTAGTAAACACGATAGCCGAAGGATATTGATAGTATTGTAAAAAGTGCTTCAAAATAGTTGTTTAGTTAAGTATGACATTCTTGAACAGCCTCTTCAACTCAGCCGTCTTTTCGTTGTCGACGGTCCTTGCGTACAACCTTAGTTGTATAGATCCCCAGTAAAATGGAATGTCATCAGCCTCATAGGCAGCTGCAAGGCTATCTGCATTTTCAATAGGCTTGAACAGGGGAGTGCACCCAGGCGTGGAGAAGTATTTGTCGAGATGCGGCTTGTGGGAGTAGAAGGATTCAGGGTTAGGAATGGGGTCATGGAACAGAACCTTAGCCAGTATGTTCTTTGTTCCATTGCCCTTGAGTATGTGAGCAAAGTTGAAGGCTACGAGGACATAGTCGTCGTTGGTAATTTCACATTGGGTTTTTCCCAGTGCCTCGGAAAAGGTGTGCTTGATATCGGCTATCGATCTGCGTAGATTTGTGAGGTCGTGGTTGGGAGACGTCTCAGGGGGGTAAGGATAATCACGGTATCCGATAAACTCGTAAGAGTCTCTGGCGTTAAATCTGTCCAGAAGGTGCTGGATGTCCACATGGCTTCCCTTGTCCCATAATCTGGCAATAAACATGTCGTCCAGAATAGAGAAACTGTTGATGTCCTGAAGATAACGGGTCAGATTGGCATGTGACAGCAGGCGTGTAAGGATGTCTTGTAAGACAAGGTCAAGGCCTCCGGCCTGAGGGTTGTAGTAGAGGTAGCGGTAGTTGAGGTAGACACAATGAGAAAAGACAACCAAGCTCTCTGCACAACGTATGGAGTAGACAATGCGATCGTGCTCAATACGGCTGCCTAACATTATCCCAGTAACTGCCTGTGAGACAAGATTAGCATATCCTGGCCTACAACACAAGTAAGAGTCTCGCCTCATGTAATCAAACTTGTCTGTGTCCAAACTGGCCTCTGCATCCCCGTTTACAATGGTGAATATGACATACTTATTGAAGTCAGGTGACGAGGCATACTTCTTGGCATGATCATCACGGGAAAGACCCTGGATCATGTCGCAGACAGCATCAGCAAAGTCGTGAGGTAAGTTGTACTTCCGGACCAGGTCGTTGGTTTGGAGAAGACACCTAGCTATACGGAGGGACTGCATTTCATGAGACCACGGCTTGGCAGAATCTTTTTTTTCGTCGTCGTGATAGATTTCAGGATTGCTGTGCACCATACCAGTGACGGTATATTCAAAGAGATGGCTATACGGACCATGCCCAATGTCGTGAAGTAAACTAGCCACCTGAATAGCATGGGACTGGACAGGAGTGATGCAGCTCTCAGAACAGGAGTTCTTGTTGAGAATGTTCACATAGATTGATGACATCGTCCGTGTTCCTCTACAATGTGCACCTCTGGTGATATTGGCATGGGTAAATAGCAAGTTCCTTAGTCCCAGCTGTGCAACTCTGTCCAATCTTCGGAATAGGTCTGTGGACATGAGATCAATGATGAGCGGGGTGGGAGGGTCTTGCATCTCCTTGTGGAAGTCCTCGTAAAGAATGTCTCTCATGTCAGGGATTTCCCTCGAGACAGAGAGCGGCAGGAATAGAAGTATGAGATAAAGATATGCAGGTTTCATCCGATTAAGGGCGGACTCTTTAGGGTTTTAGTATGTAGCAGGAGATTTCTCCGATATCGGCCAATAGGTTATAGCACACAGACCTTAATGACCGAAAATGTTGCAGTTTATAGAATGGATAGCTAATGAAAATGGTCTGTAGTATATGTTGTAAAGCTGGTAGTAAGGCGCTAGATTAGTTATTTGTTGGACTGTCAGCTATACTGCAAGCGACCACTCTCCATGCCGTAATGGACAAAAACCTCTTTCTGGATGGAAAGTACTCTTTCATGAGCGACCTTGTCAGGATGAGAATAAAGTAGATCAGGACAAAGGAGGTACAGTACTCAGATTTTTCAAGTAAAAGTCTTCTGGACATTACAGGGTATAAATTACTAGGTCTACAGAGATACTGATATTATCAGTATCGGTAAATAGAGTTGATCCTCAGTAAAGTTGCAAAAGGCAGGGGAGCAGGCAGGTGGGAAGTGTAAGTATGAGAGGGTGGACGGTGGAAAGTAAATAGGATGGTTGAAAGAATGGAGGAGGTGATGGTGAGCATAATGAGCCAGATACTGATAAAAAAGTAGCACATACGATGATGAACGGTAACTCGTAGTTTTCCCTCCAATTATCGTAGAGTAGGAGGAAAAAGCACCGTGGCGAATCTGAAAAAAGGTCTGATTGAAGTCTTTCTTTGTGAAGATGAAATGCGTAAGCATTGGTAATACGATGGACATGGCAGGGCCAAGGCTAAACGATTGCCCTCCATTGTTTCTGAATTGCTTAGATGCTGTTCTAGTGTTGTTCGTGGTTCCATCCTGTCGTGCAATGCTTATAGTGTTCATAGTGTGACAAAGAAGGAGTGTGGCTTATGTTTTCCAGATTAGGTATTTACTAAACTTCGATATTCCTTTGTCGATGAGATAAGTGGAGGAGAGCAAAAGGAGTAACGCTTTAGGGATACCAGGAATTCGATGGGTGAATGTCCCTTTCAAACAATGAGGATGTGGCTAGTGTCTGCAATTGCTCTGGTCGATATATTATGCACTTCGAAAATAGAGGAACTAGTAGAAAATATGGGGAAAAAGATCGAAGAGGCTTTGCCTCACGAGTTTGATAGTGCAGAAAAAGAGGCACTAAAAAAGCATCTTAAGGAAACTGCTGGTTTAGGCACAAGACTAATGGTTCCGTGCATTTTTCATGAAGATAGAGTTGTTGCATCACCAACTACAAGATATCAAGATATAGATGAAGAGGAAAAAGGATATGTCGAAAAAGTTATTGCACTACTTCCAAGGCTACTATGGCGTTCTGTAGCATATATATATGTATTCGGAAATGATAGTTGGGTGGTAAATTTGATGGAAGAAGTCTTTGAAACAGCGCCTTTTAAGAAATCTGATGCTGTTGCTCTGTACAAGAGGGCCCGAGGAAGGTTAGGAATACGGCTTATAGATCTGGTAAACAGGACATTTCGGCATAATATCGGCATGCTGAATAGATTTGGGCAGCGGCTTGCCCAGGAAGCAGAGGCAAAGATTCAAGAGATATCAAGCTCTCTATCTGATGAGGAGAAGAGGAAAGAAGAGAAGATGCTTCAGATAATCAAGGAGTATGGAGAAAGCTTGTGTACCAAGGAAAAGCAAGAGGAGATAATCAGGGCACAGGAGATAATGTGTGATGCATGCGCATGTATTTGGGAAAGAGATTCTAACAGAGAGAGTTTTGTTATGGAGACATATTCGAGGCATCTGTACTTAAGAATGATAGGATCTTCTATGGATGTAGAAGAGCCACTACTCAGCTATATAGACCACAGGGGGTTGATAGATGCATATGAAAAATATAAAAGTATAGACATTGTAGCAGAGCTAATCAAGCAAGTGTTTACAGAACGTGGATGTATTTCTGATGAAAGTGTTAACGACGCTGTATGCGGGGTTAGGGAGAGGGAAGAGGCAGAAAAGATGAGAGGGGAGGAGGAAAGAAGGAAAAAAGAGGAGGAAAGCCTTAGGAATACTTTGGAGCTGCTTCGGATGGAGGAGAAGGAGAAGAGCAAAAGCAGAGGGAAGAAGAAGAAAGGAGGCAAGAAAGGGTCTGGCGAAGTCACGGCGAAGATGGAAGAGGAGAAGAAAGATTCTGAAGAGGTTGAGGAGAGTGCAGAAGCAGAAGTTTCCTTGGAAGAGATGGCAGTTGGAGGAGCCCGAAGTAAGGAGAGGAGTTCGAAAAAAAAGAGTAGAAGCAAAGGACATCGTTACAAGGTGCACAAGAGGGTTCTCCGGTGGACGAAGAGTGCCGAGAGGATCAAGGCAGAGTTGGATGAGGGAAGTGAGGAGAAGTGGAGAAATAAATCGATTGAGGAGATTGAGGAGCAGAAGAAGGTACATGATATAATAGAGGTTTGCGTGCTTCTCAGGAGCTTGGATGCCAACAGGTTTTTTGTAAGCACAAATAGATATATGAAGGACGGGACCGAGAGATGGAAGATGGTGGGGGTTGGGATATTTGAGGAGGGTGGAGAGAAGAAAGTGGGGAAGGTGGAGGTTGGGCTTTATAGGGACAAGGGAGAAGGGAGTGTGATCTACCACCTGATGTTCAAGGCCATGGACACTGAGAAGGCGGGAAAGGGCGCAAGGTCCTCGTTTGGGAAGGGAGACGATGTGGAAGGGCTAGAAGAGGGGGCAGGAGAGCTCTCTGACATGTCTGGGTTTGAGTATCCAAAGGGTGTCCGATCTGAAATAGTGAAGGGCGGAGATGCCTTTAAGATAGTGTATCGGAATCCCAAGGACACCAGCGAGGTTCTCCGGAGTCTTACTGTTCTACAGAAGGCGGAGGTTCTGTGATGGGATGTCTATAGATTATGAATAAATAGGGTAAAGGCTTATTACCTGGATGCTGTCTCGAGTTATCTTCTGGATAGGGTGATTGAATGAATGAGTGGTTGTGTGGGTAAGTCTCCATGCTTCGGCAGGCCCGGGCCCCTTTCGTGTGTATACGGGGAACAAGGTATCTCTCCTTGGACGGCTTTATCAGAAGGAGGGTAGGAGAGGCAATCGCGAAATGGGGATAGTACTCGAATCTTTAATCATCGGGATTAGACCCATTATGGGGCACGCTAGTGCTAGTAGAAAAGCGGGGATGTGGTGCTGCCTGGACGCAGAAAGCACGGAGAAAATGGGCTGCAGATCCAGATAAGGAGGGGAGAGTTGTGAGCAGAAGGCTGTAGCCCCATTATTCAAATTGTCAGGGGTAAATATGATGATCAAGAAGATGGAGGATATGATTGCAGAGTGAGGATAGCGGTAGGGTCTTCTGCGCACAGATACTAAATTCGCCATGGGGTGTACTAATATCAGTATGTCAATGAGGATGTTGATACCGGTGTCTGTGAACCCGATCTGTCCTGGAACAAGGCAGCAGGAGGTGGAGAGGAGATAGGTGGGAGGGAAAAGAAGAGAGGGGAAAATGATAGAAAGGGAAAGGGAGACAGTATTATATTTCCAGTTATGGATGGCAAATGCAATGACTGAGAGAATGGAGATGACAGCGAATGTGATGAAGAGAGCACTGGAGAAGTATCGGAGTATTTTGTGTATGGCGCCCTCTGGTTTGGTGCTCTCTTTCCAACTGGCACGGAACAGGAGAACCATTGGGAATGCAATTGACATGAACACTGCAAGATCTCTGGGTATTGTACCCCCTCCCATAATAGAGCTGGTTCTCGGTGTGTTGCTCTGCTGTGTGTGTGGTGTTCATGCGGGTAAAGGAGAAGTGTGAATAAAATGGATATATTGATAGAATAGACGAATCGGAGATGTGACCGAGCAAGGGAAAGGGTGCCGAGAAGATTGTGAGGTCTGTGTCCTGGGCGTTAGATAAGACGTAATAGCACGGATGCTGTTGGAGAACCTGGAGAAGGATTAATATGAGAATTGACCGTGGGCGTTATCCATTCACAGCTACATGCTTTCAATGACTCTGCATTTCCGCACATCCTCACTCATCGTTGTAGTCCGGGTCTTGCCCATCCTGCAATGGACCATGCTTGGGTGCAATCCACTGCCACCAGTACTTCTGGGACTCTTCCTCCCTCCTCCCACAGTAGAAAATCAGGCCCGTTCGATGAAACAGAACACCCATCGATCGGAGAGGAACTCCGTGCAAGGACTCCTACCCAGCACACGGCCAGATGCTCAACAGAGGATATTCACATGGCTTTAATCGAGTAAGTAGTCAGGCCTCGGGGAGTCATGTGTCCAGTCCCGCTATGAGGCAGCAGTACCAGTCATATCGTCGGTGCCTCTCCTGCACGTCATGAAGTAGTCCCGGCTTGATACCCACGATGCAAAGGTGGTGACCGCCACACTCATCACAAACAGGCAGTTCATCACAACAGCCCCACTCCCACTTGCGGATGCCTTTTCTCCATCAGCTTCGTCCATGTACGACACAAGAAGCAGAAGAGCAATAAGCACAGTAAGCCCAATGCATACCATGCCACACCGCCCATATGTGTCGAGCAGGGGGTGCTTGGAAGGCTCGGCAAAGCATGCCACTGCCAATAGCACATGCCCGGCACAGAACACACACATCTGCTTCCAGCTCATCCCACACTGGATGAGACGCTGTCCACACATCGAGGCAATACTAACTCCAGCTACCGTCAGGCTGTACACACCACTCTCGATAGAGCCAGCATTCAGAAGCTCAACTGCCACAGGAGCCAGACATCCAAGCACACTCCATACATTCCTCAACACATCACTTGTCCCATCCTCATGCCAGTTCCACCCCCCCCCCACAGTACCCACATCTGGTGCATGATGGTCCCGGCCACAGCTAGTGAGTACAGTGCTGTGTTCCATCTTGTCTTCACCCTGCTGTTTTTATCCTCGGCAAGGTGAAGAAAACTATGGATGGCCAGAATGGCAATGAACATAAAGCATAGGAGTTCACATAGTTTCATCGGGGGAGAGGAGGGAAGGACCCTTTCGAGATCGGAGATCCTTTCCTTCAGGTCAGACAAGCCTTTTTCTGCTTCCCTCAACATTCCGTTTAGTTCACTGAATGCATCAGAAAAAGACTTTCCATTGCTTTCAACATCATCAATGACTCGGGTACATGATGTTCTGAGAGCCTTGAGCTTTTGAGAAAGGGAGTCAAAGGCCGTCCTGACATCCCGAAGAATCCTCTGTAGTCGCGCTCTCCAGGATTTAGGAACCTTGGAGATCACCTTTTCTAGACACTCCAGCTCATTCTTTATTGTCCTGGAAAGAGAAGCCTCATCAATGTCGTGCTGGAAGTATTTTTGAAAGATGTAGAGGGCTGCTTCATTTATATCTCGAGGATAACTGTAAAAGCTCCAGTTGGCTTCAAAGTTATAATTCCCTTCAATCCCTAAGAGATCGCGAATGACAGACTTCAAAGGGACCTCCACTTCATTCACTTCGTTCATTAGATACTTATAGATATCCAAAGTGGAAGGTCTCTCTTGGACCTTCTCTCCATCCAACTGTTTCTTCAGAACTTTTAAGAAGTCAGACATAGCAGCCTCCAACTTCATCTCATTCACTTTAACCTTCAGGTCTCCACGGACGTGCGGCAACACTTTCCTAAGTGCATCTTTAAACGCTTTGAGTAGCCCTGGATAGTCCTTAAGATACCCGTCAATTGCTCCAAAGTAATAGGGAAACTCGGTGCCGTGTGCTTTTTTACTAAGACTAAGAATTTGACATTTGCGGTTAACAACATCCTCTAAGGCCCTTAGTGCATCCTTGGCTGCATTGACAGCAGTAATTCCTTCGGGGTGTCCTTTTTCCTCCAAGTCCTCGAGGATACTATCAAGTAGGTTTCTGTAGCAGGCAATGGCAGGGTGCATCTTTTCGCATTTTACAATATCACTAATAAGCCAGAATGCACGGACCCATAGTTTTTCCACACTTAGACCTCTAAAGGCTCTTTCATCATAGTCGAGGTCAACTTCGTCAAGTGTTGTTTTAATACGGCTGATCTGTTCCATCGGTGGGTGGATATATCCGATTAATAATCTTTTCAGATGTGGCTAATGATGAATAGGAGTTGTAAGAGTGGACCAATGGTGGGTGACATGGCACAAGGATTTCCAGGCAAGGTATCTATCTAGTGACAGCTATTACAGAGAGTCGGATGAGATAGATTCTGATGGCCAGAATTGATGAGGACAGTCATCGGTCATCAGAGGCTTTGTAGGTTGGAGGATGTGCTTGTGGGACATTGCTTTCTGTGGGAGGATCAACACAGCGGTTCTTTCAGTGTGGCAGGGTTAGCAGTGACATCTGGAGTATATTGTTGTGGATACTAGATTGTTATTGGATGTGTCTAGGGGAGAGAGGTGGAAAGAAAGGTTTCTTGAAGAGTGGAATGGTCTGTGTTGGTATAAGGACATGTCACAGATGAAGAGTTGTTTATTGACCAGGTTTTGATACTGAGGTACTTCTTGCCTTGGTAAGCAGGTCAAAGTGATCACTTAGGATGTCGATAGATACCCACATCATAAATGCGTAGATGAGAGCAGCAAAGATGAGTATAAGGACAAAGACCGCGATTCTCCATGGTGCAGTAGGGGGAGGGCTCTGTTTCTCTGGAGAGAGCTTCTCCCCGAGCAATCGTATCAGGATGAGTATAGAAGATATGATTGCAAAGCAATAACAATACTCGGATTCTTCTAAGATAAGTAATAGACTTCCTACAGAGCATAGTAGTGTCAGGATGTCGATAAGGACGTTGATACCGGTGTCTGTGAATCCAATCTGTCCTGGAACAAGGCGGCAGGAGGTGGAGAGGAGATAGGCAGGTGACATGAAGAGAGGGGGAAGGAAGATAGAAAATAAAATTGGACCACCATCATTTTTCCATTTATTAATGGGGAGTGTAGTGATTGAAAGGATGGAGATGATGGAAAATGCAAGAAGCAGGAGATTGAGGGTGTAGTATAATGTGGTGTGCAGGATGCCCTCTGGTTTGTTATGTGACTTCCAGTTGGTGTGGAGTAGTACGGCATACTGTACTGCTGAGTATGAAAAGGAGAGGAGTATTGTGATGAATCTGAGGAAAAGGCTATCTTCAAAACTGTCTTTGGTGAAGATGAAGTACATGATGGCTGGGAATGCAATTGACACGATTGGAGCAATACCGAGGATCTTCCTCCAGTGTTGCAGGTTCTCGGTGTGTTGCTCTGTTCTGTGCGGCTCTGGAACGTGTGTGGTGTTCATGTGGGTAAAGGAGAAATATGGATGAAATGGATATATTGATATGATTGGGTGTGTGGGGGCGTTAGATTTGTGTTATGGTATGGGATATTTGTGGGGTTGTGCGGAGGCTTGGAGTAGGAGGGTTGGGAGGCAGTGGGGATCTAAGAGCTTTGGGGATGCAGATGGATTGGATGTGGATTCTGTTCCTGGTGGAATGAATTCCTCGTGAGACATATTGTGTGATATTGTGCAGTGCAGGTGATGGATGTGTGTTTGGTCGATGGCCTCCGGGGGAGAAGGATCTTAGTCGGAGGGCGAAGAAGCAGTGCAACGGGTGTGGGAGACAGCGGGCCCTTGAAGATGTGAAGGTTATTGGCATGTACAGTCGTGCTGGTTGGGATATCATGTGTCTCTCGGATGGTGGAGGAGGTGAGAAGCTTGAGGATGGGTTGGGCTGGAGGTTTAGCAGGTCGAAGATAGAGATGTTGAAAGGATCGCTTGAAGAAGGGGCGGGTTTAGAGACTTGGATCTAGCTCCGGTTGTTTTCCACGGGGACAAGGTTGCTGTGCTGCCGGACACTGGCGGCAGGAGATGGATGCAGGAGAAAGGGCATGTGCTTCCCAGTTGGCGGGCTACTCCCATATTTGGCACTTCGGTCGGTAGCATATATATGCGTGTTTGGAGACAGCAGCAGGGCTCCGGATCTGATACGTGAGGCGTTTGAAAGTCCGCATTTCAAGAGGTTTGATGGTGCTGGGACGTACAAGGAGGCCAAAGGGAGATGTGGAATGAGGTTTGCGGACGTGGTGAATGGAGCGTTTGGGCAGATCAGCGATATGGCGGATAAGGTTGGGAAGGGAGAGCCAGAGGTTTGGTGTATTTGGAAGAAGAGAGGAGAGGTGGAGATGCTTCTGAAGGTTAAGGAGTACAGGAAAGGCTATGGATCAGGGAAAAGAAGGAGGAGATAGTTAATAGGCCGCTCGCTGCCGACAAGTATGTGTGACGGGTTTTTTGTCCGGACAGGTAAGTACAGGGGGGGGGGCGGGAGATGGAAGGTGGTGGCTCTTGGGGTACTTTTGGGAGAGGGAAGAAGAGGGAGGGCTTTTCAAGAAGAGGGAGAGCGTGATCTACCACCTTCTGTTCAGGTCCACTGGTCTGAGAAGACAGGAGAGAATGCAAGGCCGTTGATTGTGAAGGGAAATGATGTAGACGAGGTAGGGGAGGATGCAGGGAGCTCCTCGTCTCTGGATGGTTCGGAATCTTGCTGTTCTGAGATTCCTGAGATGCGGTAATATGAAGGGAATGAATAAATATGATAGATGTGTGTTGTTTTGATGGGATGGCTAGGGCGGAGATTTGGTCGAATGGGGGCATTCAGGATTGAGAGCAGCCTCCTGGAGATGGGCCATAGATGATGGCAAGGCAGATAGTGAGGGATGTGTTCTGGGGATGTGGGAGATGGACATACAGTGGCATGAAGGAGCAAGGACGTGGGTCTTGGTCTTCTCTTTTCGACTTCGATTCTAGTTAGTGGTGAATGGAGTCTCGGACTGAGCTGGATTGAAGGTGATAGTTGATGAAGAGCTCTGGGTTGCCTGGAGGGGAGATATATGTTGGGCTTAGCGGGTTGTTGGAATGGGACATAGATTGATGGAGGAGAGGGGATGTGGCTGGCTGTAGAAGAGGTTGAGGATGGGGTATGTGGTTTGCTCGGGGGAAATACGGAGAGAAAGTTCCTTGATGGGATCAGAAATGGGAAAAGTTTTTCGGTGATGGAGACGGGCAGGCTTTGATAGACTAAAGGGATCTGGATTGGATGTCGGAGTCGTGGGTGGTGGGGCTTGGGTGTTGGAGTTTTCAAGGAAGTGCTGTTTGAGGTCGGTTATAGAGTGTATGTGGTAGTGGTATAGCAGAGGATGTTGTTGGGGTGGATGAGGATGATGAGTTGAGACTACGAACTGTTGAGTATCTGGGGGAGGAGAGTGGGGACGATGGAATTACGATGTTGGTAAACGGGGCTGCAGAGTGTGTTTGCGCATATGCCAATCCATGCTCCTCCCTGTGCTTGTGTGGTGATTAGATGAAGAATGGAATGGGCTGTCGCCTGGTTGTTGAAGATTGTCTGTGTTGGTGTGGGGCTGGTAAGGACGTCGGTAGATAGGTAGGGGTTTATTGGTGAGGTTCTGATGGAAGGATACTCTTCATCTTGCCAAGTAGGTGGAAGTGGTCATCCAGGATGTAGATGGCTCCATACCCCAGAAATGTGTAGACAAGGACAGCAAGGATGAGGGTGAGGATAAGAACGGCAGCCCTCGATGATGCAGTAGATGGAGGACTCTGCTTGAATAGACAGTGCTTCTCGCTGAGTAGTTGTAGAAGGACGGAGATGGAGGATATTATTGCAGAGTAAGGATAGTAATTGAATTCCTTGAACACAAGTAGCACATTTACTATACTGCATACTGATATCAGTATGCTGATAACAGTGTCTGTGAGCCGGATCTGTCGTGGGACAAGGAAGTAGGAGCTGGAAAGGAGATAGGCAGGTGGGACGGTAAAAGAGGGGAGGACGATAGGGTAGAAGAATGAGGCAGCATGATCCCATTCATTAAGGGAGAATGGAATGATTGAAAGGATGGAGATGATGGTGAATGCAAGAAGCAGGAGACTGAGTGTGTAGTAGAGTGTGGTGTGCAGGATGGGCTCTGGTTTGTTATGTGACTTCCAGTTGGTGTAGAGTAAGGCATACTGTACTGCTGAGTATGAGAAGGGGAGGAGTAGTGTAATGAACCTGAGGAAAGGACTCTCTTCAAAACTGTCTTCGTCGAAGATGAGGCACATGATGGCTGGGAATGTAATTGAGACGAATGGAGCGATGTCGAGGATTGTTTTCCAGTGTGGCTGGTTCTCGGCGTGCTGCTCTGTTGTGTGTGTGATGTTCATATGGGCAAAGGAGAGGTACGATGAAATGGATTTCATGTGATAGGATTGGGAGATACGGGGGTTGGAGGTAGTAGTAGGTCTTGGCGGTTGATAGGTTATAGGGGCTCGGTGGGATACGGATTGGGATTTGACTTGGGCTGTGACGTCTTTGGAGGGGTGTTTCGGGAATATGGACCATGTTTGGACGTTGGGGGGGCAAGCTGGGGCTGTCTCTGGTGTTTTGACAGAATGATGAAGTGGGGTTTGGGCAAGGGAGGAGATTCGGGGTTGCAGTGGGCCCTGGATGTGGAGGAGGGCAGTGGGAGATGATTGGGGGCTCTGTTTCTGTGTGTTTGGTGTTTGGTTCTGGATTGGCTTCGTGTGTGTGGCATCCTTCTGTGTGGTTCTTCTTCTTCTTCTTTGGGGGAGGCGTGCCTTTGGTTGGGGGCTGGAGGAATGGGTTGCCTGGCTTTGGACGGCTAGTGGCAGCGACTGACGGTGGTTGTTTGAATGTGCCGCAGTTGTTTGTACGGGGCGGTTGGCATCTAAGACGAGCGGACTTGGATCGGAAGTCTGGATGATCTGAAGGCATGGGTGCTAGATGGGATGCAGGGCGTGGCATGGGGGCTGTTGGAGAAGCCAGTGGGGCTGGACCGGCTTCAGATTGGTTGGAGTGCTTTGGCTTGGCAGTCTCGGGGAGTTGGGTGGGCGCGGCCATCGATCGGAGACGTGCAAGGACTGCTGCCCAGCACACGGATGCTCAAGGGGGATGCTAGATGCTCAAGAGGGGATATTCACATGTCTTTAATCGGGCAAGCAGGCAGGCGCTGGGGGACGTGTGTTCAGCCGACTATGAGCAGCAGTGGCAGTCGTATCGCCGGAGCCTCTTGTGCAGTCATGGAGTGGAGTAGTCGCGGGCTGATTGATGGGCATTCGGCAGGGCGGTGGGCACGGTCATCAAATAGCTCGGTGCAGTCTCCGGATCTGGTGCGTGATGGCGCGGCGAGTACGGTGCAGTGTTTGATCCTGTGTTCGCCCTGGTTTCGTCGTTGGTTAGCAAGGTGAAGGAAAGCACGGATGGCAGTGAGCATGGAGCATGGGAGTCCACGCAGTCTTATGAGGGGAGAGGGCCCTTCCGAGATTGGCAGTCCTTTCGTTCGGGCGGACGGGTTCTTCTCTGCTTCGTGCAGCATGCTCTGCTTCGTGCAGCATCCGGCTTAGTTCATCGTTCATCGAATGCAGCAGAAAAGGCCTCGATTCCTTTGAA